AAACTTTGATATAGATTTTGAAAGAGAAAGAAGTTGTGAAAGAGAGAAACCAGAAGAAAAATTAACCCGCATATGGAAAAATTCTAGAGAAGCGGTTGAAATGTTTTGGAAGCGTTGGAATAAAGAGTACTTGCAATATCTACGCGAGCGGGCCGACAAATACAAACACAATAAAGGAAAAAATTATGTCCCTGAAAAGGGAGAAATTGTTCTTTTACAGGATAAATCATTGCCAAAAAATTTATGGAATTTAGCCAAAATAATTGAAACAATAAAAGGAAAAGACAATATTGTAAGAGTAGCCAAAGTTCTATGTAAAGGAAAAATATTAACTAGGGCCATAGATTTGTTGTATCCACTCGAACTTAAGGCCGAATGCGAAGAAAAAATAATTGATAAAAATCAAAAAATAGGGACTAAAATGCACGAAATGAAATTAAGGACTAGAAAAAAGATAAATTATAAAGAGAGCGATATAGAAAGTGACGTGTCAAGTGAAATAGAAATGAATCTTTGCCCATTCCTTTACGAAAGACGAAATTTCACCCCGCCAAAAATTGAAAGAATTGATCCAAATAAAAATAGAATATTTACAAATAAACAAAAATTTAATTGGGAAAAAGAAGGGCAGAGTTTAGCTAGTAAAATACAAGAGGAAATAAAAGAGATACCCGAAATTGAAAGTAAATTGGAGTCAATAACTGAAGAAATATATGGGATAAAAAATAAAATAAATTTAATTGAACCATTAAAAGAGGAAATAAATAAATTAAAATTGGAAAATAATAATTTAAAACAAGATTATGACAATTTAAAAATATTAGCGGAAAGAAACAGAAATGATATGAATAGGTTAATTGCGGATATTTATAAGTCGCCAGAAAAGATGAATACAAAATGCCAAAACTCGAAAAAACAAAATTCCCGCAAAAATTCAAAAAATAAATTCCTGAACACTTCTGTCTTTTTAATGTCTCTGGTACTAATTCTTTTTATATTAATGGGGAGAAGCGTTGGAGCACCGTGCCAAAAAGGACAAAGGAATGTTTTAGTCAAGTCGCAAACGTGCGCAACCAACGGGTTAAAAATAATGAAAGCACCCGATGGGAATTTTTGTTGGGAAATAATTAATTGTGATTATTCTAAAAAGGAACATTTTGAGTCTGAAAACTGTAATGTACCTTGTAAATGCCCACAATGGACCGAAACATGTTCCTTTTATAATGGCCCCAGTACTAAAAATTCAACAATAAAAAATAAAAATGTTCAAAAGATTTTGGAAAGTTTGGCTTTAGAAAAATGTGAGAAAATTGAAAATTGTGGGCCCCTAAAATTAATAGAAGTGAATCAAATACAATTATTTGACAATTCTCTCCATATAATAAAGGAAATGAAAATTGAAGAAAAACAAGCACTACCCGAAGAATATGAATGTATAGGAACCGGACCCATTACAGGCTCCCCTAAATATTGTTTAGACCATATCTGTGAGCTACATGGAACAAAATTTTGTTATTACCCAGGAAATGAAATTTCTCTCCTAGTAAATGATAATGGAAATATAGCTTTGAAGGCTTGGGGTCGTGTAAAAATAAAAGTTAGGGGATTTCTTGAAAGAAAAGAAAATTTAAAATGTGAAAAATGTCATGTTGAATGTCACAAAGAGGGAGTAAAAATATTTTCACAAGAAGAGATAGGAAGTGTAGAGATATGTGTAAAAAATGATCGATGCGCGCTCTTTCCCCACCCAAAATTGGAAGAATTAATTCCATTATCAAAAGAAATATTGGTTTCAAATTATGAAATTAAAATTAAATTTTGGAGATACGGAGAATTAGTAAAAGAATCTGGGATAAATTGTGAAGCTAAAGTAATTTGTGAAATTATAAAATGTAATATTTGTATAGAATTGCTTAAAAATCCACAATGTGCTTCAAAAACTGCTATAATATTGTTCGCAATAATTTTCTATATATTCTTTTCAATAATAATGACTGTTTTTCGTGTGATTGTGTTTGGATTCAGAGGGGCATTTTGCTTATTAAATTTTAAATTTCGATTAATGCGATGGATTTATAGAAAATATAATATAAAGAGTAATCGGGGCAAAAATGAGGAAAGTGAACTAAAATTAATAAAAGCCAAAAGGGAAATAAATCCGATAAAATTAACAATAGTATTAATATTTTTGACCATTCCCGAAAGTCTTCAATTAACCACTATTACCGCTCAGGAAGAAAAATGTGTTGTAAATAAAAATAAAGAGCGGACATGCTTATTTGAAAAAGTGATTGAGTTAAATTTTCTACCTAGGGAACAAGAAATCAAAATATTATTTGAGGATCACGCTAACAGACCAGCAGGAATGATAAATTTAAAAATATTAAACGCGGAAGCACGCTGCGCAAAGAAAACAAAATTTTTTACAAGAGAATATGAAATGAATGTAATGAGTGTTAAGAGATGCCCAGAAACAGGAAGTTGTAAAGGTAATAAATGCGCGGAAATTAAAGTAAATGAAACAATATTAGAATTAGAAGCAGTCCAAAACTTTCCGGGGATTACAGGTTGTGTCGAAGGTATGAATAATTGGCCAATGACAGGATGTTTCTATGCTACAGCTCCATGCACTTTTTATAGGTACTATGCAAAACCTATAGGAAACGAAATTTTTGAAGTCTTTGAATGTGAAAAGTGGGATATCGCATTAAACTTAAATGTTTCATTAACTAAAAATGACGGAAAGGGAGAATTTATAAGCGAAAGTTTTGAAGTAAATTTAATACCCCAATTTATGAAAGAATGGAATAAATTAAAAATGGTTTTAAATGATTTAAACATCCCTCCCACTCCTACACTAGTCAAACCTTTTATAGCCAATAATCGCGCTACAGCCATTATCGATTTTGAAAAAGAGCATAATCTTAGGAAATTTTATTGTAAAACAGCGCAAGAGGCGAGAGAATTTATAAAATGTAGTATAGCGTATAAAACCTGCGATTGCCATTTGGCCAACGATATAGCCGCGTGTACTTGTCAAGATGGGAGAAAAATATCCCAATTATTAAGAGGGGACCAAACTTTACCCTTTGAACACAACGGTCTCGTTTTTAAAACAAAAAACTCTGAAGTAATTTTTAATCCTGACCTAGCTTCCGCAAAAATGGAAGTTAGAATTGAAGGAATGTTTTTGCGCACAGAAATTGAATTAAATAGTTGTAAAGTCCAATCCGCGTCAATAGAAGGCTGTTACAAATGCGTTAGAGGGGCAATATTAACATTACAATGCAAAACAGATTTTGGGAAAAACCTAGGGTATATAACATGTCCTAGCTTAAAAACTGTTGTGATTTGTGATCCTAAAGGAACCAAGAGAATTATTTCAGTCCATTTAGAACATTCTAATATCGATGAAAATTGTGAAATCCATTGTCCCAGTTCAAACTTTAATTTTCAGTTAGTTGGAACATTAGCCCTGGCGAGCGCGGAGAAAGCAGATATTTGGATAAAAACAAAAACAAATGAAACAAAATTCGGAGAAATAAATTTACCGAGCATATTGGACACGCTTTCTTTCTTTTTTAACCCTCTGCACATCTTAATTTTTATTGCAACAATAATTTCCTTACTTCTACTAATCAACTGCATCCTACCAATACTCTTTCGCTTAATTCTAATTTCTGTCTACAAATTTTGTTTCCGCCGGAGTGTCGGGACTGGCCCGACTTAATGATGTTTCATAATATTATATTTTTAATATTTTTTAACAAAATTCCAATTTCTATTTTTATTATTATTTCATAATCTTTCCGATGATTCTTTTCATGTTTCTTCCCAAATAATTCATATTTTTGATATTCCAACTTAATCATACTTTTAAAACAATTCTTGTTTTCACCCTTCTTTAAAAGCAAATTCTAATGCCCCAAAAATATCTTTTTCCTCTTCACTTTTAATTTTAAGAATAAAAATCTTCCCCCAAAAAAATTATTAAAACTTTTAAACTTTGAGAATAAATATTAAAATTTTACGTCTTTTCGAATTTATTTTAAGTCGAAATTTATTAATTTCGACAACATTAGAAAAAGACATCTTACATATTATACGATATACTTTCTTCCATATCCTTGGGTTGGGGTTTTCGATTCGGGCTGGTGTTCGAGTCATTTTTTTGGGCTGGCCCGACCGAGTTTTTTTCGTGCCTCGTTTTTATCGTCGGGCATCGAGTCTTTTTCGGGCCAAAATTCAATGTCCGACTCGATCTTTTGGACCGGGCCGGATCGAACCCAAACCCTACTTAAAAGGTGAATTTAAAAGTGAGGCTCGACTGTGCAAATCAAGAGAACACTTAAATTAAAATTTTCAAACTAAACAAAAAAAAACTTTTGTTGCTGATCCTAAAGTTCATTCATAAGACACAAATTTAGTCAAATAAATATAAATTTTTTTAGACACACCATTAAATTTTACTTTATCCTCATTGATTAGAGCTTTACGTCTTTTTTTAAAACAACGCAAACTCTTGCCCAACAAGGAAACAAACAATTAAACCACTAAACTACAAATATGTTAATTTTTAGACAAAAATTACTCCTTACAAATTCCTCACAACAGAATTTGATTTTTATAAAATTATTAAAATTTAAAAACCTATTTTCATCGCCAAGTAACGGCACTGGTTGGTTTACAGAAAATCTAGAAAATTAAAAAAAAATAAAGTATCAACTGAAAATTAAAAAATAAATAAATTTTCAAATGCCCTAAATCATCCCGAATTCATAAAAAAAATTTAGTGAATTCAAAATTAATTTCAGAAAGTAAATTTAAAAAATAAAAATTGAACGGTTTCACAGCAGGATGAGTCGAGTCAAGAAAAAAGTCAGGTAGAGTTTAAAGCCGCAAAAAATGTCAGGGTTTAGGGTAACCCGACCCTTATTGTTTTATAGTTACTTGAATTAATTCCCGGAACAAAGATAACGATAACAAAGATAACGATATAGAGCTTATCTAATCCATAACCAAGCTAACAAACCAGAATACTATACTAAACCAGTCTCAAGGACTGAAACTTTGAACAGCCATAACTCGGTCCAAACCAATTTTGCAAAAGAACGGATTAGGCCACAATACTAATGTAAGTCGAGGGTCCTCTATCGAATGGTACCAAAAAATATATCAAATTCGCACTGACAGTAAACAATGTTCCCTTTTAGCAAAAAATAAAAAAAACAAAACCTTGCATTTCTCTGAAAAACAGGACCCAAAACACGGAAAAAATTTGTAGAATTAACATCAGAATTGTCAGGAATGTTTTCATCAAAGGTTGGGTCAACAGAATCGAAAGCTCTCCTTTTCTCTTCAGAAACCCCCAATTGTTCATAAGCTTTTTGGATACAGGCAAAAACAGATTCACTTCGAAGTCCATCCCCAGCATTCCCTTTGTCTGGATGATATTTAAGTACTTTTTGGCGATCTTAAATTTTAGAAAAATCAAAGTCCATGGACCAAAATATTTTAAAAAATTTGCATTCCCAAGGTTTTCGAAGGTCAATTTAAAAAAATCAATGGGTGACAGTTAATCCCAATTTCAAGCCTAAAAATTATTTTTCAAAGAATTTGGAACTTGTAATAATCAAAAACCCAACAAAATGACTAAAAACCTCAGAACACATAATTACCACTTTCTCCAAAAATAGCAAATTGTAACAAACGCTAAAAAACAAACTCATACCAGACCCTACCGAAATATGAATCCCCGATTTCGGGAAACGGGATTACCAGCCCTCGTTAAAAATTTTCAAATTTAAGGAATAGGAATGGCAGAATTCCTTCTCCCCCTCCTAATTAAAAATAAAATAAAAATACATGCAGTCCTGATTTGTGCTGCTGTTGCTTCACATCTCAGCTTCGTCAGGCCAAGTATTTTATAACTTTAAAAAATTAAAAATATAAATCAAAAAAAATTTAAAAACAAAACTGGTCTTGGTCCTTAGCGTCATTCGGATCCAATCTAGCCAGATATTTTTTGTATTTTTCAGTCTCCTCATCCATCCATTCAAAACTAGAATCTTCTGTTTCCTCTTCTATTTGGATTGGTTTTACAGCATTTTTTAAAATTGGCCAAGTTGAAAGTCCAAGAGTTAATTTGTCTTTAACTAGAGAAAATTCGTATGAAATACCAGCGGGTTCAATTTTACGCCGGCGGGAGAGAAAACCATAAATTGCTATGGCCATTTAAAATTATCTGGAAAATTTTTAAAAAGAAAAGAGTTAAAAAAGGTAGACTGGGAACTATTTTTTAATTTTTAAAAATTGTTTGCCGCCAAAAGGACTCGAACCTTCGACCTCTTTGGGAGGTCAAATTTTAAACATTTCCCACTAAACCAAAAGAACGGAATTTTTTCTAGAGAGTAATCAGTCGAATAATGAGTTTTCCGGTAAAGGAATCCTTTCTTGAGTCAAAAATAGATTTTAGTACTTCCTTTGTAGAGGTAAAATGCCCAGATCATCGGTTAAAGGGGTCGAAGGTTCGAGTCCGCTTGGCGGTAAATAATTTTTTTGAGAAGAAAATGGGTTAAAAACAAATAAAAAAGTATCAATCAGTATTGAAACCGATATTATTGAAAAATTATTTTAACGAAAAAAGCCAAAAATTTAATCTAAAATTAAAAAGATTGAAATTTTTACACAAAAAAAAACCTCTAAAATTCAAGATTTTTTCTTTTATTTCTTTTCTTCAGCAATTCTTTTTCCAGAATTCTTCGACATTGAATTATTAATATTTTCTCGTTTTAATGGTTTATTTGACTCTTTACCATCTCTACATTGCGGACAATACCATTTTCCTTTTGGAGACGTTGTTAAGCCAACACAAGGGAAATGGAACCATTCAATTAAACAATTCTTGTTGTCACAACAAACCATGCTTCCAAATGAAACCTGAAGAATAAAAGAAAAAATACTGGTACGCAGAAAGACAGGGAGGAACCGGGGCAGAAGAGGGAAAGCAGAGCAAAAATACCTCACCTAAAGGTACAATTTTCTTCTCATTGTCAATTAAGTAGCCGGGGGGGGGGGGCTGAAGCCCCCTACGCCCTTGCTAATAAGTAAGGTCCTGCATGTTTTAATAAGAAATAAAATATACCTGTTGGCAAATACAATATCTTGGCTCATTTGGATCAACAGGCATATCACAATGTCCAGGCATTATGAGTGGTGTTTGACTAGCAGTGACAACTAAAGAAACATCGGAGATATCTTCAGTGACTAATAAAAAAAATTTATGATAACAAATATTAAAAAAGAACAAACCTGTAGTATCCGTACGTTTGCGCTTTTTGGGAGCAGAACTTGTACCTCTTGCTTTCCTCGAAGTAGTTGAGACTGGTGAAAGTGGAGTGACAAGTTTGGAATTTTTGTTTGATTGTTGAAGATCTTCTAAAAATTTGTATAGAATAAGTAGGTTAGAGGAAAAGATTTTTTTGGAATTCTATTAGGAAGTACAAAAGTTTAATCTGGACCAGAACAAAGGGGAGCTACAAAAATTGTACACAAAATGCAAAAAATGGGTCAATGAGACAAACACAGTAGCGAATGTCTGTGACTTGACTTTTAGTCTACTGCCGGTTTCGAAGGCAAAAAATGGATCATTAAAACAAAAAACAGCAGCGAATGTCTGTGACTTGACTTTTACACTTATGTTAGTCTACTGCCATTTTCGGTCTGGACGTACGAGTCATTTCCGGAAAAAGTTCATTAAAAAGAATGATCCCCACTCCCCTCTCCAAAAAATTTTCCTAATGAAGTGTCAGACGGGCTAAATCCCTAGTCTAGGGGTCCCCCACAATTATACGTATACATTAAAAAACCTTTTTTAAAGACATTTCTTGAAGTTGACGGAGTCTGTTTCTTCCCCTTTTCCTCAATTTCATTGAACTGTTGCTGCTGCTTTTGAGCCAAAAGTGTGTTAAACTTCGAAGTGTCAGAATCCAGTTTTTGAATAAAACTATCGACCAATTCGTAGGTTTCCGAGGCAATAGAAATCTTTTTGTCACAGAAACTTCTGGCTCTGAAAAATTTCCAAGTTAGTTTTGTTCACTTTAGTTAAGTGGGAAAACGTTTAAATTCAACGTCCAAAGGGTATAAGGTTCGAGTCCTTTTGGTGGTGAACAATTTTATTTCGACGAAAAAGTATTTAAAAACGTATTAGAAATTGACAAGATTTGCGGACAAAGATTTGCGGACAAACCTCCTCAGATATCGCCAAATTCGACCCAAAATCATTGTCTTAAGATCAACGTCTAAAGGGTATAAGGTTCGAGCACCTTTGGAGGTAAGTAATTTTATTTCGACGAAAAAGAGACAAAAGCATATTAGAAATTGAAAATTAGAAGTGATCCGGATTTGCGGAGAAATATTTGCGGACAATCCCCCTTATGTTAGATATCCCCAAATTCGACCCAAAAGGTTTAAAAACTTTAACTTACTGTGCAAAACACTCTTCAATCTCTTCGTAATTTCGCCGTTGTTCTTGACGATTCAACTTATTCCAGGAACAAACCAACTTCATTATTTTCTTCTTTGCTTCTTGTTCTTTAAGTTTGTATTTAATGTCCAAATGTCTAATTGACAGCATATTAGAATCCATTTTCTGTTGAACTGGTCGGGCATTTTTTAAGCATTTTTCATACAAGTCGGATGCCATAATGAAAATTCTGAAAAGGAAAAGGCTTAAAAACTTGAAAAAATCAAGAAAACTTAAGTTCAAGCTTAAAGCAGGGATGAGACTCTAAAATTACACTTTTTCTTAAGTTCTCTAACCGTCTCTCATTTCTAACATACTCTCTCGCACATTTTTTCTTTTACTCAAACAGCAAAAAATAAAAATGGGTACGGCCCACTTAGTCGCGCGGCCACTTAGTCGCAGAGCTACAACTTCCTTCAAGTTTTCCGAATCTTACCAAATTTAGTATTAAACGATTCCTCTCATCGAGCTAAAGAGATTGGTACCAAAATTACTAAGGGCCAGAAATTTTTTAGCAAGTTATGGCTCTGCGACTAAGTGGCCGCGCGACTAAGTGGGCGTGTCCCAATAAAAATATAATGCCAAATCTCTGCCAAAAGTCGCAATTCGAAAATCTGAGGAAAATTTTTTTCCTAATTTTCTTATTTCTTATTTTTCATTTAATTTTGTTTTAGAGTTTTTCCCATTTTTTTCTAGAGTTTTCCTTTTATTTTTTTCCAATAACCTTTTCAGTTGTTCTTTGTATTAATCAATTTATTGATTTATTTGTACAATGACTGAGGAAGACTTCGATAAGCAACTTAGAAAGGTTTAACCCCTGACACAACCCCCTTCTAAATTTATTTATTATTAGGCTTTCCAAGAACTACAATCCCAAATTCTAGAAAGTAGGGAGAAACAGAAGAATGCCGACGTTACAAAAGCTGCGATGAAACAAGTTTCCTTCCTAATTTTCTTAAATTTTTAAAAATATTTTTCAGAACATAAGAGTGGCAGAGATTGTCAAGTCACAATTGGAACACCTCCCTAAAGATGAGGATCGTGCTCTTTATTGGATTGTTGGTCGTGCGTTCTTACAAGAGACAACGACTTCAGGTTTGCGTTTTAAGTTTAAGGGGAACAAGTTGTGCTTGGAAAGCGGTTTAGTCCGCAACTAGTTTTGCGTTAGTCCGCAAGTTGTTTTTTAGTCCGCAATTAGATTGCGATAGTCCGCAAGTGGAGTCACCGCGTCGATCTCTGAGTCACCGCGTCGACTTCTCTCTGAGTCACCGCGTCGATCCCTGACAGTTTTACACAAATTGACGCTTACTAGCTTATGCCCAGTTTTGGCTCTGCTGTAGACTAGTAATCTTTTGCTGTCCTTTAGCTTTTTGAAGGTATTTGGTTCTGGAAAGAGGCCCATTTCCTTTGTGGTTTTTGAACATCTTTATTTAATTTTTTATTCAATTTGAATTTAATGTTTTGTCTTTAAGAGATTCAACGCCAGAATGCTGACATCAAACTGTGCAACGAGCGTATAACTTTAATGGATAGGCAGAAGGACTACTTGGCCAAAAGCATTGCCGATTCTGAGAAGAACTTGCGTGAGCTCATTCAGACGAGATGTTGAGAAGATTTCGAGTAGGAATGCAGTTGAAACAGTTTTCATTTTTTGGTTTTTTTGTTTTAATTTATATTCGTTTTTTGTTTGGTACAAGATACGCCTTATGTATCTTTCTTTACTTTTGAATTATCTCAGCAAGTGTCTACAAGTTCATTATAAACAGAAATTTAAACCGTTTTTCGGTCAGCTTGGAGTTGGGTTCGAACCCTCTTAATACGATAATTATTCTGATCCTATTGTTTTAAATTCTTTGTATTACTAAATTCCAGACAAAACTTGTGGGCATTTGTTACATCTTTTGGTAATAGTGCTGTTTCTGTTCGCCATTCTTTACTATTCCTCTTGATCTGAAAAATTTATTTTGTATACATTTTAAAATAAGTTTTTAAGTTATTATCTGCTTGTCTTGTTATTTCAATATTGAATATTTTTAGATGTTGTTTATATTAATTTTTGTTTTAATGATACAGATAACTGACCATTCCTGCTAAAATAATGTGTTTCAAATTGGGTCATTTGACACTTACTTTGGCTAATCGTCGTGTTGGTTATTCTCGTATTTTTTTGAATGGTAAGTTTTTTTTAATTTTGGATCTTAGGATACCTTAGGTTGTTTTTTATTTATTTCCCTACCCCTTTCCCAGTAAAATTTTTCTACATTTCTGGGAAATATTTTGCCAATGTTTCTCGTACTTTATTTTTTAATTTTTTCTAAATTATAGGGCGAATCCCTGCTTCACGTATTGACTTTACTAAAATGTTTTCTCAGAAAACTGATAATGTGCAAGAGGTTGTTTTAATGTTTTTGTTCGTATTATGTTATGAATTTAGAAACTGATGGTTAGTTATGACGTCAAAGACTTATTTGACAATGTTACGAAGCGTTTTGATAAATTTGATGATAAGGTTGATAAGCTAAAGGTTTTATATATATTTTTGAATTTATTGATTTTTACATTAGGACCTCGTTAACCAAGTTGACAAACAGTTGGTTGAACTTCGTGGGGATGTCAAGAAGGATCTGACTGAACTTCGTGGGGATGTCAAGAAGGATCTGACTGAACTTCGTGGGGATGTCAAGAAGGATCTGACTGAACTTCGTGGGGATGTCAAGAAGGATCTGACTGAACTTCGTGGGGATGTCAAGAAGGATCTGACTGAAATTCGTGGAGATGTTAAGAACATTTACATTATTGTGGCAATTTCTTTGAGTGTAATCTGTGCTGCGATAATTAATTCGTGGATTAGATCGCTTTCTGACAGGTTTTTCTTTGTATATAATTTTAAATCTATTATTTTATTCACTCTAGTGCAAAGGCTGGTAGAAGTGATACACCAATTACAACTTCTGATTCTTCTTCTAGTGTAGGTTACAAGAAAGGCACCGGTTTTGTTATGAAGGCTTTCAATGATGACTTATTTGATTCTCTCTATTTTCTTTTTTAAAAACTGGCAGCGTTAATATTGCTTCGGTTAGGTTCCAGTTTTTTTTGTTTTGACTTGTCTCATACCTCTTTGACTTTGGTATTTGTAGGATATCTAAAATATTTTCGCTTTCAAAAAACACATCCTTCCTTTTCTTGATTTGGTTTAGCCACTAAAAACCAAATCACTAAAAATAGCCACTAAAAATACTTTTACCTACAAATGCCTTTACTTATTTTTGAGATATTTATTTTCCATAGTCTCAAAAGCCTTATTATGTCTATTGCTCATTTGACTTAATACGTGTAACCCAGACTTAAAAAATATTTATTTTTTATTCTAGATACTTGTGTAGTATTCCTAGGGTCTTATTTTGGTAATTGATAAATCTCCTACTTTTGCCGTTTTAGAATAGATGCTTAGTGGCGTCTTTTTTTAGAGTTGTTGGCATTTAAAACTCTTACTTAGGCTTGGATGTAGGTCTACAGCGATTTTAAGCTCCCTTTGTAAGCCACTCTATAATTCTGAGCTGTTAGTTGAGCTAGTCAATTGTTTCCTATTTGAGTGCGAGAAAATATTTAATAATGAGGTGGTTCATCATCTGTCCGCAAACATTGTCCGCAACTAGGTTTACTACACAAGTATCAGTTTTTAACTTTCTTTCGCAAAATAACAGGTATTGATTCGGTATTTATCCTTTATGTCACACCCCCTGTTTCTTACTTTTATTAAACCTTGGACCTTTTTGGCTAAAACTTTCGGCACCATGGACCATTTTTAATGAACTGATGGTTCAGACTAATTAGTGTAATTAGAGGGGAGGGGTTAAATCGATGGCCCCGCTGTCCCTTGCGACTGGTAACTGTTGAATTCTTGGGTCAGTTGAGCGCTAGGGAGTTGACTTTAGGAAGTTGAGATTCAGAGTTGATCTTGTACGAAGTAAGGGGTTGACATAAAGTAAAGTACCGTTTATTTACATATAGACCTCAGGGATGGGTCGGGTCAACCGAAACCCTGACTTTTTTCAACCCCAAGGCCCGAAAAAATTTTTGAAACTCGTCCCGAACCCCGACCCAACTTTTTTCTCAACCCGATCCATCCCTGATATATACTACAGACATTTTTTTAATTAATTAATAAAACTAATTTATAATTTGAAATAAATTTTTCTTAAATTTTTTATACATTTTTAAATAAGTTTTTAAGTTTCTGCTTGTCATGTTATTTTAATATTGAATATTTTTAGATGTTGTTTATATTAATTTTTGTTATAATGATACAGATAACTGACCATTCCTGCTGAAAATGTGTTTCAAATTGGGTCATTTGACACTTACTTTGGCTAATCGTGGTTCTGGTTACTCTCGTATTTTTTTGATTCGTAAGATTTTTTTAATTTTGGATCTTAGGATACCTTAGATTATTTTTTGATTTATTTCCCAACCCCCCTCCCAGTAAAATGTTTTTTTACATTTATGGGAAATATTTTACGAATATTTCTCATACTTTTGTTTTTTTTAATTCTTTCTAAATTATAGGGCGAATGCCAGCTTCTCGTATTGACTTTACTAAAATGTTTTCTCAGAAAACGGATAATGTGCAAGAGGTTGTTTTAATGTTTTTGTTCGTATTATGTTATGAATTTAGAAACTGATGGTTAGTTATGACATCAAAGACCTTTTTGATAACGTTACGAAGCGTTTTGATAAATTTGATGATAAGGTTGATAAGTTAAAGGTTTTTATATATTTTCTGAATTTATTGATATTTTTACATTAGGACCTCGTTAACCAAGTTGACAAGCAGTTGGTTGAACTTCGTGGGGATGTCAAGAAGGATCTGACTGAACTTCGTGGGGATGTTAAGAAGGATCTAGCTGAAATTCGTGGAGATGTTAGGAACATTTACATTATTGTGGCAATTTCCTTGAGTGTAATCTGTGCTGCGATAATAAATTCGTGGGTTAGATCGCTTTCTGACAGGTTTTTCTTTTTATATAATTTTAAATCTATTATCTTATTCACTCTAGTTCTAAAAGTGAGAAAGGTTCAACTTCTACTCATGATGGTTATAGTAAAGGATCCGGATTTGTTTTGAAGGCTTTCAATGATGACAAATTTCTTGATCTACTCTGCAATCTAGATTGATGATCTTTCTTTTTTAATCGTTGAAACGTCATATTGATTTGGTTAGATTTTGAAGGTTTCATTTTTTTGACTTGTCTCATACCTCTTTGACTTTGGTATTTGTAGGGTATCTAAAATATTTTCGCTTTCAAAAAACACATCCTTCATTTTCGATTTGGTTTAGCCACTAAAAATACTTTTACCTACAAATGCCTTTACTTATTTTTGAGATATTTATTTTCCATAGTCTCAAAAGCCTTATTATGTCTTTTGCTCATTTGACTTAATACGTGTAACCCAGACTTAAAAAATATTTATTTTTTATTCTAGATACTTGTGTAGTATTCCTAGGGTCTTATTTTGGTAATTGATAAATCTCCTACTTTTGCCGTTTTAGAATAGATGCTTAGTGGCGTCTTTTTTGAGGGTTGCTGGCATTTAAAACTCTTAGGATTGGATGTAAAAACTTGTAAGTTTTAAACTCCCTTTGTAAGACACTCTATAATTCTGAGTTGTTAGTTGAGCTATATTTGAGTTCGAGAAATTAATTATTTAATAATGAGGTGGTTTATCATCTGTCCGCAAACATTGTCCGCAACTAGGTTTACTACACAAGTATCAGTTTTTTAATTTTCTTTTGCAAAATAACAGGTATTGATTCGGTATTTATCCTTTATGTCACACCCCATGTTTCTTACTTTTATTAAACCCTGGACCTTTGGCTAAAACTTTTGGTACCATGGACCATTTAGTTAATGAACTTTGCGACGGTGTGGTTCAGACTAATTAGTGTAATTAGAGGGGAGGGGTAAATCGATGGCCCCGCTTACCCCGCGACTGGGGTAACTGTTGAACTCTAGGGCCAGTTGAGCGCTAGGGAGTTGACTTTAGAAAGCTGAGATTCAGAGTTGATCTTGTACGTAGTGAGGGTTGACATAAAGGAAAGTACCGTTTATTTACATATAGACCCCAGGGATGGGTCGGGTTAACCGAAACCCTGACTTTTTTCGACTTTTTTTCGACCGATCCGAAGAAAATTTAAAAACCCGATCCGACCCCCGACCCAACTTTTTTCTCAACCCGATCCATCCCTGATATATACTACAGACATTTTTTTAATTAATTAATAAAACTAATTTATAATTTGAAATAAATTTTTAATAAATTTTTAATGTAATTTATTAAATATTTCAAAAATGTTTATAATCATTTTAAATATTTATAAAAATTAAGAAAGACCAAGTAAAGGTTTGAACTTGCAAAATCCAAAAATTAAATTGCGTCGATTTATTTTTAGTTTTTACATTTATTGGGCCAATTCTTAAGTAAAAAATTTTTTCCCATTATTGGCATAATGCCAGTATAATTTTATAGATAAGGTAAAAATAGGAGGGTAAAAATTGAACTGATATTCTATATGCCGAAATTTAACATTTTTTTGTCCTAACGATTTCAATAGATCAGAAAGAAATGTCAGATACCGACGATGCATTACTGCGTTAATTTTTTGTTATCCATAGTTTAGTTGATTTGCTTTTGGTTTGTAGTACTAATAGGTCTAGGGTTCGAACCCACTGGTTGAAATTTAATTTTATTTTTGAGTGAAAAATTATTTTTAGTACAAAAAATGTAAAAATCAACATATATACGTTAATTTAAAATTTTATTTAGGGTCTTATATCACTTAAAATTATTTTAAAAATGAATAATGAAGAAGATGGTCAACTCACTTCGCGTTACAGTTATCAGGATTTTTTGGAATTACTTTCAACCTATGAGGGTGAGGTACAAGCTAGAGATGTTATAATTGATTGTCTTCTCAAAAAACAACAGGTTTTAATTTTTATTAGCTTTTCTATAATTTTGGGGATACATGGTCCTTGACGGTTTGAAGTCTTTGTCATTTTTTGGCTTCTCAATTTTGAAAATTTATAAGTTTTCGATGGGTGCTATTCTGCTCAAACTGGAGCAGAAGTCATAAATGTTTGAAGTTTTCAACTGTCAAAATTCCTAGATTTAGTCTTTAATTTAATAAATGCTGGAATCTTGTTTGCTTAAGGGACTTGAATAAGTTCATTAGTGCGCGGCCCCGGACCGAATTTCTCCGAAGTCTAGGCCATAATCTGGGGTTTTCAACGATCTCCGGACTATTTCCTGGTCGGATTAACTCAGAAAGCTTTGCCGTGTCCATCCCCTCCGCATGAGCGCGAGAATCCTATTCTTGACATGAATAAGCAATTTTGCCGTAGATTAATTTCATCCTTCAAGTCGACCAAACTTTTTGACTTTAATTCAAAAAAATTTTTTCAGTTAACTTCTACTCACAATCTTCCTTCAAATTCAACAGCAAATGCATTAGAATCCTTAGTTAGAGATTCAACATATATAGATTCTTCTAGTCTACAATCAGTCAATCGTTGTTGTTCTTCTTGTAGCAATAATCTTTTGTCTACTGCAAAATTTCTTCTTTCACAAAGAGAGGCTGATATTAAAATTGAAAAGGTTTGGAAAAATTTTACGAGTTATTTTGTTGAGTGGAGTTTACTCGGAGTATATCTTAAAAATATCTGCCCCGTCCCCTTATCGACAGTGGAGAACAGGGGAGATATGGAATCTTCTCCCTCTTTTGGTGCTTCCTCCATAATTTTTTTAGACAGTCACACTGTTGGGGGCAATAAAGTTTTTGACTAGGAATTTTTATGAATATCAAATAGTGAATTTGTGTCCTAAGAATTGACTGCCCATCGCTCAGGACGCGACAAAATACCCACTTTACTCGAATAATCTCGGAAAACGGAATGTCCAACTGAACTAGATTGGGATCACCGATCCTTTATATATTATATGGAGTGATTTGTTTTTATTTTTAGTGCCTAAACTTATTAACACAACGTCATTCAAAATATATGGAAGAATTGGCGGAAAAGCATAAACATATTCTTGGCATTGCTAAAGGCGAGGATGGTTATATTAAAGAATTGGAACTTGAAAGGGATCAGCTTTTTGAACAGGTTTTTAATTTTTGGGTGATTATGAATTTTTTTGAGATTTTATTCTCTTTTTGGCTAAATATTTGGTGGTTTTCGGATTATTTTCAAACATTTTTGTACCAAAAATTCAAAATCGGAAGAATAATAGGCTCTTGTCTAGTTGTAAGCCTCTTTTGTTCAGACTAACTGGCCATAGCAGGGATTCTAGCAGACAAAAAAAACAAATTTGCAATTTCGGGAAGACATAACATTTTAATTTCCAATTTCGGATCGGAATCGCTACCCAAAAATCAGAAATTTCCGATTTTCAGGAAGGGTCGGCAAAAATCTATAGGAAAAAATCTTACAAACCCAAATTTTGAAAATTAATGGACATACAATACTCAACATTGTGAGAGACATAGATTCTCGTAGATCCAGACATAGATCCCATGTCACGACACATAAACTGGACATGGGCCTAAAAAATTGACGCTTTCTCTGTTTATATTTTCTTTTTCGTTTTCAGCTTAAAAATCGTCAAGATGATTTTAGCGAATTGGAAGAAGAAAAGACAAAAATTGAACAAAAATATTTGGAAGAAAGAGAACGTGAAAAACTTTTGGTTCTTTTCTTGTTAGAAGAACGAGGAAAATTGCTAAAAGAGATTGGAGAACTTAAAGCTGTTAGTAAAACGTCAACAGGTTTTTATTAAAGTTAAAAATTGATTATATGTTGTCTGTGGTGTATTCGGATAGTTTTTTTGTTTTCGTAACTGAGGGGTGTTAAAGGTTCGAGTCCTTTTGGTGGACACGATTAAACGAAAAATTTTCCCTTATTCTTTTTCCATTCAAGAACGAGTATATTCGCTCAAAAATTTTATCGATTGGTTTTAAGATCCTCTGCGGTTTAGTTGGATATTTCTTTGTTTTCGAACATAGGGAGTTGAAGGTTCGAGTCCTGTTAGTGGACATCAATTTTAATTTTGGGACATCAATTTTAATTTAATTTTACCGTTCATTTTTAGAAAAAAATTTTTTGAAGTTTCAGCCCCCTCAGAATCTTCATGTACAACTTCCTCAAACGATTCCAATTTAAAATTATTATACGCAAATTTGGAAGAAGAAAACAAACAATTACACAAATCATTAAGACATGTTCACTCTGAAAAATCGATTCTACAAAAAAGATTGGATTTTTTGTTGAGAGATTTGCAACAAAATGAGTTTCAACGTCAATTTCATTTTCTTCAGGTTTTTTTTTTGCTTAAGAAATTTCTCGGAATTTTTGAAAAAATTATTTTTTTGGTAATTTAAAGTTTATGTTTCTACCTATTTTCTTTATCCCCAGTTTTCTTTATTATTCTTTTTTGAGTGTTTATTAATTTAAAAACAGGACCCACAGGGTTGATTAATTTCTGACTTTACTATAGTTGGAGTTTAGCACCAAACTTATAATTAGAGCCCGGAATTTCGTATCTGTCGGTATTTCGTACCGTACTACCGATACGGAATACCGAAGAATACGGCCGTAGTACGGTACGGTCCGGTTCATTTCTGACTTTAAATGAACCGGACCGGTTCATTTCTGAGCTTTATGCTCTCCACTAGGGACACTAAAATGTGAAAACACAAAGTCTAAAATAGCCACAACAAAAATTCGAAAAAATTAAAAAAGATTTTTTCTAATTGAAATTTAAAAAAATTCATTTTTTCAGCCTAGAACAGGTTCCATATCAGAAAAAGAAATGATTATAATTGGAACGCCCACAAATAATTTTAACAACAACACAATGCCTCCCCCATTTCCAACAGACAAAAATAGTCGAATTATTTCTAATAACAAAATTAAAAATTCTTCAAGTTTTCCACAAACATTAGATAATTTTCAACAACAATTAAATAAAAAACCTCCAATAGAACGAAAACAATCCACAAAAACTTCACATTTTGACCCTCAAAATAAAGTGTCGACGAATTGTCATTTTTCTACAAGTTCGTCAGTTGTCCCCCAAAGTGTCGGTAATTCAACAACAACAATGTTGGTTAATACAAGAAAAACATCCCAACAACAACAACAACCTAAAACAAATGTTTTTAATAATTTAAACAACAATAATTTTCAACAACAGCAGCAACAACATTATTATAGAAATATAAATGTTGGTGGTGGTGGGGGAACATTTGAACAAATGAAAAAATATCAACAACAACCACAAACAGGTTTTGTTAAATTTTTTTTTGGTTTTATTATTTTTTTGGAAATTATTTTTTTAAATTATTTTTGAAATTATTTTTTTTCGATACCTTTTTTGGGTGTTTTATCCGGAAGGGATGGACTGTCATGAGTTGAAAAACAAAAGTAGGGTTATAAGGTTTTTTAAAATTTTCTTGAGGAAAGTTTCGGCAAGAAAAAAGTCTTGAGGACTATCGAGGTCTTTAGAAAATATTTTCTAGGCATGGGATTTACAAGGAACTATACCAAACTGTCAGGAAAAATTTTTTTTCGAAAATTATACCGTCGTGTATGATCGATAACCTATTGCCAATTTTTTGGCCCTTCCCCCATTTCGAAAAGTTATAGGGGTTCAAAGTTTTAGAATTTTGGAGCGGTCGAGTACCCTCATTTTTTCTATTAAAGAGAAATTTTCTCCTCTTTAAGAGAAAAATAAGATCGCTCATTCGGTATTGGTGAAAGAAAATATTTAGTAACAAATACAGGGAGGCCGCAGGGTTAATGCCTGATTGAGGCTAAACTTGACCTCTCTCTCTTAATTTTTTTCTAGTTATATGTCGTCGAAGTACTTCACTTCCTCGCCGTATAATTAGCGCTGCACAACAAAATTCACCAATTTCAACAAAACATTTACTCCTTCCCCATAATTCCGTTGAACACCAACAACGTAATGATTTTTATCAAAAACCGCCACTTATGGGAACAACAAATTATGCAAATAATAATAAAAATATGTGATTTTTTAAAATTAATTTTAGAGAAGAGGATCTCCTAAAAAATATTTTTAAAAAAAAATATTTTTAAAAAAAAATATTTTTTAGGGGAAAAAAATATTTTTTAGGGGATTTAAAAAAATTTTTTAATTTTTATATTTAAATTAGTTCCCCCCTCGGCTTATTTTCCTTCCCAAAATATTTTTTTATTTTTTTCATAATACCTTATTTAACAGGTACAGCCCAAGTAGGCGCGCGGCCATAACGGCGCAAATAATTTGCTGGAAAATTTCCGACTCTTATCAATTTTGGTACTGATCTCCTTAAGCTCGATGAGAGGAATCGTTTAATACTAAATTTTGAAAGCTTTGTTAATTTTGAAGCAAGTTATGTGGATTTGCGCCGTTATGACCTCGCGCCTACTTGAGCGTGTCCACTATTTAATTTTTTTAATAGGCTAGTTTAATTTTTCATTTTTTTTTCTTGTTGACTAGGATTTTTTTTTATTATTTTTTTATTTTTCCGGTCACTAACTTGAATGTTGTTCTTTTTACAAAATTTTTTTAAATTTAAATTAGCAGCCCTGACAATATTTTTTTGGGCAAAATTTTGTCACCAAGAAAGTCACGAATCCATCCGGACTATCCGGAAACTCCGGGAAAACCCCTAAAACTCCAAAAAGCCTTACTTGACTAACCCTAAAATTCCCAACATGTCCGCCCTTGGAAGGTCAGAGTTGCTACCCATCCTAACCTTTTTTTAATTGTTTTGAGTGCCTTTTACCGTTCACTCTCTATTTGTTAGATATGTAGGATTAGAAAGAAAAAACAAAATTTTACCAATAAATAATTTTTAAAGAATGCCTAGCCTCCCAAAAATTACTTATTCTTCATTATTCACTAATTTGTTTATTTTTTAGTCACGAGAAGAACGATTGATTTCTCCAATAATTTCTTTAAAAATTGGGGTTGAATTTTAACTTTAGGTAAATTTTAATTGTCATCTCCATACTTTCCGTACCTCCTCCTTTTTCTTCCTTTTAATCCTAAATCGAACCGAAGACCTTACAAGTCCAATCTTATAAGATTCTGCGGAAAAGGGGAAAAATAACCAAAAAAAGGGGAAAGATAATTTTGGTTATCTTGTTTCCGGAAAGATAACCAAAAAAATCTTTAATGGTTGGACAGAAAAAAATTGGGATTAAGGAGGAAGGAAAAGATGTGGGGGAAAATATGGAGAGATGATCGAATATTATCTCCACTTGATTTTAAAGTGGTAAATAACCATTAACCCTTCAATTTAAAAAAGATCAATTGTTCTCCAAAATTTCATAAAAATAATTTAAAAAATAAAACAACCCAAAAAAATCTTTTTTTGTTTTCTTCAAATAGATTTCCTCCGTTCTACCTCGTCTACAATTTCTGCCACATTTAAATTAGTAGGAGGAGGAATCTCTTCTTCTTTATCATCCCCTTCATCTCCTTCTTTTTGTTGTTCTTTTCCTTTTATTCCAAATATTCTTTTTAACATACTTTTAACGTTCCATAATTTTGGAATTAAAGATTCGTTTTTCTTAAAGTTATATTAAAAAAATTACTTTAAAAATTAAAAAAAACCTTCAATTTGTGAACATTTCTTAAAGATTCACTCCATAATGGATATATTTTATCCAAAATTGGACAATAAGAATGATGCTCCTCCATTGGGTTAAGAGGTAATTTCTGTGAAAAGACGCAACATTTTAAATCTCGACCGCATAAATGACAGGAAAATTGAATTCCTTCGTTGTTTCTAAAAAAGGGGAAAATTGATAAGAATTTTTGGTAGAGAAATTTTGGAATAGAAAAATTTTCCTAAAGGTGACGGGATGGAAAACCAACAGAACAACCCGAGTACTGCACGAAACGGGATCCTAAAGAGATTTTCCAGCTTCCGTTCCGAAATCTCAGGAGTTTTAACAACAGACGGGAATTAACAGGACTTTCGGAATTAATCCCAAGTGATCCTGTACCGTTCAACTTTTTGAAAAAGACTCCTGGGCTTGATCTTGGGGAAAAATTGTTATCTTGGGGAAAAATTGAAAAGAGTTTTTGGTAAAAGAATCAAGTCCAGGATCCCTTTTTCAAAAAATTGAACGGTACAGGATCCCACGGGATTAATTCCGAAACTGCTCTCTAGCTAATAACGAGTCGAGAAGGAAAACCCTAGACTAAAACCCCCTAAACTCAATACCCAGCATCAAGTCCAAAATCAATGTGAAAGCTCACAATTACTTAAATTTAATCCAAAAATTAATTAAAAAAAATAAAAAATACTTTTCAGCAGGTAACCATCCAAAAATTGCCATTTGAAGAAAAAATTGATTAACATTTCCAAATTTTTTCAAACTTTCCTCGTCATCAAAAGCTTTAACAAAATCAACTTCTGGAAGATTAGATTCAGCCAAAACTTTGTATCGTTCAATTACATCGTATGGATTGGAAATTGAAAGACCACCGTTTGTTCTCCATGGACATATAACTGTGTGGGCTTCTACAAGTCTTCGTTGAATATACCTGAAGAGGAAAAATTTAAAACTACATCGATCTGGGACAAGGTTAAGGCCTGGATTTTTCCTGGACTCCTAACTCAGGATAAGGGTCTAAGAAACGAATCAAGCCCAGAGGGCAGACTAAGGATGGGCTCTTTTCCGCTTTTAGTAGAATTCCGCCTCTTTTGACTCTTCCGCTTCCACATTCCGTCTGTTGTTTTTTAGTTTGTTCCGTATTCCTGGCCCAGGCTCAAACTTTTTTAAAAATCTAAATTAGACCAGAGGAGATCAGAAAGAAAAATTCCGCAAGATTCGGACCATCACGCTTACAAAATTAAAAAACAAACCAAATACACCGATTAAATACTCGATTTGTAATATCCTCACCAACAGGCATTTTAACGCATAAAATCTTTTCACAATCATCACATTGAAGAAAATCGTCTCTAATATTTTTCCAACCATGTCTAGCACATTCTACCGGGGATACTTCTTTTGACAATAAAATTCGACTTTTGAGCTGAAAAAAGGGGAGAGAGAGGGTGATTTTGATAGTGCCAGGTTAAATCACGGTCCAGACAAAATACCGTCAGACGGTATTTTGTCGGACCATGTTTTGCCCCCCCCCCCCCCTTATATAATAAATTTAACTAACATCGAAAGTTGCAAGTCTTTGACGATATTTCTCCCAACGTTCACCACCATAATCCAAAAATTCAATATTTCCGTCATCGTTTTTAACGTTCGCAGCTTCATTTTCTACCAAAAATTCTGATATTGAACGACGCAAATTTTTGACGAGTACAGGGCATTCTAACTCTGTATCGGCTTTACGCTTAAGCATGATGCTAAATTTGAAAAAAATTTTTTAATTGAAAAAACAAGAAAAAAAGACAATAGAAATCGATATGTCAATTTAAAAAATTAAATTTAAAGTTAACATTACGCCATATTTTTCTTTTCCTTTATTTGTGTATGCCCAATTTTTGCCAATACATATTTTGCCAATGAGGCTAAAAAATCTCGTTTTGCCAACCATGTTAGTGACAAAAAGTAGGTTTTTAGCCTTATTGGCGAAATGTCCTATCGGCAATATAGCGCAGCACTAATGTGTGTTTAGAGAAAGAAAAGGTTAGAGAAACATTAAATTAGCTATAAATAGAGAAAGAAAAAATTGGAGAAAGTGTACTCTATTTCTCTATTTTTCCCAATATTTCTTAACTGATTTTTTTTCTGTCAACTTTCAAAATGTCAACTAAATTAAATATTTCAAAACATCACACAGTGTAAATTACTACAAAATTTATTGTCAAGGAGAGAGGTATTTAAAAGGCAGTCCTCATTTTCTCTATCTATTCTCGATAATTTTGTTTAGTCACTTTACAATTTTTTAAGTGTATAGGTTGGTGTCAATTTTATTTCTAAATTTGGTTGGGTTTAGTAAACAGGAAATTTTTTTAAAGTTTTGGGGATGGATTCTGGGGTTGGTTTATTGAACTTGGCCATATTCTGAGATGATTTTGAGGGTTCAGGAATAATCCCAGTCGCAAGGGAAACTTCCAGAAAGCTTAAAAAAGGTTGGCGACTAGGAACAGATAAAGGCAATCCCGGAGAATTGGGGTCCCTGCGAAAAAAAAGTTTAAAAATTAGAAAAAGGATTTTTCTAGGATGAAAAAATATGCTGATTATGAATCCGAGCTCAGATTTTGAAAAAGTCGAATCCCGAACCCGAACCAAATTTCGAACCCTGAACCCGAATTTCGAATATGCAAATGATAGCTCGTTCGAAAGAGCTCGTCGAGCTGCATCGAATGACACCAAAATCAACGTGATTTGAAAAGTTTAGACGAAGTTATGACATAAAGTATACCTATGAGAGTACTGTAGGAGTCAGCGACTTATGTCATAACTTTGTCAAAACTTGATCAATCACTGTAATTTTGGCGTCATTCGATTCAGCTCGACGAGCTCTTTCGAATGAGCTATCATTTGTAAAAACTTTTTTTTACTCCAAAAAATCACCCCTTTGGTTTTTCAATATTTAGGGGTCTGTATCTCGGTTCAATCCGGTCGGATTTCATTGATTTTGGTGTCATTTGATGCAGCTCGATGAGTTCTATGATTCTATTGAAAGACTGGCCATTTTGTACAATGTCTGATATGTTAGGAGTCAAAAATCCTGTTCGGGATCAAAAGTCCAAATTCGGGTTCGGGATTCGACTTTTTCAAAATCTGAGCTCGGATTCATAATCAGCATATTTTTTCATCCTAGAAAAATCCTTTTTCTAATTTTTAAACTTTTTTTTCGCAGGGACCCCAATTCTCCGGGATTGCCCAGATAAAGCCTTAGAGGACCTGGTTCACAAGGGAACCTTCCTAACTTTGACCAAAAAATTTTTCATCATGGTCGACATCCTATTCCCATACCTGACTTTTCTTCCCCTGACCCCCATTTCGAAAAAACTCCATTTCGAATTGCCTATCCAGTTTGACAGGCAATTTTCCTATCGTTTGTGCCTTGCATTTTCTTTCTCCCCTATTTTCACCTTTTTTTGCCATTGGCAATCAAAACAATTCAAAAAAAGAAAATTAATTTAGGGCATAGAAACAGTGAAAAGGTCAAATTCTTAATTGCACAAAATTAATCCTTTTTTGAATTGTGTTGATTGCCACTGGCCAAAAAAGGGTGTAAAAATAGGCAGACTTTCGTGTTTTGTTGAGCGCTATAAATATTTGTCATTTTTTACTTGTAATCACATTTTTTTTAATTTGAATTAAAAAAAAATTTTTTTTTTCAGCTTCTACCCAAAAAAATAATTTATATACTCCTCAGGCTAGATTATTTTTAGCTTTTCTTCAGATTTATTTTTTTGTTCATTTTTGTCGTTAGATGAGTATAGCAGAAATGTCTAGTGATGATAATTCTGATAAAGAGTGCCCCTTGTGTATGGAGGCCTTTGACCTTGATGACTTTAACTTTTTTCCATGCAATTGTCAATATCAAATTTGTAGATTTTGTTGGCATCGGATCAGGTTTATATTAAAAAAATATTTTTTTGGGAAGGTAATAATAGGGAACAACGGACTTAAGCTGGGGATAAACATAGGAGGAACCTCTTGGGAGTTGTCCTTCCAGTGTGGGCCCCTTAGAGCGATTTGGATAGCTTTGGGCTTTAAGTTGATTTTGGCCAGGTTTTTCCCTCGGTTCAGATTTTATCCGAAGATTTCCTTTGTTTTGAGTCAGGTTAAAACCAAAATTTTCGGTGCTTCTCTGATTTTTCCTTACCTTGATATTCTTTGATTGTTCATTAATTTTTTAAGTGTATTATTTGACGTCAGGATTGAGTTGTTTTCAGATGACCTTTTAAATATGCAAGTTTCCCTTTAATGGCTTTTATACAATCCTTCTGCCTGTTGAATAGCTTTAGGGATTTTTAGCTCTTGATCAGATTAGTGATCCTAAGCTAAAGAATATCAAGGTTACATGGAATTCAAGAAACCCTGAAAATTGAGGGAAGATTGGTCTTGAGGGTCGAGACGCCGATATGGCGTTAATACATGAGTTTTTGAGGTCCAGGGAAAATCCTAGGCATAGAGAAACTTTGCTTATTCTCAGATTGATGGGCAATTTACCTATCGTTTGTGCCTGGCATTTTTTTTCTTTCGGATGACATAGGACATATCGGAATTTGGGGTCTCAAAACTAATTTTACCAAATTTAGACTCCTTAGTCTGTCCTGCATGTGTATCCAAGCTATATAAGCTTTAGATGGACCCTTAAATAATTTAAAAAATTTAATTTTAGAACGAATGAGAATGGACTTTGCCCGGCCTGTAGACAATCTTACCCAGAAGATCCAGTCAACTTTCAGCCACTTTCTAGCGCAGAAGTTCACAAAATTAAGACAGAGAAAAAGCAAAAAGTTTTACAACAGAAAAACAAAATTATTGAAGATAGAAAACATTTGTCAGAATATAGAGTGCTTCAGAAAAATTTGGTTTATGCAGTTGGGATAAGTCAGCGAATGGCAAATCCTGAACTTTTGAAAAAGTTTGTTTTTTTAATTTTTTTTAATTTGGGTGGTTTTCTTGGACAAGTGTGAATATTACAGGGACAGACTCGTTTTTTTCCTCCCCAATTTCCTCCTATATTTTTCCAAATGGTCATAATTTTTTTCCTTTCCATCCAAATTGCCTTCCAACTTTATGCCTAAAATCAAACAAAAAGGATTATTTTTCATATTTTATTTCCCATTTTTCCTTCCTAATTTTATAATGGAAGAAAGGAAATTTGGATGGAAGAAAAGAAATTCTTTTTTGGTATTTTCTGACCATCCTGTCCTTTTTTCAGGAGAAATAAAGAAAGATAGTTGTGGAAAAAATAGGCAGAAAAATAGAAGGTAAATATGGAATGCGTCGGCCATAGTATTTTCTAAAAACCGTCCAAGGCTCTTGATTCCTGACTCAGGACTTCTTGGGTTTTTTTCGGTCTTGGTCTTGGGGTCTAGTTTTGGTCGTAAGTTTTGGAAAATTTTCGGGTTTGGACGTCTCTAGTATTTCCTATATATTAACGAGTATTTCTCTGGACTTTTTTCTGGAACATTTTTTTCGACACCTCTTTTGGGTGTTTATTCTTTTTGCATCCACAAACTCGTGTTCAAAAAATTTATTCAAAAGAAGGGAAAAAAATTTGCAAAAAACTGTCCGCAAAAATTTTCATAAATTAAAAAAAAATTTTTTAGGCCAGAATTTTTTGGAAAATTTGGCAAGATCCTCAAAGTTGCAGTTGGTACCGCTCAAGCAATAAACAATTCGACACCTCCGACACACACTGCCTATGTGACATTTGCTCGTTGTGAAGATGCACTTAGAGCTATTCAAGCAGTTAATAATATGGTTGTAGAAGGCCGGCTGTTGAAAGCGTCGTTAGGCACAACTAAATATTGCTCAAGTTTTTTGAAAGGACAGACTTGTTATAAACCGGTTTTTGTTTATTTTTTAATTTTTTTAATTGGGAGCGGACTTGATTGGGGCGCTTTTTTCTTGGAATACCCCTGATTAATCCCCCATATTTTATCTTTTATAAATTTATTTTTTAAGGAATGTATGTATTTACATGAGGTGGCAGATGAAAAAATTAGCTTTACAAAGGAGGACATGCATCAAGGTTGTTTTTATATTAAAATTTCTTGAAGATTTTTAATTAAATTTGGGTCTGGAATAAGAGCTTGGTCGTTGACTTTGGCAACATCCTATGTCGAAGTCTTTAAAAATTTTAGGTCCAGGGAGCCCTAGGAGCTTTTAAATTATGACTTGAAACAGAAAACGTTCAAGGATTTGGCCCAGACCAAGCCCGTGGTCGAAAGCTGTTTAGTAACTTTGTTCAATTTGAGCTTGTTTTGTAGACCTTGGCCAAATTTTATGTCAGAAGTCCAAAAATATTTAGGCTTAGGGAAAACCCAATAAATTATGATTGGAAACAGAAAACCCTCTAGGACTTGGCCCAAACCATTTTCGTAGTCGAAGCAGGAACTTTGTTCAAACCCATTTTGATTTTCAATCGTTAAAATACTTAAAAAAATCAATTTAAGGAAAACACACAGAATATGAACGCCGATTGCTTGAACATATGTTTGCCTTGTTTGGAATTCAAGGTTCAACGGGTTTTAATCAGCAACAACAACAGACTTCTACGTGCAGAGAATTGGTGGTGGCAAGAAATCGAGCGAGAGTGATGACATCGGGAGGAGAGCAATTGTATATTTTTATTTTTTTGGGGTTTTTAGTTAAAAATATTTTTCCTTAAATTAATTTTTGAATTTTCATTAATTAAAAATCGATTTCCCTTCAAATAAAAATATTTTCCGTCAAAGGGATTCTAACCTCAGTCCCCTTACCGTTGAAACTAAAAATTTTCCCACTACACCAAAGTGTACATATTTTTAAATTTTACCGATGTTTGGGCTGGTTGGACTTCTGGGATACTTTTCCTTCAAATAAAAATATTTTTCCGTCGAAGGGATTCGAACCTTGGACCCCTTCCCGTTGAAACAAAAAATTTTCCCACTACACCAAATTGTACATATTTCTAAATTTGAATACTGCTTGGGGGGATGAAGTTTGGGGATACTTTTTTAATTTAGAAGTTTTAAAAATTTTTTTTAACATTTTGTAGGGAAAAGAAGCGTCCTACAAGCGGTTCAGTTGAAAATTTGCCAAAAATGATATCACAACAAATTAAGCAGAAAAAAGGAAATGATGATACAGTTTTAACACAGAAACATCAGCAGCAACAGCAAAAACCATTAACAATTAATGGAGATGTTTTAAATAATAATAATTTTGAAAAATCAAATAATTCACAACAACAAATGTTGCTGCAAAATAACAATAAAATGTCTTCTTCTTCAACATCAACAACACCATCTCCACCAACATTTGTTGCGGTTTCTCAAAATGTTTTAATTCAACAACATCAACAACAGCCACCACCAAATTCTTCTGCTATTATTAATTCGTTTGTTGATGATGATGATTTGGGCTTTGATCCTTTTGAAGGTTTTTTTTTTCAATATTTTGAGGGAAGATTTTGGGAATGTTGTGAAATTGTCCGCAACTGGGATAGGCTACCAGAAACCCTCGTCTTTTTTGAAAATCCGATCCGAAACCCGACCCGTGAATTTTTCTTTTAAAAACCCGATATGAAGCCGACTCGGCTTTTTTTCAATCCGACCCATCTTGGTCCGCAATAGTTGTCCGCAAAAAAATTTTTTTTGATTCTAATAATAAGTTGGATTGGACCATGACACTAGAGTTGGTTAAAAGAAAATTGTCAGGTTCAGACTCGTATCTAGAGGGAGAGGGGGGGGGGCTGGGGTTCGTGTGAGAGTTTTCGATATTAGCCTTTAGCTAAAAAAAGGTAGAGGTCCAAGTCTAATTCAAATTATTTCGAGGCGTCCCTTTAGCTCGAAAAAAATTAAAAAAATTTTAAGAATCAGCAAAAGCTTTGAAAGAAATTATGCAAGAAGAAAAGAAGAATTTTGTTATTCCACAACCATCGCAACAGCAAATTTATATGAATGGCGGTGACAAATATACTATTAATGGTACTAGTAGTAGTAGTCATACAACAGAAAAGTAAGCTATTTTTTTTATAGTTTTTAATTCTACAAACCGGGAAATCCTTTTCTTTAACGGGTTATCCCCGTCTTTAAGTTTGGGGGAGAGTAGATAGAGAGGGTTTAGTTTTGCTACTTGCGGGGCAGTTCAGTTTGTGCTCCGGCTCAACTAAGCTCCAAGACATTGCTCATTGGGCAATTAGGGGTTGGACTAATTTAGGGATATAAAGAGAGTAGAAGTTGGACCCTACTCTTACCTCCTAAAATTAATTAACTGACCGATTATCCCTGATTATGGCCTGTTATCTACCGATAGCTCACATTGGGTTTAAATAACCCCCCACCCACCCACCTAAATTTAAAAATTTTTGAATTTTAAATTTATTTTTATTTTTTTTAAAGTTCATTTTACAATAATAATAGTAATCCAATAATAACTTCAAATAATCATCATCATCCTTCACTTTATACAACAACAACAGCAGCACAACATCAGCAACAACATCGCCATCATCTTCAACAACAATTACAACATCATTCCAGTGTACCAATGATGACTTCCATGCCAGGATTACATCAACAGAACCATCAAAATTATCATCAAAATAATGGTAATTTTCATCCTTCAAATTTTCATCCTCAGCAGCAAGGAGGTGGTTATCTTCAACAACATCAACATCAGAATTTTAATTTTCAACAAAATAATTTTCAAAATCATTCAAATTTTGGTGGTGGTGGTGGAAGTTTGAATTATGGTTCTTCTTCAATTTTAACAACAACAGCAACAACAAATGATGGAGGTGGCGGTGGTGGACGACAGCAACAACAGCAGCAAAATCCAAACAATAATCATAATACTTGGTTGCCTGTTCCACCAGGATTTTCTCCGCGTTCATCAACGGGTTCTTCAGGCTTTTGATGTGAGAGAGAGAAAAGGTGAATTTGAGAGAGAGCAATAAAAAGTTTTAAGAAAAAAATTAAAATTTGATTTTTTTATATAAATGTTTTAAAAATAAGAGTGGAAGGAGTGTGAGAAAATTGTTGAAGGAAGGGAAGGACTTTAAAAAAAGTATATTTATTTTAAAAATGACTCGGTTTAAAAATTTTGTTAAGGTACTAGTGTCGTTTCCGTCCCATAAGATTAATGTTTTTCATGTAATGTTTTTTTTTATTCTTGGTTCATTCTCAGTTATTGTTGACCCAAGTGTCTCTATCAGAAAAGCAAACAGGGGAGGAAATAGGTGGCTTTATGGGGGGAGGAGTATGGGAGGGAAACTGCACTATTACTGAAATTTGATTTAAAATTTAAAAAGGGAATTGAAAATAACCATCACCAACAAGCAAGAAATAAAAACTATATATCCATCTCCCAAAATTTTTTATAAATCTTTATTCTATTTATTTTTTTCCCTCGTGCTTCTCAAAAATGGAAGTCTTTGATTTACAAAAAAATTACTACGTATAATGCTCTTAAGGAAATTAAAAACATTGTTTCTCGAATTAATATTCATCTATTAAAAAAACTTTAAAAAATATTTCCTTTTTTCTATTCCATAGATAAACATTATTAGTGGAATCCCGTTGATACGTCACCACCACAGGGGAGCAAACATGAGTGAAACGTTTCGTGAAAAAAAATTTTTGGCCCACAAGTCAAAACCAAGGAGGTCAAATGACCAAGAAGGTCAAATACAAATTTTGGGTGGATAAAGAAGGATTTGGGCGGATTAAGACGGATTTGTGGGTATTAAGGAGGATATCAAACGTATTTGTAGGGATTAAGGGACCATCTGTGTTTTTACCTGGGTGATTTGACCTCCATGGTCTTGACCTTCTGGGGTGGACCCTAACATTGTAATCCCGCCGATACGTCGCCCTCGAGGTCTAAGTAAGCCGACGGTTTATTTGAATTTTTGAGGTGCCGTATTATCGAGATTCCACTTGACATTCATTTAAAAAATATTGACTTTTATCATACTATAGTTAAATTTTCGTCTTTAAAAAATTTATTTTTCTACATTTTTTTTGTTCTGATCAAAACAATGAGCAGATTGTCTTTGGTCATATATACATTATACAAATTTTATTATATATTTTCTGTTCTGGCTTGAAAAAATTTTTATGAGGGGAGAATGATGTGTTGTTGTTGTTTGTCCTTCTCTGCGTGAGAGAGAATATTTCCTTTGATTTTCAAAAATTTTTTTTGTGCGTTGATTATAAAGAGAGAATAAAGAGAATATTTTATTTTAAATTTTTTTTTTGTGTAAATTTTATTTTAAGAAAGTGTTATTTTCACTTTAATATTTTTGATTTTTGGGATTTTCTGAAATTTTGAAAGGCCAAAGAACTAACTACCTAGTGTCCCTATAGGTTGTTAAAAATTAGGAAATTTTTGGGTAGAGCCGGGAGGCGTTTTGAGACTTTTTTTCGAATTTTGGGGGTTTCCTGGGAATTTGAACGGCCAAAGACCTACTTACATTAGTGTCCATTTAGGTTGTTAGGTAGGGTTTTTTGAATAGGGTCTTCTGAGTCATAGACAAGATTTTGAGATCCAAAGTAATTTTTTGAAACTAGTGACTGAAAATTTTTTTTAGAATTTTTAAAAATGGAAAACAAAGCAAAGCTTCCATTAACTGGAATTTCTCCAAATACTTTAAACAACACAAAAATAAGTTCATCAACTCCGGCAAAACCAAAGCAAAATGCTAAGGAACGAATGCGAAGGCTTAAAACTATTTGTATACGAGGACAAGAGCCTTTGTCTATTAAGAGGGAAATTAAAACTGAAAGAAATTGTGAGATAAGGTTAGTGAATATTTTTGGATTTTTGTGGTATGTTTGGGCTAGGTCCGTAAACCTTTGGGGTATTTTCAGGGGGGTTAAGTTGGTCTTTAGAGTCTGAGACAATCCGCTATTCTTGGGCGACTGGGGACTACGTCTTTTAGAGCCTGGGTAATTTTGTAATCGTCTAGACTAGGGATGGGTCGGGTTGAGAAAATAGCCGGGTCAGGTTTCAGATCGGATCTTCAAAATTTTCCTCAGATCGGGTTGAGCAAAAATATTTCCCAAAATATTTCCCAGATCGGGTTGAGCAAAAATATTTCCCAAATATTTCCCAGGGTACCGGCTCGAAAGAAGGCCAGGTATCTTGTTTCGGATAACCCGGCTCATCCCTAGTTTATATAACCCTGTACTTTAGGTTGAAGATACATAATAGGCGTTCCCCTGCCTCCTTCACCCTCAGACTCTAGTGTACCCAAAATTCGAAAATTCCATTTTCTCTATAAAATTCCCCAATTTTTGTGTAGAAGAAGAAAGGTTCAACATATAGACACTTCACTCGGAAAAAGATTTGCCTGTTCAACATTTGGAGGAGTTTATGAACGTTTGTCTCAATGGATGCGTGAAGGAACTCGAATAATTATTAAATTGAGAGCTTTTGCCCCAGGAAGAGCACAACAAAGAGGGCCAAATCGAATGTTACAGGTTTTTTTAATTAAAAATATTTTAAAAATTATTTTTTCAGGGTTCTATAGTTGCGTTTGATAAACATTGGAATTTGGTGCTGAGAGATGTAGATGAGGCATATTTTCCTTCTTTAAGGCTTGGAAAGGTTTAATTTCTAATTTTAAGGGTAAATTTAGGGAGGAAATTAAAGGATTTAGTTATGTTGTTTGGTGGTGTAGTTGGTAAGGTCTCGGGCTTGGGAGGAGGCGACAGGGTTCGAATCCACTCACTGGACTTTTTTCTATTTTGAATTAAATTTTAGTAGAGATCATTTTTAATTTTGTTGAGAGTATTTTTAAAAATATTTTTTAATGGTTAGGGACTTGTAAACCCCAAGAAAAAATTTAATTTCATTTTAAGAAGATCCTTTAATTTTTCCAGGTCCAAGCAATGCCTGGAGCTATGCCCAAATCAATTCGCTATGAAATTGAAGGCAATGCGAGGAAAGGACGCCCAACTCTTATTAGGCATTTAAAATGTTCTTTTATAACGGGTTCTTCAATTGTGATGATACATGAAGGGTAAAAAACATATTTTTTTTCTAATTTATTTTTAAAAATTTTCTTGGTTTGTCTCTAACGGGGCCCAGAATTTTTAAATTTATTTTTGATTTTGGGTTGGGAGGGTTGTCGAGTGGTTGGGAGCCAGACATAACAGGACGGACATATCGGGATACTTCAATGTATGTTTTTATGTTCTAGTACCAATGTAAACACGCAAGAGGTTATTTTTCTCACAGCAATCCCGATATGTCTTCCTACCGAGTGGATGTATTGGGGGTACTAACTATAAGGGTTAACTGAAACTCTGACTTTTTTTGGGCAGAATTGTCGTTTACGGCCACTTTTTTCCAACTTAAGTTTTTTCTTATGAATATAGAGAATGGTCGACCCGACCAGACCCTAGAAATTTTTGAAACCCTACCTGCCTACTTTTTTTCTCCTGTTTCCCCTCTTAATCCCCTTAATGTGTTTCGTGTTGAATTTTATTTTTTCTTAACATTTTTTATACAAAAATAATTTTATTAAAAAACGATATGAATTTTTTAATAACGTTAATATTTTCAGCAATAAAAATAATTTTTTATTTTGTCTCCCGTTTAAATAAAAGATTTTTTTAGTAATTAAATAATATACTTCATTTAACCTCCTCCAATTTTTCTCTTTACTATCGCATCAAAAAATAGATTACAAGAAATACAAAAAAGCAGAAAAGGACAAGGTAGCAGAGAACATTTCTACCTTGAAAAAAAATAATTTTAGATATTTAAATAATTTTTAGAAGAAACCTCCAGCTTTTGAAACAATCCCCAATTTTTTCATTGTTGAGCCAAGAAGTCCTTTTGTTGTTTCAAATTTTGTATCCTAAAAATATTTTTGAAAGCTCTTGGACTAAAATTGTAATCTATTGCCTCGGATCGAATCGTGGGCCTGAAGACAGCTAAGGAAAATACTTGAAGCTTCCAAAAAATTTCTGGATCTGAACCCAGCCCAAATTTAAATTGTTAAGAAGCAGGTATAATAATGAACCTGACAGACCCCATTTTTCTTCCCCGAGTGTTTCCCTATATATTTGCAGAATGGGCAACTTTTTCCTTTCTTCCATCCAAGGGGGATGGAAGAAAACAGGGATGAAAAAATGGGGTCTGTCAGGTTCAATATTACCCAGCAAGTCTGTCCTTGGCAGAAACTGGCATTTGGGAACGTTTTGGATTGAAAAAAAGGAACTTATTTAATGAAAAGTTTAAAAAATTAACAAAACAAACCATTTCATTCAACAAACGATTTTGTTCTCGAACATCATCTCCTATAGCAATAGTAACTCGTTTAAGTTGAGACACTTTACTAGACAATTCTTCAACCATTTCATCATTTTGTTGTTCCAAAATATTATAACCTCCATTCATATTGATAGAAGAACTTGGGCCAGGTCCACCTGTTTCTTTTTAAAATTAATTGAGGAAAAAAAGGAAATTTAAAAAATAAACCTCTATTTGGCCTGTATGACATCATTTAACTTGATAATATTTTTAAGACAAGATTTACTTCAAACCGCTGTGGAAGGAGTTTAACTAAAAGTAAGGAGCTTAAAATAAAATTAAGGGTGATGTGTAAGTTTTTGAAAGTTTTACGTGGCGAAACAACCTTAAATAAAAGAAAAATGACAATTTATCCTTTTATTTTCTAATATAAATTTCAAAATGTTAACAAGAATAAATCTGTTCAAATGGTCATTTCTTTTTATCTCTCGCTTATGTAATATTTTCACTTATTTTTCTCTAACCTTAGTGCTTCATTTTTAAATGTAAATTTCAAAATGTCAACAAGAATAAATTTGTTCAAATGGTCTTCTCTATTTATCTCTCGCTTTGTACTATTTCTTCTCGTTTATTTCAAATTGTAAACTAATTTTAGTATAAAAGCGGATTGCGTGGGCATTTCTAGAAATTTTAAGAAAATGCTTTTTGTCTCTTAATTATTTCAACTAGTTGAGTTTAGACTCATTTAATTTAACTAGATTGTACTCTAATTTACGTTTTTTGATGTTTTAGTTTCCAGAAAATCTTGACTTTTGTTTAAAAATTATTTTTTAGGTCTTGTGACATACCTCCTAAAATTAAATAATTCCTAAACTTCTTATCTATACTACGGCAATATGCAAATTACTCAGCTCGCTGAAGCATCCAAAAGGGCATTTGGTAATGGACCATTGATCACTGCTAAATGTGAGGTGAAAGCTCCAGTTCCTGCAAAGGAAGGTTTGTAATTTGTTTATCTTTTGAAATTTTTAAATGAGGGCAAAACTTTTTAGATAAGCCCTGGGTGAAGATAGAATATTCTGCGGAATCGCGAACTTGGCATAAAACCTATAAAATCGGTTTCTGTATTTAAAAGTCGGAGACGTGAACCTTGAGTTTTCCTAGTTTGAACGAGCGGCCCTATTCCAAAAGAAGGGCGGAATTGTTTTTTTTTCATTACCTGCAAGGAAAGGAAAAATAGAGACGGGTATATACGGACAAACAAAACACGGACGGGCTCTGGCAGACAAGACACGGACAGTCTCGGAAAGACAAAACAGGGACGGAAATGTTTTAGAAATTGATGGCCGTCCGTGTTTAATTTGTCTGTTCATTCGTCTCTATTTTTCCTTTACTTTTTTCCTTTCCTTGCAAGTAATGAAAAAAAACGATTCCGCCCTTCTTTTAGGATAGGGTCGAACGAACTATCGTTCTAGTTTTCTATTTGAACTTTCTCTTTTTAAGAGATTTGACTCCGTTTCCAGAAATTTTATAAACCTTTTTTGAACCGAATAACTCGATTCTCTTAAAAAATAAAATATTAGGAACGCAAATGGAAAATAGATATCTTCCTAGAACTTTTCGGAAACGGTCTTGATTTTAAAGTGTGTTGCTCTTTTGGGTATGGGCTGGAACCTTTTATCCTTGATTTATTAACTCCTAGTTTCATCCATATGATCACCTTTTTAACCAGCAACGAATTTGTGGTGATCTTTTGGGTATACTCTATTCCAGTATTTTCTCGTTTGAAACGTGGCAATCTCTTTGAAATTTATAATTTTCTCATTCAGAGGATTTTAGAAACCTTTTTAATTGAAAAATGACCTCGGAAACTACAGAAAAGAAAATTTACGTAATAATCCCGAAAAATTCAAAAAATTTCAAAAATTTTGAAAACCATTATGGAATAATTGTAATAATCCTAACTTGGATATACCTCTATTTTGCCCTAATCCCAACATTATATGATGGCCTAAAAGATTTTTTCTTTCATTCTGGGACAAATTTATTAATTAATTTAACTGAAAAATTAATTTTATCGTCAACAACTCTTTCCCCTTATTTAGGCGGCGGTGGAAATAAAGGACAAGTTGAAATTGGAAGTCCATTATTTTATGCTTATTGTGGCATTGGTGGAATTCTTTCTTGTGGAATTACGCATACAGGTTTTTTAATTTAGAAATTTTTACTAAATTTTGTTGTTTTTCAGCCATTGTTCCTCTTGATCTTGTCAAATGTCGCATTCAAGTATATTTTTTAAACTATGGGTTGCCCGTTGGGTTGGGGGTTAGACCTGCACGAAACGTTTTAGTTTTATTTTTCGGATGATTTTGTAGTTTGTATTCTCCTGTTTAAGTAGTTTTCCGTCTTCAGAATAAATATGAAAGGTTCGTGCAGGTCTGCTGGGAAGTCCCAAGCCGGAGCACAACACCGACTGTACCACCCAACCCGATGAAGGGTTATACTTTTCTTTTTCACCAAGTGGGGGTACAAACAATTATCTTATACTTTTAAGGTTGACCCAGCCAAATATAAAGGAATTCTTAGCGGCTTTAAAGTTACCTTGGCAGAAGATGGAGCTAGAGGATTGGCTAAGGGTTGGGCACCAACAGCTATTGGATATTCGCTTCAAGGATTGGGAAAATTTGGATTTTATGAACTTTTCAAGAATGTTTATGCGAATCTTGTTGGAGAGGTTTTTTTACTTTTTTAAATTAAAAATTTAGGCGAATTTTTGTAAATCCGCAAAATTTGTCCGCAAAAATAATTTCAAAATTTTCCGAAAAAAATTTCTTTTCTTAAAGGAAAATGCCTTCTTGTATCGTACGAGTCTTTATTTGGCTGCCAGTGCATCTGCTGAAGTTTTTGCTGATATGATGCTTGCCCCAATGGAAGCAGTTAAAGTACGTATTCAAACATCTCCAACTGCACCTCCCAATCTTCGTGGCTGTGCTCCGTTTATTTACAAGACTGAAGGTTTGATGGGTTTCTACAAAGGATTGCCACCTCTTTGGATGCGTCAAATTCCATATACAATGTAAGCTTACTTATGTTAGTTTGGAAATTTTTGAGGTCATTTGGGTCATATTGTGGGTTCATTTGGGTCAAAATTTTTAATTGGGGCAATTTTTTATTTTTGGATTATCTGGTGAATTTGTTAGTCTCACTTTTTGCTTACCGTTCCAGAATATAGAATCTGGCTATGTAGGATTTTTAAAGTTGACCCAAATGTACTCTGACCCTAGTTAAACGTTTAACAAAAAATCCATTTTTATCAAAAATTTCCTTTATAGGATGAAGTTTGCCTGTTTTGAGCGTACTGTTGAATTGCTTTACCATCATGTTGTTCCAAAACCTAGGGATCAATGTACTAAAGCGGAGCAGCTTTTGGTTACTTTTGTTGCTGGTTATATTGCAGGTTTTTTTTTTGGAAATTTTCTCTATGAATATTTCAAAAATAATTTTTAAAGGTGTTTTCTGTGCTGTAGTCTCCCATCCAGCTGACACTATTGTTTCTAAATTGAATAAGGATGCTGGAGCTTCTGCTATTGGAATTTTGAAGCAATTGGGACCTTTGGGTATTTTTTAGAAATTTGTTTTTAATTATTAAATTTTTTTTAAAGGTGTTTGGGGAGGGCTTGTTCCGCGTATTATTATGATTGGAACTTTGACTGCATTGCAATGGTTATTTTTTTTTTTTAATTTTAAAATTAATAGTAGTTGGCTATTTTATAGGAGTTCGATTTTATTGAAATTAACCTAGGTAGTTCTATGAAAATTTACAGGAAGGACTAGCCAAAGTCCCTTTTCCTTTCGTTCTACCACTAGGTAGCAAAGATGTCGCGGTATGGGACTAAAGTTTGGTCGGGTTCTCAAAATTGTCATTGTTTACAAGGAAAGGTTGCGAGTTGTCCGACCTAAAAACGGTCAAAACCGGGCTCATTCGATAGAGAATGTGCCTTTTCTTGCAAGGATTTTGTGCCGTCTTTTCCCGAATGAGCCTGGTCTCGACGGACACCTCGCAACCTCTCCTTGTTGGTGTTTCGGGTTGGGGTTTTAAAATTTTCTTAAGATCTGGTTTCGGGTCAAACGAAGTCCGAGTATTGGGTAAGTCCTGGTAACGGGGTTCCTTGTTAGTTATCGGATTTAGATATTTTTAAGATTAAATAAAGAGTTTTTTATTTTTAAATAATATTTTTCTTCTCTATAGGTTCATCTATGACTCTGTAAAGGTGGCCTTGGACATTCCCAGGCCCCCTCCACCCTCAATGCCTGAATCATTGAAGAAGAAATTGGAAGCGCAAGGGATTAAAAATTAGGATAAAGAGAAGAGAGATGTATAACATATAGAGAAGGGTATATAAAGAATTTATAGAATAAATAAAGAGAGAAATTGATTGACTCTTTTTCTTCAAAAAAATGTTAACATTTTTGTTTTTTGTTTAGTTAGTATATTTTTTTGTAAAAGTATTTTTTGAGAGTGTTATTTGACCTTTTTTGATATATGTCCTAGTAAAAGAAAAGAGTTACGGTTAAATTTTTGGAAAAAATTGTGAAGTCCATTTTTGCGGACATTATTTGCGGACAATTGAATTTTTTTGAAATTTTTTAAGAAAATTTTTTTGGATAAGCGTAGCTCTTTTTTATTTTATATTAGCGTTTAAAAATTGTATTGTGACGATTTATCTCTCTATTTTTCTAACAAAAAAAGTTAAATAAAAATTCGAGTTGATAGAAATTTTTTGAAGGCTTCGTATTATCGAAAGGTTTATTTTTAGTTTTTGAAGTTATTTTAGGATTAATTTTTTTCAGATAATTTATTTAAAAATAATGTATTGGATAATTCAACCAATAATTTCAAAAAGTGCTTTGGTTACTGAACTGATTTATAAATTTGCAGGTTCTAACAGGTTTGTAAATGATTTTTTTTAGATTTAATTTTAGTGGTAATTTTTGTTTAATTTTTGGGAGGAATGTGTGTGGAGATGTGTGCGGGTTTCGTTTTTGGTCTCTCGTTGCTTTTTCTTTCCTCACTTTTCCTAATTCTGTACTCAAGTTTCTTCAAAATTTGCACAAAAAGGTTAAAATTTCTGCAAAAATAGTTACAAAAAAATGCGGACGCCGTTTGCGGACAAACTTTCTAATTTTAAGAAAATGTTTATTTTAGGGTAGCGCCCGAGCCTTTGGGGCCAGGAGTGTCGGGTTTCGGTGTTTGCCGGGGCCTCCGGGTCGAGGTTTTTGCCTAAAAATTCGTCGGGGGACGGATTGTTGCTCCTTACATTTATTTAAATTCGATTTACAACCTTTCTATCGCAAAAATGCCGAGGCAGCTTGACTATTAAAAAAAATTTTTTTTTGCAGATTTCTCAGTTTGTTGCTGGATTCAATCCTAGGAATTGTCATAATTAATTTAATACCAACTGAATGGAAATTAATTTCAAATTTTTGGAAAATTGTTTTTCTTTCAATTGAACAGCTTGAAAATGTAATTAATTGGCTTACTCAAAACCCTGCTGGATTAAAATTAAATGATGCTTTAAATACTTTTTTGAGCAACTTTTTTCTGTATCATATACATTTGTGGAAATGTAAGGAAGAGGTTTTTTTATTTTTTTTGGGGGGGGGGGGGGGGGGGTTTCCGAGAAAAGTTATTTGGGTACTTTACTGTTATCGGCCCTCCATTTTTTCTTCCTTTTTTCTCAATCTAGTTCTGTACAGAATGGTCAGATTTTCTTTCTTTTTCAAATTCACTCCATTTTCCGGTGGCATATTCAAATGAGACATTAATGAAGAAAAGTTGAGGAAAAATCCTAAAGACGCGACGAATACACAGAAAATTGAACAGTTGTGGTAACTTTCTTTTCGTTTTTGGGAATCTTTTCTTTGTTAATGTTGCCACCGGAAAATGGAGTGAATCTGAGAAAGAAAGAAAATCTGACCATTCTGTACAGAAGTAGATTGAGAAAAAAGGAAGAAAAAATGGAGGGCCGATAACAGGAAAGTACCGTCATTTGGAATCAGGGATGTCATGGTGTGAGAAAAAAGCCGGGAGTGGATTTGGGTAAGGTCAGTTATAGGGTATCAAGATGGGAAGGCTTCGTGTAGGAGTTTTGGCTGGTCAGTCAATTGATTAAATAATGCACTAAATTAATTGATGCGCAAAAATGTCCGCAAAACCTCAAAAAATTCTTTTAGTTAAATTTTGGGTTCGGATAACCCGTGGCATTCCTATTAGGAATAGCTTATTTTATATGAGAAATATGTTTGACAAAATAAAAATATTTTAAATTTTTTTTCAGCATATATAATCGCCTTACAACATTCTTCTGTGGATAGGATATTTCTTGTTGGATTTTCTACTTTAGGTTAATTTTAAATTTTTTTTAATTAAAAGATTTTTTAAAGGTTTTTCTGTATTAATTGCTTTTATTTCTGATTTTTTGAGGATTGTTTCTTTACATTTATTTTGCTTTCATATTTATACCTACAGGTTTTTTTTAATTAGAGATATTTTTAAAAAATTCGGAAAAAAATTTTCGAGGCCTTAAAATTTTTTTTGGAGCCCTAGTGTTTCAAAAGAAATTTTTGAAAAATTTTCAGAATTTCTAAAAAAATTTTGAGGCTCTAAAAAATTTTTTTAAAGCCCTATTGTTTTTTAAAAAAATTTTCAAAATAACATAACGCCAGAAATATTTAGGAAAATATAAAATAATTCAAAAAAATAATTATCAATTCTTTTCTCATTCTTTGAAAAATACCCAAAATTCTTATCTTTTAATCATTTTTGATTTGTATTTAAAAATATTTATTTTGTCTGTTATTTTTGATTTATTTTCCTTATCGCACTTTTAATTATTTTTACTTATTATTCTATTTAACTCTTTAGAATTTCCCTTTAACATTCCCCTTTATTTTTTGTAATTTTTTGACATTATATTTGTATTGCTTTCAACCCTTTTTCCAACAATTTTTATATTTTGAAAAATTTTTGAAATTGTGAATCGTTCAAAAAACTTAAAATTGTCCCATGTCAGTGATATTACTCGATGAAAAATTTATAACCTTGAGAAAATGTGGACCTTTTAATTAATTTTAGTTAGTGAGCGGTAAAATCGATCCGGTAAAATTCGATTTTTCCGGACTGGGATTTGCCCCTATAACCGGATCCGGCCGGATTTTTCAGGATTGATCCGATCCGGAAATCTAAAAAACCCGGATTATGGTTCCGACGCCGTGCACTAATTTAGGCCATTAGAGTCTAGGCAAATTTTTTTATATTTTTAGGCGTCATATTAAGTTTTTGGATTTTAAATTTTTTTGAACGATTATTTTATTTTTTTTCGTTTTTTGTCTATTTTCGAAAAATATTTTTTTTCAACAAAAAAAATATTTTTTCCAAAATTTTTAGGAGCGCCATATTAATTTTTGAATTTTAAATGTTTTGAATGATTCTTCATTTTATTTTTTTCTTTTTTTTTGTCTATTTTATTATCGAAAATATTTTTTTCTAAAAAAATTTTTTTCTAGAATTTTTAGGAAAATAATTTAATTTAAAAAATGAGTGAATCCCAACATTTATTAAAACAACAAGGCGACAATATTGAAATAATAGAAGAACAACAACCAATTAATTATGGTTCTTTACATCAACAACAACAACAAACCCCTTCAGTTAAATTTAAAATTGAGAAAAATGAGAAGAATAAAATATCTCCGATATTTATTAGTTGGCATAATTTGACTATAAAACATCCTAAAAGTGGAAGAATTATTTTAGGTTTTTTTAAAATTTTATTTGAAGAAATTTTGTTTTTTAAAGATAATGTTTCTGGTATGGCAAAATCTGGACAATTAGTAGCTTTGATGGGGGCAAGGTTGATTTTATTTTATTTTGAATTTTCTGAGGGATTTTTTGTTCAATAGGTTTAGGACGAGCTAGGAAATTAAGAAAAATGAATGAATTTTTGGAATTTAGCCAGGTTTTTCCGTTGTCGAGGTCCCGGATTTGGGGTTTTCACGAGATATGGATTATTTTCGGACTGGGTTAATCAATTAGTCGGTTTCTTACGGATTTATATACAAACTCGAGATTTGTATCAAGCTCCAACAAAATTAGTTTTAGGCTAGATTTTAGACTAGTGGCTGGAGGTGGATAGGATCAGCAGGATTTTCCCTGACCAGCACCAGATTGTATTAGGTTGTAACATATTTAGTTTCGTTTTTTTTATTAAAAGTTTCGGGGTCTGAATCTTTATGGATATGTAGTCTATGATCATGAATTTTTGCACATATATTTTTTAGACTGTCCTCTAACAGCCTCTAAAATTTTAAAATTTTTTGTTAAGAATAGTAGGAGTTATGGTCGAAAAAAGTCGGGGTAGTCAAATTACTGATTTTTAGCAAATATATCAAAATATCTCGAAAACTATTAGTAAATGGTTGGCATGTGATATATCAATCGAAAGCTCTTCAAATGCTCTAACTAGCGAAAAAAAGAAAATTTTAAAAATTCGAACGAGAAAAAAGTCGAAATTTCGACCTCTGAAATTTCGACCCCTGTTTCGACCAAAAAAGTATTTTCGGTTTAGTTTCTTATATAGAACTGTGAGGGCTTCTGAATACCGTTCAAATTATCCAAATCGGATGATTTTACGCAAAGTTCGAAATTTTGAGTTTTTGGGGGAATGTCTACTCGTTTTTTCCTTTACTTGACATTAGGGTTTTTTGTAAATTTAATTATTAATTTAAAAATTTTGTAAAATTTTGTTAATAATATCTTGTGTAACTCAGAAAGGGCTTTCGAATGGTATATTACAAGTCATATCAAATCCAGAAATTTTTCAAGAAAATTTGAAATTTGTAAAATATGCCTGATTCGACTTTTTCGACCATAACTTTTGAAATACCTAACAAAAAAATCTGAAATTTAATAATTTGATAGACAAGCCCATGTTGAACATATACGAAAAATTTCACTCGGATTGGTTTATTTCTGTTTATATTATAGGATTTTCCGCAGAAGCTCAAAAAATGCTTTCCGAGTTAGGGGTATTCTAGAGGTCCTGAAACAAGTATAAGACATGAAACGTGAAAAGGCCATATGTGAGATTAGAGATCAGATCCTGGGCTTCAAAATGGTATATAGAACATGCAATTACCACGTGAATGTTATGCACTTATGCCCTCTTGAAAAAAAACGAAACTAAATATGTTACAACCCAATACCAGATTGTTTGTTTGAGACTAGATTTTGGTCCAAGTCCGGTTTGGGATTTTTCTATTTTTTTGTGTTTTTTAAATAAAACGGGTGATTTTTCTGATTCTGGACAAATAGTCCAGGAAACGAAAAAAGAATGGACCTGGAAATTTTATCCCAATTTAGTCCACCAAATACGCTTCTAGGTCCCATCATCTACCTTCAAATAAAACTTTTAGGAAAGAAATTTTTAACCGATTATTAAAAGATACTTTTTAGTGGTGCCGGAAAAACAACATTATTAAATACTTTATTATCCCGTAACCTAACAAATTTGACAGTTCAAGGAAAAGTTTTGGTTAACGGAGAAGAAATGGGAAAACAGATAACTTTTGTTAGTGGAGTGAGTTTTTTGAAGAAAATTTTTTGAAATTTTTTAAAATTTTTTTTAAGTATGTTCAACAAGATGAATTATTTATGGGAACGTTAACAGTTAAAGAACATTTAATTATACAAGCAAGACTTCGACTTGTTGGAAGTACTGAAAGACAAATTAAAAAGCGTGTTTCTGAGGTTATTTCTAATTTAGGATAAAAAAAAAGATTTTTTGAGAGGAGGAGGGAGGGGATGGAATGAGCTAGCTATTAACTTTGTGGTAATATTTGGATGAGGCCGGCTTACCCTAAACCCTGGCTTTTTCCTACTCTAAAAACCCCATCCGAAAAGAAATTTTTTTTGGAAACCCCGATTCGAACCTCCGACATTTTTTCTCACAATCAGTCAACCCGACCCATCCCTGCGGAATGGAAAATTAAGAGTGGACGTAGGGGTAAAATATGCCAATTTCTTACATCATTTTATGTCTTTCTTCTAGGGCGGTTGTGTTGTATAAGACAGAGCTGTCTAACCCCAAAAATTTTCCTAGACTCGAAACCAAAACTAAACCTTAAGACTAAGAGCCTTAAACAGCTCTACAAGACACCCTGTTTCCTTCGAAGTCCAACCCCATTTTTCCGAATATCTGGCTGGGAGGCCTTGGTCAATAACAGCCACCTTTAAAACAGACATTTAATCCCAGAAGACAGAAAATTGCTTCACTCTTAATCTTGACTCTAAAAATTTTTTTTTCTAGATTCTAAACGATTTGGGACTTCATTCTTGTCGACATGCCCGAATTGGTAGCCGTGGAATAAAAAAGGGAATATCTGGAGGAGAGGCTAGACGTTTACTTTTTGCTTGTGAATTGTTAAGTAATCCACAAATAATTTTTGCTGATGAACCTACAACTGTAAAAAGAATTTTTTGAGGTTTTTAAATTTTTTTTTGTTAAGGGATTAGATTCTTCTATGGCAGAAAGTGTAATTAATGTAATGAAAAAATTGGCACAATCTGGAAGAACTGTTATTTGTACAATTCATCAACCTTCTTCTACAATTTATAGACAATTTGATATGGTTAGTTGGGAGAGGTTTTTTTTTTAATTTTTTTAGTTGGAGGGGGATCTACCTTTAAAGTTTTATTTTTCATTCAAAACTAGGTTCTTTTCCTTCTGATCCCAAAAATATCCTAGATTTCTATCCAATTTTATGTCTTTTTAAGATCCCTCTTTCTTCCCTTATATTTAAAATCCTTTTGATGAATATGACTTGCTACCAAAACTTGTGGCTTTTTGAGAGACTTCCTTCCTCCTCTGAAGACCCTTTCCTCCTTGAAGACATCTTTAACCTTTCCAATGTGAGTTCGCGGGCTATTTTTTCCCTTCCTCGAAAACCCTTTCTTCCTTTACCCCTCCCAATGGCCTTTGGGACCTTGACCCTTCCCATAAACCCTTTTGGGAAGTATTTAACGTTTAATCTTTTTTTCTACCTTTAGTAACCCTCCTGACAAAATTTTTCTAATTTAAAAGGTAATGTTTTTGGCAAATGGAAGACTTGCTTATTTTGGAGAACCTTCAAAAACAGTTGATTATTTAAATTCTTTTGGTTATCCTTGTCCACGTAATTATAATCCTGCGGATGCTATGATTCAAGTTTATTTTAAATTTTCTTTTAAAAATTTTCAAAATTTTTTTCAAGTGCCTAAGCATTGAAATGTATAATGAAGAAATTTGTAAAGAAAGAATTGGCAAAATTTGTGATGATTGGGAAGTTAATGAAAATGCTTTGAAATTGAAAAATGAAATTGAGGAGCAAAACAAAATTGTTGTTGATAAACCGGAGAGAAGAAAAAGAGCAACGTTTGGTGTTCAGGTTTTTTTTTAATATTTTTTTAATTTTAAATTTTGGGTTACCTTTGGAGAGACAACCCTGTTTATATTTTTTAAAATTCAACGAGGGGGTTAAATTTTTTTTTGGGGACATTTCTGACATGAGTCTTATTTAACTCTTGGGCCTTTTGGGAGTCTGAAAAAAATTTTTTTCGTTCATGAATTTTGTTCAGTCAGACCTTATTTCACATACACCCATGGGGCTGAAAATTTTGTCATTATAACGAGGTGTATCCTAAATAGAGGGTGTATAAAAAATTTTTGGACAGCCTCTATCCAGAGACCAGCCAAATTTAACAAACCGTAGCTTAACTTGGGGCGTTTTGAGGATATGAATTAAATGTAAACTCGAGACTCTAATGTCCCCTTATAGGAATATTCCTTAAATTTCAAAAATTTTTTCAAAAAAATTGTTTCTTTTCCCACAGACCTCAGCTCTATTAAAACGTTCAATACTCGATAATATACGCAATCCAGGCTTAGCAAAAGCAAAATTATCCCAAAAATTAATTATGGGAATATTTATTGGCCTATTATATTTTCAAACTTCTCCTCAAAATTTTATTGGAATTTCAAATTTAAATGGGGCAATGTTTTATATAGTTGTAGAATTAACTTATTCGACATTATTTGGAATTATAACATTTATGCCAGCAGATTTTAATTTAATTGTTAGAGAATATCATGATGGGCTATACAATTTATTGGCTTATTTTGTGGCGAGGATATGCTCATATATCCCTTTGTTTGCTATAGATGGAATTGTGTTGGTGGGGAGTTCGTATTGGATGACGGGATTGGTACCCAATGTTGGTAGATTTGGAATTGCTTTGGGTAAGGATTTGTATTTTGGTGGGGGGAAGGGGATATGGAGAGGAGGGTTGGGGGAGGTTGAGGTTTTTGTAAATTTAAAGTTGGGACTCTAGTGGTCAACGAGGTAAGAGAAAATATTTTTGGAGAGGATTTTTAGGGCTTTTGTGAATGTGTTTAGAGAGGAGTAATGTGTTTGTGTTTAAAGTGAGACTCTAGTGTACAATAATAAATTTTTGGGATTGAGGTAGACGTTTGGGCCCACAGGAATACTTTCCTGACTCTATTAGGCTCTGGGATTAAGGTTGTAAGATCCGGATATTTCCAACTATCCGACAATCTTATCTGGAATGTTGGGATTCATGTCGGAGCTAGGCGGGACTTAGTGAATAGACGCTTGAGTCTCAGTTTTGAATGTTTTAAGAGCTAGACCTTTTCCTCTTATTTAATTCTCGACTTAAATTGGCGCTTGTAATTATACCAAATCTCGATTATAGACCATTATGAACTTAACTCAGAAATAAAATCAAGGTCTACTAGAGTCTCAAAGTTTTCCTTGTTTTTCTAACTCAAAAAAGGCCTAAAAATTTCCCCTTGTTCTTTCTAGGTATTGCAGTACTTATTGAACAATCAGCAGCAGCTTTTGGTATAATGCTGTCAACAGCTTGTCCATCATATCCTGTTGCTATTTCTATTGCTGGACCAATTCTGACAGTTCTTTCATTGACTGGTGGATTGTTTGCTAATGTTGGAGAATTACCTTCTTTTATTAGCTGGGTTAGTTTGTTAGCTTTGCGTTGTTGGGGATTATTTGGGTACTTTTAAAGCAGACGTTTTGAGTAGTGTCGAGATTTTTGAAAAGCTAGGGTCTGTTTTTGGGTTTGATTTATTGACCTGGGCCGGATCCTGTGGCTGTAGTCCAGTAAAAACCCAGGAAGGTGAAAAAATGCTGGGCCTGAACTCTGGTGGTACAGGAAAACCCCCCAGGCCTTGGACCAGATCCAGCTCGATCACTAGTTTTGAGATATGGGCATCTTGAAATATGGACATTTTGTCAGGGTTTTTTTTAATTTGAACATTTTGTCCTGACCATTTTTAAATTTATTTTATAACCCCAAAAATATCCTTCACTCTTTTAGGTACAATATCTTTCATGGTTTCGCTATGGCTTTGAAGCTTTTGCCATCTCCCAATGGGAAGGAGCTTTAGGAGAACATCCAACAAAAAACTGTACCAATTTTAACAACCAAACAATTGCTTGTCCAACAGCCACTTCTGTCCTTCAAAAATTGTCATTTAACCCAGGAATGTTTTATTTTGATTTGGGTGCTATGGTTTTATGTACTTTTATTTGTTATTTTGTTGGTTTTGTTGGACTTTATATTCGCGTTCTTAGGGCTCGTTGATTGAGACTTTTTTAGAGTTGTTGTTGACCTTTTTTAGTTGTTGACCCTTTTTTGAGTTATTGACCATTTTGTGACCAAATTAAATTTATTTTTGACCTATTTTTGACTCTCTAATGTTCTCAAAGGGTACAGCCCAAGTAGGCGCGCGGCCATAACGGCGCAAGGCCATAACTAGCTTCAATATTTTCGAATCTTACCAAATTTAGTATTAAACGATTCCTCTCATCGAGCTAGGGAGATGAGAGTATCAAACTTGATAAGGTCTAGAAAATTTTCCAGCAAGTTAGGGCTTTGCGCCGTTATGCAAGTTAAGGCTTTTACGCCTACTTGGGCCTGTCCCTTCTCTGGTGCCCTTCTCACAAAAAATTGTATTTTTGCTCAGAATCTAATCTTATTCATATTTTGACCCTTTCAAGTCTTTACCTAATTGTAAATGACCCAATTGAACTTTTTTTTGAATTATTTTTTAAATTTTTAATTAATTTATATTAATCTCATATCAAAAAGAATTTTTATTAAAAATTTAAAATAAAAATTTTTAAATTTTTCAAAGACTAGCAACCCTAAGTTGGAATGCATTTTCAAGTTTTGGACGCGCTTTTAGAGGAAATAAATGGAATCCTTTAAGAAAAAGAATAGACACAATTAATTTAGATTTAAAACAATTATTTTTAGTGACAATATTTTTTATTATTTTGTTGTTTCTATTGCCTACAATTGGAATTTATTTTTTGGTTTTTGGATTGGTAAGAATTTTAGGAGCAGTTCAGTTGAGTTCCAACCCATATATAGTTTATCGGAACGGGCCAGTTGAGCGTGGCCGGTTGAGCGTCAGCCAACTTTGATCGGCTATAACTTTTTTCCGCTTGATTCAATACTAATGAAATATATATCATTCGAAAGCCCTCGTTAAACGCTATATTTGTTTCAATTGGATGGATCATGATTGATCGCTATTTAAAAAGTTACAAGTCGATAAGTGTGAAAAACAACGATTTTCTGCACTTATCGACTTGTAACCTTTTAACCGGGATCAGACTTGATCCATCCAGTTGGGATAAAGATTGGACTCATCGAGAGCTTTCAAATGATATATGATTCATTCGTATTGGATCAAGCAGCAAAAAGTTATAGCCTTTCAAAGGTCGGCTCACGCTCAACCGGCCACGCTCAACTGACCCCAACCGATAATTTATGATAGGATTGATAATTTTTAATTTTCTTGATATCATCGGATAGAGAATAAAATTTACTACAAGATACCATTTGATTCTATCCCTTGATATCAAAGACATTGAAAATTATCCATCCCTTCTTGAGTTGTTATGAGGCCGGGATTCTATTGAACTGTTCCTAAAAGATAAAATAAAAAATGTAATTTAAAAATTTTTAAGCTTTGGAGGTTGGTCGACTTGTCTAGTTTAACATTAAAATGGTTGGCTAGTTGTTGTAGAAGGACTATAGAATGGATTGCGGTAGTTTGTTTTTAAAATTGCATCAGAATTTAATGGAAGATTAGGAGGGTTATCCTCCTTACGTCAACAGAAGTGACTAAAGTGTATTGCTTCAGTGGAACCAAAAAATTCCGGAACTTCCGGTGAAGCTCTGCTTAAGTGTGTCGTTATATAGAGCTTTTACTAATTTCTGTGAAAGCTTAATGTAACGACGTATACTATGCGTCCCTTTCTCTCTTATGACAGTTAAGTTGGTATAGGGGTGTCGGGTGTCATTTATATTTTTTTTACTAATTTTGTGGCGAAAGAAATAACCTTTTTTATAATTTCTTTAACCTTTTCTAAATACAAATTTAGCGAGAATGTTGACGCCCTCTTTTTCCCTTTAATTTTTGGACTTTCGGGTTAGAAATTTTCCAAAAAAAAAATTGTTTTGGATTCCAAATTTAATTATCTAATTAATACAAATTTTCCAAAAATAGAAAAAACAAATTTTTTTATTAATTTTATATTTTGTCAAAAATTATATTTTAAAGGGAAGAGAGAGGCTCTTTTTTTCTTTCGTTCTTTGAAGGCTGTAAATAAGCGCCTTCAAAGAACTTTTTTAGTATGGGGGGAACAAAGAGACAAAAAAAAATTATTTTTTAGTCGATAAAATAATCACTTGTGTCTCTTTTATTTTTTAAAATTACAATTCCCTGTCATTTCCCTTAAAAAAATTTTTTGACCGTGTATTCTTTGATTTTTACCCTTTATTTAAGGGGAAAATAAACAATTTTTGTTTATTTTTTCGAAAAAAATCAATTTTTGGTCTTTCCAATTTTCGTAAAAATATTTTATATAAATTGGTTGAAGAAATGACTATTCTCCTTTTATTTAATTTTTCATTCCTTATTTTATCAAATATTTTTCCCTTTTAAACTCAAGCACATTCACCCTTATTTGTTAAATTTTGTATTTTTCTATTTATTTTATTTGTTATTTAATCGTTTAAAATGAAATTTATATAAGTTGTCTCTGTGGTGTAATTGGTAGTGGTTGGGATTCCCCCCTAGAAGGGTTGAGGGTTCGAATCCTTTCGATTGTCTTTTGCTTTTATTTTGTCTATAAATTATTTTCTTTGTATAAAAATGAATTTTTTAATTTTAAAAAATTTTTCTAGAATTTTTTAGATACTTTTTATGTTTGTTTTTATTTTTTTATTTTTTAGTCAAACAAAAATGTGTTTTGGACAAATTCGTTTTGGTGTACTTCCAGCGGCTAAACGAGGATATTTGCAAATAACTAGTCAATACAAACCTTTTATTGTCACTCCCGGATTGAATAATTGCTCAATTGAATTTAGAAAATATCAGAGCACTTCTACTTCAAGTCAAGGTTTTTTTTAATTTTTTTTTTGCTGGATAGGCTTTCTGGACTTTGGGGTTTCCTTAGACTTGGAATTCTTTTTTAACTGGGATTTCAAAGAATGAGTCCCCACGCCTTTGTCCTTTTTTGAATTTTATTTTGGTTAGTAGCTTCCCTCAAGCCTTGCGATTATTTTTAAAATTTGAGCGGGCGAGTATCTTATTTTTTCTAATTTTTGGAAAACGGAAAAGCGTTGGATAATGTATAAAATATTTTATTTTATCACACGTTTTGTTGAGGTAAGGGTAGATGGTAAAATGTCTCGGGCAGTCCTTCCTCATGTTTATTTCCCGACCTAATTTGAAATTTGTTCCTTTCCTTCCTCACAAGTCTAAAAGTTAATTTTCTTTTTATTTTTAGACAGTAAATACAACTGGACGCCAACAGAAAAAGATCGTCGCAGACTTGTTCGTTATGGTTTCTTCAAATCAATAAATGACATTCCTGAAGAATTGCCGTATTTTTTTTATTTTTTAAGTTAAATTTAAAAATTGTTTTTAGGCCGTCTTTCTACAAACGTTATCACAATAGAACCCGATTTATTATGGTTGGAATATTTTCTTTAGTTTTTACGATCATTGTGTTTGGTGGACATTTTGTTACTTCAAGGTTTTTACTTTTTAAAGTAAAATTTAAAGTGTTCGAGTCTTTAGGAACACTTTGAAATTCCCTTCATTTTTTTCCTTATTTCCCTGACCGTTTTGAGCTTTTTTTTGAAGGTCCTGGAAGACTTTAGAAATTTACTTTAAAAAATCCATGGAAAACTAACAGGTTAAGGAAGGATATCACGTGTTAAGAAAAAATTTCGGGTTGGATTTTGAAAATTTTTTAGGGATCGGGTTCAAAAAGTGTCCGGGTCGTGTAACCAAGGAAACTCAAGGTAACCAGTAACATTAGTTGCCAGACCTAAAAATTGTGGGATCGAAGCAGGGTTACTTTTGTTAAAAATCTGGTACTTTTTGAAGCTCAAAATGGTCAGAGAACTGAGTAAGAAGTGAAAAAGGACGGCTTTCCTAGTATTTACTTTAAATTTAATGGAGATAGTCTATTTATTTTTGTCCCTCAATTTTGTGTTACTTTGCGTTCTTTAAATTTTCTTTTAAAATTTTTAAAAATTTTTTAAAATTTATTTTTTATTTTTCTAGTTATTTAAACAAAGTTGACCAGAAACGTGAGTCTTTTCTTGCCTATAAAAAATCTGAAAAAGAAGCAGCTTTGCAAAAATGATGCTTTATTAGAATTGTAAAGATTGATTGCCTTGTGTGTATTTTTAGACAAAAAAAAGTTTTTGGGATTTTTTCCTTTGCTCTCTAAAGGTTCGCAAGTTTTTTTTATTTATTTGTGAATGTTTTTTCGTCCCACCCCCAGTTACGGGACGTTTCCGTTTATTTATTTTACCTCCCTTAAGTCTTCTAAGGCTATATTTTGGCCATAACTTTTTTGATTCTTAACCGATTTAAATAATTCTTATATCAATCGAAAGCTCTGGATGTGAGGATTATTTCATCTAACAGGAGTGATTGGATCAGACTATCCTACAAAAAGTTAAATCTGGTTAAATGTGCGAAATCGTGATTTTTGAGATTAATTCAGCTGTAACTTTTCTTGTGATGATCTGATTAATTCACTCCTGTTAGCTTAAATGATCCACACATTCAGAGCTTTTGATTGATATAAGAACTATTCAAAACGGTTAGGTATTGCGAAAGTTATGGCCCAAAATATGGCCTCGTTTTGAGGGTGGTGGATCTTGCAGAACTCGCTCGGAGGATTTTTTAAAAATTTATTCAGAAGCTTTCTAAGTCTGAAAAAATTTTTATAGTTAATTTTTAATTTGTTTTGATTTATTTTTTAATTGAAAAAAGTTTTTGGAGAATTTTAAAATATAATTTCCCCGAGCGGGTTCGAACCTACGACCCCTTTCCGTTAAACATACAACTTGCGGATTTTTGGGAAAACAAAGGGAAGAAGACCCAATCTTTCTTTCTTAATTTATTTTAAAAATAAAAATAATAATTTTTTCTAAAGTTTGTTAATGTTGTTGATTTTACAACATTTTTATTTTTTTTTGTTTTTTAATTTATTTTTTAAAATTCCCTTTTTAGCTCTAAAAACCTTAAAAATTCTTTAATTTTCTTCTTCCAAAGATGACTTCAAATATTAAATTAAATTCAATTCTTCGAATGTCTGGAAAGCTGCTAATTGCTACAGCACCTGTTTTGACGGTTTTTTTAAAGCTTTTAAATTTTTTAAAAATTAAAAAAAAATTTTAGACAGAATTGAAGGATAAAGATGACAAGACAGCACAACAAGAGCGACATCCAAGAAATCAGAGAACTTTTAATAAGGTTTGGGGTTTTTATTTTTTAGTGTTTCTGAATAGTTAGGGGATGTTTGAAAATATTTTTTATTTTATTTTTAATTTTTAAAATTGAAGAAACCAGAAAAATGGGTTTTGTTAGTTCGGAGGGAGTCGTGGGTTCGAACCCGCTCGGGGAAATTATTTTTTATTTTGTCTGAAAAACCTTTTAGATATCCGAAAGATTGTTTGCGACAACTTTTTGATTGTTTTCATTTATTTTTCCCCCTGGAAATTTTTGTGGATAATTTTAAAAATTAATTCCCCCGAGCGGGTTCGAACCCACGACCCCCTTTTTCCTTAGGATTTTAAGGGGGATGAGGAATAGGGTCGTGGGGAAATTTTTTAATTCTATAAGATTTTTGAATAATTTTTATATTTTTAAAGATTCCACAAGCTCCAAATACTTCAACGAAAATGTTGACTCCAGAAGATTTGAATCATGAACAAAAAAAGGGAAGCATTCTAACTAGTCATCCTGTTGTTTTGGGTGGTGCTGGTCTTACTGTGTTTGTTTTTTTATAATAAAATATTTTTGGGAAGAAAGAGCTTTTAGATATTTCTTAAGAAATTTGCAGAATTTTTTTTTGGTTTTTTGGATTAATTAACGTTAATTTTCACTTAAAATGAGTTTCCCTTTTCTCTTTATAATAGAATAAACAAAACACCTCATGTTTATTGTCGTGGTGTAATGGTTAGTGTGTTCGACTCGCCCCTTTAGGGCTCATGGTTCGATTCCTTTTGCCTCCTTTCTTTTTCTTTTAATTCTTTTAACATTTCATTTTAGGATTAAAATTTTTTATTTGATTTTTAGGGGGTCAAAAAAATTTTTTTGGACCTCCTGGAAAATTTTTTTCTCAGAATAAAAAAAATTTTTTTAATTTATTTATAAATTTTAATTTTCAGTGCAGCACTTATGTACATGATTCGTTCTTCAATGGCTGGTGATGGCAATGCTATGCGTTTGGGAGCACAGTAAATATTTTTTAAAATAAAAAATTTTTTAATTTTAAAAATTTAAAGGTATCGTATAGCAGCACAATTAGCTACTTTTGCCATTTGTTTTATTGTTGCTTTGTCTGCTGCAAAGACTTCAATGGCTAAAGAAAAGTAGAGAGGGAAGGATATATTTGTATAAAAAAAGATACAAAGAAGAGGAGTTTGTAAAAAATATTTTTTTAGAAATAAATATTATATAAATTTTCCAAAAATTAATTTTCTGTGAAAAAGTTTGAATTTTTGAGGGAAATTATTTAATAAATAAATTTAAAAATAAGCCAAATTTGGTGTAATGCATAATTTTTGGGATAAATGACATTTTGTCCCAATCGACAGAGAAACTAGTAAGGAAATAGTGTGGGTAATGAAAAAGGAATTTTTAGAGATTTTTTTATTTTAAATTATGAAAATTTGGCATTATGAAGATTATTTTTAATAAATGACATTTGGTCCCCAAATTAGAGAAGCAAAAAGAAATAGTGTAGTTAGAGAATCAGAGAAAAAATATTTTTTGGAAATGAAAAATCGATATCAATCAATACTAATCGATAATTAATTTTTTAAAAATTTTTATTTTTCAAAAAATCGATATCAATCGATAAAATCAATACTAATCGATAATTAATTTTTGAAAAATTTTTATTTTTCAAAAAATCGATATCAATCGATAAAATCAATACTAATCGATAATTAATTTTTTAAAATTTTAAAATACATTTATTCAAAATAATATAAAAACGAGCACTCAGAAGGGATATTAGAGTCTTGGAACAATAAAGGGATCATTTAGAACGAAGGCGTAAAATTGCACAAAATTTAAATGATCTATTGCATGTAGATAATTTTGGGATATTTATTAAATTATTTAAATTTTAGAACAAGGGACATTAGAGTATCACTGTTGCGGCCAGCTATTCGGAGTCATAACTTTTTTGTTTCGAAAATAAATAGGGTCAAGCTTGGTATCGTTCGAAAGCTAATGAGTAGAGGATTCTTTTATCTGAAAGGACCCATCTAATCCGCCCATCTTAAAAAATATATGGCCTGATAAACGTGGAAAATCTAGATTTTCCGCCCTTATTTGTCCATAACTTTAAGAAGAAGCATTGGATCAGACTGGTCCTTTTGGATAAAAGCATCTACTTGTCATTAGCTCTCGAATGATACCAAATTTGGCCCAACTCCCTTAAAAATAATAAAGTTATTGTCCTACAAAGCTTTCTGAAATGTGATACTCAAGTGTCACCATATCCATGAGTGGTTGATTAAATGCGAAAAATAAAAGCTCAGAGCTAGGGATGCCTCTTATGTTTTTTGGCCTGAAATTATGTCTAAATTCTGATTTTAAAAAATCCAAGTGGCATCCCTCAACTAAAAGAAAATAATAGCAGAGATTACTCAAGGGAATTTTTAGAAAAAGAGGAAAAAACACCGGTTTTTCTTGATTAAGTTGTGGTGAATGAATGACTTGGCATTTTTTTGTTTGTTCAAAAATAATTTGTTTTTTAAGAATAAATTGTAACAACTTCTGAACCTGAGCCACGAACTAATAAAACTCTGGGTAATCCTTCTGTGAGGGCTTCGATAAATTCCATATCTGTTTAAAAATAAAATTGAGGATATAGAGAGAAAATAAGGGGAGGAATTGAACTCCGCAACTGTCTCCATGAGCCATATTTCGATCCTTAACTTTACGCTACCTCAACTATTTAGAATAAACCTTATATCATTCGAAAGCCCTGGATTTGCTTATTATTTTTCTTAATGAGATAGATCTGTTACGATCATCTAATAAAAAGTTAGAAGCGGTTAAAGACCAAAAATCACGATTGCGCGCACTTAACAGCTCATAACATTTTAAGTAATGATCAAATCGTGTCAGTTCCTTGGGGATAAAGAATAGACACATTCAGAGCTTTCGAATGATATAAGGTTTATTCGAAATGGTTAATATACAAAAAAGTTTTGCATCAAAATATGGTTCAGGGAAGTAATCAAAGGGACATCCCCCTTACCCATAAAAATAAACATAGAATAAGCAAATTCCGGAAAGAATCTAATCTTTCCGGAAACAAAAATAAATTTGAAAATAACTATAAAATATAAAAATAAACTTAAAATTTCCGGAATATAATAAATATAAAAATATATTCCTGGAAAAATATAACCTTTCCGGAAACAATATAAAAATAAACAAATTCCGGAAAAATATAATCGTTCCGGAAACGAATATAAATAATTTTCCGGAAAAAATATAATCCTTTCCGGAAACAATATGAACATAAACAAATTCCGGAAAAATATAATCATTCCGGAAACGAATATAAATAATTTTCCGGAAAACCATAAAACTTGCGAAAAAAATATATAAACTCACAATAAGTATCATTTTGACCAACTTCCGGAGGACCAGGTAAATTAACTACAAGTAATTGTGCATTACTACTTCTTTCCCTCATATATTGATTTAATTTTAAAGCTGTATGCATTCTTGCTACGGTATAAGGGATTTGTTGTTGTTCATCAGAAATATTTGGAATAGTTCTTTCTGGAGATGGGGTAGTAGTAGAAGGATCTATTGTTGTTGTTGAAGGCTTTTTGAACTTGAAAAAAATTTTTTTAGAAATTTTCAAAAATTTTTTAATAAATATAAAGCTTGGTAGAGGTTATAATTTTGCTTCAGGAAAATTCCGGAAATATATTTAATTTTGTGTTTCCGGAAGAATAATTAAATATATTGAAAATTCCGGAAAATACAACTTTTCCGGAAATAAACTAACAAAAAAAGAAACAAAAATTCCGGAAAGAATATAACTTCCTGAAACGAATATAGGTAAATAATTTTCCGGAAAGTTATAAAGAAAATATAAATATACCTAATATATTTTCCGGAAAGTTGACAGTATAAATTCCGTAAAAATATAACTTCCGGAAACGAATATAAATATCTTTCCGGAAGGCTATAAAGCAAAATATAAATATATATATTTTCCGGAAAGTTGATAGTAACAAATTCCGGAAAAAGTATAACTTCCGTAAAGCTATAACATTTAATAAAATTTCCGGAAAAAGTATAACTTCCGGTAACTATAAAATATTAATATAAATTTCCGGAAAAGTATAATATTTATAATTAATTTAATTTTTAGTTATTTTTACCTCAACAGAATGTTCACTAAATCTAACTTTATTTGTTGCCCCCATATTTTTTGTTGTTTGTCTTTCATTATTATTTTCTGATTGTTGTTCTGGTTGTTGTTGTTGTTCCAAATTACTAGAACGACGTCTAATATTATTATTTACACCCATTCCATCTACACGAGAATATTTACGTTCTAAAACAGCTTCGTCCATTGTTGCCTGAAAAAAATTGAGAATTAATTTTTTTTTTAATTTAGAAGAATTTTTTGAATTAAAAAATTTTTCTAACAATTCCAAAAATGTTTTTAAAAATAGTTAAGCCAATTAAACGGTAAAAAAATTTTTTGAAATAAATTATGGAACATAAAATAGATCTTTTTTTGAAATTTACATGTAACTAATTTAAAAAAATATTTGAAAAATTAAAGAAAATATTCAAAAGATTTAAAAAAAAATTTTCTTTGCAAAATTCTAAGGAATTCAAAGGGTTTTTGAATTGAAAAAATATTTTTAAAAAAATCAAAATTTTTTAAAAAGAATTCCAAAAATGTTTTTAATAAAAGTTAAGACAATTAAGCGATTAAAAAAATTTTTTTCTAAAGTAATTCCGGAAAAGTAAAATTTTTTCTTAATTTTTTAACCAAAATTCTAAGGCATCTGGACGATTTTTTAATTCTTAAAAAAAACCAAACAAAATACCCACCTGAATATCAGTAATTTTTTCATTTTTTCTCATTTCTTTCAACATTTTAACCCTTTCCTCCATTTTCATAGTTCTTTGATAAACATAAGGTTCAATTTCAGTTGAATCAATTTCCATAACATTTACTTGTGCTTCAATTCTTAAATGGTAAAGAAAACGTTCCAAATCTTTTTTCATTAAAATTGGATTTTCATCTGTTTGGGCAAAAGTGAATAAACGAACTGTTGTATTTTTCCAGGTCTGAGGGGAAAAAATTAAAAATTAAAAATATTAAAAATTGTTCTAAAATATTTTTAAAATTAATTTAGAATTTTTAACACACTTTTTAAATTTTTTTTTAAATTTTTAAAAATTATTAGGGTATTTTTAAATTAATTTTTGGGTATTTTTTGAGTTATTGTTGACTATTTTTAATTAAAAAATTTAATTTTAAAATTCTAAAAATTGTTCTGAAAATTCTAAAAATTGTTCTAAAATATTTTTAAAATATTTCTTAGAATTTTTTTAATTTTTAAAACACTTTTTAAATCAAAAATAGTCAAAAATAACCCAAAAAATACGCAAAAATTAATTAAAAATAACCCAATAATTTTTAAAAATTCATAAAATATTTAAAAATATTCAGAAATAATTTTAAAAATTTTTTAAAAAATTTTAAATAATTTTTAAAACATTTAAAAATTAATATCTAATCATTAAAATCATTTAAAAATGTAAAAAAATTGAAATGACCCCGGTGGGACTCGAACCCACAGTCTTCTGATTAGAAGTCAGACGCCTTGTCCATTAGGCCACGGGGCCACATGTTAGTAATTATTTATTTACAGTCATAATGAGAATAAAATAAAGAGAGAATTACTTAAATAAAAGGAAAAAATAAATTTAGACTACAAAAGAGAATTTTCTTAGGTTTTTTAATTTTAAAATAAAGAAATTAAATTTTAAATAAATTCAAAAATATTTTAAAAATTTTTCTTATAATTAAAAATTAATTTTTAATAAATTAGAGGTTTTTTAGTGAAAAATGGTAATTTTTTCGAATAAATTTTAAATTTTTTGAAGGACTAAAAATCTCAAAAATTATTTTTTCCGGTTCTAAAATTAGAAAAAATTTCAATTTTTAAATATTATTAAGAGAAAATATGTTTAAAAATTTTTAAAAATTAAAAAAAAACGACAACCTTATTTTTAATGAGCAAAAAAGGTATGAGCATAAGTAGACCACCATCATTAACAACCTTAAAATTTTAAAATTATTTTTTTAATATTAAAAAAAATATTCTAGATTTTTTTGAGGTTGTATAATACAAAGGACCTCAATTTTATATAATACACATCAAAAAATACATCCTCAATTTAAAGACCATTTTTTAAATTTTGGGTTGGTTAGTGGATTTGAACGACAATTTTTTTATTCTTTTCCGGAAAACAATAAAATTGTTTTAAAAAATTCTGGAATACCTAAACTAAAAAGGTTGGGAAGAGAGTTGCCTTAACTACAAACATAAGCGATACCATTTAATTATGGCACGTACGTAATTCCTATTTAAATTTTTTTCCAGACCTAAAAGTCGAGGTCTGGGTCTGGATAGGCCTCTAAAATCGAGGTTTATTAAATTAAAAAAATTTTAATTTTGATTTTTAAAAATTTAACCCAATAAATATCAATAGTTCCATTAAGACGTTCACTACATGTAGGAAAATTACTTGCATATTTTGGAACTAAAATAGCACAATTTGCAGCTGAAATAGTTCTAACAGTCTGGGCAAATAAAGAAGCTTCTTTCATTGGGTTTTGATTCTTTAAGGAAAATTTTTTTGGGAATTTTTTAAAAATAAATTTAAAATATACTTCATTAGAAACACTCCAATGTTCAGGCCAGGCACATACAACACTTTAAAAATAAATTTTAAAAAATTATTTTTATAGTCAAATGTTTTTAAAATTAATTTATTAAAAAAGAGAATTTTTAAAAATATTAGAAATAATCGAAAATTAGAAAAACAAGAGGTTAGAGACAAGAGGTTATATGTAGTCCCTTAAGAATTCCGGAAAAATAAATACATATTTATTAAATTAATGTTGCGGAAAAAGAATAAAATTGTTAGAATAATTTCCGGAACAAGTATAACTATCAGAAACATTCAGAGAAAAAAACAATATAAAAATAACTCTCCCGAAATTATAAATAAAATCCGGAAAAATAAGCATACGTATATTTAATATTCCGGAATAAATATAAATTCCGGAAAATAATATGACTTCCGGTTAAATATACTTATATAACTTCCGGTTAAAAATATAAATATATCTTCCGGAAAAAATTCCGGAAAGAATTAAATATAAAAATAACCTTCAGAAATATAAACTTTCCGGAAAAATTATAAATAATAAAATCCGGAAAACTAAAAAATTTCCGGAAAAAGTTTATTCTCAAAAATATTATTAAATATTTTTCTCTACCTATTATGTCGAAGACCTCCCAAACCAGACGTTTGAATTAAATGGGATATTCCTTGCATAAAATGTTCTGTTACCAAAACATCACAAAAACCGCGAATTCTACTTTCTTTTACAGCATCTTGTAATTCCTTTGAACAAAAATTTTTTTTGTTTAAAATTTTTCAAGAATCCACCTCTTTAATTGTACAAATATCACTTTTAGAAATTTGAGCAAATTGTCCTTCAATACATTCAGCAATTAAAGTTAATCCTTTCCCAGCTTTTAATTGGGCTACAAATGCAAGTAAACCTTTACGTGTATTTTCTAAATTTGAATAAAGTTGTTCCATTTTCTTTGAAGGATACAAAACTAACTGAAAATTAAAAAAAATTATTTTTTTACTTAAAAAATTTTCAAAAATTTTTTCAAAATTTTCAGAAAATTTTCCGAAAAAAATTTTTTTTAACAAACAATTTGAGGCCGCCAATTTCTAGTGTGCATAATTCCACGAGAATCAACATTTAAAAGTGCAAAACGCGCGGCAGACAATGCAAGACCTTTTAATCCGTCACCCCATTCTTTTTCTGCTCCAGCATATTCTATATCTAGAATTTAGAAAAATATTAAGTTTATAAATATATAATTCCGGAAAAATAATAGTTAAACTATTTAAATTGATGTTCCGGAAAGGAACAGAATAATAATAAATTCCGGAATAAATATAACTCAAAAAATTCCGGAAAGAAAAATATATAACTACATATAGTGACTAGAGAATTCCGGAAAAATAATTAAATTCAAACCAATGCTCCGAAAAATAAATAAAATTATTAGAATTAATACAGAAATAAATATAACTATCGGAAAGATTCCGGAAAGAATATAATATAAAAATAACATTCCGGAAATTATAAATAAAATCCGGAAAACTAATATATATAACTTCCGGAAAAATTTTGGAAGAAATAAAATTTAAAAACAACTTTCCGGAAGTTATAAACGTTCCGGAAAAATTATATGTAAGCAATAAAATCAGGAAAATGACAAATTTCCGTAAAAAGTTTAATTATTTAAAAAGCTTTCCGGAATAGAATAATAAACCAACATTTATAAACAGCAGCCCCAATAAATATTGCAACCAATGCAAAATACCAAGCAGATATAAACATTACAGCAATACATAAAAATGCTCCCAAAGTAGATAACGACCAATGAAAGTATCTAAATGATGGACGCCAACCTAAAAAATAAATTTTTTAATTAATTTTTTTAATTTAATTTTAAACCAACCTGGAGCCTTGAGTAAAGATTGTAAAGCACATGCTGTAAAATAAAAAGAAATTTAAAAGAAATTTTTAATAATTTTAAAATTAAAAACTACCTGCATTTACACCCAAATAACACATTAGAAAGAATTGTGTAATTAAAGCTGTTATATTTTCTATGACGGCAATTAAAATACCTTGAAAAAAATTTAAGAATAAGGTTAGATTTAAGTTTAAACTAAGTTCTAAGTTTACTACTTAAGTTTTAAATTAAAATTTAAGATTGAGCTTAAATATAATACTAATTCTAAGTTTAAGCTTAAAATAAAGTTCAAACTTAAGATTAAACTTAAAATTAATTCTTAAAATAATAATTCTTAAGTCTATGAATAAAAATTAAATTTAATTGAATAAAATTCCCCACCTAACCAACATATACAAAGCGTCAAGAAAATAGCTCTAATAGGTTCCCCACGTCTATCAGTTTTTTGAAAAGGTCGCAAAAAGGGTATAACATCTAGAAGAAAATTTTATTTTTAAATTTAAAAAAAAGTATGTTTCACCATCAGCAGAAATAGCCTGTAATAATCTTGGAGCACCAGTTAAAGATTGCATACCAGCACCTATTGTGGAAGAACAACAACCAATCTACCCATAAAAATAAGTCCAAGAATAAATTTTTTAAATAGTTTTTTTACCAAAATAAGAAGTGGATGAGGAATTGCCAATTCAGCTATTACCTAAAAAAAATTTTTTTTTAATTTTTCAAAAAAAAATTTTTTTTAATTTTCAAGAAATTTTTTTTCAAAAAAAAATTTTCAAAACATACAAGTTTTCCCATAGCAGATTGTCCAAATTTATCTCTTATAAACATTTCTGCTACAGAAGAACCAATAAGAACAGCACCAGTTAAATAAACTATAGAAGTTGTTAACTGAAAAATTCTTTCCATAATTATTTTTTTTGAAAAATTTACCTGAGCACCCAAAGTTCCAACAGGTATAGATTTTGAAGCATCTAATATTTAATTTAAATATTTTTAAAATTAAAATATTTTTTTTAAATTTACCTCTCAAATTTCCTGAACGATTTGAACCTGCCATTATTCCTGTTACAGAAGGGAAGAAAACACCAACCAAAATCCTAAAAAACAAAAAAATAAGGGCTTAAAAATAATTTACTTAAGTTTATAAACTTAAAAATTAAGATCAAGCTTAAAAGTTAAACTCAAACTTAAAACTTAAGTTTAAACTTAAAATTAAGTTTAAAGTTTATAATTAAGTTATATTTACGATCAAACTTAAAACTTAAGTTTAAACTTGAAAAACTTAGTTTAAATATTAATTATATATTGAGTGTAAACTTAAAAAGTTAAAAATCAAGGGTTGAGCTTAATTATTAAAATGTTTAAGTATTAACTCGTGTTAGAATTAAATTAAGATTTTCTTTTCAAATGATAATTTAAATAAATATTATTTAAAAAACAAACATAAAAGACGTCGTTGTATCAGAAAACACCCAAAACGAATTTTGTTTATTATTTGGATCTGGAGGTAATTCTGGAGTTTTTGATTGTAATTTAGTTAAAACATCTCCATTACGTCGATATTTGCTATATAAATTTTCATAAAATACTCCACTAGAAAGACCAGGGATTGCTGACTATAATTTTTTAACATTTAATTTTATTAGAAATCGACACGGATTTAGATCCAGATATTGATTCTTTCTGGATTCAGAGTCAAGATTCCTCAATTTTTCCTTAACCTTGATCATTCATTGACTCAAGGTCAAGAATCATGGTCAAGGTTTTTTTAAATCTCCGAGATCTATTTTTTAATAACTAGCCCGCCTAGGAACCTAAATTCAAATAAAATACATTTTCAAGTCTTCAAGTCTCAATTTAACCGAAAAGAATAGTTTCCACACTTACCTCCATTCTAATATCTGACGGATTCGATTGCACTACTCTCTCAAAATAACGATCACAATTTGATAAAACTGCTGGTTTTGCATAAGAATGAACTATTTTATTCCTTTGAAATGATTTTTTAATAGAAGTTTTAATTGTTGTTGTATCCAAATTATTGTTGTTTTTATTGTTGTTTGTTGGTTTCATACAAAAAACATTTCGAAGTCCCTCATCTGTACAATTAGGTATATAACCATGAATAGCATGAAAACCACTTAAATCAACGGGGCGATTTCCAACCATGCAAAATCTAAAGAAAAAAATAATTTTGGTTAAAAATTATCGAGATGAAGTAAAAGTTGAGGAAAATTTTATAAATAAAGTCAAAGAATTTTAAATTAAAATTTTAATTTTTAAGATAGAAAAAAAGAAAAAAAATTTTTTAGGTTGAATTATAAGATTAAAAAAATCAAGTTTAGCTTAGACTTAAGTTCAAGCTACGAAATAAAGTTTGAACTTGAAAAGATTGAACAAATAATTTTTAAGCTTAAACTTAATTTAAAATATTTCCGGAAAGAATAAATATAAAAATTATTCGGAAGTTATAAACTTTCCGGAAGGAAATAAATAAAGAAAATATAATTTCCGGAAGATTCCGGAAAGAATAAAATACATATAAAAATAACTTTCCGGAAGTTATAAACCTGCTATAAACTTTCCGGAAAATATAATAAAATCCGGAAAAAGTTTATTTTAAAATCCTTTCATTTTTTAATTTTTAAAAATTTACTTAAGTGAATCAGTGCCTCCAAATTTAAGAAAAATACCGACAAATGTACAAACTATACACGCAATAACAACAAGAACAGCAGGTAAAGCAAATTTATTTACAATCTAAAAAAATTAATTTTAATTAAAAAATAATTTTTCTACCTTAACCCCAGCTAGCACAATTAATCCAACAAGAATTAATAAAATAGAACCAAAAAGTCGAAAATTGTGATACTAAAAAAAATTTCAACAAAAACCCTCATAAATAAAATTACCATATCATCAAATACTTTTGCCTGAGGCATTATGTAAATTAAAAAAATTTCCACAGCGCCAATTATATACATTGAAGCAGCTATTGTTGTGCCTAAGTAAAACTGAGAAAAAGGGGGGAAAATAATTTAAAAAAAAATTTTTTTTTATTACCAAAATTCCGACAGCACCTCCAAGCTCTGGTCCAAGATTTCTTGAGATCTAAATTAGAAAGAAAAATTAAAAATAGAGAGAGAAAACCCCACCATATAATAAGGACCACCACCTGAAACAACACCGTTAGTAGCTATGGCAGAGAGTGAAATTGAAGTGAGAAAGGTCTGAAAAAATTTTTTGAAGTTTCCGGAAAATAATGAAAAAATTCTTTAGTTACCACACTGCAACAAAGAAGCACCACTAAAAAAGCTTCAAGTACTCCGGCAGTTCCAACAATCCATGGGAGACGAATAAAAAATAAAACACCAAAAATATTTTGAAGGCAAGGAATGTAACTTAAAAAATTTTTTTTTCTTCAAAAAAATTTCACAAAATTTTTAACTTACACCCCCATAATTGTCCCCAATTTAGCAGCAGCCTGTGGTTTTCCATTTCGATTTTTCCCATTATTATTATTTCCATTTGCTCCATTTGAAGACCCTTTAATTGTCGATTCTGGATCCTCATTAGATGTTGGTAAAATGGAATTGTAGAGGGATAAGGAACGCAACATCTGACCGATATTCTGTCGTTTTGCTCCGCTGTATTCATCCTACAAATAAATTAAAGTTGAATCCGGAAAATATTAAAAGAAAAATATTATCTTTCCGGAAAATACATTTAATATGCTTCCGGAAAATAATATTATACAAGAATTATATAATTAATTCAAACTATCCGGAATTTATAGAATTATAATAAAAATAATTACTCTTCCGGAAAATTCCGGAAAAAGTTTATTCTTTCCGGAAGATAATATTTAATAATTATATATAATTATTCTTCCGGAAAATACTTAATATTATGCTCAAATACCGGAAATAAAATAATAACCCCTTAAATAACTATACTTTCCGGAAAAAATTATATTTTCCGGAAATATTATATTTTCCGGAAAAAATATATTATAACCTCATTGTTTTTATTATTCTCTATATCTACCTGATATAAAGCCAAGTTTAAATCGCAATGTTGTTTAACACATAGAGGCACATTTTCAGGCAATAAAGGAGTACCCCCATTATTATGGGAAGTATCAACTTTATTATTGTTCGTCGCCAGCCTGTTATTAGTATCAGTAATTAATAGAGGTTGTTGTGACAATTCTTAATTAATAACATTTTTCTCTAATTTTGATGTTTTTTTTTAATTTTTGTTGATGGAAATAAAATTTTTTATTATAAAAAATGCTTTACAATTCCCCCTTAAAGATGCATGTTTTTTGTAGGTGAGAGGGTAAAGGAAATATTTAATAATGGAATATTAGCAAAAAAATTTTTTTTGAATAGAAAAAAATTTTTTAGTCCAGACAAAAATTATTATGAGTATACTATTATTAAATATAAGTATATATTTTTTAGTTCCTTGTTCAGGTCTGTCTATACTATTTACAAAAAAATTTTTTATTATTAACTATTAATTAAAAAATAAAAATTATTTAAAAAAATAGACTAATTAGCAGAAAAAATTGTAAAATATAATTTTTAAAAAATATTTGAAAAAAAAGAGAAAAAAATATTGGTGTGATGACATACGAGATTTTAACAAGAAAACAAAAAAATATTTTTCCTGGTGATATTAAAAAAATTTTTTTCAAGAGATTCTATAATTAATCTTTTTTAAATGACAAGTTCTCTTGTGTATGATGTCCTATAAAAAAATAAAAGTACTCTGTTTTATAATTTTATGTAAAAAATGAAAAAAAAATTTTCCTCTACCAAAGGACATTCAAAAAACAAGCAAAAAAAGACAAATTAGAATACCCATCATTATCATCACAATATTTTTTTTCATATTTAATAAATAAATTTAGAAGAAGCCTCAACTATTGATAATAAATGGGTACGTCAATGTACGTCAAAAAATATATTTTTAATTAGAGCATAGCCGAATGGGGTCGGTCGATATTTTTCGATAAATATCAAAACCAAATATTGAAAAAAAATATTGTATCGAGCAGGGCTCTAATTTTAATTAACAATATTTTTGAGTTAAAAATTTAAAAGAAATTTTTTAAAGAGGATTTCTAAAATTTTTAAATTTTAAGCTCCAAGGCCTATAAAAATTCAGACTAGGACACGGATACTGATTTTGGTACCCGTATCCGGATATTTACGGCGGATACAGGCGGATATCCGCAGGCATTTTTATAATATCAGTATCCATATCCGTATCCATGTCCTAGTGTGTAAAAATTTTTTTAAAATCAAAAGAAATTTTATAAAGAAGCTCCAAGGCTTAGAAAAATTTATTTTTACTTCATTAAAAAATATATGGTAAAAATGGGGAGTGAAAATTTGACACAATTTTTATAAAAAAAATATAGAGGTAGTAAATATATTTGAGAACATAAAAAATAAAAAAATAATTGCTTCCCATGGATTTAACAACACTTTTTTATTCAAATTTATATATACGTATGTTTGTTTGTGTGCCTCTAGGCTTCAAACAAAAATTAAGGCTTTACTTAAAAAAATAAAAAAAAAGAGGAGGAAGGACAAACAAAATGTAAAAAATTTATTTATATATTTAATTGGCATTTGACAGACGAGAATGAAGAGAATTTTTATAAGTAAAAAAAAATTTTTTTTTAGTTTACTAAAAAATCTCTGACAATGTCAGAAAAATGCACCCCCTAAAGCAGCAAAAATGTTGGAAATAAAAAATACAAGGAAAATAAAAATAAATAAAAGAAAAAAAATTAATTAAATATATAGCAAGTACATAGAAGGTACTCCAATAAAAATTCAAAGAAAAAATTTATTTTTGAAACAAAAAATTTTTTTAACAGAAAATTTTTGTCAGAAAAATGCAACCTAAAGCTGCAAAAATGTTGGAAAAAAATATAAGGAAAATAAAAATAAAAAAAAATAAAAAAATTAATTAAATATACATATAGCAAGTACATAGAAGGTATTTCCATTAAAAATTCGGAAAAAATTCAAAAAAAATTTTTTTCAAAGAAATTTTTTTTCCAAAAAAATTCAAAAAAAAATTTTAAAAAATTAGAAAAATTTTCAAAAAATTCGGAAAAAAAATTTTTTTTTCTTGAACAAAATTATTTCCGAAACTAATTAAAAAAAGGACAAGAATTGTTAAATATCCAAAAATAGGTTGTATTTCTAAATATGTGGCATAATTTTGTATTTAAATTCTTTTTAAATATTTCATAGCGTGATTTTTATAAAGAAAAAAGAAAAAAATTTTTCCTTTAAAAAATTTTCAAACTCAGAAAAATAAAAACCAAAAATCTTGGAAAATTACTTAAATACTTCTAAACCTATATGGAAAACCAGGAAATAAAAAAATGGAAAAAAAAACTATAAGAAAAATTTTTAAAAATAAGAAAAAAAATAATTATGCATATAAAAATATATAGAAAAAAAAATAAATAAAACAATATGTAGTTAATTATTTTATAAAAAAATTTTTAAAAAACACAAAAAATATAAAAAAGTGGAGAAATAAATAAATAAAATATATTGTTTAAAAATAAAATAAAATGGAAAAGAAAAAAATAACAATTTTTAAAAAAATAAAAAAATATTATTTATTGTTCATAAACTTTCAAAAACAAAAAAAAAAAACAAAAAAAAAACAGAAAGAACAAGAAACCAAATTTTTAGAAAAAAAATCTACCAAAAAAATTTTTTTTAAAGAAAATTTTTTTTAAAAAAATACTCTTAAGAATGCATAAGATAAAACAGAATTTTAAAGAAAAATACAAAAAAAAATATCTAGAAAAAATTAAAAAAAAATATTTTTGTTTTCCAAAATAGCTAACCAAAAATAATTTTTTGTATTTAACTTTTGTTTAAAAAAAGTTTTTTCCAAAAACAGGAAATTTTTAAAAAACAGGAAAAAACACACACATTCTTAAAATCTATTTAAAAATTAGGGGAAAAATAAAAAAAAAAGAAAAAAAATATTTAAAATTAAAAAAAGTGAAGCATTTTGTGCCTAAAGCTTTACTTATATAAAGAGGAGAAAACCTCTTTTATTCTCGCTTAAAGCAGCAAAAAAAAAGATAAGAAAACGAAAAATATTTAAAAAAAGAGTTTATTTTATTTTTTCGGCAAAATTTTTTTAGTTAAAAAATGAAGATTTTGGCCAAAATATTTGTGTGAAAAAAAAAAGAATTTTTTAAAAAAGAGGAAATGAAAAAAGGAACTACAAAGTTGTTAGTGTGTTATTTATTTTTTTTGGCAAAATGAGGAACTAACAAAATTTTAGAACGAATAATATTAAATGAAGAAAAAGAAAAAAAAGTTTTTTAAGAAAATTAGTTTTTTCTTGAAGATAAATATAAATTTTAAAATTAAATTTTAAAATTAAATTGAATATAGACAAACTTTAGTTTTATAAGAATATAAAGTCTTAGAAATAAAACATTGTATATGTTTTATCTTCCGGAAAATATATTTTATTTATATGAAAGAAGTATACTTTCCGGAAATAATATGTATAATGTAAAATAGATACATACAAAGGGGACACGCCCACTTAGTCGCGCGGCCACTTAGTCGCAGAGCCATAACTTGCTAAAAAATTTCTACCAATCTCTTTAGCTCGATGAGAGGAATCGTTTAATACCAAATTTGGAAAGATTCGGAAATCTTAAAGCAAGTTATGGCTCTGCGACTAAGTGGCCGCGCGACTAAGTGGGCCGTACCCACATACAAAGATATAATTATTCTGGTATAACGTTGTTGTTATTATATTTTCAGGAGAATATAATATTCTGGAAAATAATAAAATATTAGGTATATGTATTATATTTTCCGGAAAGGAATAATTAAAGAAAATATAGAGAAAAATAATTTTTCCGGAAATATAATAATAAATGTTTAATTCCGGAAAAAATATTTATATATTTTATAATTCCGGAAATTAACTTTTTACGGAAAACTTAATTAAAATAAACTTTATATACCTACCGTATTTGCTCTAATTGAATGACTGTCATTCTATTTTTCAATACCCCAAAAATATGTCATTCAATTAGAGAGGTCATTCAAATAGAGCGGGTCATTCTATTTTTCATAGGTGAAAATTAAGGATGGAATTATTGAAATTGGGGGGGGGGGATTTTTGTCGAAAAGACTTGGCCCGACCGAGTCTTTTTCGGGTCAAAATTCGATACCCGACTTGAGTTTTCGGACCGGACCGGGCCGACAACCCTATTCTCAAACAATAAATCGCCAAACACTCGTCATAAACACAACTAGTGAACACAATTTGCCGAAATATCTCCTGACACGAGTTTATTTCGAACATAAACAAAAAATTAACCTAAGTAAGAATTATAATTTTTAATAAAATACCTAATAATTATCAAAACATAGTAATTCTGGTACCATTCGACTCAGCTTGAAGAGCTGAGTAAAGTAAGATAAGCCTTAAACATCTAATTTTGAATTTTTACCCCGAATCCGATTTTGTCGAATTCGGGTCCGAGATTCGAAATAAACAAATTCTAAGTTGAGATTCGGACTCAGCACACTCGATTACTTACTAACAAACCTCAAAAATACCGAAGGAGCATTTTTTACTAATTTTTTCTAGGGATCAATGATCTTAAGGATTACCGAAGGATAATATCCATCTGATAATGTTTCTACGTCGATTTTATCGTCAATATTATAAAAAAATCCATTCTTAAATTATAATTAAGAATATACGTACGAGAATATTAATAAAAATTTTGAATTATTTTTTCACCTCTAAAGGGTCATTCAATTAGGGGGGTCATTCAAATAGAGAGGGTCATTTTATTTTCCAATACCCCCAAAAATGTGTCATTCAATTAGAAGGGTCATTCAAATAGAGGAGTCATTCAATTAGAGCAAATACGGTATCTTATTTTCCGGAAGAGTTATTTATTTTTAAAATAGTTAAGTAGTTTCTGTTAAAGCTAATAAAAATAAAGAAAAAAAATCCAATAAATAAATAAAAAAACAATAGAAACTCCAAAAAACATTAAATTTATTATTATTACCAGATTGAAAGGGATTAGACAACTACAAGCATTTATTAGGGGTAAAAAAAGCTGAAGGGGGAAGCTTTGCTGCCCCTTTCTCCTCTCTCCTCTCTGCTGGGACCAAGGAAAATGGAAAGAAAAAAGCAGGTGCCAAAAAAACATGTGGTGGTTCTTCTCCTCAAGCATATTAGGCAGATGATAAAAACAAAAAAATAGAGAAGAGGGTAGAAGAAAAAGTGGTGGAGGATTTTTAGTGACAGCCGATAGATATTAAGAGAGAACTGGTAGAGTATAAACCCCCTTAGAAAGGGGGAAAAGGAATAAAAAGAGGAAGAAGAACATCGCTAAAGGCACGAACGGAGAAAAGAAGATGGAAGGAATACATATTTTTATTTATTTTGAAAAGAAAAGTCGAAAAAAAAGGATAAAAGTAAAAACTTGCAAACGCGCATCACTAAAAATTTTATAAGTTGGGAAAGAATGGACCGTTCAAAATAAGATTTATATAATTAAATAGAGAATTGAATTAGCTACAAAAATGGCCAAAAATAAAAATTTTTAATTAAATAAAAGAAAAAAGTTATGGTCCAAAAACTAAGACATAAGTAGCATTTTTCTCCAAAATATTCCAGAAAGAAAATAGAGCCAAAAATAAATTCCGGAAAGGAAAATAATTATAAGAAAAAATTCCGGAAAGTAATATTTCTGGAATGTGATTATAGAGAATAATTTTCCGGAAAGAATATAACTATAGAAAAATAAATTCCAGAAAGAATGCAACTATAAAGAAAAGTTCCAGAAAGAATATACATAATAAATAAAAATAAATTCCGGAAAGATTCCGGAAAAATATAACTATAGAAAATAGAGTTACGGAAAAATAAATTCCGGAAAGGAAAATAATTAAAAGAAATAAATTCCGGAATGAAATTATAGAGAATATAATTTTCCGGAAAAATATAACTATAGTAAATTAGTTCCGGAAAGAATGTACCTATATAGAATATAAGTTCCGGAAAGAAAATAATAAATAAAAGAAACAAATTCCGGGATGTATAGTAGTTATAGAGAATATAATTTTCCGGAAAGAATACACTCTGCGTCAAAAAGATTCGGCCACCTTGTTTTTTGGGTATATTTTCGAGTATCCCTAAACAATTATAGTAAATACTATAAAAATATATAAATAATGACCAAAGATATTTGTATAAACAAAAAATTTTAAAAAATTTTGAAGTATAAATTTTTTATGAAAAAATTTCTAAAAAACATGTGCGTCAAAAAGATTCGGCCACTTTATTAAAATTTTTTAAATGTGCCATAAGTTATCCAAAAATTCCACAAAAATTCATATAAACATTTCCATCAATATCGAGTAGAAATGCAAAAAGAATGAAGTCCATAAATGCTTTCTTCATTGAGATCTCAAACCCTCAAAATCAACGAAAAACGGGGGTACAGTACTTAAAAAAATATTTTAAGCCCCTTAGGGATTAATAAAAAAATTTTTTCAGGCCTACCAGAAAGCCCACAAAATTTACTACAAAAAACACTTGGTCCCATCCTGTCGAAAAATTTTACCATTGAGGCCCCACCGGTTAAAGGAGCTTTCACTCAAATTACCCCATAAATTGTCAGTATTTCTAACTTTTAAATTTAACCGGTGGGGCCTCAATGGTAAAATTTTTCGACAGGATGGGACCAAGTGTTTTTTGTAGTAAATTTTATGGGCTTTCTGGTAGGCCTGAAAAAATTTTTTTATTAATCCCTAAGGGGCTTAAAATATTTTTTTAAGTACTGTACCCCCGTTTTTCGTTGATTTTGAGGGTTTGAGATCTCAATGAAGAAAGCATTTATGGACTTCATTCTTTTTGCATTTCTACTCGATATTGATGGAAATGTTTATATGAATTTTTGTGGAATTTTTGGATAACTTATGGCACATTTAAAAAATTTTAATAAAGTGGCCGAATCTTTTTGACGCACATGTTTTTTAGAAATTTTTTCATAAAAAATTTATACTTCAAAATTTTTTAAAATTTTTTGTTTATACAAATATCTTTGGTCATTATTTATATATTTTTATAGTATTTACTATAATTGTTTAGGGATACTCGAAAATATACCCAAAAAACAAGGTGGCCGAATCTTTTTGACGCAAAGTGTATAACTATAGGAAATTAATTCCGGAAAGAATGCACCTACATATAAAGAAAATAAATTCCGGAAAGATCGAATAATAGGAAATATATTCCGGAAAAAAATATAACCATAGAAAATAATTTTCAGAAAAATAAAAATTATTTATTAATAAAATATTAATAAAATTAATAAAATTTTACATTTTTTTGAAATATTTCAAAAAATTTTTTATTTAATTTAATCTTATTTTTGTAATACAAATTCAATTCTTATTTTTAAAATAAATAAAATACCTAAAAATATTCATAAAAAAAATTAATGCATTTTTTTGTGTAATATTAAGGTTGGAAAGGGATGAAGCTTAAAAGAAGAAAAAAAATTATTTAGAGAAAGAAAGGAAAATACATATATTATTTAAGTGCCAGCTGCTTTTTTTACTTAAAATATTATAGAAAAAAATATAGAAAAAATAGAGAGTGACTTTTAAAAAAAAATAAAGAGTCATCTCTCTCTCCAAAAAGGGGAATTTTATGGATGGGAGCAGGCCAGTATACCGCGAGCCCAGTATACCGCCGAGCTATAACTTCGTTCAAAATGGTCGAATCCGAGACGCCCTGGTATGGTTCGATTCAGCTCGTTGAGGCGCATCGAACCATACCAGTGCCTTCCGGATTCGACAATTTTGAACGAAGTTATAGCTTTGCGGTATACTGGGCTCGCGGTATAACAGGGTGTACCCCAAAAAGGGGGAATTTTATGGATATTTATTTAGATAAATGAAGAGAAAATTAAAAAAAAAAGATTTTTTTTTGTTCGAGATGACTGACAAGAAAAGAAGAAAAAAAAGGTTTTAAAAACATGTAAAAAATAAAAAAATTTGGAAGAATAATTAATTAAAGATAGAAGATGGACAAGAGAAAGTGGTTTAAAAATGAGGAACTAACAAAAGAAGAGAGGCTGGTAAATGATAAAGGCAAAAATAAAAGGGAGATTTAAAATTAAAAATGAAAAATAGCTTTATTCTCTTTGGCGGCATTTATTTAGATATTTTTTTTTAATATTGTTACAAAAAATGATTTATATATTTTTAGAAAATTAGTTAAAATGGAAATTATAAAGAAAAATAAATTCCGGAAAAAATAAAGAAAAGAAAAATAAATTCCGGAATGAGTATATCTACAGAAAAATAAATTTTCCGGAATGAATATAACTGCAGGAAATAAATTATTCCGGAAAGAATAAAGAAGAAAAAAAATAAATTTTCCGGAAGATATAACTACAGAAAAATAAATCCGGAAGGAATACAACTGTAGGAAATAAATTATTCCGGAAAGAATAAAAATAAATTACGGAAAGAATATAACTATTCAAAATAGATTCCGGAAAAGATATAGTTAACTTATAAAAACAACTGAAAAATAAATTCCGGAAAAAATAATTATTAAATAAATTCCGGAAAGAAATAGTTAGCAGAGTATAACCATAAAAATTGTATACAAACATATATAGAAAATATAAGTTTCCGGAAAATTAATAGTATTATCAAATAAAAATATTATGTATGCAAAAAGCAAATAGTAGTAATAAAAGTAAATAATAAGCTCATTAATTAATTATTAATAAAAAAATAACATTACTAATAATATTACTTTTAATAACATCAATTATTACAGAGGATAAGCATCAAAAATAAGCAAAAAAAATTATTAAATAAATTTTTAAGAGAAAGTTGACGGATTATACAATTGATCGGAACGTCTATAAAATGAAAAAAGAGCTTAGGAAAATTATTTAAAATTTTTAAAAATTTTTAGAAAGAAAAAAATTCTTTAAAAATCCAAAATTCACCACAAAATTTCAAAAAAAAAATTAATTTTGACTACAAAATTTTCAGACTAAAAAATAAATAAAATTGTGCCAACAGTAAATGTTCAAGGTTAAAAAAATAATTATTATCGTGTTTTATTTTTATGTATTTTCCCATGTTTCAAAAAATTTAAAAAAATATATTTAAAAAATAAATTAAAAATAAATTTGTAGTTATTTTTGGATTTAATATAAAAATAGAAAAAAAAATATTTTAAAAAATCCTATAAAAAAAATTTTGAAAAAAATAAGAGAGAAGTGAGGCAGTCAACAAAGAAAACCCTCAAAAATGACCAAAAATTCCCAAAATTACCAAAAAAAATTTCAAAAAAAATTTTTTTACAAAAAAAATATTATTTTAATTCCCCTAGAAAAAAATATTAGAAAAAATACTATGAAAAAAATTTTGAAAAAATAGAAAAAAGAAAGAAGCGAGGTGGTCTACTATGTACAAAAAACCCCCAAAAATTAACAAAAAATTTTTCAAAAAATATATTATTTTAATTTACCCCAAACCCTCTTTCCCACCAAAAAATTCAAGTACTAAAATTTAAAAAAAATAATTGTCACAAAAAAAATTTGAGGGAGGTTAAGATAGTAGATATTGAGTTACACACACAAACACACATGCATCTAGAAACTCCCCCAACTTTAAGGGTAAACAAAAAAAATAAAAATATAAAAATTAAGTAAATTTTTGGAAGGGAATTTTTCTGAACACATTTAGATAAATTTTTCAAAAAAAATTCACAAAAAATTTTTAAAAATTTTCAAAAATTTTTCAAAAAATTTTCAAAAATTTTTCAAAAAATTTTCAAAAATTTTTTTCAAAAAAAATTTTTCAAAAAAAAAAATTTTTTTAAATTTAACCCACCTCCACGTCCTTCTAAATGTCCAACATCTCCATTATCCACTTCCTCGTCATGATATAGAAAAGGATGATCATCTTCTTCCTCTGCTGGAATTTGTTGAGAATCAACGTTGAACACACGTATCTAAAAGTACAAAAATATTTGAACGGAAAATTTTCCCAGACCCAAATGTCACTTTAATGTCAGACTCAAATACTCCCTCCCAAAAGACTCGAAATGCCCAGAACCCAAAAGATCAACAAACTAAGATCACCCCGGTAAAGGTTTGGGGTCGCTTTAGTTATAGGCCCACCGAGATCGAAACTCGAAGTATATATCATTCGATTCCTCTCCCCGAGCATCGATCGATCGGACTTCGAGTTCGATTCCTCCCTCCGAGCTGAGTCTCGGTGGGCCTATACTAGAGTACAGCCAAAGGCATTCTTCTAAGTGTCTAAAAAGGCCCAAAAAGGTCAAATAGGTCTAGCAGTAAGGAAGTCTATCACTTGAGTCTAGAGATAAAGGAAGCCTTCGAGTCAAGCAATATAGTGCCATTTGAGTCTGAAAAATTTTTTTCAGAATCCCCCTCAAGGGATTACCCCAAACTTGGCCCCTTTCCCCCTGCTTCTTTTTAAAAAAAAATAAAAAACCTGAACTTCCGGGTTTCTCGTTGGAATAGTTGTCGTTGGTCGAATACAAACATCCTTTGACTGTTGAAAGTAATTATCATCATTCTCAATATTAGCTATTGGAGCTTCTTTATTGACTGAGGATACCTTTAAAAAATTAATTTTTAAAAATATTAAAAACCCCAAAAGATCACCAAACTTAACATCACCCAAAGGTAAAGGCGTAGACAGGGGGCGATTTCAATGGAGTGGGGCTTTCTAACTCAATCCTCTACTCAAATTTTTCCCTTTTCCCAATTTCGAGGAAGAGGGGGGCTTTAGCCACAGAAGCCTCCTCCCCCTGGCTACGCTCTCGCCCCAAGGTAAAGGGTTCCTTCTAGGTGTCCAGAAAAAGGTTCAAAAAGACGAGAATTTGAAAATTTCCCAAGACGAGAATTTTCCAAGACTCAAGACCCAAGAAAAGCCTTGAGTCAAGACTCAGAGTTCCGGACAGCCCTACTAAAAGGTGTCCAAAAAGGAAAAAACAAAGATAGTAAAAGCCAGAAAGGAAAAAAAAGGATAAAAAATATGTCAATCCTTTAAGTGCCAAAATTATTTTAAATGTTTTCAAGTTTTAACCCACCTGAAATCGAGAAGCCATTAATTAATTGTTGCACACTTTCCTGATTTATTTGTAGTATAGCACCAAATAAAAAGATAAAATAAAAGCAAGAATCTAAAAAACTTTGAAAGTTTGTCTAAATAAATCTTTAAAAAAATAAAAATTTAAGGAAAATTTAAAGAAAATTACAGAAAAAAAAATCCAAAGTGTAAAATGGACATTTGGTCCAATTTGCAAAAAGTGCCACTTTGCCAGTAGCCACTTTGCCAATTTGCATTTTGTCGAACGAGGAAATGAGTATACCTTAGGGAGGTTGCAAAACGAAATTCAAGAAGCGGAAAGTGGGAGGGATGGAAACTTGAGCGCTAATAAAAACGGAAGTGGAAGTGCTAGGAGAAAAGACGGAATGACGAAAATCGGTCGACGGCGAAAGAAGCAGATACCCCTGACACATAAATGGTCATAACTTTGTTCAGTTAGGTTAGATTTTGTTAATTTTGGTGTCATCCGATTCAACTCGAAGAGCTCTTTCGAATGATATATAACTTGCCCGTAACAAGAGAAAAAAATTTTTCTAAAATTTTGGCAGAACGATAAGCACCATTAGAGACAGTCTAAACTTGAGCGCTAATAAAACATTCAAAAGAGCACCTAAAATCACAAAATTTTGCACTTATATTCTCAATAGTGTAAACTAACTCCACAAAAAATTTCAGAATTTTAAGTCCCATATTTTCAAAGTTATGGCCAAAAGAATTACCTAAAGGTCGGTATTTTCCCCTTAAAGCAACCTCTTCCCCCATAACTTTAAAAATACAAACCCAAAAATTTTAAAATTTTCAGGCTAGTCAACTACAAGTATTGGAGACATTTTTTAACAAAATTTCAAAAAATTGAAGCACAAAAAAATTTTTTCTGTTTATTTTAAAAGCGCGTGTCAATAACGTCACGCTAAAACTAAATTTCTAAAAAAAATTTTTTTTTGTGTTTTAACAATAAAATCACCCAAAAATATTTTTTAAAATTGAAAGTGTCATTAAAATAAATAGAAAAAAAATAATCTCTCAAGTTTATTTACCCAAGCTTATCTATTATTTATTATTTTTATTCTTTTCAATTGGAAGAAGCGCAAGAACAAACAAAATTAATTAGAAGTACCCAAGAGATCACCTGTCAAAAATATCAAGAAGGGTGTATTTTGGAGTAGGGAGAGATTCCGAGTCTGGACGATTTTGTCGAACCCGAACCCTGACATTATTAACCAAGATAAACCCTAACCCGGACCTTTCGACTAAGAAGAGTCGAGGGTCCACCTGCACATTAGAGTCTGGCGTTTAAGAGTAAATTTTTCTTCGGGAGCAGGCCAACTTACCGCGAGCCCAACTTACCGCAGAGCTATAACTTCGTTCATAATTGTCGAATCCGGGAGGCCCTGGTATGTTTCGATGCGCCTCGACTAGCTGAATCGAACCATACCAGGTCGTTCCGGATTCGACCATTTTGAACAAAGTTCTCTTGCGGTACGTTGGCCTGCTCCCTCTGGGGGTTTGTGAAGAGCCTGGAATAATTTTTCTTTCTTCAGACTCTAATGGGAGTGAAGATGATTTTTCATTGAAAAATTGGGAAAAAGTAAAGAATTAATAAAAAAAATAAACGCAAAGTAATAGTAAAAGTTTTAATAAAATAAAAAAATTTTTTCCCTTTTCTCACAAGTTTAGAAATTTGATTCTTTTTAAAAAAGCTATTGGGGGGGGGGGGGGGGGGGGGGGAAAGTTATTTTAGTAGTTAGTTAGTAGAAAAAATTGGAAAAAAGGTTTAAAAATCAGAAAATATTTTTAATTTTTGAAAAAAAGTAGGGAGAACAACCAACATACAAAGAAACATTAAAAACGAGTACAGCCCACTTAGGCGCGCGGCCATAACGGCGCATAGCCATAACTTGCTTCAAAATTTCCGAATTTTATCAAATTTAGTATTAAACGATTCCTCTCATCGAGCTAAAGAGATTGGTACCAAAATTGATAAGATCCAGAAATTTTTCAGCAAGTTATGGCTTTGCGCCGTTATGGCCGCGCGCCTAATTGGGAGTGTCCCTCATAACGCCATAGAGTGAAAAAAATTGACAAAACGCCAAAAGCTCAGAAAGGTCAATTTTTCAAGGAAGGTATGAATATTATCAAAAGGTACTTTTAGAGGTTATGATGTCGAAAATATATTTTGAAAATAGCGTAAAAGAAGAACGCGTACACCCCAACCTACCGCTGAGGCTATAACTTCGTTCAAAATTGTCGCATCTGGGAAAACTTGATATGATTGGATTCAGCTCGTTTAGGCGCATCGAACCATACCAGGGCGTCCCGGATTTGACAATTCTGAAAGAAGTTATAGCTTCGGCGGTAGGTTGGACTCGCGGTAGGTTGGCCTGCTCCCGAAAAGAACAAAGGTCAGAAAAATAAAAATAGGAACACAAAGAATTTTTAAAAATATAAGCATGCAATTATGTCGAGAATACGAGAAGGGCATTTTTAAACAAATAAATAGTTGAATTTAAAAAAAATATTTTTAAAATAAATTTTGTTTTGTTTTTGCACTTTGACAGAGAGCTTATGTTCATTTAACTTTACTAGTTTTTTCATTGGACACACAAAGCTATATAGAATTTAGAGAAAATGTGAGTAAAAAAATAAATATATAAAGCTTGCAAATGAATAAATGAAAATCGACGCTAATGACAGAAATAAAATAAGTAGTAAAAATTGTAAATAAAGTTAGAGAAGCAGAAAATTGTATTTTATTATGAAATAAATCAGGGCTCCGATTCGTACTTTTTTAAAAGTATTGTACTTTTTTATCGACCTTCGTACTTCCGAAATTGAATTTGTACTTTTTTGAAAGTATGTACTTTTTTATCAACATTTTTGAAAAAACGAAGAAATCTGGCTTAAGGACCTCCAAAATTCTCAAAATTTTCGCCTGCGGCGCTGAAAATGGAAGAAATCTGGCTTAAGGACCTCCAAAATTCTCAAAATTTTCGCCTGCGGCGCTGAAAATGGAAGAAATCTGGCTTAAGGACCTCCAAAATTCTCAAAATTTTCGCCTGCGGCGCTGAAAATGGAAGAAATCTGGCTTCTTAGGCTCCAAATTTCAAAAAATTTTCGCTTGCGGCGCTTCTCAATGGCAAACATTCAATGGACGAAAGAAAGAAACTCGCTTGAGGTTAAGACTGTCAGAGCTTTGCTTCATGTGACAGCAAATTTTGACATGTCCAAGAAATTATTAGAAAAGATTAATTTAGGAGAGAAATATAAAAATATAAAAGATCTGATCACGAATAAATATTTTCAAATTTAATTTTGAGTGTACTTTTTATTTGCAAATTTTCTCCCTATGTACTTTTTTTACAAGATTTTGATACTTTTGAGTGGCATTTTGTCGATCGGAGCCCTGAAATAAATGAATATAGGGTGAAAAAATCAGAATTTACAAATTCTGGTTTTTTTACAAATTCTGTTTTGAGAAATTCTGATTTTCACAAAATCTGATTTTTACAAATTCTGATTATGCAAATTCTGATTTTTTTACAAATTCTGTTTTGAGAAATTCTGATTTTCACAAAATCTGATTTTTACAAATTCTGATTTTTACAATTTCTGACATTTACAATTTCTGATTTTCACAAATTCTGACTTTTAAAATTCTGATTTTTACAATTTCTGATTTTTAAAAATTCTGATGCTCACAAATTCTGATTTTTTATTAATTCTGATTTTTACAAATTGTAATTTTCACAAATTCTGAAATTTACAATTTCTAACCCTTACAATTTCCGATTTTCACAAATTCTGATTTTCATAAATTCTGATTCTTACAAATTCTGATTTTTTGCAAATTCTGATTTTCACAAACTCTGATTTTGAGAAATTCTGACTTTCAAATTCTAGCTTTCAAATTCTCACTTTAACAATTTCTGATTTTTACAACTTTTGATTTTCACAAATTCTGATTTTTACAAAGTTACAAATTCTGACTTCACAAAACCGGAAATTCTGATTTTACAAATTCTGATTCTGTTTCATAAATTCTTTCTCAATTTTACAAATTCTGAATAGTAATTCTCAATAATAAAAACCAGAAAATAAAAAAAATAAAGAATAACAAAACAAACATTACAATTCTTAAAAAAGACAGTTGTAGTAATTATTAAAAATAATAAGTTTAGAAAAAGTTTTTTTACACTTTGTTACAAAATGTTATATAAAGTGAATCACACTTGTTTTTTAAAATCTAAAATGAAAAGCAAAGTCGAAAATGATGAGTAGAATAAATAAAAAAAATAAAAATTGAATAATAAAAGAAACCGTTTTTTTACACTTTTAAAAACTAAAAAAATCAGTAAAACAGCTTTCAAATAAAAATAACACCTATAAAAACATATGACTCTAATGACTAAATACATAAGAGGACAAAATATAAAACATTATTCATAAATGTCCCTTTGTTGTATAAATTATAAGTTTTACAAATTCTGTTAAAGTACATAATTAATATACCTACAATATCAGAATTTTACAAATTAAAATTACAATCAGAATTACAAAATAGAAAAGGGAGATAAATATAAAAGCTGATAGCAATTTACAAATTCTGATATGTAAAATTACAAATTGTAAATTTCTGATTTTTACAAATTCTGATTTTGAGAAATTCTGATTTTTACAAATTCTGATTTTAAAAAAACCTCGTCTTTAAAACTTGGATTTACAAATTCTGATTAATTAATAGTATCAGAAAATTAACAATATCAGAAATTTTACAAATCAGAATTAAGAGGAGAAATTGTGTACCCTTATAATTTCTCCAAATAGAAAAATGCTTCAAGTTTGTAAAAAATATTCTGATTTGTAAAATTTACTAATAAATGTACCTACTATTTTACAACACCGCGCCAAGTTGTATTAATATCATTTTTAATGTATTTTTAATAAAAAATAAACACAATTTTTGTCCATCTTCATAAAATATTGTTGTCACAAAATAAATTCATTTTCTGCACTAGAAATGTGTACTTTCTTCTTATTTTCCATTAATGAATAAAAAGGAAGGAGAGTTCCCCCAAAAAGGAAGTTGGAAAAAATTTTTTTAGGGAACAGAAAATAATCCAAATTTAATAAAAATAAAATTTAAATTGAAAGAAGGAATAACACTTAACACTTTTTGGGTATTTTTTACCCAGCTAAAAAATTTTTTTTATTAAATTTAAATTCCAAGAAAATTAAAAAATTGAGTATATTCACATTCTATATTTCATTAAATTTTTTAAAATTTAATTTAAGAATTTAAAAAAAATATTATAAAATTTAATTTGAAAAAAAAAACTAAAAAAAGTTTTTAAAGTACATTTGAAAAATTGAGGTTTTTAATAGAAAAAAAAATTAAGAATCTAGATAGATAGAATTTTTTAAAAGAATTAACGTATATGCTCGAATAATTACCTTCCATTAAATAATTTATTACCAAATAAACGAATATAAGGGTAAAAAATCAGAATTTACAAATTCTGATTATTTTACAATTTCTGATTTTCACAAATTCTGATTTTCACAAACTCTGATTTTGAGAAATTCTGGTTTTTACAATTTCTAATTTTCAAAATTCTGATTTTTACAAATTCTGATTTAATTCTGATTTTACAAAGTTACAAATAACTGTTGTACAAAACCGGAAATTCTTTTACATATTCTGCTTGTTTTTAATAATTACCTAGGGTAAATATCAGAGCATATACGGTATTAAATTTTTTCAGAATTTTTTCACTCCCTAAAAACTTAAATAAATGTTCTATTCAATCCTGTACCAGACCAATAAATATTTTGTTGATCATTTTTACTTGTTGTAGTTGTTGTCCTAACAAGTCTTTCAACAGCTACAAGTTTTCCCTGAACACAATTTTCTTCTCTTTCTACTCGATCTTCTATTACTCTCTCATATGGAGATTTTTCTTTGAAAAAAAAATTTTTTTTGATAAAAGACGAAAAGGAACAGATAGTATAAGGATCTCAGATAGTATAAGGATCCTGCTGACATTTCCCCTAATTTTGGGACTCGAGAATTCCCAACTTAAAAAACGTTGGGAATTCCGTATGTTTACGAGTCGGGAAGAAAAGCCTGGGCAGTATTCCAATACTGTCTTTTATCAGAATTCTGGCACCAACACATAATTATCTGGAGAGGGCACCACGGCAAATGGTAAATATTGGAAATGTATTAATAATCCCCCATTCACCTCTCAACTTCCTTATTAATCTCCCCATTCACCTCTAATATTCCATTGCCAACGAGGAATTGGTTGTTGTGCTTCTCTACACATTGAAGGAGTTATTACAGAATATTTTGTATTGTCTTTGGGTTTCTTCAAGATAGATTTAATCCTCCTCCTTTCCTCTATTTGCTGTGGAATTTGTGGTGAAGCTGAATATTCTGGTATTGTAACATAATTATCTGGAGATTGAGCAGGTATATAAAAACTTGTAGTTGATGGCTTCTAAATTGTATAAAATTTTTTAATTTTATGAATTTCCAGGCTAAAGTAGGTATAAAATATAAGGAGGTGGATTTGGCTTTAGAATGGACATATTGGCCAAAATCCCTTGCATATATCGGGCACAACGCTGTCTTGAAAAAGCCGGATCGAATTTCGGAGCGAGATTTCAAGCAGTTCGGAGCAAAAAAGACCGGGTTTCGGGTATCAGGTATCGTCTTAACACTTCCTCTTGTGTTAGGCTGAAGATTGAGAAGGAAAAGAACAACTACGCCACCAGAACCGAAAAAAGGGCAATCCAGGAGAATTGTGGTCCCTGCGGGAAAAAATCTTAAAAATAAGAAAAATGATTTTTCTAGGGTAAAAAAGTACGCTGATTACGAATCTGAACTCAGATTTTGAAAAAGTCGAATCCGAACTCGAATATAGGTCCTCGAATGTCGAAAACCCATAGGGGGGACCAAGCTGATTTGGGGTGAAAAATTCGAATATGCAAATTATACCTCATTCGAAAGAGCTCTTCAAGCTGAGTCGAATGACACCGAAATTACCGTTATTGAACAAGATTGGACGAAGTTATACCACAATAAACAAACAACGTAAACCTATGTCTTTTGTGTTATAACTTCGTCCGATTTTGATCAATCACGATGATTTTGATGTCATTCGACTCAGCTCGCTGAGCTCTTTCGAATGAGATATTAATTGACCAATTTGCGCTCTGAGAAATTTTTCAAAATTTTCCCCAAAATGTCAAATATGCGAATTTCGGGTTCGGGATTCGACTTTTTCAAAATCTGAGTTCAGATTCGTAATCAGCGTACTTTTTTACCATAGAAAAATCCTCTTTCTTATTTTTAAGATTTTTTTCCGCAGGGACCACAATTCTCCTGGATTGCCGAAAAAAGGAGAGAGGCATTCAATAAAAATTTTTTTATAAAAATTAAAAATTCACCTCTACAGGAAAAACAGTGCTAGAGGGAGAAGCAATTCTTTTAGTACCACCAACTTAAAATTGTAAAAAAAATTTTCGAAAAAACAAAAATATTTTTTACGATTTAAATTTTGCCATTTCGTTTGTATTGAACTTTTTAAATTTGAAAAACTTTTTGTTGCGCGTTCACTAAATGATGGCCCTTGCTTGGGTTGAGGCTAAATTAAATAAATAAACTTCAAATAAAAATATTTAACTCACAATTATTGTATTTTTATGAGCGATGCTTTGAGGCTGAAAATATGAAAATTAAATACAAATTGTAATTTGATTAAATTTGGGTTACAAATTATAATTACAATTTGTAAATATTTTTGAATAAATTATTACAATTTGTAATTCTGATTTAAAACCTTACAACCTACATGTTATAATTACAAAATTAAACTTGATTGTAATTTTAATTACAATTCAGAATTACAAATTGTAATTCTGTTATCTAACTCTAAAACTTAAAATTACAATTTGTAAAATAAACTTGATTATACCTAATTCTATTTACAATTTGTAATTCTGATTTTAATCCTTAAAATACAAGTGAAAATAAACTTGATTGTAATCAAGATTACAAATTGTAATTCTGGTTACTTAAAACTTGTTCATAATCAGAATTACAAATTGTAATTCTGGTATTTAACTCTGGAACTTAAAATTAAAATTTGCAATTCTGATTACTTAAAACTTGTTCAGAATTATATTACAAATTGTAATTCTGATTTTAATCCTTATAAGTGAAAATAAACTTGATTGTAATTTAATTACAAATTGTAATTCTGGTCACTTAAAATTACTCTACATGTTTATAATTAAATTTACAATTTGTAATTCTGGTAATATAAACCTTTTCACGTTCTCCCCCAAACACCCCAAAACTTTATCAAATTTACAACTCTACCTCTGTCCAAAAAACATTTTCTGCTTCTCTCCTCTTAACAGGCTTAACAACATGTTGTTGTTTTTGTTGTTGTTTGTAATACTCATTTAAATTATTAAAACTTTGTTTCCCAACATTTTCCCTTCTTTTATACCAAACATAAAAATAAAGGGATAAAGCAAAAGCAGCTGAGATAACCAAACCAATAATTAATAAAATAACAAAAATGGTTACAAATAATTGAAAATCATCTGATGATTGTGTTGCTAATGTTGAGGGGTATAAATTAAATGAAAATAGGAGAAAAAATAAAAATGAGTGAATTTTGGGGAATTTAATAAGAAATAAAATGGTTGACGCAGAGAATATTACAGGGTGCACCATAAGTAATTGGACACTTTTAAATTCCTTATAACTTTTTTTGTTGTCAATATTTTTAATCGATTTTATGCTTATTTTTTAGCTCATTCAATTCTCTATTATGGCTAATCAACGTGATTCTATAATTTCACTTTTTTTGAAAAAAAATTCAGTCCGCAAAATTTCACCTCTTTTGAATGTCCCAAAGAGCACTGTACAATACACTTTCAAAAAATTCTGGTGAAAATTTTTTGGGAGAAAATTTTTTTGAAATTAATTTAGTAATGATGGCACAACTAAGAACTTACAAAAAAGTGAAAGACCTCGTTCCGTCAGCACTTCCAAGTATATCAAAATGATCAAAATGAGCGTGCATCTAAATTATCGACCCTCCGTGAGAAAATTGGCTCGTGAAACCGGAATAAGTGAGAGGACCGTCAGACGAATAGCTAAAAATAAACTAGGGTTAATACCCTACAAAATCCAAAAAGCACAACTGCTAACAGAAAAAACAAAAAAAGTTAGGCTTGCAGGATGCAAACTGCTCCTTCAGTGGCACGCATGTCCGGACATTCCCTTCTCAGACGAAAAAATTTTTACAATAAAAATCGTACACAACCATCAAAATTATAGAATCTGGACTACAGAATCTCCTCTTTCCGATGAGCTTATCACTCATTTCCAACATCCCCAATCTGTCATGGTTTAGGCCGGTATTTGCGCGTCAGTCAAAAAACCCCTTATTTTCGTGGATTTTGGTGTAAAAGTCAACAAAGACTATTACTTGCGAGAATTTTTTCAGCGTGTTCTGAAGCCTCGGTTCAAGAGCCATTTCGGTCGCAGAGTCTGGATTTTCCAACAGGACTCTGCTCCGGCACACAAAGCGAAAGAAGTTAAGGACTGGTGCTAGGCCAATTTTCCTGGGTTCATTAGCGCTCAGGAATAGCCGCCATACTCCCCGGATTTGAATTCGATGGATTATTCTTTTTGGTACATTTTGGAGTCCAGGGTCTGTGCTAAGCCTCAAAAAAGTTTGGAGTCTCTGAGCCATTCTCTCACCCGGGAGTGGGACTTAATTACACTCAAGGAGGTGCGTGCTATTTGCGAAAATTTTTCTTCGCGCCTTCGCCTCTGTATCAAAGCCAAGGGTGGGCATTTCGAAACTTCTTGATTATTATTGTTCCATATTTAATTCTCTATCATTTGATTGTATTTCGATTTTATTTGATTGTGTTTTAATAAAGTTATGAGAGAAAACATGTGTCCAATTACTTATGGTGCACCCTGTAAAATAAAATTTCTTTTAGAAAAATAAAATAAATTTATTTTAGGAAAATAAAATAAATTTTTTGGCCAAGTTGGGGGAAGAAAACTGTAAAAATAAAAAACTAATAAAATTATTTGAAAATTATTTTTTTGGATAAATTCACTCAAAATGGGTATATAAAATCAAAAAATATTTCAAAATAACTAAAGCCGACCCCTCTCTTAAAACGAACCTTATTTTTAAATATCCTTTGGGGCAAAAAAATCGAACTTACTAATGAAGGTACCTTACAAAGGAGTGTTTTGGGTGTCCGTGAGTGTTTGGGGGTGAAGTCCCACGAACACCCAAAACACACCGTTGTTAAAGGATATTGTGCTTAAATAGCTTCCTCCTCCTTATCCAATGACCAACCCCATATCCAACGACCAACCTAATTAAAAAATGGTAAATTAAAGTTAAGGTATATTTCATTTATAGACGTGAGGCTAGACTGTATTTCTCAAAATTTTAGAAAATAGCAAATTAGAAAATTTAATTTATTAATTTTTTCTAGACATTTCTAAAGCTGTCTAAAAATTTCAAAAATTAAAAAACTCCCTCTCCAAAAAAAGGAAAAAATAAAAATCAATTTATCATTTTCAACAACCAAGTCTTTTTACCTTCATATACATACACAAAAAATGTCGCGATTTGATTGCCCTTTTTAACAACCCCCCAAATATGTACGTAAATTAAAAGAGATAATTCACATGAAAAAAAATTATTTGGCCGTGTAAAATGTTAACTAACAAGTAAAAAATGAGTGACAGATTTTTAACTCTCCTCTCTCCTTTTTTCTCTCCAACAGAAAAAAAATGAGAGGATTTTTTGGAGTAAAAAAGTTTTTTTTCTGCATAATTTCCCTCTCATTTATTTTATATATAATTCTCTCAACACAAAAATATTATTAATCCCTTCCCATTTAAAAATTAACATAAAATAGATACACCTATTTTTAAGTCTCTATTTATTGAATAACTTAAAAATTCCTTTAAAAATAGGGCTGGAATCAGGGCTGGACGCAATTGCGGATTGCGGCTGCGGAAAATTATTTTTCAATTGCGCCCAGCCCTGGTTAGAATCACTTAAAATATGTAGGTTGGTTTATATGGTACCCAAGGTTTTAGGCTATCACCGGATTTTTATTGTTTAGTCCCCAGTTGACCTTTTAGTTTCAAAAACAACCTAATTAAGCGTGAAATGAAAAAGGTTTTTTCATAAAAAAGGCAATACATACACAGTTTTTATTTTTTTAATGACAGACATATTAATGGTCAATTCTTGTGTAATTTTTAAACACGCTAAAAATTTATTTTTTTATGTCCAACGGCTTTAAGAATTATAATGGTCATTTTTCTCTTTAACACTCTTTTTTTCTAAAGAATATTTCTTTGAAAAAATAATAAAATACCCGAGATAAAACTATCTTTTTTCCCCTAATTTTTTTCTGTCACCATAGAAACTCTAAAAAAGAGACTAAAAATAAAATTCCTTTAAAAAAATATAAATTTAGGTATATAACTGACCAAGAAATGGCCGTTATTTTTTCAAACGTAGAGGATGAAGAAGGGGGGGGGGAATGAAGAAAGGATATTTTCTTAAATTTTACGTCATTATTTTCCTTATTTTTTTAATAAAGAAGGAATTTAGACAAAATTAAAAGATTTTTGTTGAACAATTAACATAGAGTCCCTAACAAGATTTTTTTGTTAGTCACAAACGAAAAAAACTTTAAACAAGAAGTGAAAACAATTACTCCTTGAATGCTTGGGAAGGAGACACATAAAGTAATTTATCAAAATAATCCAATTTAAAAAAAATTGGATTAAATATATATTTATTTCTTTTCTTGCCATTTTACATCCTCTCTCTCCCTCGCTGTTAGAGGGTTCATCGCTGAAACGAAAAACTAAGGATTTTTCGATTCGGTTCCGAATAACAGAAGATTACACTAAAACCCTTAGCCCTTAAACTAAAACCCAACTGAATTCTCCTTATAAAAATAAATTTAAAAAGGTATGTTTAAGTATATTATTTCAAAAATTTTAACAAAATTGTGTCAAAAAACATGGAGAGAGATTATTTTTCAAAAAAAAAACTTATTCAATATTAAAAAAATATAGACCTACCAAAAAATATATAGCTTTTTCGTAAGGTATAACAAAATTAAAACCTTCATTTCAATTTTTTTCAAAACAAAAAAATTTTCCTTCCTTCGTCAATTTTTTTTAAATTTATTGTCCTCCTCCTGCTCCACCTTTCAAATCACGCAATCCAGCACGCATAACTTCATCTACTTCAAGTAAATTACTTGCAATAGTTACTGCTGCAGCTAAACTTGCTTGTTTAACACGAACATTGTCCCATACACCCTAAAGTAAAAAATTTAGGCTCTACTCCAGTTTATGCGTCCAATCGACTTTTATGCGTCCAATGAAAGTTTATGCGTCCAATTTAAAGAAAATTGGATTTTTCTTTGTATTTTGAAGTTGGGGTTGGGTTTTTTAACATTTATTCATGTTTGGTCCTACGCCCACGTGGGCTGGGACCATTTCTTGCCCTATCCCTCGAAATTTTGGAAAGTTATTTTTGTTTTTCCGAAATTTTAAAAAATTGGCTACAACTTTCCAAAATTTCGAGGGATAAGGCAAGAAATGGTCCCAGACTCAGTGAGCGTAGGTCCCGAACATGAATAAATGTTGTTTAACAATACCCCATCTTTGCAACACCAAGAAAAATCAAATTTTCTTTTTATTGGACGCATAAACTTTCATTGGACGCATAAAAGTCGATTGGACGCATAAACTGGAGTAGAGCCAAAATTTAATTTTAATTTGAAGAGGAAAAAAAAAGAAATTAGAGCTATTTCTTCACCATGAAACACCCAGAGAATCAGGCCCGTAGCCAGGGGGGGTGGGGGGGGGGGAATTCCCCCCCCCCCCCCGAAATGGGAAAATGGAAAAAATTTGGGGAAGGGCTGGGCAAAAAAAGTGAATTTTTTTGGCCTACGGCCTCTGAAATTTAAAAAATTTTCGCCTGCGGCGCTAAAAAAGGACGAAATCTGGCTTCTTGAGGTCCAAAATTCAAAAAATTTTCGCCTGCGGCGCTGAAAATCAAATTTTTGGCACCTGCGGCGCCGAAAAAGTGAATTTTTTTGGCCTACGGCCTTCTAAAATTCTCAAAATTTTCGCCTGCGGCGCTGAAAATAAAAATTTTTGGCGCCTTCGGCGCCAAAAATTTGGCGCAAAAAAATTCCCCCCCCCCCCCCCCCCCCGAAAAAAAATCCTGGCTACGGGCCTGCAGAGAATAGTTCAAATTATCAAAATTTGAGGTAATTTAATAATCCTCAAAGGAACAAATATGCGGGTCTGGACTAGAAATGGGTGAAAATTTAGTTTTTTTGGATAAAAATAAATGCATATGGGTAGGAAGAAAAAAAAATTTTTTTTTATACTCCTCAAGGAAAAGTAAAAAAAGAGGAAACTCTGGACCAAAGTTATTTCAAAAACAAAAAATATTTCAAAAATAGGCGACGGAATGATGAACAAGTATCACATATGTCAGGACCAAGAGAACTCTGGATTTTTCCTTGAGTTAGAGTCAACCTATCAATTTTTTAAAATTTTACGAGTTTTTAATAGAATCTATTTCACTGACCCACTTTTCCAACAAAAAAAAATTTTTTATTATTTAAAAAACCTGTAAAATACAAGCTTCCCCACTTTCCAAATCTAGACCAATACAATCAGTAGAAGATGACGACAAATTATTATTATAAGCTTCAACCAATTTAACAATAACTTCTTGTGCATCATGTCCAGCATTGACTGCAAGTGTTTTTGGTATAACTAAAATAGCTTCTGCAAAGGCCTAAAAATTTAAAAAAAAATTTTTGGAACAAATAATTGAAAATAAACCAAAACTCCAAGTTTAGCACGTCCTTTAACAGTGTCAGCTAACTTTAAAAAATCATTTTTTAATTTTTTTTAATAAATAAAACCTTTTTAAGAGTACAATACGCAGCAATTTCAAAAGCACCTGCTCCAGGAACAACAGCACCTAGATAATAAAAAAAAAGCATTTTAAAAATAATTCTTTGACTAGATTATCAACTTATTAGGCAATTATCTAATGTTTTCACAAATAACTAACATGGTTCTTTATTAATATCCCGCCCCCCACCCCTATTTGAGTCTCAGATTAATTTTCCTTTTTACCTGTCAATCATTTATTTTCCCTCCTTTTTTAATGTCAATCATTCTCTTCCCTCAAATATAAGACACCCAAAAGGGCGCGCGGCCATAAAGGCGCAAAGCCATAACTTGCTTCATGGTTTTCGAACCTTACAAAAATTAATATTAAACGATTCCTTTCATCGAGCTAAAGAGATTGATAACAAAAATGACAAGGGCCAAAAATATTACAGAAGGTAATGACTTTGCGCCATTATGGCTGCGCGCCTTTTTGGGCTGTACTCCTCAAATATCTAAAGTTTCTAACTTGTCTTTTACTTATAATATTCGAGGGAAGAAAATGATTGGCATTAAAAAAGGAGGGGAATAAATGATTGACAGCAAAAAAAGGAAAAATAATCTGAGACTCAAATAGGGGTGGGGGGCGGGATATTAATAAAGTACCACTAACATAATCATTATATAATTTATTAAGCTTTTTTGGTCCGCAAAAGCCTACAATAAATTTAGATATCCTCGACTCGCATAAAAAAACACCAAATTAAAGAATTATTTGCTCCAACTTATTCAGTCGCTTAACTAACCATGAATTTACTGGACGGTCCCAGGCAGTAATCGAACCCCATAGACTCCTATAGATACATATACTCAATTTTTGGTTTAAAAATTTTTTTTCAGCCCCAAAAATGTGCCTAAAATAGAGGTCCCACGAATAATATTAATCTAAAAACACAAACAAACCATCTTTCAAAACATTAAATACTGCTCGAATTCCATCATAAATAGCATCTTTGATTTGTCCAACACTATGCTTATTTGGGCCTTTCAATAAAAGCGTGACAGATTTTGGGTTTTTGCAATCTTCTATAAAGGTGTATTTATCCTCTCCCTGTGTTAAAATTAAAAAATAATCAAAATTAAAATAGGCAAAATGTCCATTTTTGACAGACTGGTCAAATGTCAAAACGACCAAATAATCAAAATGTGACATTTTGTCCCCATGGCAAGATAAAATTAAACAAAATGTCCATTTTTGACTGACTGGTCAAATGTCGAAACGATCAAATGTCAAAGTGACCAAATATCAAAATGACCAAATGTCAGAAAATAGCAAAATGGACATTTTGTCCCCTTGGCAAAATAAAATTTAAAAATATAAAAAACCAACCAAAATGTATTCATAAACACTCCCAGCCCATCCAAGAACTTCAGGCGTCAAATCATCAACAGAATTAACAGCAGTACCACCACAACATAATTGTAAACGTTCCATATTTCGGCGCTTAGCTCTGCGTAATGCCAAAATTCCATTTTTTGCGAGCAAATCCAAACTTGGAGGATCTATTCCCTTAAATTTTAATAACTTAAAATCTCAATATATCCTACGAGCAAGGATGTGAGGCGTGTCCATGGCTTCGGAAGAAGCCACTGGATTCGAGCGAAGCCCCCAGGGGCTTTTATAACTCTGACAATGAGGCAATTTCCCCCACACGATGACTAACCAAATTTAAAACCAAGTATTTTAAAAGTATTTTTTATAAAGAAGTAACTTAGATGGAGGGATAACTTAATTCCAAGACCAAAATTTCACCCAAAGACCAGGACCGAAAAAAAGCCCAAGAAAAGTCCTGGAATCAAGACACAAGACCAAAAGTCTTGGAAGCTTAAACTCCCAGCACCCAAATTAAAATAAAACGTATTTAGCTTGTGTTAAGTTATGCATGGATTTACTTAAGACATTTGATCCCAAAACGAACCCAATTTTAAAATTAACAAAAAAACCTTTTGATTAATAACAACAAAAGAAGCATCTTCCTTTCCTTTTTCACCACAAACTTGTTTCTTAAGTTCAATTATTTTTAACACACGTCTAGTAATATATTCACGTTCAGCTTGTAATAAAGCTTCTCTTTCAGCTGCTGTTTTATAAAAAAGACCGGAATTGACTTCACTGAAATTTTAAAATTTTTTTGAAAATTTTCGGCTCTTCCAGTTTAAGCGTCCAATCGCATTTTTATGCGTCCAACAACAAATTTTTGTGCGTCCAATCACATTTTATGCGTCCAAACACATTTTTAAGTACTCGGTTCTATGTGAAAAAACCTATGCTCTGCTTATATCCGTGTGTATCAAAACGATGGTCCCATAGATTTTATGGTAGAACCGGGTACTTAAAATATGTTATTGGACGGAAAAATGTTACTGGACGCATAAACCTTTCGGTGGACGCATAAAATGTTATTGGACGCATAAACTTTGTTTGGACGTCTAAAAGTGCGATTGGACGCATAAACTGGACAAGAGCCAAATTTCCCCCCTCTTACGTTTTTTCAAATTCCAAAGAAACATTGCATGTCAAAACAAAAACATTAGTCAAATTTTTAGGCATATCAGGATGACGACCACCATGGTCTAATACTAAACCACGAATAAATTTTGTATCAGATTCCATTTCATTTTCCATTTGCTTAAAAAATATTTTTAAAGTTAATCATCCTAGAATTCTTAGAAAAATATCGACTAACAAAAGGGCATCTTGTAATGTTTACAAAATTATTAAAATAAAAGGTCGAGGAGGACTTCAGATGGAGGAAAGACTTGAATAAAGAACAACCCGACTTTTTATTGCAAGTAACTTTGTTTTTCTTGCAGGATGAACTGGTGATTTTTTTGGTTTGGACCGGTCAAATCTAGGCCGTTAGAGCCTGGGGTCTGTCGAATGGTATTTTTCTCATAACGTTATCTCCCCACGAAAGTAAACAAATCCCTATTATCTTGAAAAAGTTAAAATAATAGGGATCCCCAGCTAGAAACGTAGTACTAGGTATAGCTTTGGGAAGCTAATGTAAGCTCAATTAAAAAAAATCTTTAAAAATAAAAAACCCAAACCATAATTTCAATCATATGCAAATCCGGATCAAAATCCTTTTCATCCTTTCTAATAGCCAAAATTGCATCAACAACACATTCAGTTATATGATTAGCCAATTTAAGTTCCAATTTTGTACGTAAAGCTGTTTGAGCTACTTCAACTAACAAATTTATTTCAATTGGCAATTCTTTTCGAAATTCAATCAAAAATTTGCATAGAGCATTATAAGCAATTTGGAACCCTTCAGTTATTAAATGTGGATGCATTCCCTTTAAAAATTTGGGAAAAAGTAAGTGAAGTCAAATTTTAATTGAATTTCAGTGTTGGAAAGAGCAATGGTTTGGGATGACCTATGCAAGTCCGAAACAACCTCCCAACCGAGAACGTAGCCAGGGTGTCAATTTCAGGGGGGGGGGGCTAAAATGGGGTGCACGCCAAAATTTTAGCGTCTAATTTGGTTTCTATCATCTTTCTAACAATATTTTTCCCTTTTCCCATTTCGGGGGGAGAGAGGTTATAGCCCCAGAAACCCCTTGGCTACGCCCTTGCTCAGAACCGCGATTGCTCTCTTTCAAAGTCAGATTTGCCTCCTGAACCGAGGCTGGCCCTTTAAACTCCAAATATGCCCGCTAAATCGAGACTGGTCAAAAAAGTTTATAACGAAAATTTGGAGTGGAAAGCCTTCCAAGCCTATTAGCAACCCACAACCTTCAAAATTATAAAAAAAACCTCACATCACTAATATAAAGTTCCGCTTGTTTCAACAACTCTCCAATTAACAAAACTGTAGAAGTCGTTCCATCCCCTGTTGCGTCATTTTGGGCAGTACATGCTTTGGCGATTAGTGAAGCTGTTGGGTGTTGAATTTGCTTTTATGAAAAGAAAAATTAATTTTTTAAAGAAGGGAATGAGGCTAAAGAATGATAAGAATCTGTCTCGTTAAGTCTGTCTGCAAAAAGCATAATGTCCGCAAGTTTAATTCGGGCAAAAATATGCAACAAAAACAAAATATAGTATTAGAGATCAAGCTAGGTCTGAATCAAAAGGGAAGCCAGGCCTGAATCAAAAGGGATAGCCTGGACTCTGAGATTGGGATCAAAGCCTGATCCTGGGGCTGGAGTCGTAGGCTTTTGAGTCTAACAATAAGAAAACCACAAGTCCAAGAAACCCCTAGGAAGCTCAAAAATGGTCAGAGCATGGTTATCCCTTGGTTGCCTCGACCTGATCTCTAGCAGGGCCGTAACCACGGGGCCTTGGCCGGTAGAAATTCGGCACACAAAAAATAGCCCCCCTTGGCGCCCTCCCCCCGAAAAAACCTCAGGAACAAGGAAAACCTAAAACGCTCAAAAATGGCCAGAATATGGTCACAGGTTTTTCTATGGTCACCCTGTTCTCTAATATCTAATCAACTCCTCAAAGAAATTAAAAGATCAAAAAAATACCATTTCATGTAAAAGAACATTTCCATCTTTGGTAACCTTCAAATCGCCAGAACCAGAAACAAGCCTAAAATCAAAATATTACTTAAACCTTAAAAAACAAAAAAAAACATTTTGAGTGTTCCTTTAGGTCCCAAATTCGATTTCATAACTTCTTGGAGTCCTTTAGCACCGCTAATGTTCATTTCAAGTGCAGCTGTATTTCGAGCAAGTTCAGCATTTGGATTAAGGCAAGAAATTGAAGCCATTTTTTAAAATCGAAAATTTAATTTCTGAAAAATAATTTTTTTTTAATTAAAAATAGAAATAAGGATTGAACAAATTTTAAAGCAAAAAACATTAAAAAAGAAAGTGTCAGGGCAAAACTCAACAGGAAGCTCCCTTGTCGAATGGTATTGGACGGGGTCTTGTCGGACGGAGTTTTGTCTAGACATATTTTGCCCCTCTCCCACAGAGCATAAAAGAATATAAAAATAAAGTGAGGCGACCTGACCTATCATAAAAAATTAGCAAAAGATTGGGTGGTAATTGATCTTGAGAGCTCTCTGATGTTCTGACCGCTCAACAATCCCACCAACGAGACTGATCGTTTTATGTTATCTTTGGCTGCTAGCTAAAAAGAAACTTCACCAGCCTTACAACTAAAAAAACATAACCCCTCCCTCAGAAAATTTTAAGAAAATCAGAAAAAAATTTCAAAATTTCTCTAACTGTCTCTCTTGTTTTTACACACTCTCTCGTATAAATAATGGACACGCCCGACTTGCCGCGGGCCGACTTGTCGCGGCCGATTTGTCGCGACCGACTTGCCGCCGGCCGACTTGCCGCGAGGCCGACTTGTCGCCGGCCGACTTGCCGCCAAGCTTTTTAATTAACATCCCCCTTCCACAAGGCCTCCGCGGAAAAAAGTTTTTGCCGCTGCGGAGGAAGCCGGGCATGTCGAGCGGAACGACGGCCGCCGCTTCGCTACGGTCGCCGCGAGCGAAGCGAGCACGACCGCAGCGAAGCACGGCCATCGTGTAGCGAAGACCATGCCCGGCCTACCCTCCGTAGCAGCACAAAAACAGTTTTTCCAGCGAAGATTCAGTTGGTCATAACTCTGTTTAGAATCATCCAATCGAGCTGATTTTGGTGTCATTGAGCTCAGCTCGACGAGCTCTTTCGAATGACATATAAATTGTCCAATTTTGAGTCTGGTACGGAAACTGTAGTTAGGGGTTTTTTAATTTTGTAAAATTTTTTTGTAAAATTTTTGTTTTATAATTCAGCATGGTCCCATTTGATGGTCGCTGGGACCATTCTAATTGATTATAAATCAGAATATTTAATTAAAAAGCTTGGCGGCAAGTCGGCCGGCGACAAGTCGGCCTCGCGGCAAGTCGGCCGGCGGCAAGTCGGTCGCGACAAGTCGGCCGCGGCAAGTCGGCCCGCGGCAAGTCGGGCTGTACCCATAAATAATTTATTTTTGGCGAAATGTTTATTTAGCCCAATTAAAAAAATTTTTTATTTTTTGTTTTGTTTAGTCCTGTGAAATTTATTTAATTTTTAAAGTTTTGTTTTGATGACACCAACAAGTGAACAACAAATTTTACTATATGATGTTCAAAAAGGTTTGTGAAGGTTTTTAATAAGGGAGGATTTATTAGCTCCAAAACTATCCAAACTTTGAAGGTCCATATCTTTCCGAAAATGGTTCCGTAACTTGGGAATAGGCTATCGGGTTATCGGCTATGCTCTATCTAATCGTACCAAAAAGAGAACAAAGTTAAGGGGTGGGAAGCCTGAAAGTTAAGGAGGTTCCCTTGTAAGATCTTTTTTTGAGGGGGAGGGGGGGGGAGAAAGACATGTTAGGGAGGTTCTGGTCTAATTCTGATTTTCAGTTTTGATTTTGATTCTGATTTTCTGGGTCCTAAAATTCTGATTTTTAATTTTATTAATTTTAGATAGTCGTTGGATAATTTATTGGTTACCTGTATCTTCAACTTTTGGTGTTACTAATTTTAATGGATTGGTCTATGAAATTAATCTTGATGTTCAAGAGAGAAGGAAATTAATGGGAAATATTGCTGAAAGTTTGTTGAAGAATAAATGGAGGTAAGGGGATTTTCTGATTTTTTAAAATTTCTGATTTTTGATCCTGGTTTTCTGGTTTTGTAAATTCTGATTTATGATTCTGATTTTGAGTTCTGATAAAGTTCTGATTTTAGTTCTGATTTTAATGTTCTCTTTTTAGTTCTGATTTGCAATTCTGATTTTAAGATTCTGATTTTTTGTTCTGATTTAAAATTCTGATTTTTTAGTTCTGATAAAGTTCTGATTTTAATGTTCTGTTTTTAGTTCTAATTTGACATTCTGATTTTTAGTTTCGATGTCTGAAATTCTGATTTTTTACAATTACAAAATTCTCTATTTTTTCAGTAACATCTTTAAAAGCAAATCTTTTGTCATTGAAAAATATGACGATGAATCAGCACTTTTAACTTATGTGACTCGACCGGTTGAATTGCCTCGTATTGTGGATAAGGACAAAATTATGGAATCGAATAAAAATTTGTTTTTTGGTGTTTATTCGGTAAGGGGAGATTTTTTTGAAAAATATTTTTTAGTTGGACGGGGGGAGGGACAAATTTTTGGGTAAGGGACAAGACACCGTACGGACCAGGCCTGTAGCCAGGGGGCCAAATAAAATTAATTAAAATTATTTAGATGTTACGAGATTATCAACAAAATCTGCCATCAGATAAGGGCATTAAACCTCCATCTAATGCTCCTCCAGTGAAGGTATTTTTTAATTAAGAAATCAGAATTTCAATATCAGAATTAAAAATCAGAATTTTAATATCAGAATTAAAAATCAAAATTAAAAAATCAGAATTACAAACCAGAATTAAAAATCAGAATTTTAATATCAGAATTAAAAATCAAAATTAAAAAATCAGAATTACAAACCAGAATTAAAAATCAGAATTTTAATATCAGAATTAAAAATCAAAATTAAAAAATCAGAATTACAAACCAGAATTAAAAATCAGAATTTTAATATCAGAATTAAAAATCAAAATTAAAAAATCAGAATTACAAACCAGAATTAAAAATCAGAATTTTAATATCAGAATTAAAAATCAAAATTAAAAAATCAGAATTACAAACCAGAATTAAAAATCAGAATTTTAATATCAGAATTAAAAATCAAAATTAAAAATCAGAATTTTAATATCAGAATTAAAAATCAAAATTAAAAAATCAGAATTACAAACCAGAATCAAAAATCAGAATTACAAACCAGAATTAAAAATCAGAATTTTAATATCAGAATTAAAAATCAAAATTAAGCAATCAGAATTACAAACCAGAATTAAAAATCAGAATTTTAATATCAGAATTAAAAATCAAAATTAAAAAATCAGAATTACAAACCAGAATTAAAAATCAGAATTTTAATATCAGAATTAAAAATCAAAATTAAAAAATCAGAATTACAAACCAGAATTAAAAATCAGAATTTTAATATCAGAATTAAAAATCAGAATTTTAATATCAGAATTAAAAATCAAAATTAAGCAATCAGAATTACAAACCAGAATTAAAAATCAGAATTTTAATATCAGAATTAAAAATCAAAATTAAAAAATCAGAATTACAAACCAGAATTAAAAATCAGAATTTTAATATCAGAATTAAAAATCAAAATTAAAAAATCAGAATTACAAACCAGAATTAAAAATCAGAATTTTAATATCAGAATTAAAAATCAGAATTTTAATATCAGAATTAAAAATCAAAATTAAAAAATCAGAATTACAAACCAGAATTAAAAATCAGAATTTTAATATCAGAATTAAAAATCAAAATTAAAAAATCAGAATTACAAACCAGAATTAAAAATCAGAATTTTAATATCAGAATTAAAAATCAAAATTAAAAAATCAGAATTACAAACCAGAATTAAAAATCAGAATTTTAATATCAGAATTAAAAATCAAAATTAAAAAATCAGAATTATAACCCAGAATTAAAAATCAGAATTTTAAAATTACAACTAAAAATCAGAAATAAAAACCAGAATGAAAAATCAGAATTTTAATATTAGAATGAAAAATCAGAATTTTAAAATTACAACTAAAAATCAGAAATAAAAACCAGAATGAAAAATCAGAATTTTAATATCAGAATGAAAAATCAGAATTACAAATCAGAATTTTAAAATCGGAATTAAAAATCAGAATTTTAAAATTACAACTAAAAATCAGAATTCAATATCAGAATAAAACTTGAATGAATTTTTTCAAGAAAGGTAAATGGAATCAACCAAAAACTAGAAACAAACGTAAACCGGGAGATTATATTGTTACTGGGCCAATATCGTTTGATAAAGAAGGAGGGGAAAATAATAGTAATTGTGTTGAGAATGAAGGAGAAAATTGTAGCGAAAATTAGTTAAATATTTTAAAATGTCTTAAGCTTTATTTAATTTAATTTTTGAAGAATATTCATGTGTTTTAAACCCTTTTTTGAGGGTTTTGTCTTTTAATTTTAATTCCTTGTGATTTTCCCTTTAATTTATTTATTTATTGTTATTCATGTGTTTTTTTGAATAAAAATCAGAATTTTAAAAGTTTTAATAAAACTTCAGAATTTATTATTACAAACTAGAATTTACAAGAAGAATTACAAAACAGAATTGTCTTTTACAATCAGAATTTTTTAAAATCAGAATTTTATCGGAATTTAAAAAATAGGATTACAAACCAGAATTTACAAACCAGAATTTTTTTTAGAAATCAGAATTAAAAAATCAGAATTTTTAATCAGAATTAAATGTCAGAATTTTATTTTTTCTATCAGTATTTTTAATCAGAATTTTTTAAAATCAGAATTTTAATATCAGAATTAAAAAATAGAATTACAAACCAGAATTTACAAACCAGAATTAAATGTCAGAATTTTCTGTATTTTATTTCTAAATTATCAGAATTTTTGTATTTTTCTAAAACACAAAAAATTGTACAATGTATTTTGTTTTTCTTAAAGTTAAATACAAGTATGTACTTTTATGTATTTTTCTTCCTTTCCGGATTTTTTTCTGTTTGATTAAAATTCAACGGTGATTGACCTGATTTTCTCCTTTCTTTCTCTCTTTTAATAATTAACAATTAATTCCTCTAAATTTTTATCCTTTTATTTTTACATTAATTTAAAAATGAACAGTTTATCCGTAATATTTTTATTTATTTTTATTTTCTCAAATTGTTGTGACTCATGTAAAATCACCATAAAATTAAAAAGTCAGACTAAAGCAAAATTTAAAATACAAATTCTGGTACCTTCTGTTAAGCAGAAGAGTGAGAGATTGTTATTTACGGGGCCGGAAGAAAAAAAATTACAGGTGGAAATTTAAAAAAATTATCAAAACATAGTAATTGGGTCCATAGAAGAGTTTCAACGGAAGTTCCGGTTCCGGCCGGAACTAAGAAAAATTCCGGTTCCCGGAACCAGGACTCAAATTGGATCCGGTTCCGGTCAAAATATCGATTCCGGTGAAACACTAGTCCATAGGTGTCGAGCAGAGGCGTTTGACGGGATGGGATGGATCGTTGCCAGAAATATGTAGGAGGTGAATGACCAAAGGAAAGCTCTACCAGGCCAGGGCGTATACATTAACTATCAATGCCCCTTTTAATGGTAGTTTTCCTTTCTTACAGCCCTTCACTTGGTGTTATATGAATAAATTTCATATCTATCCCTACTCCCTCACCTCCTCAAAATTTCAAAAAAATTTTTTAACAGATTGATGGCGAAAATTGCTTATCAAAAAAGTGGATAGTTCGTACTTGGAAACCAGACAGTTCTAGTGGTTGGGTAATAGCTAAAGAAGAAAGCGCCTTTATTGATGGAATGGGTTGGGTTCGTATAATTATAGGGGATGATTTACGGCCTCAGATGAAGGATAGACTTAGGTAGATTAATTTAAAAAAATATTTTTTTAATTTTTTATTTTAGTGTTTTTTGTTCTGAAAGCCCTCTCTGTGGGTAAAACTGATTTTTAGTTGAAAAAAAATTTTTTTTGGTGGGAAAAATTTTTTTTGATGATTTTTATGAAGAAAAGAGATGTTTTTGGAATTGATTAATTATTTTTATTTAATTTTAAATTTGTTTTTATTTTAAAAATGTGTGAATAAAAATTAAAAAATAGCATCATATTTGCCCCTATAAATTAAATAAAAAAATAATAATTTCAATAAATAAATAAATTTAGATCAAAATTCAATTTAATTCCATTTTATTTATTTTTTGGCCAAAATTTTATTTAATTTTTTTATTCCTCTTAGGCTTATCCATAGCGATTTACTCATTTTATTACAACTAGACACAACGTTGTTTATAGTTACCACCTACAAGTATATAGAATATAGTAAATAAAATATTAATTCTGATTTCCTTTAAATTACAAATTCTGATTTGTAGATGTGTTTTGTTATTCTGATTTGAATAGGTTGTGTTTAAATTACAAATTCTGATTTTAATAATTACAAATTCTGGTTTAATTCTGATTTTTAAACAAAACATTAATTCTGATTAAATATAGTAAATGTGTTTTGTTACAGCTTAGTTCACAAATTCTGATTTTTACAAATTTTAATTTTCTAGAAAATTTTTACAAATTCTGATTTTAAAGCTGATTCTATTACAAATTCTGTATTTAAACAAAAATTCTGGTTTAATTCTGATTTTTAAACAAAACATTAATTCTCATTAATTAATATTCTGATTAACATTTATTCTGATTAATATACAATATAGTTTACAAATTCTGATTTTTACAAATTCTGATTTGTAAATTCCTAATTGTGTTTTTCTATTTGTATTTTTTTATTTAAATACAAATTCTGGTTTGAATATAGTATGTTTAGATTTACAATTCTGGTTTTGTGTTTTACCTATTATTTGTTATTAAATAATTCCTGATTTAAAAATAATCTATTTTAATATTTCCAAAACATTTTAAATTACAAACAATAAAAATTCCTTACATTTTTATCACCAATTATGTTCCAAAATGGATAGACATTTGTTCAATTCTAACTCAAAATTGTTCCAAATTGTTTTATTTTTTAATCTTTTATTTCCCAATTTTTTTAATAAACACTTTTTTAACTGGCCATTTGGATAAATAAAAAATCTATATATTTAATCCTCCCCAAGTTTGTTAATCCCGCCTGAAAAAAACTTTTTTGGAAGAGGATCAGGTGTTGATATTATTCAATATTTAAAGTAGTATTTTAAAATAATTATTTTTTATTTAAAAAGAAGATAATTTTTGATTAATAATTCTGAAATTTTACTTATTTGTTATACTTAGTGTTACTGTTGACAGTGAAATCAAATCAGAAAACAAAATTCTGTTTAAAAATTCTGAAATTAATAAATTCTGGTTTAAAAATTCTGAAATTAAAAAAATTCTGAAATAAAGAAATTCTGATTCAAAAAATTCTGGTTAAATTCAACATAATTATTCAATAAATTCTGATTTGTTAAACTTGTTTGTAATTAATAATGTTTATTTGTTTTTATTAAATTCTGATTTTTAATTGTGTTCATTCTGGTTTGTATAATTTGCAAAACTAGTTTTAAAATTACAACTTGAATAAATTAAATACAACTTTATTAAAACTTCCCTGTTTGTAGCATTGTTTGTTACAACTTGTTTTACAATACAAACAGGTTGTTACAACTTGTTTGTAAAACTTTGTTTCTATTAAAACTTGTTTGTGAAAACATTGTTTTTGTTAAAACTTATTTTTCAAAACTTGTTTTTTCCAACTTGTTTTACAAATTCTGATTTTTACAAATTGTAATTCTTTAAAGAATTGTTTTTACAAATTCTGATTTTCTTAAGTTTGCTTGTTCTAATTTTATTTATTTATTCACAGGCATTTTTTGCTTATTTTCGTTTACACGCTAATAAAATAAAAGTTCCTGATACATAATGTATTTTCTTTAATTGGTTGTCATAGTTCCAAACAAAGTTTTTTTTACTTGTTTGTTTCTTACTTTTCTAACTAAAAACATTATTTTCCATTCTTTTTAAACCTTTTTTTGACCATTATTTATTTTTATGTTGGTCATTTTATTTATATAATTACAGGAAAGAAATTTTTTATAAAAAGATTTTACTTTAAAATTTATTTTTAAATAATGCTGCCACGGCATTTACTCTTTCATATTATTTCCCTCAATTTTTATGCCTTTTACACAAATTGCGAAAATAATAAAGCAGAGAAAACACAATTGAGAAGGATAAAAAGACAGGCAAGAAAAAATAAACTTGTTTTTACAATTACAAATTCTGATTTTTACAAATTGTAATTTTTAGAAATTCTGATTTTCATAAATTCTGATTTCTATAGATTCTGATTTTTCAAACTTTTTTTTTACAAATTCTGATTTTTATAAATTCTGGTTTTTACAAATTGTAATTTTTAGAAATTCTGATTTTCATAAATTCTGATTTCTATAGATTCTGATTTTTCAAACTTTTTTTTTTACAAATTCTGATTTTTATAAATTCTGGTTTTTACAAATTGTAATTTCTGAGAAATGTTTTTCAGAAGTTGCAATCATAAAATCAGAATCGAATTACAATTTGTAAAAATCAGAATTTAAAAATAAACTTTTTTTACAAATTCTGATTTTAACAAATTTCTCTCATTTCCAGAATATTGGCGGGCTTTGTTCTCCTTTAGTAGTTTTCAATGGTCAGGTTAATTATATGCCTACTACATCATCTACTAATCTTGGTCAAATAGCTTCTGGGACAACAGCAGGATTTGTATGCAATGCAGGATTCATCCAGTCAGGCAATCCCTCTGCCTCTTGCAATAATGGAGTATGGAGTCAACCCCTTGGTAAATGAACTTTTCGACATTTCGAAATAATTCTGATTTTCGACATTTCGAAATATTTCTGATTTTTCGACATTTTGAAATATTTCTGATTTTTCGACATTCTGAAATATTTCCGATTTTTCGACATTTTGAAATATTTCTGATTTTTCGACATTTTGAAATATTTCTGATTTTTCGACATTCTGAAATATTTCCGATTTTTCGACATTTTGAAATATTTCTAATTTTTCGACATTTTGAAATAATTTTTCCCTTTATCTTCAAGGTATTTGCCAAGCTTCTGGGGGCTTTGGCATAGGAACGACCTTACTGCCTGGAGGTATATCTTCAGGAGGACAGTGTGCAGCAATAATTCCACCAGCATTTGGGCAACTAAGCTATAATGCAGCTGGCCAGACAAACACTGCAGGAATACAACAACAACAACAACAATTCGGCCCGTTCACTACTGGGACAACGGTTCAACTGATTTGCTCTTCTGGAACGTATTCTAGTGGAACGAGTCAAGCAACCTGCTCAAACGGTCAATGGATACCTAACCAACTTGGACAGTGCCAAAGTACTGGATTGGGTGGTGTTGGAGGTATAGGAAGTGGAGGAAGTTGCGCACCTCAAATAACTCCTGCAAATGGTCAAATAATTTATAGTACAATTCTACAGGCTGGGCAAACAATGTATTCATCAGGGACCACTGCTACACTGAGTTGTTTATCTGGTATGTGGGCTTATAAAATCAGAATTTATAAAAATCAGAATTTTAAAAATCAGAATTTTAAAAAATCAGAATTTGTAAAAATCAGAATTTTAAAAAGTCAGAAATTATGAAAAAATCAGAATTTATAAAAATCAGAATTTTAAAAAGTCAGAAATTATGAAAAAATCAGAATTTATAAAAATCAGAATTTTAAAAAGTCAGAAATTATGAAAAAATCAGAATTTATAAAAATCAGAATTTTAAAAAGTCAGAAATTATGAAAAAATCAGAATTTATAAAAATCAGAATTTTAAAAAGTCAGAAATTATGAAAAAATCAGAATTTATAAAAATCAGAATTTATTATAAAATCAGAATTTATTTTTAAAACAGAATTTATAAAAATCAGAGAAAAATCAGAATTATTGTTTCTTCATTTTCAGGCAGTCCACCGTTAAATGGACAAGTTTCCACATGTCTTAACGGCTTTTGGACACCTTCATTAGGCATATGTTCAATCACTGGCGGTACAGGCATCTTTCCTACATCCTTCCCAGGAGGGACAAGTTTTGGGTCAACCTGCCTTTTTGGAATGATCCCACCTTTGGGCGGAACAATCCAATATAGTGGTGGTTCTACACAACAATTAGGCAGTGTTGGGACGTCTACTGGACCGCCATATGCTGTAAATCTCGAGTTATTTAAAAATCAGAATTTATCAGAAAATCAGAATTTGTCAGAAAAAATCAAAAATCAGAAATAAATAAGAAAAAAATCAGAAATCAGAATTTACCAGAAAATCAGAAAAAATCAGAATTTACCAGAAAATCAGAAAAAATCAGAATTTACCAGAAAATCAGAATTTACCAGAAAATCAGAAAAAATCAGAATTTGTCAGAAAATCAGAAAAAAATCAGAATTTATCAGAAAATCAGAAAAAAAATCAGAATTTGTCAGAAAAAATCAGAACTTTTTTTTAATTTTTTTATAATAGGAAGGAACAACAGCTACACTAGTCTGTCAACAAGGAGTACCTAGTGTACCCAGCGCAGTCTGTACACGAGGCACATGGCAACCACCAAACCTCACAGGGTGTAGTGGCAGTCTTTTTGGTGTTACTCCATCAATTATTTCTGGATTTGGGACACAAACTGCTGGGCAATGTCTTTTGGGATTGGTTGCTTTGGGAGGTAGCTTTATTCAGTTTTTCATGATGTCAAAGTTTAAAAATGTCAAAAAATCATTTTTTGAATGTCAATGTCATCTGTCAGATGTCAAAGTCATTTTCGGCTGTCAAAGTCATCTGTCAGATGTCAAAGTCATTTTTGACTGTCAAAGTCATCTGTCAAATGTCAAAGTCGTTTCTGAATTTCAAAGTCATTTTAGACTGTCAAAGTCATTTTAGAATGTCAAAGTCATTTTTCAAAATGTCAAAGTGTCAAAATGTCAAAAATCATTTTCTTTCAGGCACAGTATTCTACTCAAACTCGGGCGCTAACAGCGGTGTCAGTAACACTGGAACGCTTGTTGGCAGTGTCAATACAAACATTGGATCTTCACAAACTGGCCCATACCCACAGGGAACGGTAAATAATTTTTAAAATATCAAAGCTACAAATTAATTTCAAGACTGCTCAAGTTCAATGCCCTAACGGCCAAATTCCAACTAATGGTGCTACTTCAGCTACTTGTATAAGCTCCCAGTGGCAACCTTCATCGTTAGGCTCTTGCCTAAGCAGCAATATTGGAATTGCTAGTATTGGCGTAACGATACCAACAAGTATTGGGCAAGGTGGGGGGTTGAATGATTTTTAGTGCCCGGCGCCGGACCGGATCCGGTCGAATTTTTTCGGAGTCCCGGTCCCAAATCCGGGTTTTTTCGTGATTTCCGGATTTTTTCCGGAACGGATTAATCCAAAAAAATCCGGCCGGATCCGGTCAGGCTAAAGTTACAAGTTCAAGTTACAAATCCGGAATCCGGATCCGGCAAGATCGATTTTTCCTGGCACTAATGATTTTAATTCTTGAGACTCTAACAACTCTTATTGGCCATTAGAGTCTTACCTCTAAATAAAATTTAGGCAGTTGTTTATTCGGACCAATAGCTTTAAATGGTCGAGTAACATTTTCAAATGGCCAAACAATTGGGCCTTTCCCGGCTGGAACAACTGCTACAATGTCGTGTAATCCTGGGTAAATTTTTTGAAATTCTTAACTTCTCAACTTTATGTAGTTTTATACCAAATGGTCAAGCAACCGCCACCTGCACAAATTCTGCGTTCCCACCCTTAGGCACATGTATGCCTTCAAGCTCAAATCCTTCCGATACTTCTTCTATTGGCTACAACAATTCAAATTCATATAACAGCGGGAGAGGTAAAAATTTCAAAATGTCAACTTTAAAAAATGCCACAAATCCAAAATGCCACAATCCCAAAATGCCAATTTTAAATATTTTTCAGTTCAATGTTTCGATATGCCCCAACCAATAAATGGGGCCACCTTTATCTATTCGCCACCAAATGCAAATTCCCCCTTCCCCATTGGTACAACAGCAACACTTGTATGTGCAAACGGAACACAATTATCTGATGGAAGCACTGTAGGGAAAAAATTTAAAAATATTTTTTTATTCGTTTTATGATTAAAGGTTGGCCAGTCAGTCATGTGTATGTATACGGGTTGGTCTAAACTCCAATTTGATCCGTGTTTACCTTCAAGTGGATTGGGAGGTAGTTGAATAGAAGAGAGAAAATAGGGGGCGTTTCAGAATCGCGACTTTAAGCCATATTTTGGGCTATAACTTTTTTGATTCTTAACCGATTTAAATAATTTTTATAGCAATCGAAAGCTCTGAATGTGAGGATTATTTAAGATAAAAGACTTGATCTGATCAGACGCTCGTCAAAAAAGTTATGGACCAAAATACGGTCTCAAGGTTGAAACCCCTTACAGCAGGCCATATTTTGGGTCATAACTTTTTTGAGGCTTAACCGATTTAAATAATTTTTATAGCAATCGAAAGCTCTGAATGTGAGGATTATTTAAGATAAAAGACTTGATCTGATCAGACGCTCGTCAAAAAAGTTATGGACCAAAATACGGTCTCAAGGTTGAAACCCCTTACAGCAGGCCATATTTTGGGTCATAACTTTTTTGAGGCTTAACCGATTTAAATAATTTTTATAGCAATCGAAAGCTCTGGATGTGGGGATTATTTAAGCTAAAAGACTTGAGTTGATCAGACACATGTCAAAAAAGTTATTTCCAAAAAACGGCCTCAAGTCTGAAACGCCCTTACAGCATGCCACATTTTGGGCTATAACTTTATTGGGGCTTAACCGATTTAAATAATTCTTATACCAATCGAAAGCTATGGATGTGAGGATTATTTAAGCTAGCAGACTTGATCTGACCAGACGCTCGTCAAAAAAGTTATGACCAAAATACTGTCTCAAGTCTGAAACGCCCTTATAGGGGAAAATATTTTTCTCTGAAAAAATTTTTTAAGTAACACCTTCAACTACTTCAAGACGGTAATGAAGAGATGATGAACTTGGCTTTATTTTAAATTTAAAAAAAAAGTAGAGAGCTTTAAGTAGAGCATTTTTCATATTTTTATTTTTGTCTATTTATCTCATACTCATCATTTCTCCCTGTAAATATCCCTCACATTTTTATATTTTTAAAAAAATTTTATTTTATTTTTAACTATTTTGTTTATGTAAGTATACAATAATCTTTTTGATTGATCTAGTTTTGATTGGAGATATTGAGAGAGTACACCCCCCTAACGTTCCACCGCCCAACGTACAACGTATGCTGACAATTCTCCATATCAATACATAGAAATAAAGGGGGATCAAGAGAATTAAGTTGTTTCAACTGGAGAAAAGCTGTTGGATTGCTTAGGTGAAGGTGCTTTGCCGGATTAAAAAATACAAAAAAAAAAATTTTTCAGAACGGTATTAGGCACTCAATCATTTAGCGTACAAACGGGGTCGCTTTCAACTGTCTTTTAGGCGCGCGCCCAAGTAGGCGCAAAGCCATGACTAGCTGAAAGATTTCTGGACCTTATTAATTTTTGTATCAAACTCTTCAGCTCGATGAGAAGGATCGTTTAATGCCAAATTTGTTACGATTCGGAAATCTAGAAGCTAGTTATGGCTTTGCGCCGTTATGGCCTCGCGCCTAAATGGCGTCTATTTTTTACAATAGTAGAGAGAGAACGAGAAAGTGAGAGAGTACAGAAAAAGTGGAGAGTGTTAGACACTAAAGTGTTCTGTGTTTTACCGATTTTTAGTTTTTTGATCTCTTTTAGGCCACGACAGCTTAAATGAAAGTTTGCTAGGCCCCAATGTTTGCATTTAACCCCCAACTCTACTAAACTGCTAGAATAATGATGACTAGTTAAAGCCAAACTATTTCTATTTAAAATTTTATTCCCCTTATTTTTTGCCCTAATAAAAAATCTCAAAAAAAAAATTTTTTTTTTCAATGTTCCCAACAACTTTATTATTTATTTTATTTTGTCTAAATTTATTTTCTCGTGATATTGAGGCGGATGAAGAATCCTTTTACTCGTTATTGGGAGTTGAACAAGACGCGGATTTGTTGACGATTCGAAAGGCTTTTAAAAGTTTGGCTTTGGAGAAGCATCCAGATAAGAATCCGGTATGCTTTTTTTGGTTGGGGGTTTTTTTGGGTCTTAGGGCTTGGGAAATTTTTGAAAAAAATTTTTGAAATTTTTTTGAGGCCTAGAAATTTTGCGAAAATTTTTTCGAAAATTTTTTTTCAAGTTTTTCCGAGGCCTAGAAATTTTTTAAAATTTTTCGAAATTTTTTTTGAAAATTTTTTAGGCCTAGAAATTTTTGAAAAATTTTCAAAAAATTTTCCCAGCATTTTCCATTGCTCTCTTAAAAATTTTTTTTTTACTTTTCAGGACGACCCAAACGCCCATTCAATATTTGTGCGTATCAACCGTGCCTATGAAGTATTAAAAGATGCTGAATTGAGAAGAAAATATGACCAATTTGGCGAGAAGGGGTTGGAAGATGGCGGTGGGGGAGAGCAACATTATCAAAGCTGGCAGTTTTATAATGATAATTTTGGTTGGTTTTTTTTTGTTAATTTTATTTAATTTTATACTCATGTCAGGCCAAGGATCGTTTAGGCCTTGCAGGTTTAGAGAAAAAAGTTTTTCCCCTTTTATGGACGTAAAAATCATAGCGGGTGGATTGTTTACGGGGCCAATAAGCGGGAGATGGGACCAGTAAGCGGAAGGGTAATCTTTCGCTTTACTAGGGACCAGTAAAGTGGAAGATTACCCTACTGGGTGCAGCCCAATTAGGCACGCGACCAGTTAGGCGCAGAGCCATAACTTGCTTCGAGATTTCCGAATCTTACCAAATTTTAAGCTAAATAGATTGTTATCAAAATTGTTAAGGGCCAGAAATTTTCCAGCTAGTTATGGCTTTGCATTTACTTGGCCGCACGCCTACTTGGATTGTCATTTTTCTACAATTTTTGATTAAGTTTTAACAAAGATTTACCCGAACTCTGAGTACTTATTCTTTATTGTCTGGTCCTTTTCATGTAAAACGTGGTCACTTCTATCGCCAATTTTTGGCTTTTTTCCCTAAGAAGCCATTTAGCGTAGTTGTAGTCACTTTGATTTTCTAGTCTTTTTTCTTCTTAAAATAATATGAAAATTGTTTTTGTTTTTAAATTTAATTTTAAAAATATTTTTTTTGCAGGGATTTATGACGATGACCCAGAAATTATTACTCTTGGCCGTGGTGATTTTGAAGAGGAAGTGTTTCAATCGGGAGAGGTTTTTTTTTAAATTTTTAGAAATTTTTTTTCCAATTTTTTAAAGATTTGGTTTGTCAATTTCTACTCGGCTTTTTGTTCTCATTGTCACCACTTGGCGCCAATTTGGCGTGAATTGGCTAAAAGAGTACCTGAAGGTGTGGCGAGGATTGGGGCTGTTAATTGTGCAGAAGATCCGGGACTTTGTAGAAGCCAAAACGTAATGGGTTATCCTTCTTTGATTGTTTATCCGCAACAGGAATGGTTTCAAGGTTTTATTGGTAATAGTTCGGTTTGTACCCCCCTCCCTTTTTTCCTTCCTAAAAGTATTATAAAATGGTCAGTCAGTCAAAAGTTGTAGACCTCGTCGAGCTGTGTTGAATGACACCAAAATCAACTCCAGGTCTTAACTTTGGGCCGAGATACAGACTCCCAAAAATTGAAAAATAAAAGGGTGGACCAAGCTCATTTTTTGGGACAAAAATTCGATTAAACAAATAATAGATCGTTCGAAAGAGCAGTCGACAATAGGATTACTTTAGTGTTTGTTTTGCGCAGGATTTTTGTCTGTATCTCGGCTCAAAGTTAAGACCAGGGGTTGATTTTGGTGTCATTCAACACAGCTCGACGAGTTCTATAACCTTTGACTGACTGACCATTTTATAATACTTTTAGGAAGGAAAAAGGAGGGGGGGTACGAACCGAACTATTACCGTTTTATTTTTTTAATTTTAAGAAAGGTTTAGGGTTGTTTCTCTCCTTTTATTTGTCCTAAAATTCCATTATGTACGACTTTCCTTCAGAAAGTTCATAATTATATAATAGTATGTTTGAGTGTTTTTGGTCCTTACATATAGGACTTTAACCAAAAGATTCTATTTTTTTCTGTTCCGTTCCGAACAGTGTGGCCATTTGTTTTTTGGGAAGCCAGGCCCCTTTTGTTGATTTGGAAAGGGTACTCTGGTTCCGAACCTTTAATCATATTTACGAAAATCAGAAAATGAATCCATCCTACATATTCAGTTAAAAAAATTTTTTTCAACTAAAAAGATGCTAAAGTAAAGGTAATAGTTCGGTTCGTATACCCCCTCCTATTTCCTTCCTCAAAGTATTAAAAAATGGTCAGTCAGTCTTAGGTTATAGAACTCGTCGAGCTGTGTTGAATGACACCAAAATCAAACCCCGGGTTTTAACTTTGGGTCGAGATACAGAGCCCCGAATATTGAAAAATAAAAGGGCGGACCAAGCTCATTTTTTTAGCTAAAAATTTGATTAAACAAATGATAACACATTCGGAAGATCTTGTCGAGCTGATTCGAAAGACATCAAAATCAACGTAATTGAACAAGATTTGACAAATTTATGACATAAAGTAATCCTATTTTAGTCCGTGAGACGCTGTTGCAAAACTTTCGCTTTGCGAAAGTTTTTTGTCTGTATCTCGGCCCAAAGTTAAGACCGGGGGTTGATTTGGTGTCATTCGACACAGCTCGACGAGGTCTATAACCTAAGACTGACTGACCATTTTTTAATACTTTGGTGAAGGAAAAAGGAGGGGGTATACGAACGCAAGAATTACCCTTAGCTTTTATCAAAATTTCTTTAGAATGAGTATTGACATAGGAAAGGTGTTTTCGAAAAAAATTTTCGTAAAATTTTTTAATTTTTGGGATTTTTTAAAGGTTTTGGGATTTTTTGTCTTTTCATTTTTTAATTCTTTTTAAAAACTCAAAAAAATTTTTTTAGACGAACGCACTTTGAATAATCTGCTTGATTTTCTCCTCTCTCAATTGTCTGCTCCAATATTACAACCAACAGTTGAATTGCCTGTTCAAAGACCTTTATTGTTAGAATTGTGTTTGAGGGAGAATGAATGTATTTCTGAGGAAGACAGGTTTTTTTTAATATGTATTTTTTATTAAATTAAATTTTTTAGAAAAAAGATTGCTGCAATTTCTAATCAACTTTTAATGCCTTTTGCTGTGTTGGACTGTTCTGAATCTGCCAAAGAAATTTGTAAAACTATTGGGGCTGAGGAAGGAATGTTTTTGTTAAGTGGAGAGGAAGATGAAAAGCCTAAGGTTTTTAATTTTTAAAATGGGGATTGGACAATAGTCCTTTTTAGAAAAATTTGAGCTTGGATTTGTGCCAGTTAAGAATTTAGGAATTTGGGATGAAAGGAAAAAAAAATTTTTAAAAAATGTTAAGTTTTCGAAATTATGAGACTTTCGGGGTCGGCAAAAAAAAATTCGACTTTTTTAAATAGTGAAAAAACAAATTTTCAGAATTATTACAAAGGTCTTAAAAACTCAACTCAGATTTTAAAAGAATTTATATAAATTTTTAAAAATTGCAAAAAAAAAAAAAAAGCGGAAAAGTACAATAAAAATAGAAATCAAAATGAATAAAATAAAAAAAATATGTAAAAATTCAAATAAATCAGAGTTAATTTAGAATTTTGAAGCCTTTTTAAAAAAATAAAATGTATTGTAAAATTTTTGGTTGAATTAAAAAATCGGAATTACAATTTGTAAAAAATTAGAAGTTTTTACAAATTGTAAAAACCATAAATTAATTTATAAAATCAGAATTACTACAATTAATACCAGAATTTACAAATTGTACCAGAATTTGTAACCATAATTTACAATTTGTAAAAACATAATTAAAATCAGAATTATAATTTGTAAAACCAGAAATACAATTTGTAAATTCTGAAATTCTGGTATTTATTTGTGTTATAAATTCTGGTATAATTTGTAAATTCTGATATTAATTGTAGTAATTCTGATTTTTTTAATTACCAGAATTTAAAAAACCAATAAATACCAGAATTTACAACCAGAATTTACAAATTGTAAATTCTGATTTTTACAAATTGTAATTTTGATTTTTACAAATTGTAAATTCTGATTTTTACAAATTGTAATTTTGATTTTTACAAATTGTAAATTCTGATTTTTACAAATTGTAATTTTGATTTTTATATAAATTTTAAGGAATTATATTTTGCTGACTTGACAGATTTGCGTAACCAATTATTATCAGAATTACCAGAATTGGAAGAATATACATATTCAGAATTGCAACAAAAAATAAATTTGAATAAATTAGAAGAAGAAGAAAAAATTTTATTAATATTTTTAAATTCAAAAGAGGAAATTCAAAAAGAATGGAAACGTTTATTAATTTTATTCCCAGAATTGGAAGTTAAATTAATTGTTTGTGAGGGAGAAATTGGACAACATTTGTGTAATACATTGAATTTGGGGAAATTACCTAAAGTGGCACTATTTAGAATTGAGGGAGGATATGATTTAAATTATGGTGAGTTTGAGAAAGTTTTTTAAAAAATTCTTTTCAAAAAATTATTTTTAATGCCCGGTATGCTCGATTTTTTTCTTGAGTCGGATTTAGATTCCGGATTTGTAACTAACAATAAGACCAAGCCAGATTGAGCTGGATTTGCCTAGTTAATTCGGTCGGAAAAAAGCTGGTGATAACTAGAAAAAACCTGTATTTTGGAAACTGGACTTCGAATGAATCTAACTAGATCCTATTTGGCACTGGGCACTAATTATTTAAAATTTAATTTTAAAATTTTATTTTTTCAATTTAAAGGAAATACAAATTTAAATATTCGTGAAATTACAAAATTCGTCAGGCATAGTTTATATTCAAATTTAATTGTGTTGGATTATGATAAATATTGGGTGAGTATTTTTACAAGTACAAAATAGATAAAAACATAACACGTCAAAGGGAACGTGTTGGCGAGGGGGGAGGTGTCTTTTAATTTTTAATTTAAAATGAACTTTACCTTATATTAGGTTAATATTTGTTCAGCAAGATATAAATCTCTCCTTTATTCATAGGAAGTGTAAGGGGGCATTTATAAGTGGCATTTATAAAAATGCCCCCATTTATACAAGGTCATTTTTTATTATATTTACATTTATATATCCCCATTAAATAAGGGCATTCCCTAAAGGCTGGGTACGCACCAAGGACCCTGCCGACAAAAAAAACGTCGGGAATTCCAGATTTTGGAGAATCGGGTCGGCAGGATCCTTGGTACGCATTGAAAAATGTTTAAAAAACTATCAAAAAAATTTTTTTAATTTTTCCCTAATTTCCTTTTACTAGAATGCACGTCAATCTGCAAATTCTTCCCATCTTTGGATAATCGACCATTTTGCTCCTTGGTGTCCTCCATGTCTACAAATGTTGGATGAATTGAGAAAATTACCTTCTGAATTAACTGATGGACGTAAACTTCGTGTTGGGACACTTGATTGTGATGCTTATCGTGATATTTGTACTGGGGAACGGATAAATAGGTGAAAAAATTTTTTTTTAATTTTTACAATTTGGGAACTTTTTTTTACAATTTGGGAAATTAATTCAAAAGTAAAGATGGTTCGAGATGATATCTTGAATATAACTCAATAATTGGGAGTTTTTTCAAAACTTTTTGAGATCTGTACCTTCGGCTACAGAAAATTCAAAAGCGTTTTTTGATTAAAAGAATATCTGGGGATTAAGAAGGGTTCGAGGGATTAAGAAGATGTCGGAGGGATCTAGGAGATATCGTCGAGAATATCAGATTGAGAGGACTAAGAGGATATTGTGGGCTAAGAGGATATCTTCTCGGTTCTCATCTCCTTCTTAATGCTCTTAATCCCTCGATATTTCCATAATCCCTTCATATCAGTCAATCCATCCAGAATTCTAAACAACGAAAAAATTTTTTGAAATTCTTGTACGACCCTCTCCAAGTTTTGTCTCTAATCGAAATGCTCTCGTTTGATAAAATTACAATTGTAAAATTAAAAATCATTGCAACTTTTTTTTTAACAATTTTCTCTTAAAAATTAATCTATTTTTTTTTTCTTTAAAGTTATCCTCGCACAATTCTTTACATGGGGGACGATTCCCAACAACAAAAACAACAACAACATTCACTTATTGGTTTCCATACAGTTGATCAATTACTTGAATTTATATCAGAAGCATTAAATCCAACAGTACAAGTGTTAAATCCTGATAATTTTGATGATACTGTTTATGGAGGTGGACAATCTTTCTTTGTTGATTTTTTTGCGCCTTGGTGTGGGCCGTGTCAAAAGGTGAGGGTGGGAAAGAGAGGAAAAAGAAATTTTTGGAAAATTAGACGGACCTCTCTATAAGTTTCCGTAGATGGGGATGAACAATCGACACCTTATAATGAGAGGGATATTATGGATATCGTTTTTAAGTAGCTTCGCACCAGGGATGGACCGGATAGACTAAGAAGTCGTATAGGATTTGGATCGAGTAGGCAAATAAAATTCCATGGAACGGACTTTGAAGCAAAATCGTTCAGTCGGATAACTTGGCCCATTTTTACTCTACACTTATCTGGGTTCAACCAAATAAAATTTAAAAAAATATATATGAGTTGAGAACTATCTAGAAGAGGTATCTAAAATGAGGGGTTCATTTATGAATTTTTTAATTTTAGAATTTTTGATACATTTTCATTTTTCTTAGTTGGCCCCTGAATTTCGACAACTTGCCAGACAATGGGCTTCAACACACAATGAAGATCCAAACCAACTTGTTTTTGCTTCAGTAGATTGTGAACAATATTCTAATTTGTGTAATCGTGAAAATGTCAATTCTTTCCCTTCATTGCGTTTTTATAGAAAATTACAAGGAGGAAAGATTGATGTAAAGTAAGTGGAGGAAAAAAAAATTTTTATAGTAAAGAAAAGGGAGGAGATCTCTAGCTGGAAATCGCTTGAAACGTTTATTAGACGAGGGGTTTAAGATTTATTTAAAGGATGGGAAAAAGCAAAGCGTCATTAGAACTTAATCAGTTGGCAGAGATTAAGGTTGGGCCAACCCTAGTAGAGACTAATGTATGCCTGTATAAGTGGCCTTGGGTCTAGCCTATCCGATGTCCTAAATTCGGGAATTTATAAAGTTTTTTTTTTTTGATTTTTGGGGCCAGGATCCCGATTTCCTTAAACCAGAAATCTATTTTCTATGAGTGCTTAGATCCCTGATATGAGGAGAGCAAACTGGCCTAGCTATAGCTTTTAGAAGATAACAGGTTCGATGACTACCTAAGGCTATACTTTTACTTCTTACGTTAAAAAAGTTCAAAAAAAATTTTTTGTTAACAGTAATTACCCTTCAAATTGGTGGAGAAATGTACAAACAATGTCCCATTGGCTAACAGAAATGATGCCTTCACTTGTTCAAAAAATTGCTGGCGATTTTGCCAATACTGTTTTAGATTCTTCTGAACCATGGTTGATTGATTTTTATGGTAAATAAATTTTTTTATCCTGGGCCTGTAGTCAGGAAAAACCAGGTCCAGGGAAAACCCCGGAAGGTAAAAAATGCCTGGGCCTGGACTCTGGGTACAGGAAAACCCTGGCCTTGGTCCAGGCCCTGCTCGATCTCTACTGTATTATAAAGTCTTAGTTATATACAATTTCTAATCTCAATTGTACGTCCCAGGGATCCTGTCGTTCCGACATATCTATTATAATGCCAGGTCTTTGACGCGTAACTTTTTGGGGCTAAAAAGAAGTGTACGTATAACTTTAAAATATTTTTCTCTTTTTTATTAAGCTCCATGGTGTTCTCATTGTATTCAATTTGCCCCAACATTTGAACGTCTTGCTCAGGTAGTATTTTCACGAAAAAAATTTTCGGAAATATTTTTTTTCTGAAGCTTTTAAATGGCCAAGTCCGCTTAGGCAAAATAGATTGTGAACGTTTTAGTTGGATTTGTGAAAATGCTCAAATAAATTATTTCCCTCAAATTTTGCTATATTTTGGCGCAAAAAATTATAAAAGACAAGAAACTAGGGGTATGGAAATTTCTACTGATGAAACAACAAATGTTGAAATTATTGCAAAAACTGTTAGGGAATATTTGGAAAAATATGGGCATGGAGGTGGAGGAGGAGGGGGATATGAAAGGGATGAACTTTAAAAAAAATTTTTTGTGCTTTATTTTTTGTGATACTTTTCTCTAATTTTTGGAGGTAACCAGGGCCAAAAAAATTTTTTTTCAAAAACCCAGGGCTTGAAAAATTCCTAAAAAAATTCAAAAAAAAATTTTTTTGCCTAAAAAAACTTTTTTGGAATAAAAAAAGTAGTTGGGACTTTTCTATAAAATAGAGGTCCAACTCATTATAGGATACTCCCAATAATAGATACACTCTAAATTAAGATACATTTTTAAATTCTGGCTAGCCACTCGGTTGGGAGACTATCTAACAGATATCCTCTATTTAAGAGACACCTCATTATAAGAGACTATTTTTCACGCTCAAGTGCTGTCTGTATCTTATATAATGTCTAGTTACTTTAACACATGGAAATTTTTTCTTATTTTTTTCATTAACTTTTTGTTCTCATAATATTTCCTTTTCTTTTTTTACGCCTTTCTAATTTAATAATTTATTTGATTAAATGGCATTTGTTTAATTAATTTTTATTTAATTTTATTTAAATAAAATATATGTATAAGTATATTTATTTTTGGATAATTAATGAATTAAGCGTTTTTTCACTTTGATTATTTTTATTTTATTTTTTAATTCATTTTTTTAAATAAAATTTTTAAAATTATTTTTAAGGTTATGCTTTTTTGGATTAATTAAAAGTTCAAATGAGGAGAGAGGTAGAAAAGTATGTGGAGGAGGTTGGTAAGCATGAGAAGTCAATTTTCGGGTTTTCGGGGCTATCCCGTTTGAAAATCTTTTTAACACAACACCGCTATGAGATTGGGATTTCTTGCGTGGATATGGAGTGAGGTTTTGTTTTAATTTTTTAAGATCTTGTCCGAAATTGCGGGTTTTTGCAGCAAATGAGATTTAGATTATTCTCGTGAGATCCTGTCTAACTGGAAATAGTTTAGCTCGATCCCTTCTATGCAGAGGTGGGTCGGAACAGTCGGAGGAGCTGGAAATCGGAGGAGCCGGAAATCGGAGGAGCCGGAAATCGGAAATGGCTCAAAAGTAGGTATTTTTCGGAAATCGGAAGGAAAAAACGTCGAAATCGGAATTCCGACCCACCTCTGCTTCTATGAAATTTCAATTTTTTCCGGGGAAGGGTCATTCAAAAATAATTTTAAAAAATAAAATTCACAACGCCAAAAGATTAAATTAAAATGACAAAAGATCCCACACAAAAAATTTTCGATTAGTGAAAGAAAAAATAAAAATAACACACAAACTTAAAGTCAACTAGTTTAAAAACAATTTTTTATGTTTGTTTTTAAAGTGCTTGTAAAATATTTTTGTTTGTGTGTTTATATGCGTGCGACTGAACAGAAAAATATATAATAAATATAACTTGTAGGGAGGGGGGATATGTGTATGTGTGTATGCACAACAAACAACAAAAAAAATGTATAAATTGATGACTGTGCGTGTTTAATGCTGACGTTGATTGATTTATACATATGTAAAATATATTTATTTTAACACAAAAATTTGGTTTAAGTGTTTGTGTGGGTTTATATATTTTTTAAATTATTAAAAAAATTTTTGTTCAGTTTTTTTAGTGTTTAGGAGTGTTATTTTTGTTATTTTAATTGTTGGTGTAGTAATTCCTGCAAAACGGTTTTTTGGTTAAGTGGGTTAAAAATTGGGTATTGTTTGTGGTTTGGCCCTTTGTGTACGTTGATGGTTCGAGTCCGCTTGTTGATTTTTTTTTATTTTTAATTTTTGTCATTTTAATTGTTGGTCAAGAAATTCCTGCAAAACAGATTTTTGGTTAAGTGGGATAATTGGGTATATTTTCGATCCCTCTTTTTGTGTATATCTCTGGTTCGAGTCCGTTTGTTGATAACTTTTTTTTATTTTTGTTTTTTATGATTAAACTGTTTTTTGGTTAAGTGGGTTAATTGGGTATATATGCTTTGATTTGGCTCTGTGTAAGTCTCTGGTTCGAGTCCGTTTGTCGATAACTTTTTTTATTTTTGTTTTTTATGATGAAACTGTTTTTTTGGTTAAGTGGAGATTAATTGGAGTAAACCAGAAGGAGCCCTCTTTGTGTAGGGCTCTTTCCGGCTCTTTGTTCAAGTCTGCGGTTCGACTCCGTTTGTCGTAGACTTTCTAATGTGGATTTTATTTTTATTTAATTTATCAACTTGACGGTTAACTGGCCTTGAAAATTTTCATAAATTTCTATGAAATTTCAAGGCCACTCCAAGAAACAGTATTTTTTGGTCTCTAAGTGATGCTCTTGCTCTTCTGGGTTCTTATTTTAGAGACTAGTCTTTTTCCGATCACTTTTTTTTTCCTCTTATCACATTAAAAATTTAATTTCCTTTTTTTGTTTACCTTTCAAAAATTAAAATTAAATTGATCGAACAATTTTGAATAGATATACTTACTAAACAAACAAAAAAATTTTTTTGAGTTTTTAAGGGGAGAGACAAGGCTTGGTAATGGATATGAATACAAATTTTTTTGTAATAAAATTCAAAATGACTGCGGGTATGCGTCTGTATCCGCCGTACATATCCGTATACGGGTACCAAAATCCATGTCCATTACCAAGTCTGGGAGAGACAAACCTCCCCGTCTTGGACTCCGTCTTTGCGAGGAGTTTTGTCTTGACGATGTTTTGTCTGGAAGGTGTTTTGCCCTTTTCTTTTGGATTAATAGGACAAACCCCGTCTTCGACTTTGTCTTTGCGCGGAGTTTTGTCTGGACGGTGGTTTTGTCCCGTAACGCTCTTTTTTTGGATTAAACTTTAAAAAAATATTTTTATTTTTATTTAAATTGTGTACTCGACCCAAATTTTATTTTTTTTTATTTCTCGCATTTTAAGGATTTACTTACTATTTTTATTTTAAGGAGAAATGACTCAAAGACATAGAGGGCCTGCCCTAAACAATTCTTTTTTTTATTTAAATTCTTTTCTAGATTTTATTTCTCTCTCTCAATTTATATAAAATTCCATCCTTTTTTTATTTCGTGAAATTCCATTCTTTCCCTCAAAAAAAAAAGATTTTTTTTCTCAAAATTTTTTTCTTCTCTTCACAAAAAAATTTATTTTTTGGTAAAATTCAAGTTCGTACCCTCCCCCCCTCTTTCCTCAAAGTATAAGAAAGGGTCTGACTTAAAAATGTGTTACCAACCCTACTCAATAGCTACAAGTACCAGAACCACTGGTCCGGTTTGTGCATATGTACGGTAACTCTGGGTAGTAGAGCTCTTTATTCCTATAAAGATTTTATAGGAGACTGTGAACAGATTACCTTATTTGGGAGGCATTTGCCCCCTTTTTGGGAGCCATGCCCCCTTTTGGTGATTTGGAAGGGGCCACCCTAGTCTGATCATTTTTTAATACTTTGAGTAAGAAAAAAAATAATGGGGGGGGGGCGAACTTGAATTTAGCCTTATTTTTCCCTTCTTTGTCCTAAATTTTTTTTATTTTTTTTTCTCTCCTTCCCCAACATATCTAAAAATTGACTGCCCAAAATCTGTCAACAACATATACAAAAATAACAAAAAAAATTTTTTTCCGGTTAGAAATTGATAAATTATTTTTTTGTTGTTAGCGGATGTTGTCAGGTTGTATTTAAATGTAAAAATGGTTAGATGTCCCTTCTCTAAAATAAAAAAAAGAATAAAAGTGCGTGAAGGAAAGGCAAAAATGCGTAGATTAATGGATGAAAAAAAAAGTTTTTTTCGATTTAAAAATATTTTGCATGTTTTGGGATAGAAATTAATGTGTGTATTTATTTTTAATAATGTTTTTGTGTGTGTGGTTAAAACGCGCGCGGAGGTGATTAATATATATTATTTAATTTATGATTATTTACTCTGGAAATTTAAGTCGATGTTTTATTAATATTCTGATGTGTTGGGGAGAGAAAATACAGCGTGTATTTTATTGTGTTTTTGTTGATTTCTGGTTTTGTATTTTTTGTATTTTTTGTTTGTGTTTTTAAATTAATTCTGATGTTGTATTTTATGTGTTTTTACAAATTCTGATTTTTGTGTTTTCTTTTGTCTTTACAAATTCTGGTTTTGAATTTTCCTTTGTTCTTACAAATTCTGGTTTTTGTGTTTTTGTTTTTACAAATTCTGATTTTTGTATTTTTGTTTTTACAAATTCCGGTTTTTGTGTTTTCTTTTGTTCTTACAAATTCTGGTTTTTGTATTTTCTTTTGTTCTTACAAATTCTGGTTTTTGTGTTTTTGTTTTTACAAATTCTGATTTTTGTATTTTTGTTTTTACAAATTCCGGTTTTTGTGTTTTCTTTTGTTCTTACAAATTCTGGTTTTTGTATTTTCTTTTGTTTTTTTACAAATTCTGGTTTTTGTATTTTCTTTTGTTTTTTTACAAATTCTGATTTTTGTATTTTCTTTGTTTTTACAAATTCTGGTTTTTGTATTTTCTTCTGTTTTTACAAATTCTGATTCTTGTATTTTCTTTTATTCTGTTTTTGTAAATTCTGATTTTAATTCTGCTGTTGTGTTTTCTTTAGTTTTACAAATTATGATTTATTTTGTAAATTCTGATGTTGTATTTTCTCTTATTTTTACAAATTCTGATTTTTGTATTTTTAAAAAATCTAATTGTATTTTTAATTAGATTGTTTTGTGTTTTCTTTTATTCTTATTTAGCGGATTCCATTTTGTCGTTCGCAAATGTCGCATTACTTTTTTAAAATTCTGATTTTTTATTTTGATTTTACAAATTCTGATCTTGCATTTTCTTGTGTTTTTACAAATTCTGATTTTTGTATTTCACTTATCAGTTTTATATTTCTGAGTCATTCCTTTCCGTTTCTTAGTTTGTATTTTATCACTAGATTATTTTTTAATAATTTTGGTTTTGTGTTTTGTTTAATTCCGCTTTTGTAAAATTTCTATTTTGTATTTTACTTTTTTTTTGAATGTTTGCTTTTCCTCCCAAATTTGTATTTAACACTTTTTTTTAATTTTTTGATTTTGATTTATTTTTATGGGGCCGCGCCGTAATATGCGCCGAAATATCAACCTGTGAAAAAATTAAGTTCCTGTTGTATTTTAAAAAGTGTAAGATGGAAGCGGGAGAGCTAGAAAAAGACGGATATACATTCCAAGGAGGGGAGATCCAATCCTTTGAATGTTCCAGGGAACGAGCCGTCCCGATTCTCGAAAATCGGGAATTTTATTTTTATGTCGGCTTGTCCCTGGTATGTTCCAACAACTGGTAAATGTTGTTAACAATTTGGTACCTATCTGGGGATATTTCGGCGCTTTTTCCAAAGTTTGGTATTTAGGCGGATTCTGGTATTATGTAGAGGTCAGCACGGGACGGGATCCCGCGCGGGCTTTTGCGGGAGTGCGGGATTTATCCCGCAAACGCTAGTATTATGGCATTCTAATATTTTTATAATTTATTTTTTGAATTTATTTTTCAGATTTAAATTGACTATATTTTATTTTATATTGACTTCTATTTTTTAAATTAAAATTGGACTATAAATTTCATCTATTCTCATTTATGACGACTTCTAGCGGTTTTTCTTTAAAGATTTTTTAAAAAGAATTTAAATTCTATTTTTAAGCCCACAATTTTGAAGCGACTACAAGCGCTTTTCTCTTAGGCCATACGCCAGCTCAACAAAACAATAAATACAAGGCTTATGCCTCTGCGGTGGATAAAGCTTTGAAATCGTTTGAATCGACTACAGAATGGGCTGATTTAATTGCTGCTTTGGGAAAGTTGGGAAAGGTTTGGATTTTTTTGATTGTTAGAAATAGATATGGGAAGAAGATATGGGGAAAGAGACAAAATTATGTATTCTTTTATTTGTCAGCATTTTTTGGGGGTGATTTGGGTTGTAGTTTAAATTCTTGTTGGGAATTGACCTCAGGGTTAACTACCAATAAGATTGAGATAACTCTAGATCGAGTAAAGTAATTAACTCATTGTCAGCAACTTGAACTAGTCTAGAGAAGCTTGAACATGCCAAGGATTAGATACGTTTCTTTTTTTGTTCTCAAGCAGGGTTCGTGTTGTATCCTGTGTCCTGGGCATTTTACTGATCTGGGTTTGCTCCACATGTGTCCTTTGGTTTTAACTTCCATTGTCCTTACGGAATGGAAGTTCCTAATCTTAACATTTTACCACAATTTTTTAGGTTTTCTCGTCAAATGCCAAATCATTTAACGATATCCCAAATGCTTTGACTGTATCTAAACGTCTCTCACAATGCTTACATCCAGCACTTCCTTCAGGTTTATTTTTTAATTTTTATATGTTTAAACTCCATTTTTTATTTTCTATAGGAGTTCATCTAAAAGCTCTAGATACATACCGTCAAGTCTTTTTAATGTTGAGTCGAACTCAAAATCTGGCCAAATATTTGTTCCTTTATTCTGCTGGGCTCTTTCCAGTTTGTTTTTTTAATTTTGACCCTTATGAGTCTTTTTTTCATTTTCTCACTGTTTTCCTTTTGTTCTATACCTGATAGCTTTATGAGTCCAATTTTGACTCACAGTTTGATTGGACTCATAATGTCATGCGGAACCTTCCTTTTGTTTTATACCTGGCAACTTTATTCTCAACCTTGTTAATTTCCTCATCCGTGTGCTGGAAATCCAGAACGCGACAAAGGAACTGGTCTGGTACGGAATCGTCCCTAACCGCTTTCTGATTAGTTTTAGCTGTCAGCGATAACTTAAGGAAAATAGTGAAGAAATGAAAAGTGAGGGTCCCTTGAGTTCAAAATTTAAAGTTATTTTTTAATTTTTAGTTAATGGATCATTGCCAAATCAAAGTCAAATCGGAATTGGTTAGCTTTTTTAAATTTTACAAATTTATTTTTTTCAATTTGAGCTTTCAATTTTTGAACAATTTATTTTACCGCTCGGCCCAAATCTTCGTCCAGCACTTGCTGGTTTTATCACAGCCCTTTTGTTGGCGTTGGAGGAAGGAACTGAGTTCTATGGACGTGCATTCAGTTTATTGGACCAGTTATTGGAGAAAGTCGGAAGTGAAGCGTTTTACTTGTGTTTTTGGCAGGTTTGGAATTACTTTTGTATTAAAGTGTGCGATAACTTAGAGCTCGGTTTTTGGTTGGGACGAGTTCTGGGTTTTTCCTGTACCAAATGCCCTCCCCAGGCGTTTTGGTGTTTGATTTCACGGGCTCCGGAACCCTAAATATTCTTCTTCTTCCTATCCTTTAGGTCTACTACATTTATTGGATGGATTTAGACCACGGATCATGCCCAGGTTTACAAATTGGATCTCAAATCTAGGAGCAGTCGTATTTTGCTTTGTTTTACTGACAATGAGCTAATCGTTAACTCAAGATATACCTTTTTAACAGGCAAAAAGTTTTTGCCCGAACCGGAAAAATATTCATAGGGCCAGCTTGTTGTTAGGCCAATGAACTTGAAAATACGTTCAGATCCTTATTCAGATGGAAACTCTAACATAAATTCTTTTTTTTTTTCTAGTCAGTTTCTGGTAATCCTTCAGCTCGTCTTCCTGCCCTAATCTTTGTTAATACAAAAATAGAAAAACACAAAAAAGGCAAAAATGATTCAAATTCTGACGATAATTTACTTGCTTCATTTTGTGGTGGAGGAAGTCAATCAAACAATAATAATTTAATGTTACAAGCTTTGTGTATTGTTGCAGAAGATTCTTCATCCTCTCCTTTAGTTCAACGACATTTGTTGGATTTTTTGTGTATGGCTATCCCCTTAAATTCTAAATGGACAAGTAAACAACAATTGGTAGATTTGGTGGGAAGAACTCTATTTTTGGTTTTGAGGAGGGATATGAGTTTAAATAGAAGATTGTATCAATGGTTGTTAAATCGGTTTGAAATTATTTATTTGATTTAATTAAAATTTGTTTAATCGGGCATGCTTACCAGGGATCAGGGGTCGATCGGAATTTCTATTTCCGTCGTTTTTTTCCTTCCAATTTCCATTTCAGAGTTCCGACTTTTGAGCCGACAGTTCCGATTTCCCGACATCTTTGTTATTTCCGACCGACCCCTGCCTGGGATGTCACGGGTTTCCTGAAATCCGGACTTCTTTTGACCCTAAACTCGCCCCGAGACCTTCTCTTTTCTAACCCCCAGTCGGAAACCCTACCTGACTTTTTTCTCGATCTGTGACATTTTTGATACGTGCACCATTTTGGCGGACTAACTAGTGAAATTAAAGTTTGAACACGGTCTCGGTGGCTGAGGCCAGGTAGTCCGAAACTACCTTGTTTCCAGGACGGTACTCTAATTGAAATTATCAGAATTACGTCTAATATTAAAACTAGCAGGAATTTTTCTATGTTTTTTAAAAATACTTTTCACATATTTTTTAGTTCTAATGATATGGCTTTTGTCAGTCTTCCAGTTAACGGTGTTGAAGATTCCACAGACCTGGCTTTTTTCAAACAATATGCTTTACCTGTTATAAAAAGTGCAATTCGTGATTATTTGAGAGCAGATACTGTTGTGGAGATTGCCCCACCTTCAATGGGAACATTGAGGAGAGAGCCGTTTTTGAAGGTTTTTTTCAAAATTTTTTTGGGAAATTTTGGAAAAAAATTTTCAAAATTTTTGAATTTTTTTTTGAAATTTTTGGTGAAATTTTGGTAAATTTTTAAAAATTAAAAAAATTTTTTCGGAAAATTTTTAAAAAATTCCTAATAATTTTTTTTGAATTTTTTGAGGATTTTTTCGATCATTTTTTCAAATTTTTAGAAAACCCAAATCCAATTCCCTGAGGTTCGTGTTTGCCGTCTCCTCCATTATATGCTAGATAGACCCGAACTTGGACAACTTGTTTTGGAAGAAATTTTGCCAAATTTATTGGAAACTTTTTGTTTGAGAGATTCAAATTTATTAAAAGAATTTGGTGGAGAATGTGAAGCTATTGACCCTTCTTTTGAAAATTTTGCTGAATCGTTTATTATTTTTAAAGGAAATGAGTCTTTTAATAATATTGATGGAGATGGTGATCAACAGGTTTTTTTCTATTAAAATTATTTTTTTTTTGGCTTGTAAGGAAGGGGGAGTTCTTGTTGAGTATCAACGCTTAAAGCGCTTGGGGGTTGTTCACGACGGGTTTTACAACTGAAATTTTGATATTTTTTGCAAAATTTAATTGTTTTTACAAAATTAAAAAAACCGAAAACTTGTGTAAATGAGTGAATTTATTAAAAATTCCCCTTCAAAATAAAACCGGTATTTGACCAAAACTTAGAACCGAAAACCGGGTTGTTAACATTTGGATTAGCTGAAAACCGGGAGGAAATAATTGTTAGTGAACAACCCTAATTTAAAACGCTTGGGGAGTGTGAGGGTGTTTTGATTAGTCAGGACAAATTGGCGTGTTGTACCACTCGAATTGTGACCAAAATTTTTTAAATAAAAGTTATACCATCGTGTAGAGCATGATTGATTGCCTATTTCCATTTTTGGCCCTTTTTGGCTCCGACCCTCATTTTGAAAAGTTATAAGGGGGTTGCCTTGCGTTTTTGCTTAAGCTTCTCTTTTTTTTTTAATTTTAATATTTATTTTTTTAGACTCGTCGAACAGAAGAAATACTTAAAAATTTTAATTCTCTCTTGAAAGCTTTAGAACCTAATTTTTTATGGAATTTTTTTGAAAAACTTTTTACAATGTATTTTTTAAATTAAAAAATAATTTTTTAAATTTATTTTTAAAGGATAAAAACTCAGAATGAAGTAATAGAAGAAAACGAATTAAATAGTAAATATTTGCCTTCATTTTCGTTAGATAGTGATTGTCAATCTCAAAAAAATCAATTATGTGCTCTTTTTCCAGTGGTATTTTTTTTTTTGGATTTTAATTTTTAAATTTAATTTTTAGAAATTACTAGAGAATGGGATTAGGGGTTTTTTTTGGGGATTTTTGAGGACTTTTTTTTTTCTGGGGTTGTTATGACGGTGTATTTTCCTCCTCGAAAAATTTTTCATTCGAAGTCACTGGAATTTTTTTTAGATAGTTTCTAGGGCGTAGTTAGGGGGTTGGTTGCAGGGGGCTATGCTTTTGATAGTGTTCTTAAAAAGTTCCGTGGGAAAATTCTGACAGTGGTTGCTAGGATTTGGTTATTAAAAGTTGAAGACAAAACAGCGTCCGGTTAGCCCTCATACAAGAGGTGGTCAAAAGCGCCTAACAATAACTTGCATAGAAGGTTTCGGGATTTAATAATTACATCCTAGTAACGCCTTCCCGTGTACAAGTGGTGATTGAGAGCGCCTAACAATAATTTGTGCATATAAGATCTCGGGATCGTTGCCTGCCCGTGGCTAAATTTTTACTTCTCCCTTACTATAATATTTTAATTTTTTTTTTATTTTTTTAGATGATTCTCTATTCATTAAAAAACGTTCAATTAGATATAAACGAAGATATCCGTTCAATCTATTTACCAAAATTGTTGAAACACATACTTGTCGGAATTGATTTGTCTTCTTCTTCTCCATTAATAATAGAAAATAATTATGTTGCAATAATTGTAGTTTGTCGACATTTACTAGCTGAAATTAATCAAAACACTGTTTCTAATGTTTTTGAATCTTTGCATAATAATAAAGAAGGAGAAAGTAATAGTGCTAGATCGTCTCCAAATAGGACAGAGAAACGAGAGAAGGAGTTGGCTGGAGGTTAGAGAGTTTTATTAAATATATTTTTCCGGAAAATACAAATACTATATTTTCCGGAAGTGCTTTGTGTATTTTTATTTAACTTCCGGAAAATAAAGTTTTTCCGGAAACTATTCTATTTCCTCTATTTTCCGGAAGGTATATTTTCTAGTAATATATTTTCCGGAAATACTTTTTCTTTAAATTCCGGAAACTTATATTTTACAAATATTTCCGGAAAATATTCTTATAGAGTTTGTTAATTTTCTATTTTCCGGAAACTAATATTCTCTAGTATTTTCCGGAAAATACAAATATTATATTTTCCGGAAGTATTTTTTGTATTTTTATTTAAATTCCGGAAAATTACAAGTTTTCCGGAATCTATTCTACTACAATATTTCCTATGTTTTCCGGAAAATATTTGGATTCTCTATTTTCCGGAAGGTAATATTTTCTAGTTTATTTGCCGAATATACTTTTTCTTTAAATTCCGGAAACTATCATATACAAATATTTCCGGAAATTATTCTTATAGACTATGTTAATTTTCTATTTTCCGGAAACTAATATTCTCCGGTATTTTCCGGAAATAACAATACTAATAAAAATGTTTCCGGAAAATAATCTGTTAAACTTGTTGTTTAATTCTATATTTTCCGGAAGATATTAGTCGTTTTTATTTACTTCCGGAATATATTATATTAAGACATTTTCTGTTATGAAAATATTTTCCGGAATTTTTTTATTTCGCTTCTAAGCTATTTAATTCTTTCCGGAAATTAAAAAAATTTTATAGTAAATTTATTTTCAGAACAGCAATGTGTCGAATCTTCATTGGAAGCTTGTATTCAAACTTTTACTTCAATATGTAATTGGTATATAAAAAATCGAGAACGTGATAGATGTGGAATTTTGCTGGCTATTTGTCTGTTAGTCAGAGATTTTGCTGATTTTCCGTTTTATAGTCTTCAACCATCTTTGGCCTGTTGTTCTTCTTTGAGTATATTTTTTATATTTTTTATTAGAGGGGGATATTTTGTGGATTGATGCTAACTAGGGAGCGACTTTATAGAGTGGGGATTTGACCGTTCGGTTGAACCTCTGGGAAGAGGGACATGGGTTATGGGAGAGGGGAAAGACTTCCACTTTTTTCTCTGTGGGGGATTTATTTTCTCAGAGACGGGGGTCAAGCTCTAATATTAATCTTGATTCAACAACTGTTTTTTGTTCCATTGCTGCCCGTAAAATATCGGACAATCCCTTTTCAAATAAAAAATTTCTCACTTTTTCAGCTGACTCAATATATTCTTCTCAATCAAAATTTGAATGGCTTCATGCCTTAATTTCTGCAATTGATCCAGTTTCATGGAAATCCTCTGACTTTTCAATTGACAAAACTGATTTTGATATTCGTTCAAAACTTTTGGATTTAATCTTATATTTAACTGTTCGCTCCCTTTCAATGATTGAACAACATTCTGCTGTAGCTGGGAGAATTATGAATAATAAGAAAACTGAAAAAGAGTTGAAGACAACTACAACAGTTTTGTTAAGACCTTTTTTGTCAACTGGTGATTTACAAGAGATTGACAAAAATGAGCTTTTCATGGTTTCTTTTTTAAATATTTTTTTAATTTATGAAGAGGGATGAGGTTTCTTAAGGATAAGGTTAAATAATTTTTCGGTACCATTATCTCGCATATTTTTTCCTGTTATTTTTCTTTAAGAATGGGATACCCTTTTTTGATAAACTTGTCCGCAAGTTCACAACTTCCCAATAACAAAAAGATTTTTTGCAGGCTCGTTTCTTGGCCTATCCGTTCTTTTTCCTTTAATAGCCTTTAATAGCCTGGTGATCGGCCATACCATTATTCCCAGACCTTTTACAAGCCTTGTCCGCAAGTTTTTTTTTCGCAAAATTAGTTTTCTGATTTATTTACTGAACTTGAGCTGTTCCCTATTTCTTTTTTTAACTGATTTTAAATATTTTTACTTAGAAATTTTTTTATTTTTAAGAAATCTGCCTTAGCACTATGGAAACGTTTCTCAGAAAACACTGATCTAGAACGAGTACAAACTGTTGCTCTTTTACTACTTCAACTTCATTCTCGAAAAATTAATGATTCTAGTAGCGAAGTTGAAGAGATTATTGTGTCTGAGTTAACTTGTAATAACAAAAATATTAGTGGTGAAGCTGCGAGAAAATTTAGAGATTTATGGGCGTTTTGTAGGAGTGCACAAATTGATGAGGTTTATACTGGAATTGCTTTGAAGCCAATGAATCGGTAAAAAAATTTTTTTAAAAGGAACAAGGGAAGAATCTGGGCGTGGAAAAAAATAAGGGGGGGGGGTTTCTTGCAGATAATTCTTGAGGACTTTTTAACAAGGGATCCAAGGACCTTAAACTGACAGGGGCCCTTCTGAACTTTGTTATTAATTTTTTTGGTTTTAGTATCGTGTAAGGCATAATCGCTTTCCTATTTCCAATTTTTTGGTTTTTTTTCTCTTCGAAGCCATTTTCTGATTGTTATTTGTCTTTAAATTAATATTCATAGTTTAGTTTGGTCCCTTGTGAGCTTGAGTCAGCGTGACCCTTTTGCCTTATTTGGGAGGCATTTGCCGCCTTTTTGACCTTCTCGACACCTTTTTGGGAAGCCATGCCTCCTTTTAGTGATTTTTAAAGGGCCGCCCTTGCTTGAGAGTTTTTTGATTTTTCTGGATGTTCGTAAAAGTTGCCGCTAGACATTGTTATTTTAAAATGCCAAAATATTTTTTAAAAGTTTTCAGAATATTTTTTTTCTAGTGTTGTAATGGTTATGTTAGGTTTTATTGCTGATGATTCCATAGGTAAAAAATGTCCGCAAATAATGTCCGCAAAATTTTTTTTCCATAGGTTTTGATCAAGTTGAACTTCGTGCTATTGCCTTCTCATGGTTTCAAGATTGCGCAAGAAATAATGATCTTCACAAAATTTTACAAATGCTTGCTTTAATGCTTCTTAACCCAACAACAGCTAGGGTAAATAATTTTTTTTCGAAAAAATCCGCAAATGATGTCCGCAAAAATTTTTCTTGTCCGCAAAATTTTTTTGTCCGCAAAATTTTTTGTCCGCAAAAAATTTTTTTATAAAAATTTTTTATTTTTTAAAGGTCTCAATCCAATTTGTTGAAATGAGCCAACGTATAACCCAAGACCAATTATCTATATTACCTTCAGAAATAAATTGTGTTTCTCTTACTACAATTTCTGGAAGACATGTATTTCACCATGTTTGTAAAGATGTTGACAAACAACAACCAAATACGTTTGTTTTTTTTGTTAAAAAATTTTTTTTTATAAGTTTTGCATCATGGGGTATATGCGAGTTATGCTTGATGCCTAATTTGGTGTTTAGACTTTGGCCATCGCTTTTTAAATTAATTTTCGGATTTTTGCCTTCCGTTTTTTAAATTAAATTTGGGGACATCTTTTGTTATAACATTCACAAAAATGCCATTCCCGGCAAGCTAGCGCTTTTTTTAATTTTGCCTGTGTTTAGGATTTTTTGAGATACAATTATAATTAGAGATCGGATCGAGATCTCGATCAAAAATCTATTATTATTACAACCCCCTCCCTGTCTGTTCTTTAATTATAAACTTTTGTTTTTTTTTTCAGTTATATAAATTGTGATCCTTTTAAAAATTCTTGGATATCAGGATTAAATCAATTATTACTTCTTCCATCAGATACAATAATAACACCAACAACATTAATTAATAAAACTCCAACCAATACAAAATCAGAAATTTTACAACAACAAAATTTGAAACAAAAATTTATTATTGAACCAATAGTAAGCAGAGATGTTGGAGGAGGGAGTACAAATAATAATAACAACAGCACCCCAATAAACAATAGTTCTTCAGCTAATAGAAAATCACATCAGCAACATAATCGAACATTATCAGACATTCCTCAATTTGGTTAGTAGAAAATTTAAAAGGGAAACTTATACAGTTTAAGGGCACACCTCATTTATTCGCTAGATACGTTCAAGTAGTAACTCGTTTATTCGCCAGTCACCCCATTTATTCCTAGGGCATCAATAAGTCGATGTAACCACGTATTAACTGGACAACCGTTGACTCCAATGAAAGAGGGGAGTTAACCCTCGAGGGGTCTTGCACAGCGAGGGGTCTTGCACAACCACCTTTCTTGGTTGCCATTATGAGCCTCTTTTGGCTTGCGAATGAATGTGGTGTGCCTTTAAACTGCTTAAGTTCCATTAAAAGAATTTTTCAACCTTCTACTAAATTTTCTATTAAATTTTTATAGATAATGATGCAGATTCTGTAGACGATTCAATATCTTTAGATTGTACATTTGATCATGAAATTGTTGATACAGTACAATATTTGGTTGATTCTGTGTGTGGAGAGGAAGAAGAAGGGGAAGAGGTGGTAGGAAAGGAAGGAGGAGAAGAGGAGGAGGAAGATGAATTAAATGAAGCAATTTTATTAAATAATACATTTAATGGATCTTCAAATGATTCAACAACAATAATAAATCAAAATAAGGAAGAAATTAAAGAACCTGATGAAATTAGTTTAGTAGGCTCGCTAAAAACTTCAGCTGCTACAGGTAGAGAGAGAAAGGACTAAAATTGGTGTGCGAACATCTCGGGACTGACATATCGGAATTGGAGTTATAAAAATAATTTCTTGCGTGTTTACGTTTGTTCTAAAACATAAAACCTCTATTCCTCAATATGACAAAATAAAATACTATCCAAGACCCAATGGCCGTAGATTTAGAAATCAGTAGGGTAACTGTTTGTACCTTGAAATATCCCGATATGTTTGTCCCGATGTGTCCGAGTGCCTTAAAATTTTGATTTTTATTAAAATTTTTTTACAAAAACAGCTGCTGCATTACCTCGAATTAGTGGATTTAATAATAATAATGGAGGAGGAAGTGGTGGAAATAATACTTTGGGCAATGTTGGGGAGTCAATAAAAAGGATTAGAACTGGACATAGAAGACAAGATTCGCTTCAAGAGTCGATATTTAGGTGAGGGTTTCTTTGGAATATAAAAAAATGGACATGTACTTAACACTGAATTCTTGCTTTTGGGAAAATAGAGAACGACTTGGTACTGCCGTAAATAGAAAAACTGGCAGGAACCAGGACCATATAACTGTCGAATTTTTTGGGGTCGGGGGAAACACTTCTAAAACATTCTGTTTTTTTTAGCGGGCTAGTCTTGATTCTAGCACCACCACATTCCTCTCTGTAATTGACATACTATGTAGAGTGTAGTGTTGGCGGATTTGATATCCGGATCCTTGAAAGTCTATAAATCGAGAGGTTCGGATATCGTATCCGGATATCTATAGATTTATTAGGATCCGTCAACTATAGGGTGGTCGGTTCTGGACCGAGTCGAAGAACTGATGATTTTTTTTGGTTCTTCCGGTAATATCCGAAAATTTCGGCTCGGTTCCGGATAGCTGAAGATTTTCCAAGAACCGACAACCCTAGTCAACTATACTATAGTGTGGTCTGTTTCTTCTTATAATTTATTTTATAAAAAACAGACTTTCATATTTCTAGCACGGGCACACACGAACTACGTTTATTTGACCCAACAGAACTCCCCAATTCAACATGTCCAGGTGATTATAAACAACCATTACTTGATGAAACATATTCACATATGTTATTTTATGCTGAAACACCTTCAATGGTTGATTTGGGTAGAGCAGAAAGATTATTTCATATAATAGGGATATTATTAAAAAGTGGGGAAAGAATTGGAAAAGAAATTGTAACGTGTATGTTATTTACAAATGTTTCAAATTTTACTGGTGAAAAGCAACAACAAAATCAGAAAAATCAAAAAAATGTTTCGCAACAATTAATGGAAATGATGTCTAGTCATTATAAACATATACAAGGGGAAGGTTTTTGGGAAGAAGAAGAAAGAAATAATTCTGATAAAGAACAACAACATGAAAATAAAACTACAACAACAACAACATCGCAACAACAACATAAAAATCCTACATTGTTGGAAACTTTTTCGACTGTGAGTGTTTTGTTTGTTTTTGTGTAATTTTCTGGGGTTAAAACAAACTTGGAAATAAAATCAGTTAAAAGGTGCACTTGTAAAATTGTAATTTCTGATTTTGTAGCGTGTTTCTGGTTTGTAATTGGGTGTAGTTGTTTTTAATATAATTGTAATTGTTTTTTTGGTAATTGTAATTTCTGATTTTTGGTAATTACAAATTCTGATTTTTAATAATTGTAATTCTGATTTTTGGTAATTACAAATTCTGATTTTTGTTATTTGTAATTCTGATTTTAGTAATTACAAATTCTGCTTTTTAATAATTGTAATTCTGATTTTAATTAATTACAATTTCTGATTTTTGGTAATTACAAATTCTGATTTTTGTTATTTTGTAATTCTGTTTTTTAATAATTACAATTTATGATTTTTTGTGATTACAAATTCTGATTTTTGTTAATTGTAATTTCTGATTTTTGTTAATTGTAATTTCTGATTTTTATTAATTACAAATTCTGATCTTTGTTAAGTTTAATTTCTGATTTGTAATATTTATTTTATGGTTTTTAATATGTTTTATTTCTGGCTTCCAATTTTAGTTTTTATTTTTGATAATTGTAACTTCTGATTTTGTAATTTTGATTTTACAACTTTCTCCTATAAGAGAAATATTTTAGTTATATGTTATTTTACCTTCTTAACCTTTTATTAAAAATTTTAATTATTAATTTGAAAAAATTTTTTTCTAGATTCTTCTATACTATTTTCGTTCTTATTATCTCAATTCACCAACGAATCATGTTTCTGAAGAAGATTTAGTTGCTTCGTGGAAATGCAAAGTAAAAGAAAATATTTTTTTATTAAATTAAAAAAAAAATTTTTTTTGTTCAGATTTCTGCTTTGGATTGTTTTTCTGAACTTTTACGAATATTAGAAGGAATTGTTAGAGATGCTGGTTCAAAAGAATTTACAACATTTGTACAACATGCTTATAGACAAACAAAAACACAAAAAGTAGTTTTAACATTAATGTTAGCTGCTGTTCCAACACCGTCAAATCAAAAGAATTGGAGGTAAAAGGGAGAGGAGAAAAATTTTGAAAAAATTTAAAAAAATTCCAAAAATTTTTAAAATTTTTTGAAAAATATTTATGAGAGCACCTACCGCGAGCCCAACCTACCGCAGGGCTATAACTTCGTTCAGAATTGTCTAATACGGGATGTCCTGGTATTGTTTGGTTCGCCTCGATGAGCTGAATCGAACCATACTAGGTCATCCCATATTCGTCAATTTTGAACGAAGTTATATCCTCAGCGGTAGGTTGGGCTTGCGGTCGATTTGGGTAACCCAAAAAAATTTTTTTCCTTCAAGAATGCCACTAACAATGGATATTGCTGAATTTAATAATGGTCCAAAACAAAGTGGTCATTTTCGTGACTTAATATATGCTTATCATCGTTCTTTGTTAAATTTAACTTCGTCTATAGTTATACTTGAACATAGTTTACTTACTGGAATGCGTTATTTCAATTCTAATGTGAGTTTAAGAAAAAATACATTTTTAAATAAAAGTATAAATTAGAATTAATTAATTTAAAATCAGAAAATACAAATGTATATTTGTAATGTAATGAAAAATACACAAACCAGAAATTAAATTTAACTCAGAATTTATAAAAACAATTAATTCTGAATTAAAATTATAGCTGATCAGAATTAAATTAAAAAATACCAACCAGAATTAAAAATAAAAACACAACTACAAATCAGAATTTGTTAAAACACACAATTCTGATTTGTAAAAAATACTGACCAGAATTTAAATCAAAAATATAACTAGAAATCAGAATTTATTAGAAACACAATTCTGATTTGTAAAAAATACTGACCAGAATTAAAACTAAAAACACAACTACAAATCAGAATTTGTTAAAACACACAATTCTGATTTGTAAAAAATACTGACCAGAATTAAAAGCAAAAATACAGTTTCAGAATATTTTTCAGAATATTTATTACAAATCAGAATTTAAAAATACATATCTAGTTATATTTTATTATTATTTGTTTTCTTTTAGACCGCCTATAAAATACCTGTCAACTTTTCAACTCCACATATAACAGAAAATCAAATAAATTACAATTCATCACAAAATCGTTCAACTATTCGAGAATCTCGTTATTCTGTTGTAGAACTTCGTCTATTTTTGGGAGTTATTCTAAATGCTTTGAAACGATGTCCTGAAAGGCATGAACTTTGGTTGCAATTTCTTATAGGAATTTTGCCTTATTTGGATAGGTGAGAATTAATTTGTTTTATTAATTTTATAATTCCTTTCTACAACCACAAAATAATGTATAAGATTACAAATCAGAATAATTAATTTAAAATCGGAAAAATACAAAATTACAAAGCAGAATTTATTTAAAATCAGAATATTTAGCAAATATAATTCTGGTTTGTAAACATTTCAAAGCAATTAAGTTAAAAATGCAAATCAGAATTATAATTTTAAATTACAAATCAGAACTAAATTTAAAAATATAAATCAGAATTAAATTGTAATTTGAAATCAGAATTTTACACCCTTAAAATTACTATTTTAAATCAGAATAAACAAATTAATTAAATCAGAATTTTGATTTAAATTAAATTACAATTGTAATACAGATCAGAATTTATTAAAAATCAGAATATGTAATAAATTTAATTCTGATTTGTAAAAATACACACCAGAATTAAGAATAAAATTACAAATCAGAATTTTACACTCAGTAAAAGTACAATTATAAAGCAGAATAAACAAATTAATTAAATCAGAATTAATTTAAATACTCTAAAATTTACAATTGTAAAAAGTTTTCTATATTTTTTTAGAGCTCTAGCAACACATGTTGTTCACGTTACCGAACAAATATGTCGAAATCTTTGTGAATATTTTTTCTTAAATAATCCTTCTGGTGAATGTTGGAAACAATCAATTAATTTATCAACAACTCCAACAACAACAACAACAACAACTTCACATTTTTTGGATAATTCAAAAAATGGAATTAATTTTGTTGATTATCGTTATATTCCGACAGCAATGGAGGTTGATGAAAATATTCAACAACAATGGATTGTTGGAGGTGGAGGAGGACTTGAAATGACTACAACAATAACAACACAAATTAAATATCCTGCTAATTATATTGTTATTGTGAGTTTATTTGTAATTTTGAAATTAAAATTAAAAAATAGTTTTCTTATGATTTGTGGACTGTGTGTGATTAACCGATAACACAAGTACAACTCTTTAGTAAATACAATTTTTAGGCTTGGCCATTGGGAGATTAGGAAATTGTTTAAGATATACTGCTTATTTAGGATACTCATTATAACAGCACATTTAGGACAATAGTAGATTATATTATTACAATATTAATCAAAATTTATTGTCCGCAATTGCGGATTGCATGAAATTGCATATTTTTTTTGACTTGCGGATTGCGTTTGCGGATTATAGAATTAAAACTGCGGAGTGCGGCTGCATAAAAAATTTTTTCAATTGCGGAGAGCTCTGATTAGGAGTCTGGCTTAAAAATTGTGACAGTCTTCTATTTGCTGTTTTTTGTTTCAACTCATTTAAGATTCGGTTTTGTTCTCAAATATTGTTGTCCTCATTTCGGACAATATTTAGATTAATCAAATTATTTTCTTTTTTAAATTTATTTATTTTTTCTTAAAAAGTTGATGGAATCCCTCATGTCTATTCTCCATTTTTCAATGGTTGATAGTTCTACTTCCACCCCCTTTTGGCCACCACAACGTCTCTTTAACAATAATATCCCAACTACAAGTAACAACTTTTCTCAATCACAACAACAATTAATTAATAATTTAAAATCTATGGCAGCACTTTCTTCTACTCAAAAAAGTATGAGTACTGGCGGTCCTTCTATTCAACCAACTCAAAATATTGGTGGAGGAGGAACAACAGCAACAAATACACCCTCCCTAGCAACAACAACTACAACAACAACATCATCATCATTTTCATCTTCTAATATGACAAGTATGGTTGGGTCAGCAATTTCTGTTATTCCTGGAACTGGTTTAATAAATAATTTGTTTGGAAGGGTGTTTACATCAACTGATAGTTCGGTAAGGAAAAATAAAAAAAATTTTCTTGAAAATTTTTTCCCCAAAAAATTTTTTTGAATTTTTTTACCAAAAAAATTTTTTGAAATTTTTTTTCTGTAAAAAATTTTTTGTCAAAAAATAAAATTTAAATTTTTTTTCTCCAAAAAAATTTTTTCTCTGAAAATTTTTTTTCTAGAATTCTTCAAACGGAAAAAACGACAATATAGGCAAAACCTCTGAATGGTTAGAAGCACAAAAAGAAATGATTAAACGTTTTCCGGGTGTATTAGCCATACTTTCTGATATATGGACATTTGTGGCTTCTTCCATTACTGAAAATAATAAACAATTACAGCAACAACAAAAACATCAAAAATTAGAAAATAAACAAAAACAACAATCTCAACAGTCATCGTTTGATACTTTTAGGGTATGAACATTTTATAAACATTAAAACAAAAACATGTTTCACTAACTTGAAAACATGTTTTAATTTATTTCCGGAATGTTTAATAAGTAGTTTATTTTAAGTTTTTCCGGAAACATTTTCCGGAAACAATTTTTCGGAATTTATATTAAAACATTTAAAAAGAAAGTTTACAAACTTAAGTTTGCCATAATGTTTAAATGTTTTTAAAACATGTTTTTTCAATAAACTTTCTAAAAACATGTTTTTACAAACATAAAAACATGTTTTAATTCTTTTTTCGGAAACAATTCTCCGGAAAAATAGATTAAAACATTTAAAGAGAACATTATAATGATGTTTTCCTGAGTGTTTAAATGTTTTGAAAACACACTTATTTTTAAATAAACTTTCCGGAAAATGTCATTACAAACTTAAAAAGTTTATTTACAAACTTAAATTATTTAAACTTAATTAATTATTTCTCAGGCATTAATTCCTCTCTTAATGGAAATATTAAACCCAATTGCTAAAAAACATAAAAATGTATTAATCAACTCTTTTGGTATAATGTGGATATATAGAACAAATAAACATGATCATCATCATTCAATAAAAAATATTGATCAATGTCAAGTAAATTTTGAAAAAAAAATTTTTTTTTCGAAAAAATTATTTTTTAAAGTGTACTTTTGTTTATTCTTCCCAACAACTTTATGCAGCTAAATTATTGTTAAAATTAAAAACCCTTAGTTTTAATTCAATAATTTGTTCAATAAGTGAAACTTTAAAGGATTGTGTAAATAAAACAAGTGGAAAAACGGTGAGGGGAAAATTGGAAAATTTATTGGAAATTTTTTTAATAAAAAAAAATTTTGTAGACTTCATTCTACTCATTAGAAGTATCTCTATTAGAACTCCTCCATGAGTGTGTTAGACAAGTTACTACAACAGAATTGAGGGAATCTTGGAATTCTTTACAAACTTTGTTTAATGAATCTACACTTTCTATAATGCCTGCAAGAGCTTCCTTTTTACAATTTATGTAAGTTTGTAAAATAAAACATTTTTTAAGTTTGTAAAAAGTTTTCCGGAAAAGTTTATGTAAAAATATGTTTTTGAAAAACATTTGTGTTTTCCGGAAAACATTTTTAAGTTTGTAAAAAAGGTTTTCCGGAAAAGTTGTTGTTAAATGTTTGTAAAAACATTTATGCTTTCTGGAAAAAACATTTTTAAGTTTGTAAAAAAGGTTTTCCGGAATGTTTATTCAAAATGTTTTGAAAAACATTTATGCTTTCCGGAAGAAACATTTTAAATGTTCGTTTTAAATGTTTGTTTTTATTTTACCTTTCCGGAAATTGTTTCCGGAAAAGCTTAAACTTGACCTATTTATTATTTAAATAAGATATCAAAACTTTCCGGAACTATATTTACCGTAAATGTTTTAATTAAAACATTCCGGAAAAGAAATAAAAAAATATATGTTTTAATGTTTTTTTTAAACTTCTTCAAAATATATGATAAAAACATGTTTTTACTAATGTTTTAATTAAAATTGTTGTGGAAAAACATTTTTTTACTTTAAGGATTCTTGTTGAATTTGTTCGCCGTGTTGGTCAAACAATTTTTGAAGATCGCCATATTAGCAAAACAATTTTAGATGTTTGTCAGAGATTAACAGAAGCAGTAAATTCAATTGTTGGTTGGCAATTAGAGTCTACAACATGGTTGAAAAGAACTTTGGTTGTTAGGCAGGATGCAGCTAGTAAATTTTTTTAATAGAAAATTTTTAATAGAAAAATTTTTAAAAATTTTTTTTTGATTTTTAAAAATAAATGTTAATTTTTTTAAAAACAGGTCAAAAATCGATTCCCGATCTCAGCCCTGTTTTAGACCAAAAAGCCTTGTCCTCTGTCTCTACAACCTTAGCCTTAAGTGCCTCAACACTTCCATCTGAAGCTAGCTCTATGAGAGGGTCAACAATCTCTTTAAGCGGTCAAAGCGGAATTCCTTCATCAAATAGAATTCCTTCATCATTAGATATTCAATCAACATTTAGTGGAACAACAATTGAGGGAGGTGGTGGTGGAGGAGGAAAGAAACAAACATCTTCTAGTCTACGTTCTAGCATTAAAGATCATAGTGGAATTAATAAAAAGGATCCGAGTGATTCAACACAAGCAATATTTTTATTAGCTGAGGTGAGTGTTTTTTTTTGGGATTTGTTTATGAAATTAAAAAAAAATCTTGAAATTTTCAAAAAAAAAAATTTGATTTTTTTTTGAAAAACTTTTAATTTTTTCGAGTATTTTTTTGAAAATCAAGAAAAAAATTTTCAAAATTTTTTTGGAAAATTGTTGGAAAATTTTTTTTGATTTTTCAAATTTTTTTTTGGAAAATTTTTTTCAAATTTCCAAAAAATAAATTTTTTTCTTTAGAATCTAACAGAATTAATTGATTCAATTACTCGAAACGAAGACAAAGACAAATTACTTCCAACACTTCAAGCTGTTTGGAACAATACCCTTCCCTACTTAAAATCTAAAAGCGCTAAAAATGTACGTTCATTTTTGGCTAGTTCACAGCTGCTAGCTTCAATGAGTTCATTTAACTATATGCGCCCAATATGGAAGAAAAATGCAATGGAATTACTTTGGGATAATTGTAAGTTTTTTTTAAAGAAAAAAATTTTTAAATAAATTTTTTTAGCTTTTTTCAAAATGGACATTCACGCGCTCAAATCTTGGTTAGTTGTAATTGACAATTTGATGACCAACGACAAGACATCATTTAAAGAGTTGCTTGGTATGTTGAGGAAAAATAAATTTAAAAATTTTGATAACTGATAGATGACTAGAAGCAATAACCTAGTAGTTATTGTCCCTAGTAATACTAGGAGACATGCTAGGAACAGAGTGGCCATTTCCAAATCTGGGGCATGGCCTATCAAAAAGGGCAAAAAGGTGGCATTGCAGAAAACGGGGGCGATAAAGTCAAAAGGAGGCAAATGCCTCCTAAAGGCGGTAAAATGGCCACCCTGGCTAGGAGACATAGGAGACAACTGCTAGGAAGACATCCAAGGTCGATGCCTGCTAGACGCTAAACTTTTACCTTTTCTCTTACTACTATAAACTGCTAAAGAAATGATTTTTTGTTAAATTTCAGCTCGAATCACAACATCAACTTCAACAACATTTTCAACACTTATAACTAGTAAAGAACAGGAATATGAAATGCGAGCTCAATACCTTAAACGTTTAGCATTTGTTATTCTAAGTTCTACACGTGACCAATATTCTGGGCAATTAAATGAAATACATGGTAAAAAAGCGAATTTTTAATAAAAAATAACAAAATATTTTTTAGAACGCTTAACCGAAAATCTGCGTTTATGCCAAGCACCTGTAATCCATTCACAAGTTTTTACATGTTATAGAGTATTACTTGTTAGGATGAGCCCGCATTCTTTTGTTTCTGTATGGCCATCAATGATTACCGAAATGGTTTGTAAATGAGAGAGAGAGAGAAAGAGAGAGAATTTTTATAATTACAATTTGTAATTTAAATAATAAATCAGAATTTACAAATTGTAATTTTGGAGTAATTCTGAAACGAATATTAATTACAAATTGTAAAAATTCTGATTTAGTATATTGACTACAAATATCATAATAATATTTCAGAATCTACAATTTGTAATTTAAATAATAAATCAGAATTTACAAATTGTAATTTTGGAGTAATTTTGAAACGAATATTAATTACAAATTGTAAAAATTCTGATTTAATATTGACTACAAATTGTAAATTCTGGTTTAGTATTTTAATTACAATTTGTAAATTCTGATCGAATATTGACTACAAACATCAAGAATATTTATTTCGAAATTTACAATTTGTAATTATAATTTATTAACGTAAATTTAAATTCTGATTTAAATTTTTTATCAAATTACAATTTGTAATAGAATTCTCTCTGCCAAGAATACAAAATTCTGATTTTTTTCTAAATTTATAATTTTACAATTTAAATGTTTTAGGTACAAATTCTAGCCCAAATTGAACAACATTTGCTTACTTCTCCAAGTAACTTGGCAGCTTTTGACGAACAACAACGCTCAGCAAGGGATGATCAATTATTACAATTATTTTTGGCTGGATGTAAATTATTAGAAACTTTGTGTATTCTTCCATCTGGTTATGTACCTCAATTTCAAATGTAAATTTTTGACTAGGAAAAAATTTAGAAAAATTTAAAAATTAGGTGTAAATGGACATTTGTTTCACCAATTGGTAGCGGCAATAAAAGAATAAAAAATAATAATTATCCACCAACTTCAACAAATTCTAATGATTTATTTGTTCCATATTCTGTTAGACTTAACCAATTATTAAATGCTAAAGTAAAAAAAAATTTTTTAATTAAAAAAATAATTTTTTTCTTTCCAAAAAAGTATGGAGAATTGTCACAAGAAGACTTGGAAATTCGCTCAATTTCTTTATTTAATGTAAAAACGCTCACTTCATTAAACGAGTTACGACCATTCTTTCATGCTTTAGCTCAACAAAACATTGAATATAGGCATGGAATTAATGATGATGATATTTTACAAAATGGTGGACAACAATTATCGTCGTTTGAAGTAAATTTTAAATTTTATAAAATTAATTGTAAATTTGTAATTGGAATTTACAATTGTTTGGTGAATATGATTTAGGATTACTATTTTTAACTACAAATTGTAAATTATAAGTACAAACTTCTTTTACAATTTTTAAATTATATGTACAAACTTTTTTACAAATTGTAATCATAATAACAAACTTATTTGCAATTTGTAGTTATAATTAAACCTTTTTTTACAATTTGTAATTCTGATTACAAATTTTTTTACAAATTGTAATTCTTATTAAGAACTTTTTTTACAATTTGTAAATTATAAATACAAACTTTTTACAATTTGTAATTATAATTGCAAACTTTTTTTACAATTTGTAAATTTTATTGCAACCTTTTTATAATTTGTAAATTATATTTAAAACTTTTTACAAATTGTAATTTTGAGTACAAACATTTTTGAAAGTTGTAAATTGTTTAAACTTTTTTTACAATTTGTAATTTATATCTAAAAACTTTACATTTGTAAATTTTAATTACAAACTTTATACAATTTTTAATTCTGGTTGCAATCGTTTTTACATTTTGTACTTTTTATTTTAATTTCTTATCTGAATTTTTATCAGAATTACAATTTGTAATTACATTTTTTAAAAATTTATTCTGATTTTTTTAAATTTAAGAATTCTTCATCTTCACATATTGGAGAAGACTTGACTGGTTCTCTTCCTCTCCGAGTGGCTATTGCAAGGATTGAACAATCTTTATGTGTTGATTTTGCTGAACATTGGCAACTTTGAAAAGTTGAAATTAAAATTGCAAAATGAGATGAAAAATCCCAAAATGCGGGTTATTTAACAAAAAAGTGTGAGAGAATGATGGCTTTGCTTTTCTTTTTTTTATATTTAATAGAAATATTATTGTTTTATGTTTAGGTTTTTTTGACTTTAGAAAGGTTCCGAAAAATTGTTTTTTGACTCTTTTAAGAATTTTTAGTAAGGTATCCTTTCTATTGAAATTTAATGTGTTTATGTATTATTTTGTTTCAAATACCGGTCCCTCAATACATATATGCTCTATTCTCTGTTTTTTTGTGTTAGTTTTAATATTTTAAAAATTCATATTAAATATTTTCTCCTATTTTTTTTTAAATCTGACGACATGGAATTTTTTTCCAACATGATGTATTTTGTTTTCTAAAAATAATTTAAAATTTTTTTTTGTGTTTCAATTAATTTTTTTATATACTGCGATATTGCAAATTAAAAATTAAATAAATAAAGTATCTTAATTCTTTTAATAGAGTTGTAAAATTAATTCAACTTTTTTTACAATTTGTAAAATTAAAAAAAATGTTTTTATAAATAATCTAAAACATTGTTTCCCAAATGTTCGTCATATTGTTTACTCAACCTTGTTTGAATAAGAGTTTGTTCTAAAACAGCAATTTGAACACTCATTACAAAACATTCTTTTTCGATGTTTGCCAAAGCTTGTTTGATTTTTAATATTGGAGCTAAAGACAAGGTAAGTTTATTTACGAACACAACAAGTTTGTTTAAGTAAAAACAAGTTTGTTCGGTAAAAACAAGTTTGTTTGAGAAAAACAAGTTTGTTTAAACAAAACATGTTTTTAATAAAAACATTTAACATAAAAACATGTTTTTCTAACAAAAACAAGTTTGTTTAAATGAAAACAAGTTTGTTCGACAAAAACAAGTTTGTCGAAACAAAACATGTTTTTAATAAAAACAAAATAAAAACATGTTTTGAAACAAGTTTATTTTCAATAAAAACAAGTTTTTACCTCCACTTGTATTTTGTGTTCCGCGTTCTTCAATTTGTTGTTTCAACTCGTCAATTTCTTCGTTTACATTTTTAAGTGTTTCTGTTTTGCTATTCAATGTTACACTACTTTCTCTTTAAAAATTAGTATTATAAACATTAATTTTAATAACAAACTTGTAATGTTCGCTAATTGCAGCCAACTCGTTCTTTTTTGTTCTGTATATGTTTAGAAGACCAGAAAATTGTTCCTAAAAAATGCTTCAATTTACTTTAAATTGTTTCATGTTTAGGTTTGCTTCAGTTTTTTTTTTAATTTTGCTTCAGATTGGGTTTGCTTCAATTTGGAATCTGTTTCATGTTTAGGGGTTGCTAGAGGGTTCTTGCTTCACCTTTTTGTTTCTGCTTCAGTTTCATTTAAAAAAATTTTTTGCTTCATTTCATGTTTTTGCTTCACTTTTTTCTATTTTGCTTCAACTTACATTTAAATTCTGTTCTCTCAACGAAATCCTTTCCATTGCATCATTTATTTCTTTATCCATACTAGTCAATATTGGATGTAATTCAGCATATTGTTCACTCAACGCTGCTTCCATTTTAGCTATTTGTTCTGCATGCATTTGCCAATTTTTTTGTGTTCCTCTAATTGTTATACGCAACTGGGGGGTTACCCTTTCTAATTCTTCCCGCATTGAATCGAGTGATTTAGTTGTCCCATTTTGCATTATCATTTTTAGAGGATCTAAAATATTGTCATCTGCTTGTGTTTCTACTTCTCCTGTAATAACGTCAAATTCTTCCATTAATGGATTATCCTCATCTTCAGCTAGCTCAACATCATCGTCAAACTAAATAATAGAAATTTAAAAAACTTTCCGGAAAACATGTATTCCCTCTTAAAATGTTTTTCCGGAAAACATTATATTAAATTTGTGTTTTAATAAACTTTCCGGAAATGTTTAAATAAGTTCTCAATGTTCATTCAAATTTCCGGAAATCTTTTAAATAAAATTTTTCGGAAAAACATACATTTTTTCTTAGACTAGACAAACTTTCCAGAAAAACATATATTATTAACATTATGTTTTTGTGTTTTTCGGAAAAATATCTTTTCTCTAATAAAATTTTCAGGAAAAACATATTTTTTAACTAAGTTTCCGGAAGTTAACTTTCCGGAAAACATTCTATTGAATTTGTATTTTAATAAACCTTCCGGAAAATATTCACAAAAACATGCTTAATTAATCTACCTGGTCCGAAGTCAATTCAGCCTGGTCAACCTGATTTTCCTCATCTTGAATATTTTCTTCTGTATCCTCTACCTGTTGCATTCTTAATAATTTTTTAAATTTATATTTTAAAATATGTTTTATTTACACTCCATATTGAAAACCACTTTTTTCAAGGGCAATTGCAGTTAAATGAAAAAGTAGAAGAACACATTGCTTTCCAGCCCCAGATTTTAATTTGTTTGGAGGAATATTTAAATTCTCAAATTCTTTTTCTTCTTTTATTGAATTCAAAATTCTTGCTATTGTTCCATTCGGATCTTCAAATTCATGCGGCATTTCCATATCAACAACAATCCCTGATTTTCTAATAAGCCAGGTGCATAGAGAGGTAAACAAGTGGAATTGTTCACCAACATTAGTGGAACGAACGAAATAGTGTCTAGTTAGAGAAATAAGTTTAATTAATTTATGTGTTTTCCGGAAATGTGTGTGTGTTTTCCGGAAAAAATTAGAGAAAAGAAAAATACGCATGTTTTCCGGAAAAATAAATATTGTTTTATTGAACATTCCGGAATATATTAAAAACATGTTAAGTTCATATTCTATTTCCGGAATTTGTATATTCTCAAATGTTTTGTTCGTATATTGTTTTCCGGAATGTGCTTTCTCATGTTTATTTCTTGTGTTTTGACTTGTAATTTTTAGCAAAAATGTTTTTGTGTTTGTTTTACAATATGTTTTTCCGGAATGTTTTTGTAATGTTTTATTCACAAGTTTGTTTTTAATAGACTTTCCGGAATATGTTTTTCTATTTGTTTAAGTTTTGTTGGTTTCGGGAATATGTTTTAATAAAAGCAATTTACCTTGGTATTGTTTTTAAACTGTCTCCAAGTTCAGTAAACTCAATTTCATAATTTAACAGTTTCAATCTTTCCGTAACCAATTCATTCTGCAAATAAATATCAAATTTACTTCCAGGTCCCTCTTCAGTTTCGTTGATTTTTTTGATTTCTGTATTTGTCGTTTCTTCAGAATTTTCCATTTTTTTTATTATTTTATTTTTAAGAAATCGTTTCTATTTTATAAATGTTACCATGACAACAAAGACGTTAAAAAATATTGACAAAAATTAAATAAACAAATTTTTTGTTTATGTCAAGTTGTTTTCCGGAAAGTTTTTAAAATATTAAAAGTTCGTTTAAAAACATTAAACAAACATTTTACATATTTTCCGGAAAATGTTTTTATCTATAAAAAACATGCGTTTTTAATGTGTTTTTAATGTTTTATTCTAATATTGTTTTCCGGAAAATGTTTTAATAAAATTCCGTTTGTTTTATTAAACATTCCGGAATCTATTAGAAACATGTTATGTTTAGGTATATTATCTTTCCGGAATGTGTTTTCTTTTGTGTTTCCCTGTAATTTGTTTTGTGTTTTTTTTGTGTTTTAATAAAATTCTGATTGTTTTACCTATTAAAAACATTTTGTTTTTAACAAACAATGTTTGTGTTTTCGTGTGTTTTTGTTTCGATTGTGTTTTCGTAAAAACATTAATTAAAACATGTTTTTGTTGTTGTTGTTTTAATGTTTAATGTGTAAACATGTTTAATTAGTAAAACATGTGTTTCCGGAATTTGTTTTCCGGAATATTGTTGTTGTACTATAAAAGCCCTATTGTCATTCCGAACATTTATTATTCCTCTCAACTTTCCCCAAACTTAAATTTAATTTCTTTTACTAAAAAATTTTTTTCTGTTTAAGAATGAAAAGCTCTCATTTTGGACTTCTTTTCCTTTCTATTTTAATTATTTTTGGTGGCTTCTCGGCACTTTTGTGGTTCTTGCCATTATCTTCTCTTCCATTATATGACAAAAATTTTAATGTAAATTTTGTATTTTTTTGATAATTAAAAATTATTTTTTTTTTCAGAAAGAATGTGCTCGTCATCAAGTAAAAATACCCCTTGTTTTGGTCATTATCGCCTGTGCATCGGCCGTTCTCTGTGCTTCTCTTAATTTTGTATTTGTTGTTGGGATATATTTGGCATGCCGGAAACAGGTGGGGAAAATTGAAAAAAAATTTTCTAAAAAAGTTTAAAAAAAATTTTTTTTCAGATCAGCTCCTTATTGGATTTAATCAAACAACACTTGTTTGAATTGATGGATATGCTTCTTCGATTATTGATGCCGACGAAACTTTTAAAAATTGTTTCTAAAGATGGGAAGAAATAAATATATAGAATATGTTGTGTTTTGTCTAATTTATTTGTAAATATTTGTTGTGTTTGTATTTAATGTTGTTTTACAAATAAATAGGTTGATAAGTTTGTTTTTGTGTTTTTAAAAAATAAATTTGAATAAAAACAAGTCTTGTTTAAATAAACTTGTTTAGATAAAAATAAACTTGTTTTTGAAAACAAACGTGATTGTTCAAACATAAACAAGTTTTAAAACAAGTTTATTTTTGGTTAATTCAAGTTTATTTAAAAACAAACTTGAGCATGTTTGTTTTTAAATAAACTTGAATTAATTAAAAATAAACTTGTTTTAGTAAACTTGGGCAATTGTGTTTTAGAAAAATTAGTTTTAAATAAACTTGAAGTATTGTATTTTTGTATTACTCCATTCATTAAAATTAATTTTTTTTAAAACAAGTCCGTCCTTTATAAAAATTTATTTAATAAATTTATTTTTTATCTGATTTATTTTTAAGCGAATTGACCTCATTTTGCGCGTTCATCCTCCCTAACTTTAATTTTAAATAATTATTAATTTGCTTAAATTGAACAAAAATTCTCTAAAATATTAATTAAAATAAAAATATTTTTTATATAAAATGTCTTCTTCATTTCTACTCGAAACTGTCGATATTTATACCTTCTGGCTTTTAAGTTTGTATTTTTAAATGTATTTTATAAAAAATACATTTTTACATTAGGAATAAATAAACTTGTTTGTTTGATGTTTTAAATAAATTTGTTTCAAACTTTTTAAAAAATAAACATGTTTATGTATTAATAAACTTGTTTTAAATAAACTTGTTTTATTGTTTTTAATAAACTTGAATTGTAATTTTAAATAAACTTGAAAAATACAAATTGTAATTTAAATAAACTTGTTTTGAATAAACTATGTTTTTATTTTAATTGTAAAATTTAAAGTTTATTTTTCTAGATGTCTCCTCCAGTTTTATGTTATCTGCAGCACACAATGTTCTTTTCTTTGTTCTTGACTGGAGAACTCCAGTCATTCACTTTTTACACTTTGCTTCAGCATTAGCCTTTTTTGCAACCAAAACAGCATTCACCCCAGACCGTGGGGTTTTGCTGAGACTTTTATTTGGAGAATTTTTTCGTCCACCTTTAAGGATTATTTTTTGGAAACCTTTATTGGCACAATTAATTGTTTGTTTATTGTCTTCTATTGGTTGGTTTGGATATTATAAATTATTAACAAATTTTATTTTAATATTAGTACATTCACAAAATAGAACAGGCGGATTATACTTAGTTAGGTTTGTTTTACAAATTGTAAAAATTGTTTTACAATTAATAAAACAAGTTTGTTTTTATCTTATGAATGTTTTTAAATTGTAAAAACAAGTTTATTTTTACAATAAAAATAAACTTGTTTTTAAACAAAATAAACTTGTTTAAAAACAAGTTTATTCTTGTTGTAAAATAAACTTGTTTTTACAATTGTAAAACATTCGAAAAAAATAAACTTGTTTTTATTATGTACAAAACACTAATTACAAACAAGTTTATTTAAAAAGAATTTGTAAAACAAGTTTTAGCAGGGGTGTTTTTTGTAAAAACTAATTGTAAAACAAGTTTATTTTTGTATTTAATTATAAACAATTGTAAAAACATAATTATTCTTAAATTAAATATTATTAAAGGCTTTTTGACTTTCTTGGAACTTTATTGGTTATTGGATATGGACCTAAAATATTGGGAGAAGAAGAAGATACAAATAAGAGGAGGGCTATTTCTCTTTTGCTTGTAAAATTAATTTAACTTTTAAAAATATTTTTTAATTCTCCAAAAAAATTTTTTGAAGGTCCCCTTAGCTGTTTCTGCTTCTCTTAGTTGGTATCAAAAATTAAAAAATTTTAAGAATTAATTTTAATTTGAAAAAGGCTTGAATTTGGACATATAGAATATGACCCTTTAACAGTCTGGTTTTCCCCCTTACTCGGATTAGCACAAGGATTGCACCTGTTGTTGCTTAAGCGCTCCCAACTGCTCTTCTTTGGAGCTTTCCAACAACAACAAAATTTAAATAATTACGAAAATAAAAATGGGGATTGTGAAGAGGATAGTTATGGGTAGTTTAAAATTAAATTTAAAAAAATATATTTTTTAAAGTCAAAAAACAAACAATTTTTCCCCTTTACTCTTCCAACGCTTTGCCCTTTGCTACACCTTTGCTATGACTTCCCTTTTATTTATTCCGGCATTAATATCGTATAGTCAAAGCATCGTTCCTTATGATGCAAGTTGGGAATCTATAGGTATTAAATATAAAATAAATTAAATACACAAAATTTTGTATTTAGATAAGGTATTAATGGCAATGTCTGTTATATTTATGATTGGCTACAAATATTCGGAGCTTTGGTTACAGGCAAAACTTGAAGCAAGTTTAATGTTTTTTTTAATAATAAAACATGTTTTTGTAAATAATAAAACTTGTTTTTCTTTTAAAACTTGTTTTTATTAAACTTGTTCTTATAAAACATTAAAAACAAACTTGTTTTTGCAATTGTAAAAACAAGTTTATTTTTATAGAAACAAGTTTATGTTTAAAGTTTTACAAAAACAAGTTTTATTGTTTAAAAACAAGTTGTAGAAATAAGTTTATTTTTTTTACAAATTGTAAAATGTTGGTAATAATTAAATTTATTTTTTAATTTAAATAAACATGTTTTACAAACTAATACTAAGCTTTTCTTTAATATTAATTTAATATTTTTTTCTATTAAAAATAAATTTTCTCCCTTTTAAAATTTTAGCCTCATCATTTCTGTGCTTTAGAACATTCCAAATTCTTTATGGCATCAATTGTATTGTTTTTAAAAATATTTTTAGTAATTTATTTATTAAAAGGGCCAGTGGTTTCTTCAAAATATGGCACACGCAACTGTATTCGCTGCAATTGGAAAGGCGGTGTTTGTAGCTTCTGCTTTACGCTATTTTACTAGAATGGGAGAAATGCGGTCTAAAGAAAAGTGTTGCCCTAAAATAAGCAATGCTGAAGGGGTTGTTAATTAATTTACAAAAATACAATTATTAAAACCAAAACACAAACTTGTTTGTTTTTTAAAATAAACTTGGATTTGTTGTGTTTTTAATAAAACTTGTTTGTGAAATTTGTTTTAATAAAACTTTAATTTTGAACTTGTTTGTATTTTAAATAAACATGAAAATAAACTTGGATTTAAACAAACTTAAATTTATTGTGTTTTTAATAAACCGTGTTTGTATTTTCGATTAAACTTGAAAATAAACTTGTTCGTAAAACATGTAATTAAACTTTAATTTTTAATTAAACGTGTTCGTATTCTTAAATAAACTTTAAAACTTGTTTTCAAATATAAACATTGTTGTAATTTCTTACCCTTTTGTAAAACAAGTTTTAATTATATTTAATTGTTCGTCACTTGTTTTAATAGTAACATATTCAAGTTTTGGAGTTTACCAACTGTTTTTATACGAATTAAAGGTATTTAAAAGAGGAATAAAATAAAGAAAAATGCGTGGGTTTAGGAAGGGATCAATCTGTCTTTTTTTAAAAGTTTATTAAAAAACTTTTAAAGCATAGAGAAAAAAGGCTAAAAAATATTTTTTACCTTCTGGCTATTTTCGTAAAAATATTTTTTTTCTTTCTTCTCCATTAAAAAAAAGCCAGTGTAATATATAAAATTCCAAACATCTTTTCTTCATTACAAAACAACTGCTTAATCCGCCCCCGGCGCTTTTTTAAAACATTGGAGGCCTTTTTAAACAAGAGGCCCAAAATTCTTTTTGGGCCTCTTTGAGGAGCTTTGAGGGGAGGAAAAAGACCGATTGGATCAAACGACGTTATTTGTGTGTAAAACCCATAAAATCCCAAAAAGAAAATATTTTAGTCTTACTCATCAATATATTTTATATCATCAATTTTGGGGGCGACTGGCACGAAAAGATAAAAGGGAGAGGAACAACTGTTGATGCCTGAAAAGAAATAAAACTTGAAGCAAACACACACCTATATACTTTCACAAAACTTAGTTAATATAGAAACTAAAATGCTTCAAAAGTTTTACCTCACTTTGATATTAAATATATAAATTAATTCGTTTAATTGTGATCTTTCTACCCTTAAGATTGTAAAAAGAGAACATTTTTATTTAATTCCAACTTATTTTATAAGATTGTAAACTTGAAACTAGTTTAAACTTAAAAATTCTGATTTTTTAAAATAAGTTTTCCGGAAATAGTTTCCGGAAACTCTAGATTATAAACTTTGTTTTTGATTTAAAACTTGTTTTCCGGGAAGTTCCGGAAAGTGTTTCCGGAAACTTGACTAGTTTAAACTTAAAAATCCTCATGTTTAAAGTTGTCCGGAAAAAGTTTTCCGGAAACTTATTTTTAAGATTGTAAACTTGAAACTAGTTTAATCTTAAAAATTTCTTTCCGGAAATAGTTTTCCGGAAATTCTAGATTATAAACTTTGTTTTTAATTTAAAACTTGTTTTCCGGAAAGTTTTGCGTATTAAAAGAAAACAAAGTTTACAAACTAAAATTGACCGGAAAAACATGTTTTATTCCGGAAAACTTGTTTTAATAGATAACACTAAAATCAGAATTTCCTAATCTAAAATTTTTTGTGACGCGTCTTAAAATTAAAAAATTCTTAAAATTTTTTAATAAATTTTTTAAAGAATTTTTAAATCAAATATTAAATTTTTAAATTTAATTAGGAAGGAGAGAATATTTCTACAAATTATTTGAAGAGCAGCCTATTTCTATCAACAAAAAACCTTCAAAATGCCAGAAAATGGTTGGTTTCCTTAATAAAATTTTTAAAAAAATTAAAATAAAAAATTTAAATAAATTCGTTGAGTGTCTGGCCAAATAACATTCTTGAATACGATTATAATTATTGTAAATTATTATTCAAGACATATACTAAGAAGAAACAAATATATATAAGGGGGACTAAAATTATTAACAAAAAGTATACAAAAATATTCCCGAAAAGTCATTCATCTCTCTCGATTCGTATAAATAATCGAGAGTGATTCATATACAAAAAAGACAAGTCATCATCAAAACTTTGAAAAAATAAGAAGAGAATAATCAGAGTAAGGCTAAAGGAGAAATGAACATTTCCTTACCGGAAGAGTTATTTACAAAAATTTAAGTTTGTAAACTTAATTTTAATTTCGAGTTTGTAAAACTTTGTTTTTACAAGTTTCCGGAAATTCTTAGGTTTTTATTTGTTTCCGGAAACTTAACTTCCAGTTTTATTTAAAAACATGATTTCCGGAAATCCTAGTTTGTAAAAACTTGTTTATATTTTCCGGAAATAATTTCCGGAAATACTTCTAGATTGTGAAACTTTGTTCACAAGTTTCCGGAAATTCTTAGGTTTTTATTCTTTAGGAAACTTAAGTTTGTAAAACTTTAATTTTACTTAACTTCCAATTATTATATTAAACCACAATTTCCGGAAATCCTAGTTTGTAAAAATTTGTTAATCTTTTCCGGAAATACTCTTAAGATTGTAAAACTTTTATTATATATTAAATTCTAGCCTGTTTCTATTTTTTATTAATTTTTTAAATCAATTTTTAAATTCTTTTTTTATCAAAATTTTATTTAATTTATTCTCCTTATCTTTTCACTAAAAATTGACTGAACACTTTTTTTTATTTTAAAGAAGTGCCTAGAATATTTGTTTTATAAAATATTGACTGACTGGAAATTTTTTACTGGAAGAATTAGAAACTAGGTGTAGAGGAGAACTAAAATAAAATTAAGATAAAACTGAAAATACAACAAACTACATATTTAATTCCGGAAATTGTAGTTTGTAAACTTGACAAAATTAAGTTTGCGAATATTTAAACTTGTTTTCCGGAAAAATGCGCAACAAGTTTTCCGGAAAATTTAAGTTTGTAAACTTGTTGCAATTAAATTATAGTTTCCGGAAAAAGTTTTCCGGAACATTTTCCGGAAGAGCATGTTTAAGTAAAAAAGCTGTTTTTTTTGGAAAAAGTTTTCCGGAAATTCAAGTTTGTAAACTTGTTGTAATTAAGTTTCCGGAAAAAGTTTTCCGGAAAAGTTAAGATTGCGAACTTAATTTTGTTTAAATTCTAGTTTGTAAAATAACTTTTCCGGAAATTGAGTGACCTCTAAAATCTTATAGAAAACAAAGAAATAAAATCCCAGAAAATCGTCTTTTCTATTAGTAAAAATATTTTAAAGTTCTCCTATTCTTTTCCTTTGTATACAAAAGTGTTTAAGCAGTAGAAGGGTGGTAAGGTATAGAGGTAGTTAGCTAGCTGGCCGATCGAACGCGTGTTTAAGCAAAAAAAAGCTTTTTCTCCTTTCTATAATTTTATAATTTCTCTCTTTTGTATTTTTCCTCTTGTAATTTTCTCATTTTCATTTTTTTTCTACTTTTATTTTTTTTATTTCTTAACGGCTGATAGCGTTAAAATTATTTTTTTATTACCTTTTTTCTTTTAATTTTTCTTTCAATTTTTCTTGTTGCCATTATTAGACAAATAATTGTTTTAAACAACACCTCTTACTTAGTTTCTTCCAAAAATTGAAGAAACTCGTCAAAAACTGCCAAAAATTGTGCCATAAATAATTATTATCTTTCCCCTTAAAATTTAATTTATCCAATGTGTCCTCTCTATGTTGTAGCGTCCATGGGAAACGATAAAAACATTGTAAACGGAAATCAGCACAAAACACAAACACAACATTTTAACGGAAAAACATCTAAACAGCAACAAAACACAAAAATGGCTGAAGTTGCAGAAATACTTGAATTAACAAAAATACCAGAATTATCAGAAAAACCAGAATTAATAGAAAGAGAAAAAACAACAAACATATCAGAACAAGAAGAAATACAAAGAAATACAAAAATAAAAGAATTAGAAAGAGTACCAGAATTTCATTCCAGTGTTTTATTTCTTCCAGAAAATACAGAAAAAGAAGAAACACAAAACATCATTAAAACAAAACAAACATATCAACAAAACCAGAATTTAGAAAAAACATCAACAAATAATAAATCAGAATTTGTAAAAACATATCAACAAAACCAGAATTTGACAACAACAACAAATAATTACAACAATAACAACAACAGATCAGAATTTGTAAATGTTTTACAAAACCAGAATTTAGCGACAACAACAAAACCAGAATTTGTAAAAACATTACAAAACCAGAATTTAACAAAAACAACAAACAATTACAATGACAACAACAACAAATCAGAATTTGTAAATGTTTTACAAAACCAGAATTTAATAACAACAAATAATTACAAACCAGAATTTGTAAAAACATTACAAACTTCAAACATTAATAATAATTGTAAAAACAAATCAGAATTTGTAAATGTTTTACAAAACCAGAATTTAATAACAACAAATAATTACAAACCAGAATTTGTAAAAACATTACAAACTTCAAACATTAATAATAATTGTAAAAACAAATCAGAATTTGTAAATGTTTTACAAAACCAGAATTTAATAACAACAAATAATTACAAACCAGAATTTGTAAAAACATTACAAACTTCAAACATTAATAATAATTGTAAAAACAAATCAGAATTTGTAAAAAACATACAAAACAAGTTTGATTTAATAGAAACAGAAAGTGTTGCATTTTATGGGGAAAAAGAGAAAAGAGAAAACGAACAAAACCGAAGAATTTCAATAATTAAAAATTGGGAAGAAAAAATACAAGGAGATGAAGAAAAAGAAAAATTTGAAAAAATTAATAAAAGGAGAATAAAAAGAGGAAAATCTCCTCCAAAATATGGACGTTATTTCGAATTTTTAAATTCTCCAAATAATTCATTTTCAACAAAAACACCAACACCTATTAATACCCCTACAAATTCTTTAATATTTTCTCCTGTTGAGGAGGATGAGAAGAAGTTAAGGGAATTGCTACTGAAACAACTTATGCCTTCTTTTTATAGAGAGAAACAAAATTTTTTTAATGGTTAGGGGAGAATTGTGGGGAGAAAAATTAAAAATAAAATACAAAAAAATACAAAAATACACAAACACAGAAAAATACAAAAATCTAATTTTAATTCCCTTTAACAGATTATGACGAGGAGGAGGCGCCAAACGCCACGATGGAAACAAAGGTAGCTTCAGGTGGACAGCCAAAACGTGTTGGAAAATGGACGTTGTCTCAACTTCGCCAGACTGATGGTAAATAAAAATTTTAATGGTTAGGATTTGGGGGAAACACGGAAAAATACAAATAAAATACAAAGAAAACACAATTTTAATTAAGGTATAATTCCATCCCAGGCCGGTTGGAACAAGGGAGACTCCCAAAAGTTGATGACCAATTTTGGTACTCCACGTAACACAACAACCAAAATTCGTGCTGAATGCCTTGCTGATGTGCCTGAAGAAATTGCTCTTAAAAGTCACGGTGAAGTACGTCTCCAATCTGGTACTAACCGTTTTGCTTCGCAGAAGGGAATGGTTGGATTCGGGTAATTTTGTATTTTTTATATTAAATAATTAAAAGGAAAATACAAAACTTTTGTGTTTTCCGGAAAGCTTCTAGTTTGTAAACTTGATTTATTAAATTCTAGTTTGTAAAAAGTGTTTTCCGGAAAATCAGAATAAATAAAAAGAAAATACAAAAACCGGAAGCGAAAATACAAAAAGTTGAAAACGTTGTTTCCGGAAAGTTTTGTTTATAAACTTGTTTTATTAAATTCTAGTTTGTAAAAACAAACTAAAATTGAAAACAAGTTTGCAAACTATAAACTTTCCGGAAAACACATGTTTTTGTATTTTTGTTGTTGTTTGTGTTTTTTTTAATTATTTTCCGGAAATTCTGGTTTTAATTATATAATGCTATAAAATCAGAATAAATAAAAAACACAAAAATACAAGAGTGTTTTCCGGAAAGTTTCAAGTTTGTAAACTTGATTTTATTAAATTCTAGTTTGTAAACATATTTTCCGGAAATGTTGTTGTATATTAAAATCAAAATAAATAGAAAACAGAAAATACAGAAACTTGTGTTTTCCGGAAAGTTTTTATAAACTTGATTTATTAAATTCCGGAAAATCAGAATAAATAAAAGTTGAAAATAGTACAAAAAACCGGAAGGGAAAACACAAAAAACCGGAAAACACAAAGAATTTAAATTATTGTATTTTACAACATTGAAAAAAAGAAAATACAAAACTTGACAGTTAATTGAATTATTTCTTTTTTATAGTACTGGCCGTGACGTATGCAGAGAAGGAGTGTTTGTGAGTCAAGACCCAGCCGATTTGGAGGTTTAAAATTATTTTTTAATTTAAAATATTTAAAGAAAAAATACTTGTTTCTTCTCTCTTTTTCAAAAAAATTTTTTTTCGCTTCCCTCAACAAAAAAAAATTTTTATCCGTTTATAAAAGAATCTAACAAATTAATTTTTCTTTTAAAAAAATTCAAAAAAAAAATAAAAATAGGCGAAAGAAAAATCAAATCTATTTAATAAATCTATTTTTCTTTTAATTTTTTTCCTAATTTATTAGCGTGTATTTATTATTAAAAAAAGTCTCAAAAGTCATCATAACCCATAAATAAATATATTAATTATTTTATTAATAATATATTTATTTATTTTTCATGTTTTCTCTCTTAATTCCCCCCTTAAAATTAATTTTAGAAAAAATAAAAATCATTTTTATTAAAAAATAGATTAATAAAATTAATTAACACAACCCTTTATTAAGTAAAAACACAAAAATAAAATTTTTAAAAATTCCCAAAAATTCCCTAAAAATTCTCTCCTCACTTAAAATGCCTAGATTAGTCGTTAATTTATTTTTAAATAATTACCCCCCTCCCCAAAATAATTTAAATAAACCAAAAAACCCATTCAATAACCTTCCCACTACTTGCCCAATAAATTCTGAAATAAGACAATTAAATTTAAATAAAATACAAAATTGTGTTTCTCCTTTACAATTGTCCCCAACAATTAATAAAACAACAACAATTAAAAAAATTATTATTTTACCTAGTGGTCATTTAACACCCCCACTTACTTCTCCATCATCTTTTTCTTTCTGTTCTTCTGAGGTTTTAAAAATACAAAAAATACAAAAAAATACAAAAAATACAATTAATTCCGGAAAGAATATAAATTTTGTGTTTTTCCGGAAAAACACAAAACTAATATTTCCGGAAATATACTTCTATTCAAGAAAATACAAGGTTTCCGGAAAAATAAATTAATCTGTTTTAAAAAAATACAAAAAAATACAAGAAAATACAAAAAAATACAAAACATGTAAATTCCGGAAATACAAAACATGTATCTTGTTTTACAAACTTGCCGGAGAACATATAAACTAATTTTCCGGGTAAATTTGTTTGTAAAAACTTTCCGGAAAGAATAAGTTTATTTGTTTTTCCGGAAAACACAAAATTAATAGTTCAATAAAAATACAAGAAAATACAAAAAATTCAAAAATTCAAAAATACAAAAATACTTAAAAATACATAAAAATACAAAAAAGAAAAATACAATTATTTCCATTTTAGCCCCTCCCAGAAGAGAAAATCCGTGCTAGCGATGGAATTGTTCGTCTCCAATCCGGTACCAACAAATTCGACTCACAAAAGGGAATGGTCAGCTTCGGTACAAACCGACGCGAAACTACAAGAATGAAAGACACCAAACATCCGGAATACAACCACGAAGTCAACATTGACCAAAGCGAAATTCCTTTGCAATCTGGTGAGGAATTTTGAATTATTAATTTAATTGAGGAAAATACAGAAAAATACAAAAAATACAAACTTAACGGAAAACGTTTAAGATTTCCAGAATAAATATTAAACTTTCCGGAAAACATAAAAACAAATGACTTTCCGGAAAAATTCAAGTTTGTAAAAACATTCCGGAAAACACAAATTAAATAGATGTGTTGTATTTTTCCGGAATGTTTTTTAAATATTAGGTTTTCCGGAAAAGTATTGTTTTTGTGTTTTCCGTCAAGTTTGTAAAAACATTCCGGAAAAACACAAAACATTTATTAATTTTACAAACTTTCCGGAAAACATATAAACTAATTACCTTTCCGGAAAAACCTAAGATTGTAAAAACATTCCGGAAAAATAAATATAAATTCCGGAAAAATACAAAACACATCTATTTAATTTTTGTATTTTCCGGAATTTTTATTTATATTTCCGTAATGTTCACAATTTTTTAAATTTTACAAACTTGACGGAAAACATTTTAAGCTTTAGAATAATTGTAAAAACATTCCGGAAAAAATACATTCAACAAAATTTAAAGGTACAAACAAATTCGCCTCACAAAAGGGAATGACCAGCTTCGGTACAAACCGTCGTGAAACTACAAAAATGTTGGACACTGCTCACCCAGAATACAGTCACGAAAGCAGCATCGATCAAACGAGCATTCCTTACCAAATGGGATCAAATCGTTATGCTTCACAAAAGGGAATGACTTGCTTTGGACAGCCACGTTGGGAGGTGCTTGACCCAAGCATTAGCTACCAGAACCGTAAATCACAAGGTGGATATTTTGAATTGTATTATTATAGTCAGAGCTCAGTATAAGCTAGACCCAATACCAGATAAACCTCTATTCAAGATATGCTTTTTTAAGTTTGGAAGGTCACTGGGTAGGGGAGCTTATGATATCCTCTATTTAAGAGACATCCATTATAAGAGACTTTTTTTAAGTTAACCTCCATTTAAGAGACACCCATTATAATACTTTTTTATGTTACCCTCTATTCAATATACAACCATTATAAGAGACTTTTTTAAGTTAACCTCTATTTAAGAGACACCTCATTATAAGAGACTTTTTTGAGTTACCCTCCATTTAAGAGACACCTCATTATAAGAGACTTTTTTGAGTTAACCTCTATTTAATAGACATCTCGTTATAAGAGACTTATAAGTTACCCCCTATTTAATATACACCCATTATAAGAGACTTTTTTTGTTTTCCTCTATTTAAGAGACATCTCATTATAAATTACAATTTTTTCTGCTTCAATGCAGTATTTTATTATAAGACCTGATTTTATTTAAGTAAAAGATCTATATTTTTAAAAATATTTAAGGAATGGTCCGTCTCCAATCCGGAACAAACCGGTTCGCCTCGCAAGCAGGCATGACAGGTTTTGGAACTCCCAGGAACACAACATACGAGGCGGAGTCTGGCGAACTCCCATATGAAGATATGAAGAAGTCAGAAACGATAATTCCATCCCAGGCCGGTTGGAACAAGGGAGACTCTCAAAAGTTGATGACTGGATTTGGTACTCCTCGTGACGTTAAAGGCAAACATTTGAAGCGTATTTGGGAGTTGGAATACCCAGAGGAGGCTGAAATTTCGTTGGATCGACTTTAAAGAAAATTTTAGAAGAGAAGAAAAAATTTAGTGGAAGGCAAGAAAATTTTCAAAAAAAAATTTTCAAAAATTTTTCAAATTTTTTTTTCCTTAGGAAGGCAACGACTTTTGACTACAATTGACACACACAACACCCTTTTTTCACATTTACAAAATACATTTAAAAAATTTTTTTTGGCTTTTTGGCTTGCTCCTATTTTTTCCCCCCATCATTCTCCCCTATTCTCTCATTTGGACGAAAACTTGGAATTTTTAAAAAAAGAAATAGATGAGAGAAAAAAAAATTAAAAATAAATTAAATATTAGTTAAAATCCTTAAAAATAATTTTGGACATTTTTTAAAAATAATTTTCTGTAAGAATTAATTGTCCAAAAAATTAATTTTGTTTCAAGTCCAAAATTGTATTTTTAAAAATACTTTAATTAATTAATCCACACTTTTTCCCATCAATTACTAGAGACGTACGAGACTCTTGGTCTTGATTCCAAGTCTTTTCTTGGGGGTTTTCGGTCTTGGTCTTGGGGTATAGCCTTGGTCTTGAGTCTTGGAAAATTTTCGGTCTCGCACGTCTCTATCAATTATACTCTCCTCATTTATTCATAAATATACTTATATACAGTGCAAATGACGATAAAAAGTTGAAAAAGTGCAAAAAGCTATTTGTAAATTGTGAAAAATATTTATTTCCGGAAATTAAAAAGAATCCGGTTGATAACAGAGAAAAGTTAGTTAATTAGAGAAATTGTAAATAAATTTGTAAAATTCAGAAACGCTTCCGGAAGGTTTGTAAATGTTTCCGGAAAGTTTGTAAATAACTCCAAGATATTTGTAAACATTTCCGTAAAGGTTGTAATTATTTCCGGAAAGTTTGTAATATTAGATGAATGTTTGTAATTATTTCCGGAAATATATAAAAATTTCCGGAAGGTCTATAAATATTTCCGGAAAGGTTGTAAATAATTCAGAGATATTTGTAAACATTTCCGGAATAGTTGTAAATTAGTACTAGAGAGTTTGTAAAGTTTCCGGAAAAGTTTGTAAATTAATTCCGAAATATTTGTAAACATTTCCGGAAGGATTACAATCATTTCCAGAAGGTTTATAAATATTTCCGGAATGATTGCAATAATTCCGGAAGGTTTGTAATATTATATGTAAGTTTGTAATTATTTCCAAAATAATTAAAACAATCGCAAAAGGTTTGTAAACATTCCATAGTGTTTGTAAACATTTACGGAATAGTTGTAAATTAGTACTAGAAGGTTTGTAAAGTTTTCGCAAAGTTTTGTCGTTATGTTTGTACTTCATTTCCACACGTTCCGGAAGGTTTTAATTATTTTTTCAAGTTTGTAAATAATTCTGGAATGAGTGAAATGTTCCGTCCAATTTCCGGAACAGTTGTGATTATGTTTGTAATTTCTTCTGAAACGTTCAGGAAGGGTTGTAATTTTTTTTGTAAATTTGTATTTTGTTTAAAGAAAATAATTCGGTATATCCGAAAGAACTTAAAACAGTAAACTTGTAATATTCTACACATTTTATTTTTGAATTGATTCCGGAGGGAAATTTTAGTTTCCGGAGATACCTCGGTATATTACTACAATTTGCTATCGGCAATGAATAACAAATCGGAGTTAGCCAAAAATCGGAGTTAGCCACTAAGGTTGGCGGATCCGGATCCGAAAAAAGGCCGGATATCCGAAGACTTCCAACTATCCACCAACCTTATTAGCCACCTCTACCTATTTTAGAACACCTTGTAGTCGTGCATGGAACTTCCTCTTTGGGGATTCCCTAATTTATTTTTCTTTTTTTTCTAAATGCAATTAAAGTCATAAACACCTGCCTTAACAGTTGAATTTATTTTATTGTTCTTTTAATCATTTTATCTAATAGTGTGAAAAATTTTTTTATTTTCCTCATAATAAAGGGGAATTCAATGAGAATAACGGGAGCGTAGGAGGGGCAGAAGGCAAAACAAAACTTTTTAATAAAAAAATTTTTTTGGGAGGAAGTCCAAAAGGTAACAACTATTTATTTATTAGAGCCTATTTAACAACAGAAAATGTTCCTTATTTTTTTTATAAAAAAGTTGATCATAGAAAATTTTCTCCTCAAATCATTGACAGGGGTATAGCCCAAATAGGCGCGCGCCATAACGGCGCAAAGCCATAACTTGCTTCAAGATTTCCGAATCTTACCAAATTTGGTATTAAACGATTCCTCTCATCGAGCTAAAGAGATTGGTACCAAAATTGATAAGGGCCAAAAATTTTCCAGCAAGTTAAGGCTTTGCGCCGTTATGGCCGCGCGCCGGCGCGTCCCCATTGACAGTATATTCCCTACCTATTCACACTCTCCCAAAAATCCCTCTCCAACAAAATTACTTAAAAAATCTTTTTTTTTCCTTCCACCCACACAATGTACGTAAAGAACAAACTCGTCCAAATGCCCAAAACACTAATAAACTAGAGCAAAATCCACCAAAAAACAACAACAATTTTCTCCTTTATGTTCCCTCCAAATATTTTCCTCATTTGTTTTCCACACTTGTGTTGGTGGGGAATGATTGGTTTGGCTTCTTCAAGTGGAAGGATAATATGGGGAAAATTTAAGGAGTTAGCAGAAAAAGAATAAAAAAAAACCGGGAAGGATATACTGATCGAATGAGTGATAAAAATAAAAATATTATGACGAGAAGGAAGAGAATTTAAGAAAATTATTAGGAGATAGACTGGCAATAGCAACTAGAGATGGGTATTTTCAAAAACTCATGGATCTGGATTTAGGTTAGTAGCCTGGACAGGATTCTTGATCTGGATCCAGAAAAAATCCAGGACGATTGAAGAATGCCTGGATCTGGCCTATGGATCCAAGAAAAATCCAGACTGGCTTCAGCTCCAGATCTAGCAACAAGGGAACCTACTAAAACTTAGGTTAGTAACCTGGACAGGATTCCTGATCTGGATCCAGGAAAAAATCCAGGACGATCAGAAAATGCCTGGATCTGGACCCTGAATCCAGGAAAAATCCCGACTGAACCCAGATCCAGACCAATCTCTAATAGCAACAATGGAAACTACTAAAGCTTAAATGAGTATTGACTCAAAGCATCAAGATAAGATATCCTCCATTGTCTTGGAGTTGAAACATTGGAGGACTTGGGGGAACCCCTGAGACATCAAGGGAAGCCTTGAAGGAACCCTAGGGAAAAGGCCATCTAGTAGAGGAACCCCTTGAGACACTAAAGGAAATCTTGGAGGAACCATAGGGAAAAAGGCCATCCATCTAGTAGAGGAACCCCGAGACACCAAGGGAAACCTTGGAGGAACCCTGGAGAAAAGGCCATCTAGTTGCCAACCAAATTTAAAAACAAGGGAAAGCTTGGAGGACTTGGAGAGACTTTCCCTCCCTCGAATCGAGAAGTATCTAGTATCGGGTCTAGTTTATAGGGAAATCCGACTGTAAAGTAATTATAGGAATCAAGACTCTTATCTCTTCCCTCAAACTCCTCTCCCCCTCCTTCTATCTTCCAAATAACTTAATCACCCAAAAAGATAGACAACAGCCTCCAAAAAACAACAAAAGACGAGAATAACGTGTATTTCACTCATTTAACGAGAGAAAATTGGAAAAAAATAAAAATCGGAAGGAAAACATTGAGAGCGAGATCAACATTGAAAGAGAAGGAAAAGCTAGGAAAACTTAAAGCTGCAGCTTATTAGCTGCTTAAGCTTACATAACACCCCCCCCCCCCCCTTCTTCCCTCCCGTCCAAAGTAACTAACTCTCTCCCCCCTAAGCCCCAGCTCCTCTCTAAAAGTTGGTCGATATTTTCTAGTAAATAGTTTATATTACTAGTTGGAAGCTTTTCCTTCTTTTTTGTTTTTAGAAAGGAAAGATCATTACTACTAATTTTCTAGATCATCCCAGTATATCTATATACTCATTTAACGTTTATTTTAATGGTATTTGTGTGACTGGCACAGATCTCCATTCATCTTTTTCGTTGTTTTAATTTTAGTTTTTTGGGGTTTTTGGGGTCTGTTATTGAAAGTATGTCCAATAATCTTAAAAATATTTTAAAAATTAATTTTGGAGGCAAAGATATCTGTGTGAGGGAGTCTCTCTTATATTTATTTGAGTTTCCCTACTGCCCTATTTTCGGGTCTATTGGGAAACCCTCGAGACCTATTGGTCTATAATGCCTCTAATGGCCAATAATAAATTCAAAAATATTTTAAAATTAATTTTAGACTAGCCCCATTAAATTAAAATTCTTGAAAAATGTCAAAACCCGGAAACTTTGCACAGCAACAGCAACCTACATTTGATGAAACGCCAGCTCAACCAGGTATATTTTAGAGTAAAAAGGAGGTAAAAGTCAATCCCCAGGCAGGAAACGGTCTTGCGATGCCTTCTGGCAGTTGCTCAATGTCTCCTCCTTCACTAACAACCCACAGGAGCTCTAGCTACCGGATGCGCTGTTTTCACCTTTTTCTTTAACAAAGCTTAACCTCTGCCTAGTAGGGGTTTTAGTAAGGGCTAGTCTAGTGGAAATTCTCCTTTCTCTTCCTTACAATAAATATTCAAATAATCAAAAATATTTCTTTAATATTTCAATTCAGAGAATGTAGAGTTAAAGCTTGCCTCTACCGGAAACTTTGACTTAAGCCAGGCGTATGGAAATGATCGCCGCACACAAAGTGGAAAATTTACTTTGGCTCAACTTAGGGCTACTGAAGGTGCAAAACTTAAAATATTTTTTAATCAGAAAAATAAAAAAATTAAAGGAATTTGTCCACTCCAGAATGGCACAAACCAATTTGACTCGCAAAAGGTAGGGAAAAAAAATTTTTTTTGACTGGATTTATGCTTTGCTTCTAATTTTTTTTGCTTTATTTTTGTGACGGCTTTTTTGTGTTTTAAAGGGAAAAACAAGCTTTGGAACGCCTAGAAACACTCAAAAACGAGTGGAATTTTATGAAGGGAATGGAACACAACAGCATCGATGGGCTTGTAGTATAACGGGTTTACCCGATAGAGAAATACGTTTGCAATCAGGCTCAAATAAATTTGAATCACAAAAGGTTGAGTCTAATTAAATTATTTTTAAAAAAACTTGGTTAGGCTTTATTTGCTTCTATTTTTAAGTTTAAAGTTTGCTTTTAAACGTTGTCTTGCTTTTGTAAAATATAGGAAATAATTATTGTACAAATTTCCGGAATTTTGTACAAATTAGATTAAAGTTTCCGGAATCTTGATAATCATTTCCGGAACGATTTTAAATATTTCCGGAATTTTACAAACTAATTCCGGAAGTTTCCGGAAGGATTGTAATTATTTCCGGAAGGATTGTAATTATTTCCGGAAGGATTGTAATTATTTCCGGAAGGATTGTAATTATTTCCGGAAGGATTGTAATTATTTCCGGAAGGATTGTAATTATTTCCGGAAGGATTGTAATTATTTCCGGAAGGATTGTAATTATTTCCGGAAGGATTGTAATTATTTCCGGAATTTTAAAAATCGTTTCCGGAAGAGTTGTAATTACTTTAAATAATTTCCGGAAAGATTTTAAATACTTCCGGAATTGTAATAATCAATACTAAAAGGATTGTAATTATTTTTAGTTACCTATTTCCGGAACGATTTAAACATTTCCTGAATTTTACAAATCAATTCCGGACGAATTGTAATTATTCCGGAATTGTAATAATAAATTCTAGAAGGTTGTAAATATTCCCAGAATTTTAGAAAATAATTGTAATTATTTTAAATATTTCCGGAATATTAAATATCATTTCCGGAAAGATAGCAATTAATTTCTGAATATTAGTAACGCTCTAATCTGCTAAACAAAAAAAATCAAAAATTATTTAATAATCTAAGGAGTCTAAAAAATCGCAAACTTAAATAATTTTCAAGTTGATGACCGGTTTCGGAACTCCACGTGACGTTAAAGGCAAACATTTAAAACGTATTTGGGAATTAGAGTTCCCAGAGGAAGCAGCCGATTACCAGCCACCACCAGTCAACGCTGCTCCACAGCAATTCCAACAACAACCATTCTCGCCAACCCAGCAACAACAGCCACAACAATTCCAGCAACGTGCTGGACAGCCACAGGTAATTTTTATAACACAGTCGGATCTCAATATAGATGCATTCGAAATATACCTAATACCTAAAGTGGTTGTCTCTGGGTAGGAGGAGCACTGCCTAAACGATACTCTCCATTTAATATATACTCATTATAAGATACACCCATTACTAGATACGCCTCTATTTAAAGTAGGTTTTCTAGTTTGGTTGGTCATTGGGTGAGGGGAGCTTCCTAAGCGGTACCCTCTATTTAATATACACTCATTATAAGATACACTCATTACTAGATACACTTCTATTTAAGGTAGGTTGTCTAGTTTGGTTGGTCATTGAATGGGTGTGAGTTCTTCCAAAGTGATACCCTCTATTTAATATACAACTCATTATAAGGCACAATTTTTCCACCCCAAGAGTCTATCTTATAATGAGGCCCGCCTAATTAAAAATAATTAAACTCATTTCCCCTAAGCAACAATTTGCTCAACAACCACAACAACGTCCCGGTCAGCCACAACAACAACAACAACAACAACAACAACAACGACAAGCTGCACCACAACCACCACAAAAAAGTCCAAATGCTGCTGCCCCAAACTTTCGTTAAATAAGGATATTAAAGAATAAAAAGGATTTTAGAGAAGGAAAATGAAAGAGAGAGAGAGAGAAACTTTTTTTAAAGAATAAATTAGAATAATTAAACTACGAGTGTGTTGATTTTGGCCAGAAAAAATTAAAATCAAAATTAACCCCTAAAAATTAATTTTCTTTTTTCACGCATTTATAAAACTAAAATTGTTATTTTTAAAAATTAAGAGAGAAAATACCCTAAAACTAGTTATTTTTGTTTTAACTTTGTTAGTTTGACTTTTTTTAACATGCAATTATTGATATTTTTTAATGCTCATTTATAGTTACTTTAGAACATAATTAAACTAATACTGCCACAATAAATAAATAAAAATTTAAAAAATACAAATAAAATTCAAAAAATATAAGCATCGACAATCCTCTACAATAACAAAGAAGAGTTCACAATAAGGTTGGCGGATCCGGATATCCGGATCCGAAAAAAGGCCGGATATCCGGAAATTTTCGGTTCGGATACCGGATCCGGATATCCGAAATTTTCGGTTCGGATATCGGATCCGGATCCGGATATCCGAAATCTTCGGTTCGGATCCTAGAATTAGGGAAAAATGGAAGAAATCTAGTCCATTGATCTTTCAAACTTCCCAAAATTTTTGCCTGCGGCGCTGAAAATTAAAGATTTTTGTCTTAAAAGCCTCCCAAAATTTCAAAATTTTCGCCTGCGGCGCTAAAAATGGAAGAAATCTGGCTTCTTGACTTCCAAAATTCAGAAAATTTTCGCCTGCGGCGCAGAAATGGGAAAAAATCTGGAGCCTTGGCTTATCACAATTAACAAAATTTCCGCCTGCGGCGCTAAAAGGGAAAGAGTTGTAAACATTTGTAAAAATCACATGCGGGTTTACAACTTTAATTAAAGGTTGATGTATTTGGATGTCATATAGAAGGATCAAGAATGATGGGATTAGAGCGGATATAGGAAATTAATCATAAGTGCCTCTATATCTCTCGTAATTCCCAACCCCAGCTCTTAACCTCTCTATCATCTATTGGGACTCAATTTTACAGCGCCGCAGGCGAAAATTTTGAAAATAAAAATTTCGGTTCCGGATCCGGATATCCGAAAATTTCGGTTCGGATATCGGTTCCGGATCCGGATATCCGAAATTTTCGGTTCGGATATCGGATCCGGATCCGGATATCCGAAAATTTCGGTTCGGATACCGGATCCGGATCCGGATATCCGAAGATTTCCAACTATCCGCCAACCTTAGTTCACAATAGAAAGAGTATAATCTACCTGTCTACCAAATTTCATCCCGAAGTCCCACGGACACCCAAAACACTCCCCTTTGTAAGGTTGGCGAATAGTTTTTTTTCGGATCCGGATATCAAGATCCGCCAACCCTACTCTACATGCTTAAGTGCAAAAAATAAATCAGCCCCTTTGAGTGGGGCTAATTAACTACCCAAAAAATAAAAAAAAATCCAGGTAATTTCTAAAGGAAAAATTTTTTTAAATATGTATCCCATTAGTTTTGTTCTTAACGTCCTAAAAATCCCTCAATTAAGTTGGAAAAATGACTCTCTCAAAAAAACACCCCCATTCCTTAAACACATAGACATACCACAAATTATATATAGGAATTAATTAATTTTTTAAAATTTAATTTTAAAGAAAACTTTTTTTAAATATAATTTAACACAATTTAAATTGAAAAAAAATCTCGAAAAAAAATTTTCAAAAATGTCAAAGAGAATTTTCAAAATTGAAAAAATTAAACTTATCGTCCTCCAAAAGCACAAACAATTCTTATTTATTTAGCCAATTCTGCATGAAATCGTTCCACTCGTTGTCGAAGGCGTCCATCCAAAAGAACAGGGTGTCGTAAAGCCTTTAGGAATTTAAAAAAATATTTTTAGAAAAAATATACCGTATTTATTCTAATAAAATGGCCGTCATTCTATTTTTAGATACCCCCAAAAAAGGGCCTTTCAATTGGAGAGACCATTCAAATTGAGATGGCCACTCATATTTTTTCGCCAAAAAAGGGCCTTTCAATTAGAAAGGCCATTCAATTAGAAAGGCCATTGTATTAGAATAAATACGATAATATGAATTCGACGTAGATGACGGACTGCGAAGTCGTACAAGAATCGATACCTCAAAAAATCTAGATAACCGAAAATTTTTATTTGAGATTTAGACTTGGTCCGATTTATAATTTAGAGTTTCCGATAAATAAAAATTTTGAAGATGAAAAAACATTGAAAAGTTGAAGCAGAAACTGGACGCGATTACGATCTCAATTCTTATGTACGATCTGCCAGACCGCTCTCTGCGTCCGTCCCCTCTACTTGAAATATTCATTAATTAAAATTCTCATTAATTTCTCGTTACAATCCCTGATTTAAAAATTTCCGTTAATAATTTTTCTTTGAAAAAATTTTTAAAATTAATTTAAAATCACCTCATCCATTCGTCTCGGATTTATACGATGTTCCCTATTAAATTTTTGTTTCAATTCCACCCGGGTACGATTTGGAATGAATTCATGCATTAAACCAAAATCAGTCCCTGTTGCTGCTAATACTTCTAAAAACTTTAATTTAATTAAAAAAAAATTTTTTCAGTTCACCATAAAACAAATCAGTCTCCAAAACATTCCAAATACACCCTCGACTTCTCTTTCTAAAGCTCATACTTGTCAATTTCTTTGGACCAACATCCTTTGAAAAAAAATATTTTTTTTTATTTTTCAATAAAAATTTACATTATTTATAACAGTTTCCAGTTGAACATTTTCTGGATTTTGCATAACAATTAAAGAATCTTCATCTACTACCATTTCTCCTTGTTCATTTATTCTGACCTACATATATTTGAGAAATAAAAATTAAATAAACTTAAAGGTTCCGGAAAACTTAAGTTTATAAAAAAAGTTTAGAAAATACAAGTTTGTAAGTTTTCCGGAAAGAACAAGTTTGTAAAAATATGTATAAATAAATTCAAGTTTGCAAATTTTTCCGGAAGTTTGTAAAAATGATTTAATACAAGTTTTAAGTTTTCCGGAAACTTATTAGTTCAAGTACGCTAGGTATATTGTTTGTTTAGACTTTTCCGGAAAGAAATAAGTTTGTAAAAATACTAAAACATTTTTAAGTTTCTCCGGAAAGGTCTTTAAGTTTGTAAAAATATTTAAAAACAAGTTCTAGTCGCATTTTTAAGTTTTCCGGAAAACTAATTAGTTCCAGTACGCTATATTGTTTGTTCAAAACTTTCCGGAAAGAGTAAATTTGTAAAAATACACGAACAAACTTAAGTTTTCCGGAATTGTAAAAATATTAAGTCAAGTTTTATTAGTTTTCCGGAAAGATTTTTAAGTTTGTAAATTTTATATTATTCAACCTTTTATTTCTTTGCGAAAATTTCAAGTTTGTAAAAATATTAAAACAAGTTTTCATAAGTTTTCCGGAAAGTAAAAATTAAATAAACACTTAAAAACTACTCACTCTAGGCCCTGAAGTTGGCGGTTTCTCCTCCTTTTCTTCATCAATATTAATTCCCTTTTTAGGTGTCAAAGATTTACTAGTTGATAAATCATCGGCAGATTCATCAGTTTTTGAAAGTATTGAAGCTTTTTCCTCCTCATCATTTTTACGTTTTGTGGACCATTTCTTTCTGAATGTATTTTCTGTTTTAGGACGCCATTTAACCAAATCTTAAAAAAATTTGTTAATTTAAAATGTTTGTAATTACAAAAAGGCAGTTATATGCATAATTACAAACAAATCATTTTCCGGATACATCTTAAAGTGAAAATGTATCCGGAAAATAATTACAGTCCAGAATATTTGTAAATATTTGATTTGTAAACAATTCCGGAAAGGTCTGTAGACATTTCCGGAAAGTTGCAAATACTCTAGGATGTCTGTTATTATTTAAGTTAAGTTTGGAATTATTTCCGGAAAGCTTGTATTTATTTCAAAAAGGTTTCCGGAACATTTTTAAATATTTCCAAAAGGGTTGTAGACATTTTAAGGTGTTGTAAACATTTCCGGAAGGTTTGTAATTTTTTAGAATAACCAGAATTTTCATACAAACTTACCAGCCATTGTAAACTTTTTTGTATCGCATAATTTCTCTTTCGGTCTTTCTCTAGATCTTTTCTAAAATTAAAAATTACTTCTAATCTAATAAATTATCTCTATTTACTTCACTTAAAGTAGAATCACTTTTATCCAATTTTTGAGGAGAACCATAACTTTCCGATAAATTACAATAACTATTATAAGTATTTTGTTGTTGTTGGGAAGTTCTTGAAGAAGACAATAATGGCGGTAAATGAATTCGATTATTTGATATTTGCTTCTTTAAATTAAAAAAATTTTTGAAAAAATTTTTGGAAAAATTTTAAAAGAATTTTCCAAAATTTTTCTTGAAAATTTTGGAAAATTCTTTTTTGAAAATTATATTTCTTTTTGATTTTTATTTTAAAAATTAATTTATTTATTCACCTCATGTACAACACTTTCCGGAACATTTCTATCAAAACTTTCCGGAAGCTGTAAAACACTAATATTTGAGTTGACATTGACAACAGTATTTATCCCACGGCTGTAATCAGTACTCGTAACCTTTAAAAAATATTTTTCTTATATGACTGGCATCCTAGAAATGGGCGGGATAGGGACTTCATCGATTCAGTTGGAAGTAAATTCTTCGAAAAATCAAGTCTCCAAATGTTTTTATCAGGGATGTCATCCAAAACCCTGACCTTTTCGATCCAAAAACCCGCAACTTTTTTTATAAACCGTGACATTCCTGGGTCCCAAGGAAGATTGGAAACATTATTTTGTCATTACATGACTGGCTTACTAGAACTACTCCCCAGGAGGGGTCTCACAAATACGAGACACAAGACGGAACCCAACCCTGCTACTCCCTTACTCACAATAATTGTTTCTATATGACCCATCTGCGAATCTCCTATTTGGGCTATACCAGTGTAGAGGATTGTCCAAACTCACAAGCCTAATGAGTACTTATTAAAAACCCCAAAAATTTAAATTCAATTAAAATTCCTCCCCTACCCACAATAATTGTTTCCAATGAAGATGTTGTAGAGACAACATTATGACTATTCTGACTATTATTAATACTTGTTTCCTCACAATTAATAGTCTGTTGTCTATTTAATTGGTCTTCTTGACTTAATTGAGGGACTATAATCTCTGTTGTTGTATTTGTTTGGTATTATTGTTGTTTCAACTGTTGTTGCTGTTGTTGTTGTCGATTCTTCTCCTTTCGACCGTTTACTTTTATCTTCATTTTCTTCTTCATTATTTTTAGGTTTGGATAAACACTGGTTTGGTTTTACTTGAATTTTGCGACGTCTAATCATTTTTTTCTAAAAAAAAATTTTTTAATTAAAAATAAAATTTAAAAAATACTTAAAGTGTTTAAAAAACACTTCTTAAATTTTAATAAAAGAAAATGAAAAAAAAATTTTTTTATTAAAAAATATATAACAAAAGAAAAGCCTATTAAAGTATAAATATATAACCCTTTGATTAATTTTAAGTTATATCAACATCTTAAAATACAAATCAGTACTTGATATTGGTTAAGATATCAGGCAGAAGAGATCGGAAATTTTGAAAAGCCTGGACCTGTTCCTGGACTCTGGAGTATGATTTCTTGGCCTGGACTGGATCCTGGGCCTGTAGTCCAGGAAAAACCCAGGCCCAGGAAAAACCCAGGAAGGTCAAAAAATACCTGGACCTAGACTCTGAGTACAGGAAAAACCCAGGCCTTGGTACAGACCCAGGCCGATCTCTATCAGGCAGAAGACATTTTATGGTTTAAGGCCTGGGGGGTTCTCCTGTATCCGAAAATCAAAACAGCATTTTTGCAGCTTTCTGGGTTTTCTATGTGTTTAGGTTTTCCTAAGAAAGATTCGATTTTATTGTAAAGATTTATCTTCCTGACTTTGGACTGAACTTAAAGTCCAGGCCAAAGTATTATTCCAAGCCTAGGCTTTTTTAAAAATCCCCAAATCTCTATCTACAGCGTCTCAAATCATTCAATAACATCGAAAAATAAATCAAAGGGTTTCAATTAAGGTTGGCAGATCATAAGAAATCACCGACTACCCGGATTTGCCAACCCTAATTTCAATTTAAACAAAAAATTTCAAATTTTTTCAAACACATCTAAACAATTCTTTACATCTACTTCCATGCATTATTCTTCTCATATCAAATTTTCTTAAATTAACAGTAACATAAGCTCTATCATAAAGTCTTTCTGACATTGCCTTTCCGATAGCTATGGACATTTGTGGTCCATATCCTCCCAATCCACATACTTGGATAAAGTTTTCGTGAACTAAATGCTCTCCTAAAGAATTTGGATTATTTAAATAATATGAAATCTCATTATAAGGTAAACCCTTGAGGGTGAGTAGTAGGGTTGGCGGATCTTGGGAAACCACGGATATCCTGGTAAGATATCTGAACCGCAAATTTCAGGATATTCAGGACATTTCTCAGATATCTTAATAGGCCAACCCTAGCGAGTAGCATTATCCTATGAGGTGTATCTTAAATTTAGGGCATAATTTAAACAGCTGCCTTAACAAAGGGTATAACTCAAAGGGTTTCAATTAGGGTTGGCGGATCATAGAAAATCATAAGAAATCATCGACTACCCGGATCATCGACTACTAATCAAATTCAAAACGTATCTTAACTTAAGGTGTATCGGCTTTGGTCAAGCTTATTGCTAGTACCTGGTGGAACTTATAAAACTTCACTGGATTACTAAAACAGATCAAAGCCATACCTAATATTGGATATATGTAAAGGATGACAGAATTTAAAAAATTTTTATAAAATTAAAAATATAAACTTACCAATTATAGGTGCTTCATCAAACATATTAACATCTTCATAAGAATGCCAAGCATTTATTACCTTAAAAAATTTTAATTTATTTTAATAAATTCAAGTTTTATTAATTAAAGAAAAAATTTTTTCTTATTAACACCCCCCCCCCCTTTGGAAGAAAATTTTTCCGGATAAAACCCCCTCTAGCCGTTTGCCTTACAAATTTAATATTAAAAAATTTGTCAAAAAAATTTTGTCAAAAAATTAAAAAAAACCTTTGCAGTTCTAAACGAAGGAACTCTTTCTACCAATAAAGGCCATACTTGCTCGTAAAATTCATTATAATCTATTGATGGTTCATCTGAAGGTTTTATTTGTTGATTTTCTTCTTTTAAAGTTTTGGCTGCATCTGACTTAAAGTAATTTATTGAAAATTAAAAAGATGTTCAAAAAATTTTTTTAAAAATTTTTGGAATAATAGGTTTGTCCGCAAATAATTTGCGGACAGAAAAAATTTTTGTCCGCAAAATTTTTGCGGACAAAAAAATTTTTCACAAAAATTCTTTAAAAAAATAATTTTTCCTTCCTCAAAAAAACCTTTGTCGGTTCCCTGCCACAAATATAATTATGCCCAACAGCATCAGGTCTACAAAAAATTCCACTAGAATCCATTAAAATAGGCATTGAAAGAGGGGGAACTTCTGGTGCATGCACAACAAAATTTGTTCTTCTAGTACAAACTATAGGCAATGGAATACGCATCATTTCACCTTTGAAACCAACTCCCGCTTTCTTTGCAATTTCACCTGCCCTAAAAAATTATAAAAAAAATTTGACCCTTCAAAGGACATAAGTTACAGCAAACCTACCAAGGACCTGCAGCATTGAAAATTTTATAACAATTTATAGGCCGAGGAGATGCTCCTGACATTTGTGGACGAATCTTAATAGAAAAAAATTTTAAAAAATTAAAAAGAAAATTTTTTTAATTTGCGGACGTCAGCAAATTTTTTGCGGACAAAAATTTTTGTCCGCAAAAATTTTTGCGGACAAAAATTTCTTAAGTATTAATCAAAAAAACTTACAACAACACCATTTATTTTATGCATATTCAAAAGATCAGCACTAACTTCCTCAACCGGAACCGCCCCATGCAGTGGCACTTCTCTTCCTTGATTATAACTTGTAACACCCTCAAAATCGCCTTTTAAATATCTAACACCCAAAGAAATATTTTTTTCTCTCAAAGCAGACAATAATTGCCAAGTGTCAAAAACTCCTTCATTTTCTAGACCTTTAAAAAAGTAAAAAAAAATTTTTGAAAAAATTTTTGAAAAATTCTTGCGGACAAAAAATTTTTTGCGGATTTTGTCCGCAAATTTTTTTCTTGTCCGCAAATTTAAAAAAATTAAACCTAACGTTCCCATCACAACATCATCAAAACGCATAAAAGGAAATTTAGCTTTAAGCTCCTCTTTGTTTAATAAAGCAACGTGTACACCTCTATCTCTAAATTTGAGAAATGACAAAAAATCAAAATTTAAGTAAAAGGGACAAAATGTCTCAACTAGAAGATTTCAGTTAGTTTGTGGGATAGCTGACAGATTTTTTAAATAACCAAAACGTTTTACCACAAAAAAACAAAATTCTAATCAAATTGGGCAAAATTAGCTTATTTGGGACAAAATGTCATTTTCTGGGACAAAATGTCATCTTGAACAAAATTTGACATTTTGATGGGAATTGAGACTCCTAAATTTAAATTTCCTCCATAAAAATGTTAAAAATATTTTTAATTAATGAACAAATACCCAACATACAAAATTCTAAACAAATTGGGAAAAATTAGCTTATCTGGGACCAAATGTCATTTTCTGGGAACTAATATCATCTTGACAGAAATTTGACATTTTTACAGTAATTTACTTTTTTTTTGTTTTTCCCTCCTAGAGTTCTCCCATAAAAATGTCAAAAAATATTTTTAAAATTAATTTTTAAAAATTCACAAACACTTGTATTTTCCACGCCTCTTTAAACGCGTCTGCCTCTTCCTGTGTTCTAGCCAAATGCATTACTCCAAAAGGGAGAAAATGTAAATCTGGAGGGTCATTATCTTTAAAAAAATTTAAATTAAATTAAAAAAAATAAATTTAAATAAAAAACCCAAAATTCTCAAATGTTCTCCCGCATGACGAAAAAATTCGGCAGAAAAATTTGCTAGATCAACCATTTCTGGGATAGAAAATTGTTGAGAAACTACTCCACTTCCCAACATTGAACGAGTTTTTGTAAACTTGAAAAGAAAACAATTTTTTAGAATATTTAAAAAAAAAAACGAATTTTTGAGGTTTTTGCGGACAAAAATATTTTTTTTAAATTCATAATAAAGTATTTTTCTTACCCAAGGTTTAAAAAAAACCATTTTACATATGAAATCTCTAGGTTTTCTGGTAAAACTATTAAATGTGGGGTTGGGGGCCCGATCCGAAAAATCGAGTCGGGCACTGAATTTTGGCCCAAAAAAGACTCGGTCGGGCCGGCCCGATAAAATTGAGGCTTGAAAAAATGACTCGAACGTCGGCCAGACTCGAAAACCCCAACCCTAATTAAATGGACTACAAATCAAAATATTTATAAAAAGGACTATCTCCCCCCGACATTCTCTTTTGTCTAAATCTAAAGAAAAACTTTAAAAAATCTGCCTAAGCCTAATAGAATCAAAATATGAAAAAAAACATGAAAAAATCGAAAAAAAAATTTTATGTCCGCAAAATTTTTGCGGACATAAAATTGCGGACAAAAATTTAAAAAATTAAACAAAAAAATACCCAACATTATCAGTATTTTCCAATACAGAAACAGTAATATTTTCATCTCTACAAAATTGTTTAATCCAAAAAGCAATAGAAGAACCAGTCAAACCTCCACCAATAATAAAAAATTCAACATGCATTGGAAGTAATTCATAATCTTGAACATCTTTTTTAAACATGTAATTTATTGGGTATTTTCTTCGAAATGCATCATATTTTGCCTTTAAAAAAAATAAAAATAATTTAAAGATTGTTAGATTATTTAAAAAAAAACGAAAAGCTTGGGTCTATGTAAAATTCAAGTATTTGCGGACATAAAAATAAATTTGCGGACAGTCCGCAAATTTTTTGCGGACAGTCCGCAATTTTTGTGTCCGCAAATAAATTCAGACTTAAGCTTCTCTTGTTTTTCAGGATTTCGCCCGCTTTCTTACTGGATAATAATCTGAAACAATCCTCGATCTTCAATTCCTTTTTAGTCAAAAAAAATCAAAATTTTAAACAGCGGACAGGCGTCGATCATGAGATGAGCAAAGCTTAGGGTTGCTCATACATTTACAGATACTGGAATATATTCCAATTTAGTTAACCGGGAGGCAGTTTTTAAAATAAAAGTAGGGTTGCCAAAATAGACAGACTCGGGCCAAAAGATCGAGTCGGGCCTGAGATATTTGGCCCAAAAAAAAACTCGCACTGTCCGACTCGATAAAGTTAGGCCATAAAAAATGCCCCGACCACCCAAAAAAAGGAATCTAACAAAGAAGTTTTAAATATACTCGGTCCCCATAGCCTCCAGAAAAATATAAAACAATCAAACAAAACAAATCCACAAACCTCTTTATATCTTCTAGCTGCTCTTCTCAAATCATAACTTAATCCATGTTTAATCCTTTTCCAAGGTTCTTCAGCTGACGGTTCATATCCAAAATATCTTTCATTTTCATATTTTTGCCATTGTTTAAGTTGAGTTAAACTTAAAAATCTTGAAGAATTTATATAAATATTTGGCTGTTGAAAACGAAAAATTAAATTTATATTTTTCATGCTTTTTTGCTGAAAAAATTTTAAAAAAAAATGAATTAATGAATTAATTACAAAAAAAATATTAAAATTGACAAAAGAAAATCAATTTTTATGAATTTATAGAAAAAGAAAATAAAATTTATTTTTACTATATAATTTAATTATTTTAAAAGGAAAAAAAGTAAAAAATTAAAAAAATTTTTTCAAGTCTAATTTTAGAGTTGTCAGTTCTGGAATGAACCAAACCTAAAAACCGTCGTTGATTTTTCGGTTCGGTTCTTCGGTTCGTTTTCGGATATCAAAAGACTTTTCAGGAACCGACGACCCTAAGTCTAATACAGATAAAAAAATTTGTTCTAATTAATATAATTAAAATTGCGGACAAATTTTTGCAGACAAATTTACTGGGGACAACTTAACTAGTTAATAAATTAAATTTAACCAAAAAGAATAATTTCAACTACAATTTAAAAGTGTATGTTTATAAAAGTCATTCTATCAAAACCTAAGCTTCAGAAAAATTTTAAAAAATTTTTGTCCGCAAAAAATAGAAAACTTCTTTTTAAACCAAAAACTAGGGTTGGGGTTTTTGAGTCGGGCCGACGTTCGTGTCAATTTCCAGGCTTGCCCAACCGAGTCTTTTTCGGGCCAAAATTCAATGCCCGAGTTGATCTTTCGGAGCGGATCGGGCCCCCAACCCTACCAAAAACCTTTACGAAAAAAAAACCTTTCCTAAATATCAGAAAACAACAACGATTCTTCATTATCGAGTTGATTATTATTATTGTTATTTTGATCCATACAAATATTTGAAGATGAAGAGGGGAAGTTGTTGCCATTTCCATCATTACCACCACCACCACCCCCACCAATTCCCTCCCCTACACCTCCTCCATTTAATTCTTCATTATTACTTTCATTAATATAATATTCAATTAATGGAGTTAATGAACGAAAAGAATGTCCATTTAATGAATGTATTGAATGGACTTGTCCATCTCTCGAATATTCTGCATCTGATTGGAAAAAATAGGAAGTTGAGGAATTTGATATATTTGATAAATTAAATCGATTATTTGAATTTAGGTTGCTTAAGTTGTTGGTACCGTTAAAGCTGTTGTTGAATAAATCATTTGAACTGAGAAAAAATATATTATATTAACAATAAGATTAAAAAAAATTTGCGGACTAAATGTCAAATCCGCAAAGGTTTGTCCGCTTAAAAAACTAAGGGGAGCACCAAAAAATGTCCTTACAATAATAAAAACTTTAATTTTCAACTATAAATAAAAAATTATAGTGAAATTCAGATTGTGCATGGACACGGATTGGATCATATATCCACATGTATCAACCGTATATACTCGGATACGGATACCAAACCCCATGTTCATACAAAGATTTGGTGGAATCTCTATATATTAACGCCATTCCTCAGAATCGAAATTTTTCCGACGTAAAAAACAAAGTGATTTGACTTCCCAACAAAAAAGATAACGTGAGGAGAGGAGCGATGGTATACCAGGCTTGGTAATGGATACAGATAAGTTCAAAATTCCCAAGGATATCCATCTGTATCCGCCACAAAATCCGGATACGGATACCAAAATCCATGTCCATTATCAAGTCTGCGTTATATTAAAGACACCTACCAAAAAGGTTGTTGGTGGTTAATTTGTCGATGTTGCTGATGTTGTTGTCCTTGTTGTTGTTGTAGTAATTGATTATTTTCTACCAATTGTATTTGTTGTTGCTGATGTTGTTGTTGAATATTACATTCTTGTTGTTGTTGTTGTAATTGATTATTATGTTCTATTATTTGTATTTGTTGTTGCTGTAAAGTTGGTTGTTGTTGGCAATAATTTTGTTGTTGTTGCTGCTGTTGATGATTTGTATAGCTCAACATATTTTGATCTATATAGAGTGGAACTGAACCAATATTTCTTATTGGAGGTTCTCCAAATGCGATAGGCTAAAAATTTAAAATAAATCACAAATTTTTAAAAATTTGCGGAAGTCCGCAAGAAATTTGCGAATGTCCGCAAAAAATTTGCGGACAAATTAAAAATTAGTTTTAGGGGTTTCTGCTGGAATAAGTCAACGTTAGCTTATAAATCTTTTATCGAAAATTGTCCTTTCAATATGTCCTTTAAAAAACAAATTTTTGCGGACATCCGCAAAAATTAAGCAGACGTCCGCAAAAAATTTGCGGACAAATAAAAAATTTGTTTTAAGGGGTTTTTAGTTGGCATAAGTCAACGTTGGCTTACAGATCTTTTATACAAAAATTGTCATTACAATTTGTTCTTCAAAAAAGAAAAATTTGCGGACATCCGCAAACAAACATGCGGACAAACAGAAAAAAAATTATAAAAAATTATAAAAAAAAAACCTGTTGTTCAAATAATTGTTGTTCAGTCCTCATATCAAAAGGAATACTATTGCAGTGTTGTTGTTGTTGTTGTAATTCTTCACTTTTTCTCCTCCTTCCAACTTCAAACCTCTTAAAATTCTCTCCAAAATGAACAAAAGCTGAATTTTCTGATAAATTTAAAGATTTTTTACATTTTTTCTGCCCAATTTTTGTATTTAACTCTAATAATCCATTTAAAGCTAATGATTGATTGTCAAATGAATTTATTTGTTTTTGTTGAAATTTTGTAATATTTATAGGTTGTTGAATGAGGAGACCATCTTCTTGCATTATTTGTTGACAATGTACATTTTTATAATGGGTATTCATCAATTTTTTTGTTCTGAAAAATGAAAATTAATTAGATTAGAATTTGAGAAAGTTGCGGACATTTTTAAATATGCGGACGTCCGCAAATATATTGCGGACATTTCGCGAATTTCCCAAATTGATATTTAAAGATGGGTGAAACAATCGTAAAATGTAAAAATGTGTGGACAATTTTTACATTTGGGGGATCCGCAACTATATTGCAGACATCCGCAAAAAATTATATTAGGTCAGCAATTTCCTATTTATAGTTATGAGGGGAGAACTTGTATAATTTTTGATGTCTAAAAACATTTTTCGAACAATTCCGGACAATTTCTACATTTGCGGACAATCCGCAATTATTATAGTGAGGCTGCAAATTTTTTCCAAATCCCAATTCTAGTTAAAAAACCCAAATTCTTAAAATAAAAAATTTAACCAAACCTAAACATTAACAAACACTCAACATTTTGACATTTAAAAGGAGCTTCACCAGTATGAATTCTCAAATGTAATTTTAACGAAGAACGTGAAAGAAAATATTTTTGACAAAAAGAGCATTGGTATTGTTCTTTGGTAAAGTTTAAATGGATTTTTGAATGTGTTTCCAATGTTTGTTTTGTTCTAAAGGAGAAATAACATTTTGAACAAGTAAAGGGACGTTCTCCTGAAGAAAATGAAAAAAAAATTTTTTGAAAATTTTTTTAAGTTTTCATTTTTTCCCTTTTTCTTCACCCACAGAGAGGAGGTAGTATTAGCCAAGGATCTGACATCCAAATTCCCAAAAATCGATAATTTAATTTTGTGAAAGCCGTTCCCTTAGTTCCAAACTCAATGCGCTCATCCCTGCTTCCGATCATTTTAAATCCCCTTAATCCACTGGTGGGAACAACAGATGCCGAAAATCGGAAGGCTCTGTAATAAAAATCTTGAAAATCTAACGGCCGAGGGCTCGGAAAATTCAACATTTTAGCACAGCAGATGAAAATTTATTAAATTTTAGAAGGCCAAGTCACCAAATTTCTTCCTTTTTAGCGCCGCAGGCGAAAATTTTTTAAATTTGAAGACCTTATTCGAAAACAGCTGACATCCAAATTCCCAAAAATTGAGAATTTAATTTTGTGAAAGCCGTTCCCCTAGCATTAACATGTATAACAGGGCTAGGCTAATTTCGCATTTTTCAGCGCGAAAAGTTTCTTTTATTATTAGATTACGCCCAGCCCTAATGTATAGTGGGGACATAGAGCAGGAATATGACGAGTTATCAGAAACCAGCTTTATTCCGACCCGAAACCCGGCCCGAAGAAAATTTAAATACCCTATCCCCAAAACTCAGCTTAAATTATTCCCAATAAATTAAAAGAGGCTTCCAATTTGATGCGAGGCATCGGGGTCTTCCGTTTAATGAAAATTTAAGTTCCCCAAAGTCCCACTCCTTAATGGCTTCTTAAAAAGAATTTCGGTAATATTGAAGAGTACAGACCCCATTTTTTCCTCCCTATTTTTCCCTTATATTTTTACAAAATGGTCAGACTTTTTCCTTCCTTCCATCCAATTTGCCTTTCTAATTTTTGCCTAAATCAAACGAAAAGGATTATTTTTGATTGATGGATGGAAGAAAATTGGATGGAAGAAAGGAAAAAGTCTGACCATTTTGTAAAAATATAGGGGGGAAAATGGGGAGGAAAAAATGGGGTCTGTACTCTTCAATATTACCAGAATTTCTTTTCCTCAAGGCCATACTCTCAACAGAGAACAAACCAACCTCGCCTTAAAAAAGTTTTTTTTAGTTAAATAAAAAACCTGTATGTGTAAGTAAATGTCTTTGTAAATCCGAATTTCTTTTAAACGATTTTGTACAATATTTGCATTGTTTAATTAAATTATTGCAATTAGTTTTATTTTCAAAATTAAAATTATTTTGATCCTAAAATGATCCATTTTAAAGTTTATAAGATTTATAGAATTTTAAATTTGTCCGCAAATAATTTGCGGACAAAAAAACAAAAATTAAAAGATGTTTAAAAAATCTGACATCGAATAAATTTGCCCCGACCTGATTATTAAATGACCATAGAAAAGAGGAGAAAACCCAAACCAATCAGTTCAATTGCCTTTTGATCAAGGTTCGGGGTCTCCCCCCCCCTTCTGGTCATTTAAGTGAAACAAATCTTTTAACTGTGACAGGTCAAGCTCCTTATTTAAGTAAAACCTAGTCTTTCCGCCCATCTCACAGCCCAACAATCCCTCCCTTAAAAATTACAAACAAGGTTCAAGGTTAGGTCTTCTTCTCCCCCTTTTATGGTTATTTCTTTTAATGGTGACAGGTCGATTTTAAAAAAGAAAGTCTTTTCGCGAGTGGAGCTGCCCAACTCATATAGCCAAAGACCCCTTCCCATCCAAATCCCTCCCTAAAAAATTTAAAAGAAATTCCAAACCTCATTTAAACAGATTGGCTCTTCCTTCTTTAAATTATTCGCAGCAAGACAAATCTCCAAATGATTAGCCAATTCATTTGCCGTTTGTAAAGGTATTAAACAAAATTTACATCCAAATAATTCAGAATCATTTAACTCCAAATCAGCACCAAAACACCCATTTTTAATTTCCCTCAAATGAGCAATTAGCCAGTGAAGTTGATCAAATTCAAATAAACAGCAAGGGCATTCGATAATTGATTTTTTCTTCTTGACATTCATATAAAAAATATTTTCTAAAAAAATAAAAAAAATTTTTTAAAGCTAAAAATATTTTCTAAATAATTATTTTTAGCTAAAAAAGTGTTTTTCATAAAAAACTAATTGTTTACACACAAAAGGATTCGAACCTTGATGGAAATACAAAAGCTAAAATATCCTGTCAATGCGTGTCCCAGTACACCACAAAGACAACATAAGGGAAAATGTGAATGAACGACTAACATTTTAAAGGATAATTAATTAATTTACCTAATTTTTAATTTTTAACTGAAAATTAATTTAAAAAATTAAAAAAATGTCAAATTGAAAGACAACAAATTTTAAATAATTAAAAATATTTTTTAAATTTTTTATTAAAATTTCAACAAAAAAATTAAAAATAAAATTATTTTTCAACAAGCTCCAAATTTTCTAACCGCAAAAATGCTACAGGCGCCACACTTTGATCACCACTACACCTTACTATTTTTGGTTCTGTGCCCATTGAAATTCGTTTTTTGAATAAAGGGCAGTCCAAAACGAAAGTTTCAAACTCTCCTCCTTCCCCACAAATGTGTGAACCCCATTTAGAATGCATTTTGATTAAATGGGCACGCATCTAAAAATTATATTGAAATTATTTAAAAAAATAATTTTTGTCCGCGTCCGCAAAAATTTTTTTTTGTCCGCAAAAAAATTTTTTTGTCCGCAAATTTTTTGTCCGCAAAAATTTTTGTCCGCAGATTTTTTGCGGACAAATTTTTTTGTCCGCAAATTTTTTGTCCGCAAAAAAAAATTTTTTTTGTTGTAAATTTTTCAGACAATTTTAAAAATTATTTTGAATACAAATTAAAATTATAAACCTCCTTTATAGTCTTTCCAAGATGCTCAACATCCAATCCTAGAGCAGCTACTTTAATTATGATTGCCTCTACACCTGCTGATATCTATAAATTTAAAGACTAAGAAAGTTGAAAAAAAAACGATTTGGTCGTTTGATAGTTTCTCCAAAATCCCTATTTTACCAACAAAACATAAAAACCAGACAGAGCAATCAAATCAAATAAAAATTGATTTGATGGTTAAGTGGGATATTTTTAGAATTTTGAGGTTGCGGGTTCGAACCCGCCCGTCGCCCTTTCTATTTTTTCTTTCATTAGTTAATTTAAAAATACCATAGAGTCAAGCAACTTCAATTGATCCTCTTCCCATAAATAACACAGCGGTTTAAGCTCCAGTCTTTGACAGACATCCTCTACACGCTTTTTTTGATAAGTACTGTTTATCGCCCCAACAGAGACTCCTCAAAATCCAAAAATTTTTTAAAATTAAAAAACAAGAAAACCTTCAATTTCCGGATCCCACCGTTTAATTTCATCCAAAAGTTGAAACAAATCTTCGACTTCGTCTTCAGAGTCAAAAACATATTCGTTTTCAAGGCTTTTAGGCTTCCCATTTATTTGTCTTCTAAATAGGGAAAGGCCAAGTGCTTCAGCAAATAACTTTAAAAAAGTGGTTTTATAAGTGTTTGTGGACACTTTTTGCTGACAAGGTTAATATCTGACTAACGCATGACCCGGCATTTTATTACAGAACCTAATCTCCAATACGACCCAGAACACCCTAACGGACCCCAAACCCCCGAATGTTTTCCCTAACTAAACCCTCTCTGGCACCCTAACTCACAGCCACGAACCTGTACCAGATGCTAACCCTGTTATTCCGTCTCTGGAGTATCCAACCAACACTCCCAAACAGAAGGATAACCAGACAGGCAGTATCTAGCAAACCCCAAGTAGGGAAACCCCAGGTAGAAAACCCCAAGTAGAAAACCCAAGCTAATCAGACAGGCCGTATCTCCAAAAGTTGGTCCGTCCACCTTAAACCCTTACCAGACCTCGAGCCCTTATCAAACCTAACCATTATATGTATTAAGGATATACTTATCCACACACTGACCCTAACAAAGCGTCCCTTACCCCTCCCACTACCCCCAAAATATATCTAAAAAACCTCAATTCCTTCACTTCCAACACTTTGATACATATAACTATCAATTTCCTCTTGTTCTGGGGGAAATAAATTAGCCAGACAAACAACTTGATGGCCTTCTTCAAAACATTTTAACATATTAAAACAACTGTCTTTACCACCAGAAATTAGTGCAACAACTTTCATAATTGTGTCAAGGATCTGAAAAAAAATTAAAAATTTATTAGAAAACCCTAGAATAGAGCGAGCTGGGTCTTGACCAATGCCTGGGTTTTTCCTGTACCAGAGTCCAGGCCTTGGTCCAGACCCAGCTCTATCTCTTCTAGGCTCCCAGGCATTTTTAACCTTCCTGGGTTTTTCCTGGGCCTGGGGTTTCCTGGACATTTACAGATTCAGGATCCGGCCCAGGTCAATAAATCACACCCAGGAACAGGCTCAAGCTTTTTATAAATACCGATCTCTAGAGCCTAGCAAAGTTTTAACTGCGGAAAAATGTAAAGGTGAGGATTAATGGTTCCAAGAAAAAAGGACAAGAGGTTCTTACCTTTTCAAGATAATTTTGAAGTCTTTCGAACGAGAACCTCAATTAAAGCCAGAAAACTTTAAAAAATTATCAAGTCCCCTTTTTAAATTCCCCCCAAAATATATTTATTAATTTATTTTGGCATAATGTAATTTTTTCTAGTCAATAAAATGAAAGGAAAAATGGATACTGGCAGCCATATATTTTTATTACAACAGTTTGTGTATATTTTTATTTTTATTTTTACTTTCTTGTAAAAATAAATTTAATATAAAGGAGAGGTTAATTTTCAGGTAAAGTTTAAGGAAAGGTTTGTTTTTTCAAGTTTAATCTTAAATTTTTAAGTTTAAACTTGGGAAAATCTACTTGCCTGGAAAGGACCTTTGGGGAGTTCCTTTGGCTTTCCCCCACTTTTTCTAATTCTCAAATTTGTAAAAAAAATCCAAAAATTGCCTCGAGCTCTTTCCTACAGAATCCGCGATACCTTGAAGTTGGGACAAAACGCCACACAACGGGAATTTTTCAAAATGGTAATATGACAAAATGGTAAAACGACAAAATGTCACATTCCAAAATGTTCATAAGACAAAATGTCACATTTCAAAATGTCACATTTGCCAAAATGCCCAATGATGAAAACGGCAAGTTTCAAAACGCCAAAACATACATGGTCCTCATAATGTCAACCCAAAATGACTTTATAAAATACCCATTCGCTCGTTGCTTTTCAAAATACCGTTGCCTCTCTTTCGAAATACACTTACATATTCTCTCATTTATGTATCTTATGCCTCTCGTTTATTCCTTCTTTTAAATTTTAGATTTTATCAAAAATTTATTTATTTTTCTTAATGAACAACAAAAGAGATTCAAGTTTATTTGAAGAGCCCCCAACCTCTAATAAAAAAGTCCGATTAGACAGTGATGACATTATATCCCAAGTTTTGGACAATAATTCAATTCAAATTGAAGGTACTGTAATTTTAAAAATAGTAAAAATCTTACTTGACAATTTTCAGAGTTGCCCTTTGACCCATTCACAATACTTTGCTAAACAGGCTCAAATAACAAGTTCAGAAATGTTTATGTTTAAATAGGCTTGAAAGACCCACAACAAAGTTTTAACCTAAAAATGTTTGGATACATGTTGATTTGAATAAAACTTTGAGTAATTAAAGTTTTGGTCAAGTGGTTAGTGTGTTGGATTCGCAACGGTGAGGGGTAGAGGGTTCGACTCCACTCAACGTAAAATTTTGTAAAGGGTTATTAAGTGTATTTTAGCTCTTTTTGGGCCGTCTTTTATCTCAAAAAATATTTTTAATATTTTTTAAGAAGCTAGTTTGAACTGATTTACTACTAAAAGAGTAAATGCATACTTATTTTCTGTAAAAATAATAAAAGCAAAGGAGAAACGTAAGGGACGGAGCGGAAAGCAGGAACTTGTTATTTGAGCCTTGAAGGAATTTGAGGGTCGTTCCAACCTTTAAAAATTTTTTTTTGAACTTATTTCTTAACTTTATAATTATAGAAAACGAAAATGAGGACAACCAACAATCCGAAAATGCTTCAGAAAATCATCAAGACCACCTCCAACAAAAACAACAACAACGCAAACAACCAAAACCCTCCAATTTCCAACCTTTACAAAACAATCGAAGGAGGATGAGTAGTGGAGCCCAACAAAGACGTGGAGGGGGAGGGATAAATATGAGAGACCCTTTGGGGTTGGAAAGTGTACAGCCTGAACAGCCAGAAAATGGGGAGAATAAAAATGAGGTTGTTGTTGTTAATGCTGGTGTGGATGACCAGAAGGGGATTAATATTAAAAGGTTTTTTTTTCTTTTTTTTTTGATTTTTAAATTTAAAATACCGTAAAATGTCTACTTTTTTGAATTTGCAGACAAATTTGTGGATTAAATTTTGCAGACAAATTTTTGCTGATTTTTTTTGCGGACAAATTTTTGCGGATTTGGCTGTACTTTAGCCATTTTTTCTTTTCTTTTTTTGATTTTTAATTTAAAATAATTTTAAAAAATAAATAGTGGAATTAGGTAATTTTTAAAAATCGGAATGGGGTTTCCATGAATGAGTGTATTAGCCTTTATCTTCCGCACTTCTGTTAGATTTTTAGAGGTCAAATTGACTTTTAAGAGAATTTAAAAAATGACTAATTTTTTGAATTTGATGACAATTTTGGGTGATTTATTTTTTGCGGATTAAATTTTGCGGATTTTTTTTGAGGACAATTTTGGGGGATGAATTTTTTGCGGACTTATTTTGTGCGGACAATTTTTTGCGGAAAAAAGTTGCGGATTTATTTTTTTGCGGACAAGATTTGCGGATTTTTTGTTGTCTTTTTTACGGACAAATTTTTGCGCCCATTTTTTAAACTTAAAAATAATCGTTTAAAATTTAATTTTTAGAAAAAGAACTACAAAAGAAGACTTACAGCAACAACAACAACCAACAAAACAACCAAATCAACGCTATACATCCCCCGTTTCTCGAAAAAGTTTGGGGTCTACAAAAAAGAATTTGAGAGGAGAAAATAAGGAAATTGGGGAGGAAAAAGAAAAATTGGTTGATTTTAATGATTCTAATAATTCTTCTGTTCAATTTGAGGAGGAAAAGAAGAAAAAACAACAAAAAATGGCTGAAAGGTTTTTCTCTTTAAATTTTATTTTTTTTAAATAAATTTTAAATTGGGGTATCCATTGTAGGGGAATAGGGTACTTGGGGAGCTTACCGTATACTAAAAGTTGAAAGCCAAAAAGTGGCACTAGGATATCGACTACGCTTTACACGATGGATAACTTTTATTTAAAAATTTCTTTCGGACAGTTCGGAAGGTTTCCTTGCAAACTCAAAAGCCGCCGAAATGCCAAACTGAAAAAAATCACAAAAATAAGTAACAATTTTCCGTGGGGAAATTTGTTGGTATTAAGACGTTATTTCCACAGTTTGGTATTTCGGCGCTTTGATATTACATTATACCGGTCACCAAGGGCGTAGCGCCGAAAAAGTGAATTTTTTGGCCTACGGCCTTCTAAAATTAAAAAAATTTTCGCCTGCGGCGCTGAAAAAAATAAAAATATGGTTCAAAAAAATTTGCGTCCAGAACACCAAGGTAAACGCCAAAAATTTTGCGCACACCCAGTTTTAGCCCCCCCCCCCCCCCCCCCCCCCCCGAAATCGACCCTCTGGCTACGCCCTTGCCGGTCACTTGGAGTGTAAGGGACTTTAAAATTTTAGAAAAAAAAACTAGATTCTGGATCTCTAACCTTTTTTTATTTGGCAGTAGCAAGGGCGTATCCAGGGGGGGGGGCTGGGGGGGGCTAGAGCCCCCCCCCCCGAAATGGGGAAAAGGAAAAAATTTAGTGAGGGGATTGAACAAAAAAAAGTGAATTTTATCGCCTACAACCCCCAAAATTCTAAAATTTTTGCCTGCGGCGCTGAAAAAGAGCAAAAACATTAAACAACTTTATTCAACAACTTTACAAATCAAAGAGGAATTTTTCGAGACTTTCGAGTCTTAAATAGATCAACAACTCTATTCAAATCCAAGTTCTCTGACTCGTTGAAATAATAAGAAAGTACACACAGGTCACTAAGTCTTCTAACGCCCATACTTGATCTTTTTTCACTCAAAACACGATTCAGTAATGAGAAAGTGCGTTCACAGCTAGCTGTGGAAACAGGAAGAGCAGAAAGTAATTGCAGTAGTCGTACTACATTGGGAAACTGATTTATCAATTCACCGCCATATTGTTTCAAAAATTCGGTAGAAGAGGGTTTGTTGGCGCAATTCCAGCTTGAACTTTTCTGTTTCCAAAGAGTTATTTCAGCAGCAAACTCGTTTATAGACTGAGCAGGGAGAAAAGGAGCATACCCATTAAAAACATCAGCAAACATAGTTACATCTATTTGTACTGAATAATATAAATCCTTTGAGACAAATCAAGTTAACTTACTAATTCTGTACGGAAGTAAGTTTTGAAGGCGGAAAATTAAATTATGGTCATTGCCAAATCGCATTCTTAACTGCTCATAAATAATTTTGCATAATTCAAAGAATTGCTTTCTTAGAGTTTCTTTAGAATTTTGATCTGGATGGCAAGCAGCATGAGCTAAAAATCGAGTTTTTGTGCAATTTAGAAAGCTATTTACATCCTATGTGTACTGCTTCTCTAAACATTATTTCAAAAGCAGCTCCATCATTTGATAACTTTTTTATGACATCAGCTAAAGTATTAGCAGCATCAATACACTGCATTAGATCGCAGTCTTCTTTTTGAGTTAAACGAGATAATGTAGCAAACAAATTACCTATTCTCTCACAGACAACTAAAATATAAAATAATGGTTTTTGAGAAACTACTAATAAAAATTTAACCAAGCCATAAATAGTTTGGAAACTGTTTTGTTAATGCAAGTATAAGACCATTGACTTTAGGATCAGCTTCTGAATCGTTGATAAAATTCAATGTTTCGAATAACTAAAAATAAGATTATTTCGTGTATAATAGTGTAGGTTACTGGAATGTATAATTCCTTCAACGCAGTTAAAGTTTCATGCCTAGAAATCCATCTAGTAGAGCAAAGCATAGGCAAGTGTCTACGATTTGTATCAGGTGCGAATTTTTTAGCATTTTCCTCCAATAATTGGGATTTTTTTGTGCTTGTGTTGAAAGTACGGACGAGCTCTCCTATAATTCCAAAAAACCTTTTCACTGGTTTGTATTCTGCACCAGATGTAAAAACTAGATTAGCCCGGTGAGCGGAACAATGAAAATATCTTGTAGTCTTTGGCATTTTAGACTCGCGACGTAGAAGACTATATCACATATACAAACCTTTGCCAATCTCCTTACGCCCCCAGTGAAATGCAACACAAATACGGCAAAATAGACCAACTTCCATATGAGAATATGCCATTAATTCATTTTTTTTAAGCCAGGATTGTTGGAAGAATCTATTCTGCGCTGCTTGAAACACTGGTGGCGCTGTATAATTACTAGGAGGCCCCCAACAATTTAACACCTTCAGTTTTTCGTTGTCATCCAACGGTCCCGATTTTCCGACAAACAATCCTGTTTGATAATAATTGAGAATTGAGATAATACTGTAACAAACCAATGTCATTTTGATCTAAAGGTTGGTTACGGTATATCTTAGGCAGTCGTTTTGGAATTCTTAGTGCCTCCTCTTCAGAAATTTCTTCATGATCTGAACTGTCGCTTAAATATATTCCTTCAAACTCATCCACTATCTCAATAACGCTCTGATTTTCATCTTGACGTGAAGTTGTTTGCGGGCATTTAAAAAAAGATCTAATATCTCCTTGTTTCATTTCGAAAAAAAATTATTTATTTACTTATTTTAAAAATCTTATATTTAATGGTAGAAGGAAAAATAAAATGTTTTTAAAATGCGAAGAGTAAAAAATAAAATGCTAATTTAAAATGAGAAAAGCAAAACGAGGAAAGCATTTCTGACATTTAGCTTTTTTGCAGGTGTAAATCTAAAAATCGTTTGTCCTTTGCATAAAGAAAAGACATTTAAAAATGTAAATTAAACTACAACTAAAGAACAAAACAAAATATTTTATTTACAAAAAAAAGACGATTTTTATTTAAAAATTATAAAATTGGCATAGCCCCCCCCCGAAATCCGACCCCTGGATACGCCCTTGGGCAGTAGTGAAGGAAGAGATGTCAATTCTGCAAATATTTTTGCGGACATTTCTTGCTGACTTTTTAATTGAAGTTAAAAAATAACCTCAGAAATCTCTGTAGAAATATCACCTCTTTACTACTGCCCTTCCTTTAATTTTCAACTATTTTTTAAAATTTTCTACTCTTATTTTCCAACAGATATCGTTATGGAAATTTCAACAATTACCACATGAAAAAAGAATTTCGAATTTACAGCAACCAACAATCAATTTCTTCTTTCGATTTTTCTGATGATCCTCGAGTTAGTTTTTTCTGTCCAGACTGGTTTTTTGAAAAATCAATATTGGATTTGGGTTGTAATGCTGGAAGGTTTGCAATAACTTTGGCTAGAAGATGCCAACCAAGGAAGGTTATTGGAATTGATTTGGATCAACATTTGATTGGGGCTGCTAGGAAAAATATTAGACATTTTGCTGATAAAGAGGCTAAAGTGAGTAAAATTTTTTTAATAAAAAAAAATTTTTTTTAACCGTTTAAAAATAAAGATCAAAAAATTTGTGACGAAATGTCCAATTTTAGGGGTAGTACCTTTTTGTCGCATACTGAATAGAAATAAAACTTGTTTTAGAAACATTGATTTAATTTAAAGTTTTGATGTGTTACTAAAAATATAAAACTTTAATTATTAAAACAGACAACAATTTAATTTTAGTTGATGGATATGTTGTAGTATGTTTTGGTATGTTTCCGGAAAAACACAAAATACAATTATTACAAACATGTGTAATTGTTGTGTTTTAGATGTTTTCCCGAATGTTTTGATGTTTTTGATATATTTTCCGGAATGTTCATATTGTTTTGATGGTTTACCGGAATGTTTTATTGTCTTTCCGGAATGTTTTACAATGTTTTTGTTACTTTTCCGGAATGTTTATAATGTTTTGATGTTTTACCGGAATGTTTTTATTACTTTTCCGGAATGTTTTACAACACTAAAAACTTTCCAGAAACATATTAAAACAATGTTTTTAATGTTTTCCGGGATGTTTTATAATGTTTTTGACGTTTTTCCGAAATGGTTTACAATGTTTTATTTCTTTTCCGGAAGGTTTATTTAAACATTTTGTTTTACAAAAACATGTTTTTATACTAAAACATGAACAATAGTCTCAATTTTTTGTTTATACCAACATGTTTATTTAAAAAAATATTTTTTAAATTTCAGTTAACCAGTAGATTCCCTGCTTCTTTTCCTGCAAACTTTGGACCAATCTCTGCACCTTCTACTTCGTCCGGTTCAAAATTCCCCGACAATATTTGGTTCTTTTGTCAAAATTATGTGCTCAATTCTGATGACGAGTTGGAAAAGGTGAAAATTTTAAAAATAATTTTAAAAATAATATTTATAAAATTTTGTAGTAATTTATGTTTTGTTCTTTGTTTTGGTTCGTTTGGATTAATATTGTGATTTTATGTTTTTATAGGTTGTTTGTTTCCTTCATGTTTTATTGTATGTTTAGTTATGTTTTGGTGTTTTAATGTTCCAGAATGTTTGATACAATTATTTTTCCGGAATGTTTTGTTTGTTTCCTATATGTTTTTGTATTGCAATGTTTATACCTGTGTTTCTCGCATGTTTTAATGTGTTTTGTGTTTCCGGAATGTTTTGTTTGTCTCCTTTATGTTTTTTATTGCAATGTTTATACCTGTGTTTCTCGCATGTTTTAATGTGTTTTATGTTTCCGGAATGAATGTTTTCAATATTAATATGTTCTGTTTTGTGTTTTGTTTAGACAAACTTGATGTTTTTCGACTATTTTTATTTTTAATTTGAGGTTTTTCCAGTTTAGGTTTTCGGAATAAACATTAGTTTATGTTTTTCGGAATGTTTGTCAATGTTTCTCGGTCATTTTTATATGTTTTTGCTATGTTTTGGATGTTTTTCCAAATGTTTTTGCGATGTTTTTACGTGTTTTGGATGTTTTTGCTATGTTTTGTTTTATATTTTTATTTGTTTTTGGAATATTAAAAACGTTTATATATGTTTTGAATGTTTAGTCATATCTAATCAATTTTAATTTATTAAAAAAACATCAATTATAATTAATTAAAAACAAAAACTTTCTCCCCTTTTCACTTTTAAGGTAACTGAAGAGTTTGAAATAATTTTTGCTCTTTCACTAACTAAATGGATTCATTTAAATTGGGGAGATGTAGGAATTCGTCGATTTTTTCATCGTGCTTTTCGTCAACTTAAAACTGGTATTTTTTTAAAATTAAATATATTTTATTTTTTAAATTAATTAACTTGAGGAAGTTAATTTAAATATAATTGTTTAGACTCCTAAAAAATTTTTTTTGGGAATTTTAAAAATTAGAAAAAATTTTTTCATTTTTCTGGGTTTCTAAAATTTTTTTCTGGATATTATAAATTTTTTTTTATTGTTTAAAAATAATCTGGGAATTTTTAAGGCGCTGAAAATTGTAAAATTCAATATCTTTTCTTATTTTTTTATCATTTTTAAATTTTATTTTAATTTAAAATAAATTCAAAAAAATTATTTTTTGATGATTTTTAAGGCCTTAAATTATTAAAAAAAATTTAAAAAATTAAAAAACTTAAAAAAACTTAAAAAAATTAAAAACTCAACTTAAAAAATTTTTCTTTAAAAAATTTTTCTTTGGGAATTAAAAAATAAATTTTATTTAAAAAAATTTTTTTTAAGGCGGCCGTTTTGTTCTTGAAACAGCTCCATATAAGGACTACATTAAACATTGTAACAAAAAAGGAAGTGAAAAACCCCCAGAAGAAGTATTAAATAATCTCTCAAAAATAGCCTTTCATCCAGAAGAATTTACAGAATATTTGCTTAATAATGTTGGGTTTAATCATCATGAAGAATTGAATACTCCACAATCCAAACATCTGGGTAAATTTTGGAATTTTTTAAAAAATTTTTTTGAAAATAATTTAAAAAAATATTAAAAAAAAATAAAAAAAAATTCTTTTAAATTAAGCATTATTATTTTTTAATTTTTTAAATTATTCCTCTGAAAATAATTTTTAAATTCACAAAAAAAGGAAGCGAAAAAAAATTATATTTTCTTAAAAATCAAACAAAGTTGTCTAAAAATTAATTTCAAACCCTTAATTTAATTTATTAAATGATTTATTTATAGGAAAACATGTGTGTTTAAAAAATTAAGGAAAATTCTAAAAATTTAAACAAATTAAAGTGAAATTTTTTCCGATAAATTTATTTTTAAAAAATATTTTTTTAATCCTTTCCTTTTTTTCTTAATTAATTTTCTTTTATTTTTTTGAACACATGCTTGTCTATAAATAAATTAATTTATAATTTAAATTGGTCTATTTTTAAAATTTTTTGATACCAATTTTAGACAAATTAATTTGTTTCTGATTTTTAAAAATTAAATTTATATTTAATTTTGATCAAAAAACTATTTTTTTCTAATTAAATTAAAATTTTTTTTTTGATTTTTAAATTTAAAAAAAATTTAAAAAAAGGAAAATAAATAAACAAACTTGTTTTTATTTTTATTTTTTTAAAAATAAGGAGCCAATTTAAATTTTTATAAATTAAATTTATTTAATTGGATATTTAATTTGTTGTTTGTTTGTTTGTTTATTTTTAATTGCAACACAAATTAAATTTTATTTTTTTTCTGTGATTTTTAATCGAGAAAAAAAATAAGAATTTTTTTCGAAAAATTAAAAAATTAAATTTCTATTAATTTAAAAAAATTTAATTTATTATTGTAAAATTAAATAATTTAATTTATAATAGAAAAATTGAAAAAAAAATTTTTAATTAATTTATTAAAAAAAAATTTTTCCTTTAGGTATTTCTGGCCGTCTACAAGTGTTTTACAAAGGCAAATTTATGTTAACGCCCAGAAGGGGTTGTGAAACAGATTTAATAATTCAACATCAACAACAAGAAAAACAACAACAACAAACATCTAATGGAACAATAATGTCAACAACACCTAAAAACATGTAGTAGACAAAAACAATGTTTAGAAGAAGAAAATTTGTTTATAAGAAAAACTTTTGTTTTATTTTTATATTTTTAATTGTTTCCTTGACTATATTTTTGTTTTATATGTTTTATTGTCCCCTCAATTTTAAATTTTGTTTTATTTAAAAATAATAAAAAATATTTTTTTATTAATTTAGTAATTAGATGTTTATGTGTGTTAAGTTTTAGCAAAAACATTTACTAAAAACATTTTAGATGTTTGTTAAAATATTAAATGTTTTAGTAAAGGAAAAAAGCTGGGAAAATAAGTTAAACATGTTTTATTCGTTTCCGGAATGTTTGTTTAAGTGCGTGAATGTTTTCTGAATGTTTGAATGTTTCTGAAAGCTTTCCGGAAAATGTTCGAGTAAATGTTTCCGGAAAACTGATAATTAAACAATGTTTTGTTAAATGTTTTGGGAGACTCAGTGTTTTGTAATGTTTTAAGAAAACATTAACGAACATGTTTTAGGGAACCGAACATGTTTAGGAAACATGTTTAGATTGTTTTAGGTCATTTTTATTGTATTGTTTTAGTAAACGAACTTTCCGGAAAAATGTTCAGAGAAACAACGTTAAATCTAAATAAAAACATTAATTTTCCGGAAAACTTATTTCCGGTAAAACAATATAAAATGGTTAGAAAAACACAAATTACAATTTGTAAATTGTAATGAGTTTGTGTTTATTTTACATTGTATTTTAGACTTTATATCAAATTTAATTTAAACATATTTAAAGACACAAACTTGTCTAAACCCTCCCTAATTTAATTTAAATTTGTATTTTATTTTTTAATTTGTTTATATTCGTCAAACACGAGTGAACAAATCAAAAATGTATTTTTGTATTTTAAAATTTAATTTTCTTACTTTTGCCCCGCCTTTTCAATATCACTCACTTGCGCACCCTTGTATATAAAAGTCAGTTTAGACGAGGCCAATTTTATTTTGTTGATTCTTCACGTAATCATTTTTTCTTCTTCGTTTTACTACCTTTCAGTCTTCCCCCTCTCTCCAAGTAATTTTCACACATTTTTACGGCTCCCACCTTATAATAATTTTATTTATTAATAACTCATTCCTTTTTTATTAGAAAATCGCTAAAATGATAGTAAAACTCGTCTCTGTTCAAATATTATTATTTTTGGTTGCCGAATTGTTTAATGAGGGACAAGCGCAAATGGTGAAACAATGCCTTTGTTCACAGGTTATTAATGAGAAAATACAAAAAAAATACAAAAACGGTTCCATAAAAAATAAAAAAAATTTTGTAGACGGAACCTTGTGCCCAAAAATATTTTGGAGCGTTGGAACCGTGTATAGAGTCGTGTCAGCACCATCTACAAGCATTGGGAGGAAACTTTGCTGCATTAAAACAATGCTTCAAACAAAAACAAAGTTTGATATCATCTGCAATTCAATGCACACAGGGGCAAAACAAAAATGCGTAAATATTTTTTACAATTTGTAAAAAGTTGTAAAAACATTTGTAATTTAAATATTATTAAGTTTAAATCTACATTACAATTTGTAATTACTTTTTTACAATTGTAAAAACTCGGATTAATAATTGTAATTAAATAAACTTGGTAATATTACAATTTGTAATTCAAGCATATTTAATAATAAAACTTGCTTCAAAATAGATGTGCTCAGTCAGGCGGGGAAATGGTTCCCAAACGATACCCTGAAACAATGCAAATTGCAGCATTTGCTGAAATTAACAAAATGATAAATAGCATGGGATTGGGGAACGAAGCAAAAGGTTTTATGGCCGTTGGTAAGAAAATGTTTGGATGTGTACGAACATGTATGGCTAAAAAATCTGGAAATTGTGATAAGAAAATGGCGTAAGTTTTTAGCAACCTTGAAACAAAACTTGAAGCAAAACATTAATTTAAACATAAAAGAAACTTAAAACACAAACAACTTTAAATAAAAGAAACTTGAACATAGAGCGAACTGAAAAATATAAACTTGATTTAAAACAATATATATACAAAACAAACTTGAAACAAACTTGAATTAAATAAACTTGAAACAAAACAATATACAAAACAAACATGAAACAAAAAAACTTGTATTAAATAAACTTGAAACAAACAGTAATTCAAACATAAACTTGGAAACTTAAAACTTGGAAACTTTTAAAAACAACAAAACAAAATTGAAACAAAACATCTATTCAAACATAAACAAACGATAAAAACATTTAAGTTGCGGACTCAAGTTACCCCCAGACAACGTTCTTGTTCAATCAGCAAAACAGTGCGCAATTAGCAGCGGCTTAAATACTGAAAACGTAAGAGCATTGTGTCAATGTTCAGCTGGGGCTGGCGTCAAGTAAGTTTTCATTTCTAACAAACTTGAAACTTTGCTAATTTTTCTTTTAACAATTACAGAGGCCTTGGAAGCGTTTGCAGCAAAATAAAGATAACTTAAACAATGGACATTTAAAAAAATTTTTTTCTAATTTTTTCTAATTAAATCCCCAACACCCTCCAGGCATTTTACAAACAATTCTTAAATAATTTTCATATTTTAAAATATCTTCATATTTTCGGACGTTTATTCACTCTGACATTATTATTAATGTTTGGCCTTGAATTTTTTTCCCGTTGTTCCCCACAAAATGTGTAGTAGTTTAATAATTTAATAAAATAATAATTTGCTTCGCTACTTTACTATATTACAATTATTTTATATATTTTTTACGAATAATTTTAAAATAAAAATTTATTTAAAAATTATTTTTATAATCAAAAATTTAATTTTATATTGGATATTAAAATAAAGGTTAAAGTGAATAAATACAGAAATTATAGATATACACAATTAAACTTTAAACTACAAATTGTAATAATTCAAGTTTATTATTTTTTACAATTTGTAAATTAAAGATGGTTTATTTTACAATTTATAAATAAACTTGATAATGAAAATATTACAAATTGTAATAATTAAAGTTTATTTGTTTTACAATTTGTAATTAAATAAACTTTCTAATTTACAAATTGTAATATGCTTTAAAAATAAACTTGTTAGTAAATGTAGATTAAAGTTTACAATTTTACAAATTGTAAAAATTAAAGTTTGTTCTTCTTACAATTTATAAACTTGACAATACAATTTGTAATTAAATAAACTTTCTAATTTACAATTTGTAATAATTAAAATTCTATTTAATAATAAGGCTAAAATATCAATACACAAAGAGAATATTATTATGGGTCAAATTAAATTTTAATATGAGAATAAAAAAAGAATATTTTTACTAAAATGATTTAAAGAATAAATACAAAAAATGTCAAAGGATTGGATCGAGTTTCGAGTTAAATACCAAAAAGATAAATTTTTTCGTTAATCAGACAGTTGATTGAGCGTAGCTTTCAATTCGAGCTCGATAGGTAATTTTTCAAGTAAATATTGAAAATAATCGAAGATACGTGAAGCAAATCGAGCCCTAATTTTCAATTTTTTCATAAAATAATTTTTGATTTTTCGTTGAGTAAATAGTCGAACCCTCTTACTTTTAGATAATCTTCAAGGTACTCTCCTAAATTCAGTTCCCATTGGGTTATAGAAAATTAAAAAAAATTAGATTCAGCACTAGTTGGAGGGTAGAGGAGGAGAGGGGACTGTATGGCAAATAAGTTACATCACTTCCAATTTAAGGTATCCCTCTTATAAGATGGTGGATCAAGAGGATGCGGAGGTTCTGGAGGGTGTGGAAGTGGAGGAGGATGTGGTGGAGGTCTCATTTCAGCTCTAGGGGGATATCTAGAAGGAAGAGCTATCCCCTAAGAGATATCCTTTAGTTCAGCCAGGGATATCCCTAAAAGCAAAGGTTCGACTGTAAAATAAACATCTCTATCCTCGTATTATTTAAAAATCATTCTCTCCTCTCATCAATATGCCGTACAATTCCCGCTAGGAATACAACAAACTTGTTGTTGTGTTGAAAGGGGAACTTGTTCTGTATGTCCATAATAATATGTAATTGTTACGATTACATCAAATTGAAGAGTTACATATAAAGAAGTATAACGAGAGAAGGGTGCTTGACAATAATTTCTGAAAAAAATAAAATTTTTGAAAATTATAATTTTAGATTTCCAACTCGAGTGTAGCAAAAGAAACCTATTTAAATGCATGTTTTAGTGTCCTACATATTACTCGGCCCAAGTCTAGTACTGGGCCCAAGTCTAGGTAAGTCCCCTGAATTTTGGTTCTGACGATTCTAAAGTTCCCTTTCCGAATTCGGGTTTGGACAATAAATAAGAAGTACGGTCCAAGTAGGCGTGCAGCCAGGTAGGTGTAAAGTCATAACTTTCTTCACGATTGCCGAATTTTTCAAAATTTAGTATTAAACTATTCCTATCCTCGAGCTAAACGATAAGGTCCAGAAATTATGGTCCAGAAATTTTCAAGCTAGTTATGGCTTTGCGCCTACTTGGGCGTGTACCATAAGTACTCTATCCCCTATCTTTGGCCTCGTATTCGCCTTCTTAACAAGTACAAATACGGATTTTTGTATGAGCATTCGAATACTGTTAAAGACTCGACCCAGAATCCCTCAAAAAACTACAAAATTTAGTTATACATTGGTTATGTTAATACGTTTTTACACACCTTTTGTTATCTTATCGATAGCTATTATCATGTATAACCTGATCTTTAAAGTTCCCGTTCCCCTAATTTTTTTAATCAAAAAAAATTTTTTTCTTTTGCGGAAAATGAAAAGGAAAGCAAGGTGAAAATTAACAAGAAAAATAAATAATTGAAAAGGATAAACGTGAATAAATGATAAAAGTGAAAGAAAAAAACTTCAAGAAAATAAATATAAAGTGACAGAGAATGACCTCGATATACCTACAAATCTTTAATTAAATGATAAAAATCCAGAAAAATGATAAATTCAAGTAGATAGACATATTAGCTTATTAAACATTTATTTTTATTAAAATAATCATATTAACACCCAAATTTTATAGAAAAAAAGAAAAGATTTAATCCTATTTTTAGAATACCGGTAAACTAAGATAGGCAAACAATGAATCACTTGAAACAAATATTGCTTTATTCTATTCTTATGCAAATAACTGGAATTAATTCATTTTTATTTGGTGGCCTAGGAGGAGGTGGTGGAGGTTTGGGAGGAGGTGGAGGATGTTGCTGTTGTTGTTGTTGTGGAGGTGGTGGAGGGGGAGGTGGTGGGTGTTGTGGAGGAGGGGGAGGTGGTGGGTGTTGTGGAGGCGGAGGAGGTGGGTGCTGTGGGGGTGGAGGAGGAGGAGGTTGTTGCGGAGGCGGTGGTGGAGGCTATGGAGGAGGTGGAAGAGCAATAGTTGTAAATTGTGGTAAAGGAGGTTTGTCTTTGAAAGCAAAATACTTATTAAACTTAATGTTAAGGTGGCAACGGATATGGAGGTTATGGAGGTGGTTGTGGTGGTGGAGGAGGATGTGGTGGAGGCGGAGGAGGTTGTGGATGTGGAGGAGGGTATGGAGGCGGGGGAGGCTATGTAGGTCCAAGTTGTGGGGGAGGGGGTGGTGGAGGTTGCAGATGTGGTGGTGGAGGAGGAGGTTGTGGAGGTGGTGGCGGAGGAGGTTACGGATGTGGTGGAGGAGGAGGTTGTGGTGGTGGTGGAGGTTGCGGATGTATTGGTGGTGGAGGTTGCGGATGTGGTGGTGGTGGAGGAGGAGGTGGCGGAGGAGGTTGCGGAGGTGGTGGAGGTGGATGTTCAGGAGGCCCACCACAAGTAAGCTGTTCCGGCGAAGGTTTGACAGATAAATTTTTAACAAAAATTTCCCTATCTCTATAAGGAGGACCACCGCCAGTTGGACCCGCCATCGAATCACCTTGTGAACCTAAATACGTTATTGTCCGGCCAGTTGGAGAAGGTGGTGGAGGAGGAGGATATGCACAAAGTATTCCAGTAGGAGGGTGTGGAAGTAGTGGTTGTGGAGGAGGGCCAAGTGGATATTCTACAGGTAAAAGGATTCATTAACCAATAATCAAATAATAATTGGTTAATAAGGAGGACAATATGCGAAGGAAGGACCCATCAATATACAAGAACCAACAGCATATGTCCATCAACAAATACCATCAGGGTCCTATTTAGAAGCATCTGAAAAGAATGTTGGAGCAACCTACCAACAACAACAAGTTCCTTCACAACAATATGAAGCAGTTGCATCAGCTTCAGGTAGAGAAAAAATAAATTTTGAAAAAATAACAAGAGAAAAATTCATCAAGATGGAGGAGCTTCATCCGCTGTTCAAAGCCCACCAGCCAATCAAGAATTACCTATACCACCAACAGAACAAGGTAAAAAATAGACTGATTTCGATAAAAACTAACAAATCTACTACTAGTCCAACCAGCCTCAACAACAAACGAAGTTGAAGCGGAGGAAGTCGCAGCGCCAAGTACACCAACAAGAGAACAATTAAAACAAGAACCTTATAATAGATTACAAAAATCAGCAGTTAAAGCTTTACGTGGGTCAAAAACAACAATTACAACATTAACTAAAACAAGGTTATAGAACAATAAAATGAGAAATGATAGAAACATGTTTTCCGGAAAGATATTAATGTTTTCCAGAAATCCGGAAAAAGAGAAAAACAAAAAAATATATAGAGTAATATAAACTTCCGGAAAAGTAGTAAGTTTCCGGAAAATACAAAAACTCTATTTCTCTATTTTTACGTGTTTTTTCCGGACAATACAACAAACTGTCTTACAGAGAAGCAAATAAGCACTCATTTATGACTTTTCCGGAAAATACAGAAAAATTCTGATTTTTCTATTATAAAACATCTTCTGTTAATTTCCGGAAGAAATATATTCTGGAGAAACATTTACAAATGTATAAATCAGAATTTATACATACTTTTCCGGAAACATTACACTTTTCCGGAATGTTTTAATTAAAAATAAGAGAAAATTTAAAATTATGATTCTTCCGGAAAAGTAACCAGTTTCCGGGAAATATAAAAAATTCTGATTTTTGTATTTTAATAAAATGTTGTATTTTCCGGAAAAACATTTTAAAAAGAACAGAAAAACCAGAATTTCTGTATTTTCCGGAAATTAAACTATTCCGGAAGGTTTTAATTATAAATAAAAATTCTGATTTGTATTAATTCTGATTTTGAATAATAACAAAAAGAAAATTAAAAAATTCTGATTCTTCCGGAAAAGTAGTCAGTTTCCGGAAAATACAAAAATTCTGATTTTTCACATATTAAAATGATGTATTTTCCGGAAAAATATTTAAAAACAAAATAAAACCAGAATTTTGTATTTTTCCGGAAATAAAATAATTCTGATTTTAAATATAACAAAAGACATGTAAAAATTCTGATTTTTCCGGAAAATTTAATTAAATATAATTCTGATTTTCTCTTTTTCTCTAGCAACATAAGTAAAGAAAACACAGCAATATGCAATTCTGTTGAACTATCCCAATTAATGGAAACTTTAATAGTAGAGAATGATGCAAACGAATCGAAGAGGCGTTTACACAAAGCAACAAACCAACAATTTATAACAGAAGGGAGTGATAGAGGTTTAGATGTTATTTGTGCTCCGGGAGCTTTTAGCTATAGAATTGCTACTGATTTTTTTTGTGAACGAACAAAGGGGAATATTACTTGTTTTGTATATCAACAACAACCATAAAAGGAAGAGGAGGTGGAAAGAAGAGAAGAGGGGCATTATTAATTTAAAAAATAAATTTTAAAAATATATAAAATAAGATAGGAGGATAAGGAAAGAATTTTTTCTAAATATAAAAAAATTTAGAAAAGTAAAAAAAAAGGTTCCTATCAAAAAAATAAATAAATTTTTTAATTAAATTAATTTCTATTTTATATTGAATTAATTTTTCATTGTTAATTTTTCTTTATTTACTAATTATAAAAATTTTATTTGACTTATTAGATTATATTTAATTTTTAAAATTTAACTAATGTAAAATAGGCCTCCTCCAGAGTCATAACTAGGATTTTTTCAGGAGGATTTTTTTCCTTCCACTTTCATTTTTTAAAAAGGCAGGAGGGCCCATTTTTTTTTGTCCAATACCTTCCTAATGATTTAAATCAATCCCCTCTTAAATCAATTAAAACCCAAAAAAAGAGGATTAGAAAAAATCCAAAACCTCCCCAATTTAAATTAAATTAAAAAAAACCCTCACGCAATAATTCCTTTTAAAGACACAGAATTGTTAAAAGCCAATTCCCTCGTTGTCCGATACAAAATTAGAGGAGAAGTTTCAGTAAAACTTTTATTTAGACCGTGTCCAACAACGTCAGTTGACCAAGGCTGGAAATTTAGAAGAAAATTTTTGTTTCAATAAACGAAAAAAAACCTGGAATTTTGAAGTAATAATTGATGTAATATTAACCAAATCGACTGGAATATAATTTCCACTTGTTACGTTAATTTTATTCTGAAAAGAAAAAAAATATTAAAAAATTAGAAAAAATTCAAAAAAAAAATTTTTTATGGAAAAACAAAGGACCACCAAAACAAAGGACCACCAACCAATTTGCCAAAATTAAGTCTTGCCGTGTGGAAACTCCCAAAATTCCCCACAATTTTAATTCCCTCAATGTCCAAATCAGGGATGTCACGGATGGAAAAAGTAGTCAAGTTTCGGGTGTTTAAAAAATTTCTTTGGATTAGCCCAAAAAAAGTTGAAGGTTTCGGTTACAAGTGACATCCCTGGTCCAAAAATCAAAAAATTTCCAGAATTCCCAATATCCAAATTAGCAATGTCACGGGGTGAGAAAAAAGTTGGGTCGGTTTAAAGCCTTCAAAATTACCTTCATGGATCAGTTCCGATTCAGAAAAAATTTGATTATCAGGTTTCGAGTAGCCCATGACATCCCTTGCCCAAATTTAAAAAAATTTAAAAACAACCATAAAGTGAAAATCAATGAAAGAAGAATGATTAGCATCCCGTCCAGTAACATACACAATTTCAATCGGCCCTCTATTCGAATTTAAAGTCACAGTTCTAGGCATCAACAAAAAAATTAAAGCACTTCCAACAAAAACACAGAGAGAAACCCAAAAAGAGACGATTAAACAAGTCCGTTTTGGTTTAAGTCTTTCATCATTCACGGGAATTAGAGCAACCAAAGTACCTTCCAATTCTTTTGGGATAAGTCCAGAACCTTTACAGGAAGGGCAGGGAACCTTGAAAAATAAAAAAAATTTCTAAATTTTTTTTGCAAGTGGCAGAGCTTTGGAGAGCAAGATTTTTGACAAGCCTGGTCCTGGGTCTGAGTTATTGATCTGGGCCCCTGGCCATGTAGTCCAGGAAAAACCCTTGACCCAAGAAAACCCAGGAAAGGTCAAAAAATGCCTAGGCCTGGACTCTGGTCGACTGACCAGCCACTGACCCAGGCCTTGGTCCAGACCCAGTTCAATCTCTACAGAGCTTAACTCCTCCAATTTATACCCCTTCCTACAATTAGTTTTATATTTCAAGCATTTTCAAAAAATCGAATGGTCCCAGTTTTCCTTCCTTATCGAACAAAAAAAGCAAATAAAACTGCTAGATTCGCATTTGAAAAATTTATTAACTGTCCCAAATTTGGTATCAGGTTACTGGAATCGGCTTCAAAAAATAATATCTCAAGCTATCCCATAATACACCTAAAATACACCGAAAAACAAAAAAATTAAAAATTCGACAACTCCACTTTTCCTTAAATCGGTCCCAGAGGAAACAACTGTTCTAAAACACCCTCACCCACACTCTAGAGCCCCCCACTTAAAGATTAAAAAAACAAACCGATCCCCCATGAAGTTCAGTATAATCCGGAGTTGTTTGACTCGTTCCTTCAGTTAATGATTGGGTAGAGTTTGTCTCATACTCTTCTAAAGTTTCCATTCCATCTCGACGAGTAGATGAAGGCAAAATGTTTAAAAGAGTTTCACGCCTAAATTAAAAAAAAATTTAATTAAAAATTAGAAATCTGCCAGGGTCCAGACCTTAATTTTCCCAAAATCCAGCAGAGTGGTCCTTTACAAATCACCAAAAGGGGCATGACCTCTCAAAAAAAGGAGCAAAAACGAGGCAAAATTGTTCAAAAATAAGCAAAAAATGAGCCCATGTTGAAAAAAAGGGGAAAAGGGGTGAAGAGGTAAAGGGGAAAATCCCTCCTAAAAATGAGACAAAAGGACCCAATCAAAAAGGACCCAGTCCAGAGTCAAAAACAAGGCATTTTTCATTGCTTCTTGATTTCTACTTAATTCCAGAACAAAAATCTGGAGTCAAGATTAAAAAAAAATCAAGGATTTAAAAATCTCCAATCTCTAATTAAAAAATTTAAAAAATAAAAAAATCAAACCATCGCGAAATTCTAGCCATCATTGGTTCAGAAAACTTCATTTTTCCTCGGTTTCCAAATTAATTAATTTTTCCTTAAGCTAAAAAATAAATTAAAAACAATTAAAAATTATTAGAAAAAAAAATAAAAAAGAAGCAAAATTCATTATTTTTTTTTGCCGTTTTCTCGAGTGAATCATCGCCCTCTATTAGCAATACCTCAAAAAATAATTCTTTTATTGATTTTATTTATTTCGACGAAATTGCTAATAAAATTTTTGAGTCGAAAAATATTAAAAAAAGGAGTTAAATGGAATGAAAAACAAAAGAAAACATTAAGCAAAAATAAAATTTCTGAAGATTAGAACCTCAAAAATGGTCGCCAGCCAACGGCGCGACATTTGCGAACATTTCAAAAGGTGTTAATATGTCAGTCGAAAGGACTCGGCGAGATGAGTCGAATGACAAAAGAAAACGTGGCTGGAAAATTTTTTTAAATTGTTTTTTCTACGCGGAAAAAATTTTCCGATGCGGAGCAGAGGTGTTTCGAAACAAAAAAATCTTCGAAAATCGGAAATCGAAATTTCGAAACAGCTCTGATGCGGAGGCAAAATTCCTGTATAAATTCAATTTAGGATTAAGAAAAAAGTCTGACCATTCTGTACACGTTAAGAAAAAATAGAAAAATATCCTGCGGATATATGGGGGGGGGGGACTTTGACTCGATGTGACTTGACTTGGGTTGTGCACTTTGACCACTTTTTTTGGGGAAAGAAGAAGAATAAAATGTGGAGATTTTACACTGAGTGCCTAATTTTCTTATTCGGTATCTAATGTGGAGGACCTCGCCACAGACTTAGACTACGTTTCTATTTGTTTTAAGCCTTCAGCCTTCAGCATCAAGATAGCAAAACGTCCATATGCCGTGGTTATGGTTTTCCTGAATACTCAAAAAAAAAGTTGCTCCCAAGACGTGCCAACTTTCGAGGCCCATGTCGCCAGCCTTCAGCCGGTGGAATTTTTTTACTTCAAGTCATTACAAAATTTTATTTTTTTTAAAAAAATTTATAAAACATTTCATTATAAATTTAATTAATATTTACATCAATTATTCATTTTAAATTTGAAAAGCCGCCGCGAACTTTTATTGCATAACTGATTACACTTCCATTTCCCTAAATAATCTTTTATTATATCTATTGATTAAATTGAAGTAGCATCTCGTCCCTTCGGGGTCGTGAGTGTCGGGGATGGGGTCAAGTGTCCGAAAAATCCCCAAAATTTCTCCTCATTAGGGGTCTATGTATATTTTACGTAGATCGGGGTTTGTTGGGTTAGCGCCTTTCGAGGACGGGGTGCTACACTAGACCTTTAATGAAGTATTTTCCACATGGACACCACACTTCAGGATTTCCTTCTAAAAAGAAAATAAAAATAAGAGGGGTAATTATTAGTTGTCGGCGCGGGACGGGATCCCGACGGGATTTTCCGGATCCCGAAATCCCGGATTTTTTTATTTTCAGGATCCGGGATTTTTTCGGGATTTATCCCTCGGGATACCGTCCAGGCACCGATCAAGAAAAAATCCAGACTCGGGAGCATTTACGGTATTCCATATAAAATTTAAATTTTAAATTCTAGATTAACATACCTGAATTAACAGCAACATTAATAATAATAAAAAGCATGAAAACAATTAATAAAAATTTATTCACTTCAAATATTTATTTGAATTTAAATTAAAAAAAATTTTATAGGAAAATCTAATGAAATTTATATATTGTATTTTTCTAACATTATTTTTCTTTTTTACTAGAGAATTTGAATCTCGAAAGAGAAATTCAAGGAAATGTCGCGTACAGTATCATTAAAGGCACTCACAGAGTTTGTAATTTACAAAAATCCCGAAACAAAAATGTCAGAGTTGGTCTGTCTAGATACTCTCTCCCCCAGCTCTAATATCTAGAGAGATCCTGTTTTAAGTTGATTTTTAGAGTAGCAGAGGTGGGTTGGAACAGTCAAAAAAAATTTTTATGGATCGGAATTCCGATTTCCGACGTTTTTTCCTTCCGATTTCCGGAAAAAAGTTTGATTTCCGATTTCCGAGTTCCGACTTTTGAGCCAGTTCTGATTTCCGGCGCTTCCGATTTCCGACACCTATGACTGTTCCGACCCACCTTTCTCTAGATACCCTAAAAATCAACGTAAAACAGGGTTTTTCAACTTCAAAAAATATTTTCGACCCCTTAGGGTTTGTTTAAAATTTTATTCTAGGCTCATTCGAAAGCCCTTATAATTTGCTACAAGATAGCAAAAATCTTATTTCCGAGAAAAAAATATTTTGGTAAGAAATTTCTAAAAACGTTTAATTGCCCTATAAAACGCTTATAATTTCCTAGCTGTATTAACAAAAGCGTAATGGAAAAAAATTTTTTTTTAATTGAAAAATGATTAACCAATTTAAAAAGTAATTTAAAAACATCACAAGAATAACATTTTAAAATGAAGAAGAATTTAAAAATAAATGTTGCAATGATTAATTTAAGATTAAAAAGGTTAGGCGGTTGCTGACACGTTGGTGACAAAAACTCATGCAATTGCTAATTTAAACTTGTGATAGATGATTTTTTAAGTTTGGGAATTACCTAAAACCTAAGACTGAGCAGTAGGCGGCGTGGCGTAATGGATACACATCAGTCCGGTCTACTGAAGATGGTTCGCTCCCAGCCGCCGATTAACCTTTTGCACTAGCTTTAGGAGAGAAATGGCTATAACCCTCTATTTTGTATACTGATTGCAAATTTAATTTAATCCAGATAGAAGGTTGAAAAATAGAAGCCTAGTCTTTCACAGAAGCCCAATATCTCCATTATAGGCCACTCAAAATAACCTTTGAAAAATATAGGCCTAGGGCCTATATTAGAGTATCTACGACAACTTTTATCTCGTTAAGTGTCAGTACTTTTCTCTCCTTAATACGTTGAGTTTTGCCTATTTTTCTCCTTTTATTGAGTTAAATACTTTTACCCCCCCCCCCCTTCCGCCCCCCCCCCCATAAATTGTCGAATCCACAAAATGGCGCTAAGTTTAAAAACCCACAAAATGTCGAAAGTGGTAAAAATCCATAAAATGGCGTTAAGGGCAAAAACCCACAAAATGTCGCTAAAATTCTTATTTTTTGATTTTCTTTGTTTGCTTTGATAGTTTTTGACAATTAAAGTTTATTAATTGTTTCCTATCTTATATTTGTTGTAAGAATTTTTCCAGGCTTAAAATCGCCGAGTACAGAAGTCAAGAAAACGGCGATTTCCAATCGATGAATAGTTAAAATTTAATCAGGAACAGCAACAATTTGCAGATGAAGCTGGACTATCACCTCTCCATGAGTGGTTTCCTTCTGGCCTTCATGGTAGATGTCGACAAACAAGTGGCACAACATCTTCGGCTTGGTTACTCGGCTTGGTTAGTGGATATCTTGATGGTTCGCACACTATAGCTCATCCAGAAGAACATGATTCGGAAGATGTAGTATCCTGTTTATCCTGTTTTATCGATTCAGAGCTTTTATGAATAAAACTGTTTTATTTTTCCAGTTTAATTTAATTTTTTTTTAATTTTGCTTTTTTTCGACATTTTGTGGGTTGCTGGCCTGTTCGCCATTTTATGGATTCGACATTTTGTGGATATTTTGCCTTAGCGCCATTTTATGGATTCCCATTATATGTAGCGACATTTTGTGGTTTTTGGCCTTAGCGCCATTTTATGGATTCCCATTATATGGGTTCGACATTTTATGGGGGAGCCCCCCCCCCCCCCCCCCTTCAATTTACCTTCAAAAAATGTGTACTTTTTATATTCCCCCTCCCCCCCCCTTCCCTCTCTCTTTTTTTTACCTCAAAAATAGTAACATCCAAAACAGAGCCATATAACAGCCTCTATTTTATTTAGTTGGCCATACACCATTTATTTAAAGTAGAAAAATATAATTGTAAACAACCCCCCAAGTGCTTGCCAAGGGATCAAAAATCTTCTCTCCTTTCCCTCCTTTTTTCCCCATTTATTTTTCTTGCACAATCCTCTGTGTTCGCTTTTGTTTTTTATTAATGCTAAAAATTATTTTATTATTTTATTATTTTTGCTTTTTTTGACCTTTTAAATAATTTATTATTTTTATTTTCCCTCTTTTGTTAATTATTAATTAATTAAGTTTGCGCCTTATAGTTGTTGCGCCGAATTAATTAATAAAACTTATTTATTCCAAGTTTATTTTTTTTTTCAAGTTTCTATTATAATTGTCAAAAAATAAACTTTTTTTCCAACTTTCTTTTTGCTTCCAACTTTTTTGTTTCCAACTTGAAATTAATTCCAACTTGAATTAACATTTAATTCAAGTTTATTTTTATCGTGCTTCTAATTACTTTAAAAATTAAACTTTTTATTCAGGTTTATTTTTAATTCCAACTTGGAATTAATTTTAGGGGATGTTATTGTTTCGGCGCGGTAACCGTATGGCGCAAACATACATAACTTCAATTAGAGACCACCTAGAAAGCTAAAAATTTCCAAAATTATTTTAAATAGTATTTTCTAATATTTCTGAAAATTTCAGAATTTTTGGTTCTTTATTCCGTTAGTTTCGGTTATTAATAAACTCCTATTCCCCCTCCTCTTAATAATTTTAATATTAAAATTTAAATTTTTTCTATTTACACTTTTATCTATTTAAATTTATTCATAATATTTATTTTCAATAATATAAGTGAAAAAGATGTGAAAATAATTCTTTTAAAAGGGATAAGCGTAGGCGGTCACATGAGAGAAGCTTTAAAATTAAAAATATTAATTTTATGC